TTGGATCTTTTGCTCTCTCCCTTTTGTCACTTCTTTTCCTCTCTTGATTATCTTTGGTGTTTCTCTTGGGGTTTCTGTCTTGGTGAGATCCGGGATGTGAGTTGGGTTACTCTTTGAAATGGTGGCGAGGTGGTTGATGGTCTCTCCAAGATGATGGCATAATCTCTGGTTTCCTTCCAATGTCCCTCTTGTCTATTTTATAATTTCTCACCCGCAGATGGTTTCCATTAAAGTAAGTGATGCAAGATGAAATATAAATCTAAGCAAAGGAACGACAACAAATAGGAAAAGAGCAAGAAGAAGCTCCAGTATGGGGCCCCCGTGAGAAATAGCGGGCTACAAGTTTTTCTTTGCTCTCTCCGCTCTTTATACGGAGGGCGTCCATGATTCTTTTTTAGCTCCAGAAGGCAAAAAGTTCGATGTGCCATTTTGCGGGATGGTGGAGACTCGCTTGGGTCCTCCGGGTGCCGGATCGGGGCAAAAGATGGCAACGAGGACGCCATGGATGGATCATTGAGGCTTCGGTGCGTTTCTTTAGATGGGCCGGGAATAACGGAGAGGGTGGGTAAGAGGTTCGATAGGGGGGAGGAGGGGGAGGCGAGAAGAGAAGCTTGTTTGTATGATGATGAACTCTGGAGGGAAGAGTGCCGATAGGTTGAACCAGATGTCCAGGGGAGGTATATGTCAAGCATGATACTTGTCATCGACAACTGCTGATTAGCTAGAGCATTCCATCACAGACACTGTTGACACAATACGAATAAGTGATTGGAAGAAATCTTTGCTGTAACTTGTACATAATATCCAACGTTTACCACTTGCAGTTTGTACTTGTTGGAGCCCCCCGTGGGTGGAGATTTCGGGATGCTTACAGCGGCGCCGGAGTTGCGCCTTGGCTTCCTGATCAAGGCAAAAGGCGAATCGAACCGCGGCCGCTAAACTTTTTTTTTTTTTCTCTCTCTCTTTGTCATTGCCTTTGCGTTGTCTTGAGGTTGTGCTTATCCGTTGGTTGCACTACATACATACTTGTATGTACAGTGGAAGAGTCAGAGGCGGTTGATTGATAATGGAAACTGGGAGTGAGATTGGATGAGACTTTGATCTTGTCCGATCGGTGAGCTTTTGGTCTAGTAGATTGGAGTTGAAAGTGACGGGTTGCCGGTTTGCCGCGGAGACCGAGGGGGGTGGGTGAACACCTGATGAGGAAGTTGGATGGCATTTCTTACTTCTGTTTACTTTGAAAAGGTAAGAGTCTCGAGTCATGAGGTGACAAGTTGCGTCCTTTTCTGGATTCAAAGCCCCCCCGTGAAGAAAATGAATCGAGACTTTCTTGTTGCGGGCGAGATGCAGATGGTTAACCGCTTGCTTAGAGTCGTTTTCCGTGGGTCATGAAGCTTCGATATGGTTGGTACTTCGTATAGACGCAATTACATATGAGTGAAGTCAGCGGCCGGCGGACTTGTTCGGCCAACTTTGTTTTGTTATGTCATACTGGTTTTTCCTTTTCTTTCACCATCATCTATCGACAACTTTATAACGATTTGACTCAGCAGCTCATGATCTTGTCCTCCTGGGTTCAACGAGCAAAACCAAGAGATGGCACTGCTCCTCACACTGTACCATCATTGACAGCGTCACAGGGTCCTGATTTAGACAACTCGTTCGACAGACATCGAGGCACAACCTGTTACACTGCATACACTGTCGATACACTGCATACACTGGCAATGGCAATGTCTCATCATTATTGGGGGCTGTAGCTCATATACTCGTCAAAGCATCATTATTCCCAAGCCGCATATAAAAAAAAAAAAACTCCCGCATGAAACAAATAAAAGTCCCGTATCCTCCGCCAGCTGCAACCCCATCGTTACAGCATCTGAGACACCGCCGTCAGGACCGTCAACAGACCTCCCAGCATCAAGCTGCTCGTCAAAGCACTCGCGCCAGATCCAGACCCCTGCGTCGGACTCGTCGTCGGGCCACCGGTTCGCGTAGGCACGGTGCTGTTGCCGCTGCTGCCGCTGGTAGTAGGAGACACGGTGGGAGCCGGAGCCGTGGTCGTGGTAGCGTTAGTACCCGAGCCCGAGCTGCTGGCGCTCTTCTCGTACTGGTTGACGACAAAGTCGACAATGTCGTCGCCGTAGCGCTCAATGTACAGGTGGTGGACGGTCGAGTTGGAGCCGGCGTCGCAGTAGATGTCGCCCGTGTCGCAGTACGAGACGATGCGGCTGGCGTACGACTTGCAGACCTCGATGCTGGACGAGCTCCGGTTGAAGAGCTGCCATCAAGATGATCAGCCACAGATGTTTCGATTCTTTGCTCGATTCCTCATCATTCTTCTATCAACTCACCCCGTTGTGAATGCTGGTGCCTCTGTCGTACGTCAGGTTGGCGACATGGGTCGGGTCTCCGAAAATGGCCACGGCGACGACTGCACGATCTCGTCAGCTTTCATCGATTGGCGCTTTGTTATGCAAAAAGACTCACCGCCGTTCATGACATCGTCGGACATGCCCTTGTTGCTGGTGAACGGAGCGCCGGCACCGCCGCAGACGGTGTCTGTCGAGACTTGGGCGCCCTGTCCAAAGGATTAGCATCACCATTACCGGAATCTCTCATCCCGGATGAAACAGTCGAAAAGTGAAGCCATCACCACTTTTCCACTTCCACTTCCATACCTGGGAATACCCCAGCACAGCAATCTTGTTCCCCGGACAGGCCTCGCCGTAGCTGTTGAGCAGCTGCTGCATCGCCTTGACGCCCTCGCCCTCGGACGCCTCGTAGTCGTCAAAGCTGGCCGGGTAGTCGACGGCCACGACCTGGCTGCCGGGCACCCTTGCGGCGATCTGGCTCGTGAGGTTGCCCGTCACACCCGTCCCCGCGGGCTCCTCGCTGCCGCGGGCGACGACCATGTAGAGGCCCTTTGCGCATGTTGTGGTTGTTGCTGCTGCGGCCGTTGAGCTGGCGGCGAGCAGCGAGAGGGTGAGGGAGAGGGCGCGCATGATGTAGCGGCTATTCGGGGGTTGTGATGGTTGTTTCGGGGTATGTATGATGGTGAAGCCCTCTTCTTCCAGCTCCGTTTGTAGTTACCGCAGCGAATATCAACAGCAACAAGATCAACGAGGATAGCCAGTAAGAAGCAGCAAAAGAAAACATAAAGGCAAGAAAAATAGAGAAAAAAGCGGAGATGTCAATGCGTATTTATCGAAATCCGAATGCTCCCTTCACGAGGAAAATACATAAAATCCATTACGTAGCAGCCAAGGGAAGAAGCGCTTCGAGAGGATCCGCGTCTGGGGTTCGAGTGGTTCAGTTTTTGCCTGTTGCGCCTCGGCCCTTGTCTGCCCGCTTCCAGGGGCGGAGTGCATGACAAGCCAGTGCCTGTCAATCAATAGTCTCTTCTGTTTAATTCTCGATTCACTGCTCTACTTGTCTACTATTCAGCTCCTCTTCAGCTCGACTTTGCTTGCTCGAATCAGCCCAGCAGGTCTTTGTTAGTATGTGCGCTTACATACATAGCCTCATCCTTGGCTTCTCTCCCTCTTGTTCGAATCGCATCTCCCAAAACGAACAGCAACAGCAGAAACAACAAGAAAAAAAAAAAAAAAGAGCTGAGCAAATCGGTGTGGCTGCGGCACCTTTGCATCGACGCACCCACTAACCCCTGTCAGAACCAGCCTCGGATCGCTAGACTGCAGCTGGAGAAGCCCAAAAGGTCCATGTCCGGATAGACGGCTTCTTTTTTTGGGGGGGTTGTTGGTGGGACGCGGAGCTCCGATGCGAGCTTCTCGAAAGGGCGTTGAGAGGGACCGAAAGAGTCGTTTTGTCTGTTCGTGAAATGGGCATATTCGCTGGCAAACAAACGCCTTTATGAACAACTCAGTGCCTTGCAGCGTTCGAGAGCAATCGTCGCAGAGCATACAAACACGGCATCACCACGGCGATGCGTCATGCTCGGAGCAAAAGTCTCCCCGCCACATCGTCCACGCAACGAACGATGCCGGATCCCAGTTGGGGAAGGTCGTCGACATGAACCTCGGCCACCGCCGCTCACCTTGATATACTAGCGGGGGCTGTGAAGCGTCTTTGTCTCCTCCATCCTTCTTCCATCGTTCCTCTTCCATTCTCCAATGTTATTGTTGCTGCCATTACCTTGCATCGCCATCTTGCTCACTGTTGCTTGTTAGCTGTCGTCCGCCCTCTCGCCGCCGATGCAAGCCACGGCGATCTTTGTCCTACGCTAGACAGATAGTGTGCTGACGCAGTGTTGCGTTGCTGGGATCCATGGGCTTCTGGCGGTCTATCATCTCTTGCTTGCTCATGCATCACTGCGCCCACGCGGAAGTCAGCATAAACAGCCAGGTGACAAGAGAGGCTATACTGATATGCTGCGGTCGACTAAGTAGTAGCCAGAAGCAGCATTCTGCAAAGATGTTCTTCGTAAGAGATGTGAGGAGAATCGATAGAGATCTTAGTGGCTCATAGGCCAGGGGATTTGCGTATTGCAAGGAAGGGCAGCCAACACTGATTATCGGCATGATCGGGTCTTTGGTGGAACCCATATTGAAGAAGCTCTTCCTTGGAGTAAGGTAAGTGCAAGGTTACTTTGAAAGAAATAACAGAGACAGAGAAATCCGAAAACAGGAGCAATGACATCTTGGTCAATGCTTGATTTGGCCTGCTCAATAGAAAAGCCATCTCTGTAAAATGGCAGAATTGCCAATCGCCAGGTGACAAGCCCTAATCCTCAAGTATCTCGCCTATTCATTCGCTCTTGAGCATCAGAGACGACAATAACCACTCCTGAGGGTTAGAGGAGAACAGAGATTCGGTCTTCTTTCCAGTCTCTCTCTCTTCGTTTGACGTAACATTCCGGTATTACTGCTGCTTACGACGAAGAGACATGACCTGATACGCCTAGTTAACTATTATCCTTCTTTCCATGCATTCTTTAGCCGTGCTCTGCGTATTTAAAGTATTAATGTAAATCATGGGTGGCCGGTTACAGCAAATGACTGCAGTCATCCGGCCAGAGAGACGTGACTCAGTCGCTTCCAGCTTGATTTGCATCCCGGTCGCCGATTCACGCCTCGACGTGCTCTGCTATATTAGGAGGAGTAACACACGGCTGATTACTGTAAGCCTCTTTTTAATCCTCATTTCTTCACAATTATTCACTTCTCTGCTCCTCAAGTCGTCAGATTAATCGGTGACGCTCACCACAAGTCCCGGGTAAGTGCAGGTGACATGACCTGCGGGGGAGCTTCTATTACTGGACTCTTCTTTCTCTTCCTCTTCCTCTGACTCTTTACTCTTCCTCACTCTTCCCTAAAAAGGCGCTGCAAATGGCAGTCCTGGCTGAAGAAGCGTACTTTCTCTGATTTTCTGTTTGGATATTTCTTTTGTTTACTTGCCTTGTGTATTCTGCGGCACCGTTTTGGTTGACTTTGCAGATGCTGATTGCCGTCGTCTAATCTCAGCTTCGCTCTCTCATCATCGCCACACCACGGAGCTCTTCAGAATACTTACGTCAAACGCATCTTTTCAGGCGGAATCCAGTGAGTAGCAGCCCGAAACAAGTTCGAAACATTTGAAAGCCTTGCCTTGCCTCGACATCAGGGATATAAAACATGGCAAAGCATCTCAGCATTTACTTCGAGGCGATCGAGCTGACTGACTCTCTCCCAAGGAATAGAATCACATTGTTTTTATCCTCTCGAAACACCACTCACTGGGCTCACAATTTCGCCAGCAGGGCTTATCCGAACCGAGACGCAACGTCTGCCGATAACTTGTCGCCATGGGTGGCTCAGCCTTTGCTCAGGGACAGAACCCTTTGTCTACACCCCGGATGCCAAAGGAGGTTTACGAGGCAACAAAGAGCCGGTGCGAAAAGATCCTCCTCGGTCTCTATTCCTGCGTAGAGTCTCCCGTGGAAGGCCCAGCCAAGAAAGACTACGGAGACATTGATTTCCTCGTTGCATCGCCAAAGTCGGACGCTGCCAAGGGCTCGCTCGCAATCCCTACCATCGCTCAAGCTCTTGGAGCTGAACGCAAGATCGTCGCGGGAGGCGCCGAACCAGCCGCCAATCTAGCTATTCCGTGGCCTGAAGATGAAAGTGACGACGACGGCAAGGAAAAGACCAAGACAGACAAGGAAGACAAGGAAGAGCCCGCCAGAAAGTATATCCAAGTAGACGTCCGAGTGTGCGAGTCAGAGGAGAAGCTGCGCTGGATGCTCTTCAAACACGGCCATGGGGACTTTTGGAACGTGATGGGATCCATCATCAGACCCTATGGCTTGACAGTCGATGAGACCGCCATGTGGCTCAGAGTTCCCGAGATTGAGGAGCACAACAGGAAGCGCGCCAGGATCTTTCTCTCGTCCGATCCGGCCAAGGTCATGGACTTTCTCGACATGCGCATGGAGGGATACTGGGACAAGGCCTTTTCTAGCATGGAAGAGCTCTATGACTATATTGCTACCTGTCGGCTGATGTACGTTGACCCGACTCCGACAGAGCCCGAAGAGTCGAAACTCAAGGCCAACGACCGCCGGCGCATGAACTATCGGCCCGTGTTCAGAAAATGGATTGACGAGTTTATCCCAGAGTGCCGTCGACTTGGCAAGTTTTCTGAGAAAAGGTTCACCAGAGAGCAGATCACCGAAGAGGCCTTTGCCGCGTTCGGCGTGGAGGAGGAGTTCAACACTCGACGCGACAAGTTTCTCGCCGAGAAGCAGAAAGAGTACATTTGGAGCACGTCCATCAAGGGGGGTGTTCCCGAGCCCAAATCGAGGGACCGCTTCGACATTCTCTACAGATCGTGCCTTGTAAAAGCCCTCAAGAAGATTATCCTTGAAGACGATACGAGCTACGGTATTGTCCCAGTGAAGAACCTCAAAAAGGCCGACGGCATGTATGATTTGGAGCGTGTCGAGGACTTTATCTCAAAGAATCAAGAGTCCGTGGGAAAGGCAGCCATTGCCCAGCATTATGGCGCTTACGACGAACACATGCGCAGAAAGGAGTGCCAGAAGGAGTGCGAGGAAGGGCAGCCACCGCGCAAAAAGGTATGCTCAGTCTGAGCTGGTGTCGGGGGGTGGGTTTGCAAGGTCTACACTATTCCAGAGCATTGGTTACTTGGAGAACCGTTTCTGAGTAGTAAGTTGACCGGGCTTGACCCCTTTCCTGATGGCCATGTACCGGTTTTCAGATGTTTCGATGGCTCACTCCTTTTACTAGTCATTACAAGGGGAAGAAGATTCTGGGATTGAGAGAGAGATTTGTTCCCTATGAGAAACTGTCTGGAGTATGGAGTTGTTTCATGTCTAGCGGCTTTGGTGCTTTACTTGGGAGGAACAAAGGTAAGGGGTACATGAATCTACCACGTTACGACACGTTGCTAATGATGCCAGTTTGCAGGGTATCGACAATGGGAGTTTTACTAGGAATCATGAATTATGAGACAATACGGCCGAGCAATAGCTTTCAAGCAACATGATAATCCTTCTAAAGAACGTTCCTTGTCCAAGATTGTTTTTCAAAGATCAACTATCTCATTATTGTTATCAAATTCAGACGTGGTTGAAGATACTGATATGGCACTTATGCTAATAACCAAAACTCATAAGGTGCAGTACGACAATAGACAGCTTTCCCGAGACGAATTCAAGCGACCATCCTCGAGTCGATATCTAGAGAATCAGCTTACGGAGCCGAGAGAGCGCCTTCGCTATTGCATACAAATGAGAAGAGACTTTAGTGGCGAATGGACATGAGGTATGAAGGAAGGATACATCGTTATCTCATTCAAGAGAAAGAGTGGGAGACTGAGAAAAGAAAAAGATGGGACCAAAAAGAAAGAGATGGGTAGGGACAGAAAAGAGACGGGGGGAATAGAACAGGCTCATAAACAATAACCATAGAGTGGAACCATGCCCCTGATAATGGGAGAATAACACCCAGTATATTGTTGCAAGACCACTATGGATGCGTGCATTCAAGAGGTGTAATAACAGAGCCAAAGCAGAGTAGATGCCCATGGTAGCCATCATGTACGCTTGAGGAACGCAATGCCACGACGGCCATGCCCTTGACAATGATGAACCCAGTACTTCAGCCGCGAGAACACATCCAATGTCTGCCATGTCACGGCTATTTCTGAGCAGCAACACCCGCGGTAATACCAACCTCTCACACAGTTGACGATATCAGTCTGCGTTTTAAAGTGACATTGCCCTGACAGCTGGCTTCCAGACTCCAAAGCCCCTACAAACCCTCACAGCACCAGGGTTTACTCTGAAACTGATGGAATCTATAGTTTGCTTCGCAAATGAGGATGAAGCCGCAGAAGCCTGCCCCACCTGATAGCATGAATTGTCACTCTTCGACGCGTTCTGTCTGATATATCAGCTACATTATCACGATATAAGATATATCGTCCGCAGAGAGGTGATAAAGTGAGACAGAGATATACCATAGCAGAAAAGACATCAAATCCAAGTGGCAGTCTGATACTTGACGTCCTCTCCGGTTCATATAATCATAATACCCTTGGAAACCATACTCTTGTCGAGGAGCGTCGAAAAGATGACCGTGGTCGTCCTCGTCAGACTTGCACTCGCAGACGCGCCATGTCGACACTCGACTTGTCCTCAACAACGTGCTCAAAAAGGGGGTCCACCAGCCCGTCAGCTGCTCATACAATAACAAGAAGCTTTGGCCAAACACCCGCATCTTTTCCCTCTTTTCTCCTTTTCTTCTCCTCAACGAACCAGCGCCAAAATGCCTTCCCAGAGGCATTCGAAGACCGAGCCCGCCGCCGCCGCCGCCGCAGCAGCAGCAGCAACAGCCCGCCCCCTGCCTCCCGCCCCCGAGGCAGGAGAAGAAGTCCCTGCTGGAGAGGCTCTCTCCTCCTCCTCCAGCGATGAAGGCATCGTCAGCCCGCGTGATGATGCCGAGATGGAGGAGGAAGAAGGAGAAGAGGCATCTCCCGCGGTGGCTTCTCCCCCTGGTGGCGATGGCGGTCCCCCAGCCGTCGTCGCCATGCCCGAGACGCCGCTCTTGGGCCCCCGGGATGGCGAGGAGGAGCCCGCAGGGGGCTCGCCGCCGAGGATCGCGCTCCCCGAGAGTGCTTTCCGCCGCCTCCCGCCGCCTCCCTCGTAAGTTGTTGATATCGTTGCAAGGACTCCAGCCCCAGCCTCCAGCCGTCACGCAACAAAAGGTATCGATTTCGGTTCGAGAGATTCTGACTATATACAAACAGCGCCATGCCTCCTCCCCCAGGCTTTGAGGAGCCTTCTTCTTCTTCTCTCCCCTCTGACCCCACAGAGGCGACGTCGTTCTCGGCGGGAGAGCATCCCAACCCCCCGGGGTGCTCTCCCGTTGAGCCTTTTCCCCCTCTGCCTGCGGAGGACTTTGCGGCGCCTTATCCCGAGGCGCACAGCTACCCTCCCCCCCCGGAGGATGCTGGTGCCTCGGGATCTGGCTACCGGGAGAACGACTGGGACCTCCCGGGTGTTGTAAGGCTTCCCCCGTCTTTGATTATATAGCTTGCTAATGGCTGGTTATAGGAGACCGCTCCCTCTGGGTACAACGACCGGCCAGTCACTGGCGACTGGATGTCTGGGTAAGTTATACATAGCCTATACGTGTTTGAAAAATTCCACGGTATAGAGATTTTACTGACGTTTCGGGACAGAGAATTCGTCCCGGTGAATGTTGGCGGCAAGTCCTTTTGCGTTCCAATGCGCCTACTCTCCAAGTACCCCTTCTGGAACGCCCTGTTGTACCTGGAGCAACCCCCCCAAGGCTGGTCGATGCCCGGCGTCGATCCCGAGATCTTCGTCGTCCTCATGGAGTGCGTGTACTCGACATCAGGCCTCCACGGCACCGAGAACGGCCTGAACCTCGTCAAGCTCTGCTACGCCTACCTGCTCGCTGGCAGATGGAGCATGGCCCACGATCGGAGGAAGCTTCGCGACACGGCCTACCGCTACGTCGTCCGCAGAATCTTCTTCTTCAACCCGCACGTCGCCGAGGACCAGCGGTACCTCCACCGCGGCCACTTCAGATACCGGTCCGAAGAGCTGTACCGCACCTGGGAGCTCGTGCGCCAGCATCCCGCCCTCGAGAGGATCCTGAGCCAAGGAGACCTGGTGTCGCTGTACGCCGTGACCATCCCCCACTCGCTCTGGCCGGATCTCGGCGCTCAGTTTGACTATTCGTTTCCGCAGCTTGTCGAGGCTTCGCTTGCGGCGAGGCTGAGCTCAGATCAGAATGCCTTTCAGAACTGGTTCCTCCGATTCTTTCGCCTGGCTGGGTACTCGGATTTCGGTTGGCTGTCGCGCGAGGCTGCCGATAGGTTCTTCGGACCTCTTCATCTGGATGATGATGGAAACCCTGTTCCACTCCAGTTTCGTGCAGAGTTTGCCGCTGCCCGAGCTCGCAATAATGCCTTGGTCAACGAATACGAGGTCCAGCAAGGTCAAGGACAGCCCTTCTTTCCAGATACTCCCGCCTATGCCGAAGGAGATGTTGAGGCCGAAGACGTTGACGTTGAAGGAGAGCCCTTCACTGACGATGATTTTGACGCCGAGGGAAGCCCAATCCCCGAAGATAATCTCGATGCCGAAGCAGAATCTGTTGCCGAAGAAGATGTTGATGCAGAAGGCGAGCCCATCATCGAAGACGACGTCCTTCCCGGCCCCAGCATCCTTTCCACCCCCACCAGGCGTTCTGATGCCGGAAGACGACCTCGAGTCCACCATGAAAACCGCGTGCGATTCGCCGAGGAGCCGGAAGTCTGTGTGTTTGAACCCTATCAAGGGCCCAGTTTCGTTGCGCCGACACCTGCTCCGTCTGGATTTGAGGATACGGACGCCATGGACTGTGATCCTTTTATGGACTAGCAAGTTGCACTCTCCTGAAAGGCTTGTCTCCGACCCTGGCCGACTCTCACCACATAGCTTTTGCCTTTCCGATCACGCTTTTCTTTCACCTCCGATAGCTCTCTGGATTGGCCATTCGTTCCTCGGTTCCTACATTCCGTCTTCTCTCGCCTTTTCACCTCGACCATTGTCCTCTTTTCGTCAACGACGAGGAACGCTTTTCTAAGAGAGACCAGCTTTGTCTCCTCCGTTCGTCTGCACAAGCCACACTGTACTCAGCATACCCAACGTTGGATCTTCTAATTTCACCTTTTCGATCTGTCCTTTACGCATGAGAATTGCATTGTTAGGCCCCGAAAAAGGAGCATTATGAGGATTATGGGGGATCGGTTTTGACATACTCGCGACTGGCCTACACCACTTATTCGACCTTTGGTTTGAAAATTCCCGCACCAAGTCAACCTAGTTTGTCAGAAGGAGAAGAAGAGTTCCTGAGAAGGCAGTGTCGGATTGGGGGAAATCCGGATATTTGCACTTGACATACTCTGGACCTGCCCACTTCACCTCTCCTCGACCCTCACTTTGTCCTTCCAGGGTTAGTTTCGACGACTCCGCCGATTTTTGCAGTTGAGTCCCTGCAAAGGCAGTATCATGGTTTGGGGGATCTCGAAATCGGCACTTGACATACTCACGACTCGATCAGCTATCCAATCTTGACTTCCGAAAGTCATCCCTTCTTTCAACTCCCATGGCGGCATCAGCTGAGCCCCTGAGAAGGCATATATATATCTTGAATCATATGCGCTTAACATACTCTTACATTCATCTGTTCTCTCTTCGACTCTAATTTCCACATTCACCTATTCCATCTTCGACTACCTATGACATCCGAGTCCCTGAAAAGGGCAAAAATCACGGTTGGGGGAATCTTGATATTTGCATCTTTAAAAAATACTCACCACTTGCCTAACCGCTCAGTTCTCAGTCTCCGATGTTTCCGCTACTTACCTGTACCAAGGAGAGCAGAATAAGACTTCCCGAAAAGGCATGAACAGATTGGGGGATCTGGATACATGTTCTTGAAACATACTCTCAGTTCACTTTCTTCAGCTTCAGTCTCTTGCATTTTGTCGTCCAGTCTCTCGGCATACAGCCGAACCTTGAGGAAAAAGGCACATTAGAATAGGCATCTTAGAATTGGTGGATACGCAAAGGCGGATAGCAACCGGGACTTGTTTTCTGTGTAGGCCCCTGCTTCAGCCTTTTCTCTCGTCTTCTTCAGCTCGATAGCATCATCACGTCCAGCAACCAGTGTATACCAAGCTTTTTAGAAATGCCATGCTAGTTTTTCACCTTGCATACAAAAGGAAAAAGTGCAATCTATACAAACACTACCCCCCTCCGTCAAAACCTCACGCATTCAAATACCACAGCCCATCCCCCAAGTAATGCGCATCCTCCACCACCGGCCCCTTGCCCTTCTCCTTGACCTCCTTGGTGCCCATGACCAGCGTGCCGACCGCGCAAGCCTCCTCCTTGCCCTCGGCCATAATCACCACCGGCTCGCCCTTGTCCAGCTCGCGACTCCACCGCCCGTCCTCGACGATGCCCTGCTCCATCTCCTTGCCCTCCTCGAGCGGCTTCCCGCCGTCCACGGGCAGCCTCCCTCCCTTGGACGTCAGCCCGGGCGCCATGAGCGTCGCCCCCGAGAGCACGAAGCGGATGGCCCCGCGGTCGATGCGGATGCTGGGGAAGGCCTGCGGGAAGCGGTGCACGAGCCTGAGGTGCGGGAGGAGGTCGGCGCCGTCCTGCTGGTAGAAGAGCGGCACCCCGTCGAGCACGTAGAGGGTGTTGCGGTCGGGCAGCTTCATGCTCTCGAGGGAGCCCTTCTTGGGGAGGATCTCGTCGATGTAGGGCGTCAGGAGGGGGTACGTCGCGAGGAGGGCGTTGCGGAGGGAGCGCTGGACGGAGGATTTGAGCTTTTGCTTGGGCGCGGTGGGGAGGCTTTTGGGAAGAGCATTGTTAGCAGGTATGTTCCCTGAGGTCTGTAGGCAAGAGATTCGTAGACGATGTTTGGGATTTGTCTTGGGAGACGCCGTGCTTTGTGCTTCAGAAGGGGAGTGGTGATTTGCGTACTCTTTTTTGAACATTTTGGCGGGTGACTGGACGACGTGAGGGATTGGGATGGAAGATCGAGTGTATATCTTGTCGGATTGGAGCTGTACAGAGGCTGAGGTTGAGGCTGGAGAAATGGCTGCGTTTCCTTTGCTGGGAGTTGAATGTTGACGGGTTTGTTGATTCGCAGCTTGTTCGCGAGTTGTTGTTGCAGTTGAGTTCAGGTTAATCGCAGCAGCCCCGCCATGGATAAGATAGAGGGAGGGAGGGAAAATGGCGGGGCAGAATCGCTTCAACATGCAATCAGGCGGGGAGCATCAACAGATTCAAGCAACAGATGAGCCATTACAAGACAGAGGAAACATTCATACAATCGTCATTTGATAGAAACATTAATCGGCGTAACGAATCTGTTCATACATAAGGTAGTCATTCGTTTGCCATCGTATCCCAGCATACAAGGCACCCCGCAGACGTTATCCCCCCCTCAGCATCCATCATTCAACCATGCTGCACATGCGACACGGTGCCATCCTCCTTCAAGTGAATGTTCAGTCTCTCCGGCCGAAAGTCCTTGGTCACAATCGAGCCGGGCTTGATGATGCGGTGCACCTCTGGCAGATCCCGCTTGCAGAAACACTGCTCCCTCCCACGCCACGGTTAGCATTTCCTTCCTTTACAGTATATGTATGATACAGATCCCTCGCTGCGAATGATGCAGGTAAAAAGAGTAGCACTGGAAGAGGGGGCATACCGTCTCGTTTGATTCGTTTTCAGAATACGTCTTGCCGACGAGCTTGTTGGCCCATTCCTGGGTCTTGTCGTCCGAGTTGGTCATGATGCCGGGCACGACGAGAGGCATGGCGACGATTTGATAGTCGAAGCTGTGTAAAAGGCAGCAAAAGATAGGTGTGATGAGTTGGCAGTTCCCAAGTCTCAAGAGAGCTCGGTTTGTCGTGATGATCAGTGGTTCTTGTCAAGAGCAGCCAAGTGCGACGCAACTGTGAGGTTAAATTCAAGGTTAAAAAAAAGGAAGACAAAATGACAAGAGGAAAGGGGACGGAAAAAAGAAGCTATATTAACACAAGGTAGGTATTCGTAGATGGCTCGATTCTGATAACAATGTTACGTCGCCAAGTGACGAACTTCCTTCCTCTTCCGGCACCAGCTGCTATTCCGTCCCTCAGTTCCAAGGCCTCGCGGACGATGACGTCGACTCGAGGACACGAACAAGTCGCACGAGTACGTAATGCGCCTTCTGCTTACCTTAGCAAGTCCACGGAACCCCTTTCGCCACCGTTTAAATGAATGGAAGCAAAAGGGATGAGTTGAGCCAACTCGGTACTGCTTGGCCTGGCCTGTTCATGTCGCTTCAGCGTTTGCCGGCATTTTGCATGCATTCAATCCATGTCCTCTGGCTTTGCCATCATTCGCCGGGGCGAGCCACTCACGGCGCGCTGGGTCCCGCTGAGATGCTGCAGCTCTGCCCGTTCGCACCCGGTTGGGCTCTCGTACAGATTCGGCAATGCTGATTATTCAACGCCTGAGCTCAGCTCGAGATAGCACGGTTATTCAATCGAAAGCAAGGTGCTGATAACTGTTCCATCTTCTCAAGGTACCATCCCGCTTCAAGCGCGTCAACAGCTGGGCAATCCCGAGGTGAATCATGTTGGTGGGACGAGACCACACAACACTCGGGATTTAGCAGCCTCCAGTAGCACCACGTCTGTCTTGCCCGCCTGTGCAAGTTGCAACAACTGGACAAGGATGATGCGCATTAGTGAAGTTTTGGGAGTGAAAAAGGGTCCGGTGGTTTATTATTAGCGAGCCACAGGTAGCGCTGATTCAGAGCCTGCTGATGGAGTCAGGAGGATGGGCCTTGATCGATGCGGAAACCCGATGCTGTCCTGTGAGAGGTATAAGCAAGATCGAAATCAAATGAAGCGAACAGCACCGGGAGAGCGAAAGGAAGAGACAGAGTAGAGAAAAAAAGAAGACCGGAAACGAGTTTGTGAAAAGACAGATGGAAAAGAGAAATGGCAAATCCCGTTGATCGTCCAAGCCTCCTCCTGCATGAGTGATTTGCCGTCCAGATTTCTCATCTGCCCCGAGATGCCTGCCATGTCGCCAAAAATAGAGCAATCGTAGATTCACCTCCAGCTCCGGCCAAAGCTAGTTCTCATCCGTTCGACAGTTGGACGGAATGCAGCAGTAGACCAGGACCAGAATCAGCTGGCCATCGACGCATCACCCGTTCGTCTCGCCCTCAGCACCTCACAAGATCTGTACGTAATTGCGGCTGTGATCCCGAAGCAAATGCACAGCCATCATGGCGCCGCCGTCGAGCACGCAGTAAGCGTCCCCTCAGGCACTCGCCGTCCCCTAAAAGGCTCCGGCACCAGGACTGGCACGCAAAACAGCGGCCAATCAAGCCAAATCTGCCACCCCTGTCCCTTTGTTTGGAGCATCCAAAACCCAAGCCCCAGTCAGACCCAAGGCTGACTGTAGACCCCTAACTAAAAGGAGACAAGTGCCGCTCCCCGTCAAACCAGTTCCCTCGACTCCTTTTTCATGTTAGCAAAACCGCTGCCTCTTTTATTTGCTGCACTCACCACCTCCTTCATCTGTCCAACTCCCCCCATCTCCCCCGTCTCCGCCAGCTTGCCCTTTCATCCCTTCGTTGGATAACCCTCACTCCCCAGGGCCTCTGGTAACCGCCGCTTCGAGATCCACCGAATTCAGCTGCCGGCTCACCAAACGAACCTCGTCGACGACAACATCGCCCCCCTCTTTCATAGCAGCCCACCATGAAGTTCTCCTGCACCGCTGCCCTCGCCCTCAGCGGCGGCGCGCTCGCCCTGCAAGCCGGATGCTTCTCCCAGCACAGCCAGCAGCTCGCTGAGTACTCTGACTGCGGCCAGCACGTCTCGCTCGAGTACTGCCTGTCGACGCTGACCTACGACGACACCGCCAGCGACCTCGAGGCCTGCTACACCAACGCCGGCTGCTCCCTGGCCGAGGCCGCCGCCGAGGCAAAGTACGCGCAGAAGCGGTGCGACGAGCTCGCCGACATGGGCGATCTCAAGAAGCGCTACCGCGGCGTCCTCGGCAGCCCCGTCAAGACGCTCGCCGCCCGCAACGCCCACAACGCCGCGCCCCTGCCCACCCACTGGGTCCGCGACAGCAGCAACCTCCAGTGCAAGGTCACCTCCACCGTCAAGACGTCGTCGTGCGACATCTCCACCAACAGGGGCGTCCTCAAGACGATATCCTGCATCCCCACCGAGGTGGCCAAGGCCGACTGCGCCCCGGGCCTCATGTGCTCCATGGACTCCCTCGGCGAGACCGTCTGCATGAAGAAGAAGAACAGCCTCGACATTGGCGGCATCATCATCGCCATCATCTTTGGCGTCTCCATCGTCGTCGCCATCACCTTCCTGACCTTTGCCTGCTGCCGCGAGAGCCGCCACCAGAAGCAGCTCGAGGCCCGCGCCGAGGCCACCGCCCTCGCCCGCGCCCAGACGAAGAAGGCCCGCGCCGCCGAGACCCGCGCTCCCCTCATGCGCCAGGAGGGTCCCGACCCCTTTGCCGACCGAAACCAGTCTTAGAGAGCGAGGTTCGGTCGTGGCCGTGGCCGTGACCCGGCACCGAGCAGGCTTGAGGTGGTTAGGGAACACGAGACCGGCCACGAGGGCGGTGACGGTGACGGTGACGCAGGACACTAAAAGGGGGGGGAGAAAGAGGAGATATCAGTATACACACTTTCTTTCTCTCTCTTTTTGATGTCTTGCTTTGTGCTTTTTTTCAGGGCTTTCGGCGCATCATGAATGCTCTTCGAGCCGTTGGGTAACAGGGACAGAACAAACATGAAAGAACCGGTGTTGGCATTATCTCATTTCCATATAGCACACACATAAAAACAAGAAGTTGAGCGTGCAAGCAACTTTTTGCCGCTGCTTCTTCTTCATTTTCTCCGCCGGGGCAAGATAAGCAGACACGCAGCGTTTTTTGAACAAAAGGGAGATTTCCAGCTTAGAGACTGAGGCGAGCCTCAGTAGGGACATGGAGGCGGAGGGGAACTTGATGTTATCAGCATTGATCTAGATAGGGCACTTGAATTGTTTTCTCGGACAAGCCCAGGTGATGGGATATCGTGATTGATGATGCCTATTGAAGCAGAACTGTGTCTGTGTTCACGTGTTTTGATTGACTGCCTGAGGTATGACTTGTATCCGAGGGAAGGAACCAGTACTCGTCACAGTTTCACCGTGCCTGCCAAGCGGAGGTTGCTTTCCGACATCAAGCAAGGGACGGTTGTCGAACAACACCACTGCAGTTAAGGTACTTGATCGAATGGTGTGCCATAGCAGACACTCCAGGTACTCTACTGTTACCACACGTACCTACAACACCATCAAACACATCAACACCTTAAAGTCGCCCCTGAATCAGTAGAGATTGAAAGAAATCTACATCACTCGAGCATTCCATCTTACGCTTGACTTGACAAACAATGGCTTGATAACGTATAATTGAATACACTATTCGGGGGGTATTCATGCGACGCGCTTTCGCACCTAATGGCTACTCTCGTGTCTTCCCTCCCAATAATCCACACGTCTAATTCACACAAGAACACGCGCATGCGCAATGCTGTTTGATACTTCCTCAAGTAGTCAGTCCACCTCACAGCCTGTCCTCGGACGGCGTTGCTGTTCTCCCTCACATCTCTCCTAATCTCTCAAATGCTACCCATCAGGGGCCTAGAGACCTTCTGGCGCTCTTCCGAGGATTATAAAAGCCCACCCAAGTGTCTAGCTTGCCGGATTCATCGCCATCATCGTCGTGGAAAGGGCTGTATGTGATGTTTTCGCTGATCCCTTTCCTATGCCCCCTCTTCATAGCACTCTGCCATGGCGTCATGCCGTCCTGCTCGACGATCGCATTTGCCAACGCATCAAATGCAAAACTCCTTGCCGAGTCTACCATGTCCTGAGGCCTCGGTTCGGGCCGGTTGGCATAGGACGACTCCATCGTGCCGGGATGCGGTGTAACTCCGAGACGCTCAAGTAGATTTTTACGCGTGGAAGGGCTCTCTTCGGTCCTCGTGCGCTGCGTCTTACCGGGACTTGCCTAAATCCCGCGCAGAGAAGCGTGGCCTACCAGAGGGCTGCCAATCTCGCCGGGGGCTCCAACGGCACGAAAGTGAGGATTCAGCCCCTCGTCCGTGTCGGGGACCCAGCGTATTTTCCTCAGCCCAGAAATGTCTTGCTTCACATCAAAGGACCCTCCACCGTTGGACAGACTGCCCACCGTGTCGCAGAGGTTGAGTAGATCCTGCTCCGTTATGCTGGGGTCGCCGGATATCATATCGACATGCGCCTTGATGCTTGCAAGCTCAACATACCCCTCCTTGTCGCCAGAGCCTGTGTTGGCCAGGTCTTTGCACGCCTGGGACAGCAGCACGCGCACTGCAACATGACGAGGCTGGGCATGCGATCGGATGGATCCCAGTCCGCTCGGGGAGCCGACGTGGAATCCCGGCGGACCGCTCGGGGGACCCCAGGCTGGATTTCCAAACGTCGGCAGAGCAGCAAATGGCTGGGAGGCCGTCGTAGGAGCAAAGGGCTGTGGAGGACTGTTGATGGGGCCCCAGGGGTTGTGGCCCATGGGAAATCCCGAGTCGATAAAAGGGCCCGCGGCGAAGCTGGCTCGTGGTCCCGGAGGCTGATGACGCAGGCCGCCAGCGCTGGCATCGGTACCCAGAGGCTCATCATCTTCGACGAGGACACGGCTTCCAAGGTGTTGCGTATCCTCATCCCTATCGCGCGAAAATCCTTGGCTGACGCTACCGGGTCGGCCTATCGGCGCTGGCCGTCCCATCAGCTGTCCGGGAGTACCGGGTGAGCTTTCAAAGCCTAGGGAGCCTTGGCGCCCGTGGGTCAGAACAGGCCCGTCTCTGGCAGGGATAGGAAAGCCTTGGCCCATGGGGAAGTCGCCCGCTGGCTGTGAGAATCCAGGGGGAGGCATCGTGACGGGTGGAAAGCCGCGAACCGTCGAGTTGCTGATGCCGGGTGGCGGAATCATCATATTGTGTGCCGGACTTGGCCTAAACCCTACAGGGAATATGGGATCGTGACTCGATCGGCTGGGGAATCCTGGCGGAGGCGGAGGCGCATGTGGACTTAGACCCGGCGGAGGTTGCATGCCCATCATGGGCATCTGGAAGGGGGCAGACGGGCTGGGACCCTTGGGCAGCGGCAGCCCAGGCGGCGTGCCGGACATGGCCGTTGGCTGCATCGTGACCGGAGTGCTTCCGCTGATTCTCCTTTCCGGCCCAGTGGAACTAGGACTGGTATATACCGGCGTGACAGAATGTGGCGAAGCGCTCTGGCTAGGAACAGACGCCGTCTGAGAATCGGACGAGCTCGCGGGACCAGTTGCGTGTTGCTGGGATGTCGTCCTCGGCCGTATGGGGGTTGGTGCCTTGGGGAGTGCGGGAGTGGCCACGGGGATTTTTGGTGAGGCAAAGGTCGCTGGGTTAGGGGGATGTTGAGGCAAGACGGCGGCGGGCAGCGAAGCGGGAGGGTGCTGTTGCGGCGCCGGCGCCGGCGGTTGCTGCTGTTGCGGTTGATTTCCACGCTTGGCCGGCTGTGTCTGGGTTGCGGGAATGGAGGATACCTTGGGGGCGGCCTTTTCCTCCTTGGCTCGTTGCTGCTGGAGTAGGAGTTCTTTCGCAGCCTCGGCGGCTTCTTGGGCCTCCTTGGCTTCTTTGGCCTCCTTGGCCTCCTTGGCCTCCTTCTGGGCTTTCGCGGCCCGGGCTTCCTTTTCTCGCTTGTCGCGCTCCTGTTTCTCTTTTCGCTCCTGAGCTTCGCGCTCCTTCTGCTCGCGGGCCTCCCGTTCCTTTATGCGCTGTTCGTCCTTGAGCTTCTTTTCGCGCTCCTTGGCTTCGCGCACTTTCCGCTCCAGCTCGGCCTGCTTCTCCTTCTGCTCGTGGATTCGGCGTTGCCGTTCGGCCTCCTTCTTGAGGCGGGCGTCCTCCTCGGCCTTCTTCTGAGCTTCCTTCTGCTTGCGCTTCTCCTCGGCCTTCTGCTTCTGCTCAGCAATCTTCTTCTTCTCGGCTTCGATTCGGGCGGCTTCTTCGGCAAGCTTTTCGGCCTCTTTGCGAGCCTTCTCCTCGGCGAGGGCCTGCTTTCGCTGAGCCGCCTTGTCCTTCTTCTTCTGGGCGTTCTTGGCCTTTTTGGCCTTTTGCTCATTGACCGCGCGACTCTCCTCCTCGAGCTCCTCTAGCAGCTTTTCCTGCCGTTCCTTGGCCACTTTCTCTTTGTAGGCGGATAGTACTCGTTGTTCGAACATGCGGGCGGCGAAAATCTGGAACATGCGACGGCCTTCTTCCATTCGCTGCTCTTCCGTCATCGGGTCCTGGCAACAGCACTCAGTATGGAACTTGGAAGACGGCATCACAGAGGGAGGGTGGCAGTATACCTCTTCGTCCTCATACTCCTCGTCCTGACTGTCGTCGTAGTCCTCCTCCTCCTCCTCCTCTTCGTCCTCGTACTCTTCGTCTTCGGGAGGAGGGTGGTTGTGAGGAGCGGAGTATGAGCCGTTGGGATGACCGTAGCCGCGAGCAAAGTGCTCTCGAGCGTCCTCTTCTCGGGCCATGCGACGTTCCGCGAGCTGCTCCATCATCTCGATGAAGCGCCGGCCGTCGTTTTTGAGTAGGTCATCCGCCACGGTGAGAATGCCGCCTAAATCCATGTTACCATATCTGTGCATAAGTGAATCAAGAAGTTGCGTACCCTTGACTTGGAGGCTGTTACCAAACGTCAAGAAATCAGCTACGTCTCGGTCGGGAGAGCCGTGAAATTCCTCGGGAGGTTCGTCGTCGCTATACTCGTCGTCCTCGGCCTCGTCTTCACTGTAGGCTTCCTCGAGCTCTTCGTCGTCGTCGCCGACGTGTTCCACTATTCGACCGCGGGCCGGGGGCGGTCGCGGATAGGCCCCCGGCAGGGTCCGCGACGGGCGCATCGAGAAGTCTCGCGGAGGAGGAGGCAGCATGGGCGGGCCCTCTCCTTGGTTGGCGAACTGCTCAAGCTCGAGATAGTATGCATCATACAGACCTTCCAGCTCCTCCTCGATGGCGGTACGCTTCCTTCCGCAGACAGTACAGCTACACGTGTGCTTCTGCTGTTCCTTCATCTTCTTCAGTACGGCGTCCTTTTCCACCTTGACCAGGGATTTCCGGTCCTCCTCGCCCAGGCCTAGCCAGAACTCCTTGATACGCTCGCGCTCTTCGTGATTGCTGGTACTCCATATTTTATCCCTAGACATTCCGGAGCCTCGCGTCGTCGCCGGAGCCGCTGGCGCGGAGCCGTCCCCGGGGTAGTGATGATGGTGATGGTGGTGGTAGTTATTACGATGCTGATCCGACTCGGCCTGTCCGGCGTGGCCTCCCACGTCAGTCTGCTTCTTCTTTTTCTTGTTCTTCTTATTAGCTTTGGGGTCTATCGCGTGGCCGTTAGCCGTCGCCGTGGGCTCGACGTCGTCAGCCAGAACATATTCGACATCATCCTCATCGCTTGCGACAGGCTCATAGTACGCAGACGTCTGCTTGTCGGAACTGAGAGCGGGGCTCGGGTGGCCATTGGCAGCCTGCGCGGCAGCCTTTGCAGCAGCCTTTTGCCGTCGCTTCTGCTTCTTGCGGTTCACAGCCGGTGCCGACGTGTCGAGGCCTGTCGAGTCCGAGGGCGGCGGGGCGCTGCTGGATTTGGCGACGGTGGGAGTCGAGGGCCGTGACGAGTCCTCTGACGGGGTGCCCTTGGGAACGGTGATGAACTTGGAGCCGTCCTTGTTCGTGTACTTGGCGGTGTTTCGAGGCGATGCCGGCGCGAGGGGGGCCGGTTTCTGATGATGGGCCGGCATCGTTTTGTGAAGTTTCTACGGAAGCAAGGCAGCTGCGAGCATCAAGGTCGGTCTCGGAGACTGGGGGCCCAGGGCGGCTCTAAACGACGCAGTGCTGCAGCAAGAAGAAGACGGAAGCAAAGTCAGCTGTCGAGACACCGGGCAGACGAGCAAGAGGCGAGGCGGACGGTTGATAGTTGCGGAGAACTAAAGCCCAGCAGGCGGGCTGGAGGGATCAAGGCAGGGCAGTGCAGGGAAGGGCAGGGCGGCGGTGGCAGATGGTGATGCCGGGTTTGTTCGTTGGTGGAGAGACGGCTTGGCGGCCAGTCAAAACGAGGCACTCACAATGGGCAAGGCAAGGCAAAGCCAATTCAGTCAGGGTTAGGTCAGCAATGACGCCAGTGGGGGTTTTTCGAGGGTCCGGAGGCAGAGGCTGGAGAGAGACGAGATGCGACGAGGGGCGGCGCGTCCAGCAGAGGCAGAGCAGGGCAGGGCAGCTCGCGTCGGGTGCGGTTGCGGTGCGTGGGGATGGCGGTGGTGCTGGCGATGCTCAGCCGTCGAGGTCGATGTCAAAGTCCCCGGGCGGGTGTAGTTACATGGCGGCATGTACTTGTGTTATGCAAGAATGCTGGCCGTCCCTGTTGAGGCTGGCCAGAACCGGGGCTGAGCGCCGGCAGCCAGATTTCGCGAAAGGCCCAGGTGTGAGCGGGCACGTGATGCCCTTGTTCCGTCCAGCCCAGGCCAGATCCGAGCCGAAATCTGGCTTGGCTTGGCTTCGGCTGCGCTCTTTGTGCCTGAGGCGCGCTGGTACTATTGGCGGGAGTACAAGAACAAATGGACCAATTTACAAGTACTGGTACACTCTTCGAATACAAAGCAACTTCAAGTTTGAAAACGGACTTCTTTCTTCAGGTGCAGTGCTTTCATCAGGGTGCAGACTGGAAGGACACAAACAAGGCAACAGGGCAGGCAGCACAGGGCATCCAGCAACAGGGCAGGGCGGCTTTCCAAGGCGGCAGACGGCGTGGACCTTTGTGGCCTTGCCGAGTACAAAGAGCAGCGGCATGGGTACGCCGTGCTTTGCATCGTGCGCAGCTCAGCCTGTGTCACTGGAATGTGTCTGCCTGTACCCCGTAATTTGCCTGTGGTACCGCCTCTCGCTGCCCTGATCTCGGTGTATGAGTACAGGTACAGATACTTGAGCTGTTACGGGAGAGCGACCTTGATGGACAGCACAGACAGGCACTGCAGCTGCTCGTAATTGCTAGACTACCACTTCACCAATCCTTGCTTGTCCTCTCTGCCCTCTCGAGTTCCCAAAGCATCCTTCACTCCTTGCTGCAGATGCAGTTCTTGTTTAGCTATGTTGTTTGATTAGAGGCACGATTCACGACAAATCCGGACTTCCTATCTTTGGTATCAGCTGGTGGTGCTATTGTATTCTCCCTGCGCTCAACAGAATCCCAGTCGCCCCTCACCTTAATCTCCCACGCAAGGACGACTCAGGACATCTGGTGTCTTCCTGCTTTGATCAGCAATTGCCTTGCTAGCGATGCAAGGAGGCGAATCAATGTCGGGCATCAAGACCGTGTTCACCTCGTCCACCGCGGCTGCGTTTGGTATGCCCTGATACAGCGGAAAGTATTGTTTCTGCTGCCGTCTTTGGTGCCACGGCGCCATCTGCACACCGAACGTACCGTAAGGTGCGTCGCTATTGCTCCTGCGAGGCTTTTTCCTGGAACAGGCACCGTACCATGATGCAGCAACTACAGCTCTTCCCAGCAACACGCACCGTGACTCCTCTATCCAAGTACTACTCACGTAAAACCCCTATGATATTTACTCGAGCCATCACCTGCGGTCTGCATTACTACCATCAGATGCTTCAACAGCCGTGATGCAGCTAAGGCACAATTATAATGGCGGGTTTTCGCATCAAGAAAGCCTTCTGCACCGAGCTCCAAACTACCTCTCTGGCCCAAAGCACCCACAAATGAAAGACTCCAATGCCTTCGATTGATATGGCCAATGGCTCGTCTTTGTCATTGTTTGCCTCCCAAGCTGATATGTATATGCATGCCTTAGCAGCTCACAGTCAGCAGGCTGTAAGTGAGTCGTGATGATGCCCTTTCAGCTTCTCTGTATGAACTACCAGTCTAGAACGGTCGACACTGATTTCGGTTTCTGCCTTGGGGCCCTCTGCCAGCTCGAAATGAGCTACTATCCATGCAACGTCAGAATCCTGCAGAGGGCTGAACCCCACCATTTCTGTCAACGCCGCCAGTCATAAACAGATGCAGTCTGTTCGGTAGGCAGTGACAGACCAAAATTGCGTGATGCAAGCCATGGATCAACAAGGCAAGTATCAACAAAAGGTTGCTCATGACGGACCTGGTCATCTGCAGAACACTTCGAGAAGTTTCACATGCACAGAACTCGCTTTGTCACGACTCCACTCAGGCACTCTGAGACGAGTGCTTGCTTGATGCTTTCATGTCATGTCAGCACGAAAGCGCACTTCACGTCCAGTTCATTGTCCCAAAGACTACCTTAGGTAGCCCAACCCCTTCGACTCGTCCTGCTTTCAGCCCCGAGTCGCTGCATGGGACAGCCCAAAAGCAGCAGAACCGCGTTTTGCAAAGCGCATCCCCAGGCGCGGGCCCAATCGTCTTGCAAGCCCGTGCTTGTTTGCTTTGCTAGCGCTGCTCTCTTATGCGTGATGGTGCACCATGGCTTTGCAGCCGCTCGCTCATTCGCCCGAGACTCAGCCTCGCTTGGAGGGCGGGACGATCGGGATGATTCCGCCGCCGAAGATCAGGATCAAGAAGGGGTCCGAGGAGAGGGACAAGAATGCAAAGAGAGAGCTCGGAGTGTCGAGCAGTGGACTAGCTTTCTGACGGTCGTATGTATGGCTACTGTGCAGTGCGATTTGCATGTGAAAGGGCAACCCGGCTCACAGAATCTCTGACTGGACTGTGGACTGTGGACATGAAGTGAAGATACCTCCGAAGCTCCGTAAGACGACGACCCCAACAATCGCAGGGCCAGGTACAGTACTTACTTACCTTGGTATTACACAACTCCGCAGCACACGAGCAGGCAGAGGTACAGCCCCGATTCCTGCCGTCCGCATCAAGACATCATGTCCAGCTCAGCCGCCCGCTGGTTGGCTCGCCCGCGGCTTTGGCATGTTTTTTTATGTAAGCCGTCAGTTGTCTCTCCTCTCTTCCACGCACGTCTCTCGTAAACTCCGTCAGCCAGACCCAAGCCTCACCCGGCTCGATCCACCATCGCGCTGGTGAAACGTTGCCGGCTGCGGTGGCTAATGCTGTACTTGTACTGTAATCACGGCCATCGTCTAACCAACAGACCTGCTTGTTTAGCGCTGCCAGCAGCGGACGAGAGCCCTTTTCTCTCTCCCCCCTAAACCCTGTTGATCCCTCGTCCGTTTTTTCTTCTGTTCGATTCCCTCTCTTCCTTTCCCTTCGCTTCTCGTCTCTCGCTCCAATTGCCATTGCGTGATCCTGTCCCGACTACGAGTACCTACCTTACCAAAGCCCGAACCGATTCCCACTGATCCGGGCGCGGCCACACAGAACTGGAACAGCTCCTGGAACCGCCGACACCCAGCACCCAGCACAGCACAACACAAGCTCGGTCTCGTATTCCGATCAGTCGCCTGGCGTCCAACCAATCCGTTCCACCGCCCTGGTCGACCCCGTATCCCCTAGACGCGACAGCACGATTCCGTGAGGCAGCACAGTGGCGGCGTCGCCGAAACCACGATACCTGACGAACAGCGTCCGATTGTCGAGCTCGATTCGCCGCTTAAAACTGGTCCTGCCATCCACAGATCTTCCGGCGAGCGAGCCGTTGGGACTGGGGGAGTTCAGTTCCGTCTGGCATAACACAACCCAAGGACCGCCTGGCCCTGTATTCTTTTTTTGTCTCTGCATCTGCTCGGCTCCATTCCATCTCCAGCTGCTCTCCTAATCACATTGCTTCAACATGGCTAGTGGGAGTCCGCAAAACGTCATCCGCAGGTACGATTGACACCGCCGTCTTCGCTGTTGCTGCCGCTCCGGCGCTGGCTCCGGCGCTGGCTTGGGCGCTGGCTTGCTTATTCGCTTGATGGCTCCAGAGCCGCTGCTTTCGACAGCAGATCCGGACAAGGGACCTGGTTACTGACGGCATCGTGTAGGAAGCTCGTCATCATCGGCGACGGCGCCTGCGGCAAGACAAGTCTGCTCAGCGTCTTTACACTCGGCTACTTCCCTACAGTATGTTGAATCCAAGCTCTCTCCTCTCAACGTTGTACAATCGCTAACGTTTCGCCCAGCATTATGTGAGTTTCCGATGGCGATAACGGACCCGCCAGAGCCGAGATTAACAGCCCGATCCAGATTCCTACCGTCTTCGAAAACTACGTAACCGACTGTCGAGTGGACGGCAAGTCTGTACAGCTTGCTCTGTGGGATACGGCCGGTCAAGAAGACTACGAGCGCCTACGGCCCCTTGCCTACTCCAAGGCGCACGTCATCCTGATAGGATTCTCCGTTGATACACCAGATTCGTTGGACAATGTGAAGCACAAGGTTCGATTACGATCATGATCTTTTGATGGAGAGGCCTCATACTGATATGCTGTGGCTGTAATAGTGGATCGAGGAAGCTACTCGCCTTTGCGAGGGTGTGCCCATCATCCTGGTCGGGCTGAAGAAGGACTTGCGCGACGACCCCGTTGCCATTGAAGAGATGCGCAAGAAGTCTCTGCGATTCGTCACAACCCACGATGGCGAAGCTGTCGCTCGCGAAATTGGAGCTAAGCGATATCTCGAGTGCTCCAGTCTGAGCGGAGAGGGCGTCGACGATGTGTTTGAGGCCGCCACCAGAGCTGCTCTCCTTACATTCGAAAAGGGGGAAAGCACTGGCTGCTGCGTCGTTCTTTAAGACGGGATATTGCTTCTCTGACGAGCCAACAAAAGTCGACGGGGACACTCGGCCAATCCAGATTGGCCGAAACGCACGTTACGAGCCTTCATCTTGACGAACGAGGTCATGAGTGGTGCATGATTCTTGAGCTTATCGCTCCTCAACGAAGCATGTCTCTTTCACGCAAAGTATGAGAGCATTGCTACTCGCCATCTCACGACTGAACAACAATCACCAGGGAAGAAGCGGAGTGCATTCCATTTGATCATGCAGTCAAGTTGCATGAAATCTTCAGACTTTACTCTCGACTGATGAGAGTCCGAGGACCAACACCCCCTCGCTATCTTGGATACACTATACTCCTCATCGGAATCTCTCCCTATCTGTTTACACTTACTGTTTTTTTTTTTTTTTTCGATTGCTGTTTTCCTCGCGAGCTTGGCAAGCGTATTCTGTCGTAACAGAGACGAAACGCCTCACAGTGAGGCGGTTTCTCCCTCTGTACTAATATGGTGGATGGCATAGAATCGATGATTGGCATATTCCGGTTTTTCCCCCTCTCTGTGGTATATGGGTTTCTTTTGTTTCTGGGCGAAAAGGGGGAAATGACGGCTAGGAGCTTTTTGTACTCTGCTTTTTTGGCAATAAGAATGTCGAGTCTCCCAACTGTTGACGCTGTGTGCTTGTGACCTGTTTTGTCTTGCATTGTGTTTTACTGGTTCAAGGTACGTCATTCTCAGGGGTTTTTATATTATACAATTCTTGATATTCATACACATCGATCTATCTCATCCCTCCTTTTATATTCTTCATCACTTGGTTCCGTCCACTGTTTCGCCCCCTTCTACCTCTTCCAATCGTGATTCCACGCCTCCTTGGCCGGAGTATCCGTCTGAAACCTCGCATACTCAATCGGCACGCCCTCAAGCCCATAGACGCCCTTCTTCTCCATCGCAACCCGATACAGGTACCCCTCGCCCCTGTTCCCGGGCCCGACCGTCCTGCGCAGCTCCTCGCAGGCGTTGAACATGCCGGCGTGCATCCTGCTGCGCTCCTTGTCGATGGCCTCGTGCTGCTTGCGGCGGAAGAGCATCCAGGCGCGGTGGATGGTCCAGTGGCGGAGGTAGCGCTGGCGGGCCATGCGCAGGGGCGGGGGCGCCGGGGAGAACATGTTGCGGCGGAGGGTGCGGATGCGGTTGAAGTTTTCGGACTTCGGGGCGGCGCGGTTGCGGCGGGCGGGCTTGCTGGCTGATGATGGGGTGGGGAGTTTGCGGGCGGAGGGGGAGGGGGTTGTTGAGAAGGGGCGGGTGGCTGTTGGCATGATTGTTGATTTTGAGGTGATCATGGTTGAGGTTGTGGTTGTGGGTGTTGTTCGTGGGAGGAGGGTGAGGCGGGTGAAGAGCCCGGCGAGGGAGGTTGAGGAGGCCATTTTGAAGAGATGAAGAGTATATAGAGATCGCAGGGGTTTGATTTCGTTCTCTGAGAGATCGAGGCGCAAATAGAGGTTCGACAATAGGTCGCCTTTTGTTGCTTCGAGTCGTGGTGGGATGATCGAGGCTTTTGACGCTGGATGCTCGTTTCTCAGTGACGGGTCGAAGTTCCCAGAGCAGTACTCCACTCAATTGTCCCCTCTCTCTTATTTCTGAGTGTAGGGTTGAGGGAGCAATGGGTATCGAGAACGGAGCTGGCTATCGGGTGCTCGCGATGTATTCTCGAATCCAGGCTCGATGCTGTCGCGGAGAAAATGCGACGGTGGTGCGGACGCCAAGTTGTGCATGGCGGATCATCGTAAATCCGAGGCTGCACCTTCGAGCCCACCTCTCAAAGCTGCTCACTACTGCTGTCCTTTGTACTCCGTAAAAGTTCCCAAGGTTTTGTTGCAGTTCTACCAATTGCATCACTTTCTTCATTCTTCATTTTTTCTAAAAGGATTCACCTAGATGTTCAGTTCGATAAAATCTACAAGCCCAGCGCTCGTAATCTTGGTTGAGTCGCTCTGACCTGTGCCTGTCATCCTCGCTCTTCATTTTGTGTGAACCGGATTCGCCATACGGCCGGGCAATTGATGGCATGTGCGTTGCACTGCTGCAGACGCATCTCCTTCTCTCAGCATTTCTCAAGCTGTGGAGAGGATGATCTATAGACTAAACATATCACTATTCCATTCACCCATGAAATCGATCTGCGATATTACATCAAGGCCCGTCCATTGCCTTGACTTACCATCAGCCCTTTAGCGACCAAAGACTCAACAACAACTACCTAACCGTGTAGATTCTCCAGATGTTCATGTACATGCTCTTAGCTCCAGTTATAAACTTATGACAAGATTTCCATCACTCTTGGTCATTTATCCCTAAATGTTTCGCTCCCGGGCCTCTATTGTAGCAACCAGTACACCTCTTGCTCTCATTGTCAGGATTCATGCTGTTGAATGACATCGGTTTAGTGGTTGTCGCAGGGCCAAGCCAAGGCCCTCTGGTGCGATTATGCTGATGCTCTCGAGCCAGAGCAGTCTTTTGACATGCTCAATTGCCTCTTCAGCCGTAGAATAGCCCAGTGCCCTCATCGAATGCCTCGCTTCGAGAACAAACGGCCCTTGTGCTTCGGGATCCGTCAATGAGCAAGCCGTCATGAGTGCCCAAAGTCGCAGCCTCTCAAGTTCAACTGGGACTTCATGATGACCTTCTTGTAAAAGGGTGGTGAATCGATGGCGGAGAGGGTCCAAGTCAGCACAGTGGAAAGCTGCCAATTGCTTCAACCTCGAAATGATCATCAAGCACGCCAGCTGCACCATTCGCTGCACCAGAAAGACGGGGTGTTCAAGTTGAGGATCATCCTCTGCAGACTTTGGCACTGATAATATGTAGTGGCTCGCGAGCCCTAGCTTTTCCACCAGGATTGCGTCCTGAGTCCAGAAGAGAGGATCGTTGGCGTTTCGATTGACCATTGTGATGACTGATGCCGTCTTTCTCAACATGGCGTATATCCGCTCTCCTTCGGGGGCCACCTCTTCTGCTTTATGAAGCAGAGTGCGTAACTCGTCGGGCATGTCGTCTTCGTGGTCCACGTTGGAAGGGTTGTTGAATTGTCTTGGGATGGGGAAGCGTGGGCAGCAATCAAGCATGGATGCGCCTATCAGATCAACGCTGCCTTGAATGTCAGTGGCTGTGAGTATTTTGAGATCGGTGTTAAGGGTTACTCACAAGAACGCCATCGATGAAATCTCGGCATCTAGCCCCTCGAACCCATTCCGAAGATGGTATATCCGCTCCAAACCATTCATATGCATACAGTATCGGTCCCAATTTCCGACTCGTGTCTATGAGACACATCAGTTGATACATCTTAGTAAGGAAGAAGCTGGAAGAAGGAATCACTTACATCGATGCATATGAATCCCATAATGGTTGCTATAACGCCACTGCTTACGCACTCCTCGCGGTTGCTGAGTCGATGGCACAGCTGAGTGAGGGACTTGCTGTAGTATTTATTCGCTTCGGAGCTGATCAGGTACCCTGTGCCAGGTGAGGCCGTTCTGCCCTGGCGTGAGAAATTGTCTCGAATCACAACGACCTGCGCGAGCCATAAGTTGAACGCGGTTGCATCGGACAGTCCAATCTGAACCCACGAGATGCGAAACGGTCGGTACACGTAGTCGGCCTCGGCAGTCACTGACCTTTCAGTTAGGAAAGCCATTCAAACCTCAATTTCATAAACGTTTGCGTCACTGAGAAGTATGACTTACTAAAGCTTATAAGCTCACAAGCATGCTTGTCCGTATCAATAAGGGGCGTCTGAAAGGACAGCGGCATTCTCGCGAGGGGAGCCGCCTCGTTTGTCGTCCCGATATGCATCGCCGCATCGGCTTCGGGTGACTTGTTTCTGCTGGCAACTTCAAGGGGAACAATCTTCCATTTGGCCCTTTTGCGCTTGGCTCGGCCGACGTCTGCCATGACGTGGCGGCGGACGGAGGTCAAGACGCGGCGACTCCGGCCTTCTTCGGGGTGGGAGATGTTGACGAAGGAGAATTTTCTGGATGATCTCATATTTTTGATTATATTGAAGTGTAACTTACGAAGAAACAAGAGATATTCGAGAACCGGGAGCTTAAAGACAGAGAGATGGAGTGGGCGTGGGAATCGGAGACGGAGCAACGCCGTTTATAAATGTCCGTACTATTATATTAGCTTCTCTATTTAGCATCGATCCTTGTAAGTGGCCTGGCCGCTCCACTCAACCTCAGATTCCCCGGGCTAATACTAAAGAAGCGTTCCGGCAGGCAACGTAAAAGAAGTGACAAGTATAAGAAACCTATTAGAGTCGATCGGTTATGATGGGGGTGGTATACAGTCCCTGAATCCGAGAAAACCTTTCCTCGCTGATACACCCTCGCCTCTAATTGCCCGTGATGCCTCCGCTGACGGAAATGCACTCTCCCGTAATCCATCGGCTCTTCTCATTTACAAGCAGCAGCACCGAGTCCGCGATGTCTTGCACCGTTCCAAACCTCCTCTCCGCCCGCGTCAAGTTCAACAGACCTTCCTTGAGCATCTCGAACTCGGCCGTCGGGGGCAGCGAGTCGGTGAGCACGGGGCCGGGCATCACGGTGTTGATGGTGATGCGTTTGCCATCGCTTCCCAGCTTTTTCCAGTTGTCAGTCTACCTTTGGGTAGCATATAAGTAGGGGGGTGGTTCGTAGTGACTTACATCTCTTGCGAGACTATATGTCAGAGCGTCCATGGCGGCTTTGGCGGCTCCGTAGACGGCTTCGATTCCGAGCTTGGAAGCGACGCTGCCGACGTTGACGATTCGTCCGCCTTGGGGCATGTGCGGGACTGTAGCTTGGATGAGGTACAGCGGTCCCAGCACACAGGTCTTGAATGTTCGTTCGATGGACTCTTGCGTCGCAGTCAGGACGGGTTCCCGTGAAGCCCAAGCCGCATTGTTGACTAGACAAAGATCGAATCAGTTGGCTCCCAACTCCTACACTAACAGCATTAATAATATATACTTACCAAGAATGTCAATTTGATCAACTCCAAAACCCTTGATGGCCTCATCGACCAATTTCTTGGTTCCCTCGGGCGTGGTAACGTCCTGCTGGATGACAATGACGCTGCCCTTGCCAGCAACTTGTTCGATGCTGGCTGCCACCTTGGCGGCTCGGGGAGCAGTGGCCTCTGAGACATAGTTGATGGCTACGCGGGCACCGTTGCGGGCGAGGGCATGGGCGATGGCGGCTCCGATGCCGTTTTCTTTGCCGGAGCCGGTGATGATGGCTGTCTTGCCGGCGAGGGAAAGGGAGTCTGGGGCAGTCATGGTGGGTAAGTTGTAAGGATGAGTAGAGAAATTATTGATGTGAAAAGCAGTTGTTTGATGGATATTTGGTTCTGGGAGGATGCGAAGCCTATATTTATATCTTTCTCGAGGAGAAGACTCTGCTATATTCCCCTTTGTCTTTAACGGGATCCATCTTCATTCTGTGGATTGCTGGTTTGTAAGATGAACAGTCCATTGAGCTAGTTTGCTGGTATTTTGCCTGTTTCCTTACTATATGAGTCAATCTCGGATCCATTTACATGCCTAGATACCCATCGTGAACTATTCACAAGGCCGTGAATGGAAGCAGCAAGCCGAGCCTCATGGAGTTGTGCCAAAAGAGGAAATAAGAGAACCTCGTCTGCGCTAGTTCTTGTGTGGATCCAACGCCGGATGGTAGATCGAGAGGCTATTCCAGGAATGGAAAATAGACATCCTTGCCTGCGTCAAGCCCTGAATATTCGGGAGTCCGAGTTTGTCCGGGTCTCGAAGAGCAATAAGACTTCCCATTCCGACGACGACGGTTGCCTGAATGATTCCATCAGAAGATTCTTCAAGCTGGGGGTTGCCAGGGATTGAACTTGAAACTGGACATTAGATTCAACCTGTTGTGGTAAATTGATTACTCAAGCTGTACTGACATGGGGAGGACAGTGGAGGGCACTTATAGACGGATAGCCTGCCTTTCTATCGGACTCTTTCGCCTTTTAGAGACAGATGATCGAGAACCCTGAATATTTTCTACTATAGGCTGATGTCTAGTAACTTATCTGTATCTCACGTGTGATTAACATCTCTAACATAACACTCTCGTAAGCCAAGTATATCTGCACCGCAGCTTCAGCACTCTGAAATCCCCAAAGGAAACAGTGATGGCGAATAGGAGTATTACTTTGCAAAAAAATCGGTAGAATACTTTGTTTGACGCGTATCATTAAATTCCATCTATTAGTGTTTCTTGCGAGTCTCTTCCTGCCTCTTCTGTACTTGAAGGAAGCTCATATCATGATGAAGAAACGCAGCTTGGTACGTCATTGCGCACAAAGCAGTGATCTGACAGATTTGTGATCCGTTGAGTATTAATGCCCGTTGCTGTTTGACGCGCTGCTGAGGATCCTTAAGGTACGGCGTCATGCTTTGATGACCTTCCGAGGCCTCCCAGAGTGGGTTGAGCATTTCCTCTTGCCTTAGTGCCGAGAAGGGAGCCTCGACAGCGGCATATCGCGTCTTCCGATGCCATAGTGTCACCGGATATAGATGTGAGCTTTTGGTTTGCTGGTTATGAAAGGACAAGGTCATGAATCAGGCGTCCATGGAATCGCCGATATATGACGCCCTGACTTATACCAGGCTTCATTGAGAACATGCAAGATATACAGGGGTGGTCAGAAGGGTTAGACGACGTGAAAAAATCAAGATATTGCTGTCTCAAAATGAGTACTATGCTTAACCTATAGCCGCCGATCGTGACTTGTAGGTGAAAAGTCCATATGACTACGCAGAGAATCTCTGGCTTATGAGGGCATACCATGTCATAAGACATTGCACTACGATCCGTAACTCGTGACGCTATGCTGTAACTTGGATGCGCAGGGTGAGTTAGCTCGTCGTCGAAACTCCATGCCTGTACAATTCATATCTGCAGAAGTCATAGTCATAGTCAACCATGTAGCTCATAAGGCAACAACTCAGTGATGACAATTCTCCAATTCAAATGTCCTCTCGCCAAACACGGCCATGCGGTGGGCAGAAAACACCGCCGGTCTACCACTCTGCTTTGTATTTGATAGGTGGAGCTGTTTTCTTTCCTTCCCTTGCACGGATATCCAGAGAGTACATCGGAGCTAAATCCAAGTCCGTCTGCCGTGTCTCGGCACGTCGGTGCAAAGTCGATAGTATGTACTTGAAAGGATGAGTTGCCGTGTCTCAGCTGGTTACCATGGAACGGGGAAACGTTCTCAGACTTACGGGCAAGCCCCGTATTGACCAAGATTACAGTTAGTGTACCCAGAGCATCAACCAAGACAGCCAAAACAGGATGCTTTGGCTCTCTATCCAAGTCCACTACTACACGCTCATTCAGATAACTCAGCCAGTCTATTGTTAACATATTGACAGGTTTACGTCAGGGGAATACACATTTCCAGTTTTTGTACTGCGTAACTACGCTTGTCCAAAGCTATCCTCTCTGTCGACACAAGCCTGTTCTGGGTTGTTCACTTGGAGCAAATCCCCCTACTTGGAGAATGGACCGGGAGGGGGTCAAACTTGGGGAAGCCTGTATGCTCACCGAGGTCCTCTGGTCTTACGCCAGAAGCATTTCGAGGCCACGATCATCTCAGGCGAGGGGCGGTAGTTTGCTGCAAGAATGAATATTTGTCTTAGACTCTTAGACTGAGCGAAGTAGTATAGTCGCCGACCAGCTTGTGCCGAGCTCTCTTGAAGAATCAAGAGAGGAGCGGCAGGCGTATGAGACATTATGTCATAGACGCCGTCACGCCTGAATATCATCTTCTTGAGAGTGCATCGGAGAGGCCCAATAAGGGGGGGGGGGGGGGGTGCAGCATCTTGGTGACCCTGGAGAGCTTTGCTGCGGTTATAAAAGACAAACGATTCCTCACCAACTCGGCTCTCAAGCAAACACTCAACTACAACGCATATCACTTTTGCAATCAAGCATTTCCACTATATAACAACACAATGCTTTTCAAGACTATTCTCCAACTTGTTGCCCTTGGCGTCGCTGCCTTGGTTCACGCCGTTCCCACTGCTTCTGAGGAGCATAGCCCTGCCGAAGCCAACCAACACAACCCGCTGGCTAAAAGATGCATAATCCCTTGCTCATCCTGCCCCCCTAGCCGGTGCGTCGATGGCTGCTGCATTGATCCGTAAAGGCAAGGAAAAGTCCCGGAAGTCACGACAAATGACACTCGGGAACTCGCCGAATTTCGGGAAGTAAACTCACAAGGAGGGGGGAGGGTCGAAATCTGAAGGTTGAGAACTGGGTATTTGATTGAAACGGAGGAATATGGGTTGTTTTAAGTTGTGTTGTAAGGAAACGAAACTGGCCTGCTGCGTACAAACTGGCCAACGGGTACTTGGATGGAACAGTGGTACAATCGGAACGATGGTGGTGAACGCATAAAGTCCATTGTCGGTATCTGCCTGTACTGGGATTGCACTTTTCAGCCGTGCAGCAGCCACAGCTCCGACAATAGAGACAAACCATATCTCCTCACATTATTATAGAGTTTTGCTATTCATTGATGAGATACTAGGAGCTGGTGACACTCGTGGACTTATACCGAAGTGCTTCGGGCTGAATGGTCTGATACTGTTTGCCGGAGTTCTTGTTCAAGCTGCGTGACACCTCAAGGCATCAATGCAGCTCCTATTGGTACAGGCAGGTCATAATAAGATGTTTGAAAAAGATTATATCCACGCCTTGCCTTGTATGCCATAGACTTGTGTCTATCCTGAAGTCATGGAGCGTCCCTGAATCGTGCAACATTCGCTGCTACCCTAAAACATGCATGGAACAGGGGCACCAAAGCCAGGCACTAATGCGGGGCACCGACTGATACCTCCGGCTGCACGCTAGCGTAGCGCCCACCCAGGTACTGCGCAGCCCCTGTTGTTAAGCCCTGCCACGGCCGGGACCCCTGAAGGTTCAAGGCTAATAAATCGTGGTGATATAAAACAAATCGCCGGCCAGATCTTTCTTCTGCTTCACATCCTCACCATCTTTTCCTTTTCTCTTCTCCCTCCACCAATTGCTCCCGCTGCTCGCACTCGAGGCTGGCCTCATGTTAGTCGCGGCATTCCTGCGCAATGGCCTGGGGCTGCTGGTGCCTCTGGCGATAGCCTGCACCATCTATCTCTATCTCTATCCCTACTTCGGCGGCTGCGCGTTTCCCCTGCCCTCGAGAGACGCCAGAGAAGCCCTCGAGGCAACCAAGCGGCTGCATTGGCCCTTCAACAGAACCGACGCCGACGCGAACTCGACCGCAGACCATGTCCCGACCCGGCTGGCGCCCTTCCGGCTCCTCGCCCTGGGAGATCCCCAGCTCGAGGGCGCCACCTCGATCCCGACGGAAATCCTCGGCACGTTCCCTCACGTCACCAGCATCTACGAGCGTGTCACCTATCAGACGGAGCACTGGTGCTTTCGAGAGCGCCTCCGTTGGATAGCGCACGACATTGTCGACATCTTCTTCGAAGACATCTTCTACTATCTCGAGTCGTGGCGCAAGCGATTGGATCACGTCGGCAACGACTTCTACCTCGCGCACATATACAGGACGATGCACTGGTGGACGCGTCCAACGCACGTGAGCGTCCTCGGAGACCTTTTGGGCAGTCAGTGGATTGAAGATGAAGAGTTTGAGAAGAGAGGCTGGAGGTTCTGGCAGAGGGTCTTTCGCGGCGGCGAGAGAGTGCCGGATGAGGTGGCCGCGTGGCCGGCATACGAGTATGACCTGGCCGGCATGCTGGACGGCTCCGAGGAGGAGCAGGTCTGGGCACGGAGGATCATCAACGTTGCCGGTAACCACGACATTGGATATGCCGGCGACCTGACACAGGAGCGATTGGAACGGTTCGAGCGCGTCTTTGGCAAGGTCAACTACGAGCTCCGATTCGGCATCCCGCTCAACGACTCGGCCGTGTTGGCCACCATCCACGACGACGAAAGGAACCCGGGGTCCAACCGGCTCGAGCCCGAGATTCGCATCGTCGTCCTCAACGATATGAACCTGGACACGCCTGCAAAGGACACCAGCCTGCAGGATGCGACGTACAACTTCATCAACACCGTCATTGGAACCTCGGCCGCTGTCGAATACGCGGGCATCTTCACCCTCGTCTTGACGCATATTCCTCTCTATAAGCCCGAGGGTGTCTGTGTCGACGCACCCTTCTTCGACTTTCACGGCGAGGAGGATGGGGGCGGCGTGAAGGAGCAGTACCTGCTGAGTGCGGACGCCAGCAAGGGCTTCCTCGAGGGCTTCTTCGGCATGAACAAGGACCCCAACGCAGCTGGCGGCGGACGAGGCCGGAAGGGCCTGATCCTCAACGGGCACGATCACGAGGGCTGCGACACGTGGCACTTTATCAACCAGACAAACGGCACAGACCCCAGTGAGCGCTCCTGGGAGGTGGCGAGGTGGCGTGAGGCCCAGGCGCGCGGACTGCCAAACCTGACGGCCTCGGGCGTCCCGGGCAGGCGAGAGATTACGGTGCGCAGCATGATGGGCGACTTTAGCGGAAACGCAGGCCTGCTCAGCATGTGGTTCAACGAGGAGACGTGGGAGTGGGAGTACGAGTTTGCCAACTGTCGCCTGGGCACACAGCACTTTTGGTGGTTCGTCCACTCGCTGGACTTTGGCGTCGTCGTCGTCTTGTTGGTGTACGTTGTGATTAGCCTGCTGGAGGCCGTGGGAGTCGACGTGGACGCACGACTGCTGAGGTTTGCGCCGTGGTGGTATCAGAAGAGCGACGATGATTACGCGGTGGTGCAGAATGGGCATGTCATGATAAAAGGGTGATTGGATATAGTAGCGAATACCCCGGGGTTCTCATTTTCTGTTTGGATTTCTTGTACGATAGACGGGTTTATGTAGTATTACGGGGTTCTTTTGCAAATGCACGGCTGGGTCTATACACGGTTTTGGAGAACTATATGAAGAGGAGGCTGTCATCTTTTTCATTTCACATGAACATTGTGGCAGAGATCGGGAAGCTGGATTAGAATGATCTAGATGAGAGATGCTAGACTTTTCGTTGATGCAGACAGAGGTGTTCTTTCTAGGAGCACGTGCAGTGTCTCGCATGTTTGTCCCTCTCATCATCACGTCCGTCACACAAATCTACAGAAACATGACACGAGATCCCCGATCGAGAGTTTGCCGATGCCGCACAAGAAGTAAGATTTCAAGCATACCTCCGCCCCATGTGCCACCCTCGTACTCCTCCGGCGCCCTGGAAGTCGTCCGACGTGAGCTGAGCTGTTGCTCAATCCGAGCCACTTCTGAGCAAACAGTACTGTTCCTTTCTATCCCATGTCACGGCGTACAGCTCCATAAGGGAGAGAGATCTTGAGATTGATTTCGTGTAATGCTAGATGGAACGTGTTATGCGAAATGAGATTCTGGGCAAGATGGAAAGATGCAGTCTTCCGTCGGAAAAAGGGTGGGAGTAACGTCCGCATCGTGGACAAACAAACCTCGTTGGATATAGTATCCGAGGAGATAAAGCTTCACGGATAGCCTAGATCTTGTGTCACAAAATCACTCTTCTAATTCCCGAGCCATTGTCATTCAAGACAGACCAAGGAAGATATCTATATATATATAACCGAATCCTTCCCTCATCAAGCTCTCCCTCTCCTCTCCCCGCCCCCCCTATTCCTCAAACACACCAACGCACACAATGACCACCCCGATATCAACAACTCCATTGCAAAGAACAATCCCAATCTCACTTCCAAACCCATCATCAATCAGAATGCTCCTCCTCCGCGTTCTCGCCTCCCTCCTCTTCCACCTCCCCATCGTCCTCTCCCTCCCGCAACAACAGCCCAACGGCTCTCCTCCTCCTCCTATTCCCACTCACCATCACCACCGCTACAACCGGAGTCTCGAGATCGTCTCCCTCGTGCCTCCGCCGCCGCCGCCACCAACAACCACCACCATCATCGAACCAATTCCCTTTCCGCTCCCACCGACGACGTCGTTTCCTCTGCCAATCACCACGTCCGATCCGTGGCGGGACATGTGTAAGCCTGGACAGGAGTGTGATTGCACGCGCATCAAGGACAAGAATGGCGAAGAGTAAGTCATTCCCCTGAGCCAACTTTTCACTCCTCCCAGCCCTTCTAACCCAACACCCCCCCGCCTCGACCACAACATTCACATATAATCAGCTTTCATCGCTCTAATCATGAATGCAGATACTTCCAATGCGTCACAAACCCCCGCTGCGACCACTGCTGGATCAACCTCACCACAACAAGCACCTCTCCCTCCTTCTCCTTCACGACCTTCTCACCAACGCCCATAGTGACACTCGCCACGCCCCACGCAACGAAAAACCTCCTCAGCAGCAGCAGCAACACGGATTACCGCACGCTTCTCCCGGGGACGTACACCAGCTCCTCCTCTTCCGCGCACGGCACCACCGCACACGTCGTGCAGCAGTCCGCTTCGATCCACTTTGTGACGCTGACGGTGACGAGGGAGAGGGAGGTTACGCCTTTGTGTGAGGCGGCGTCGTCTTCGTCGTTGGGGAGTGGGAAGAAGAGGGGGGGAGGGGAGGCCGAGTAGGTGGAATACTGTGCGATTCTGAAGCGTCTTTGGATGTTGTACTGGGCAGAGTTGTTGACGAGAATTGCTTCAGTTTCTATTGAGTTCGGCGGGAGTTGTTCACGGCTGAGTGATCAGAGGACGTAAAGGGGGGAGAAGAACGCACGACGACTCCGAGCTGAACAGCATGAGAGAATGCCACTTAATATTGATCATTTCCATACCAAGTCATCACTTCGAGCCATATTCCATTGCAATTTCGAACGCATTTTCCCATTCCCCCTTTCATACATATCTCATACATCCTCTAATATACAAGTCAACGTACACACACACACACACGCACACACAAGTCCTTTTCATCCGTCCCATCGTAGCATACAAAACCCGTAATCGTCATCTTCCCTCAGTGCCTTCTCAGCAAGCTCGTTTCCGTGCCATGTGCCGTAAAGAGTTTCTCTATATGCAAGTGTTCCCTCCCGTCCTCAATAGACGAACTCGAGAATCCATAAACCTTGCCGCGTTCCCCCCATTTTGATGTTTTTACATGTTATTATGTGGCCTGAAGCCATTATGTAGCGGAGAGATGGTGGGAGAGGAAAAGCAAAACGGCAGATTCCGTCAACTCTCCTTCTGATTTGTTCCCTTTATCCTTTTCCTTCAAATTGTTCTTCACCCTTCATTGGTGTGTTCTCACGCCTTGTTCTCGCCGCCCTTCTTGGACCCGAATATGCCGGAGAAGGAACCCATCATGCTGTTCATGGCCTCCTGCTGTGCCTTCTCCATGGCCAGCTGCTCCTCCTTGAGCCACTTCTCGCCGTTCTCGCGAATCTCCTTCTCCAGAGCCAGGTAGTTGCGCTGGCCTCGCTCGCGGGCAATGTCCTGAATCATCTTGCCCTGGGAAAAGGCCTCGAGGGGATCCTGCTCTCCGTCGACGGGCATCGTCATGCTCATCTTGCTGGGCTTCAGGCCGAGCAGATTGCCCAGCGCGCCCATGCCCGACGGCTTCTTGTTCTTTTGCTTTTCAGCCAGCTGCTTGTTGAATTCTCGGCGGGCAATGGCTTCTCGGCGGGCAAACTCGGTGGGAATGTGCTTTCCTTCAAACGACTTGAGGACCTTTCGTACGTCTGCGTACTGCATGGTGTGGATGTACTCGAGGAAGGGAATCAAAGCCACGAGCTCCTTGTCGTTGGGGTCGCCCTTCCAAGGCTCCATAATGATGGCGTTCTCGGGCTGCTTGCGGACATGTTCGGGTTTGGTGTCGAGGATGATGACTTTGGAGAGGTCACGGTTGAGGTAGGAGAGGTCCTGAAGAGAAAGATTAGCTTAAGTCGCCGTGATAGGCTGGAAAAGGCTTCAGGCTCACCTTGACGATTTCTCCATCCTCGTACTTGGTCGCCTCGCGGTAGAGGGGCCACATGATGAAGCGGAAGGGATCCAGTTTCCGAACCAGCGGCTCCGCCATGCCAAAAGGCGCCGTGGTGAAGAGGACAAGCTCGTAGTACTGACTCAGGTATCGGATAAAGTAGTCCATGCCCGGGCGCTTGGCCACCCTCCAGCCGTGCTCTCGCGTCCACTCGCTGTGGATGAGCATGTCGTCCAGGCTGATGCAGAGCGTGTACGGGCGCTCGAAGCTCGGGTCGGGATCGGGCAGCAGCTTCTCAAAGGCCGGGTCCTGGTAGTAAGATACAGACTCTCCCCATCGCGCTCTGGTGCGCTGCCACCACAGGCTGGGGCTCCATCCGTTGGGAATGTCGGGGTGGCGCTCTGCCTCAATCTCGTCTTCCCAGTTACGACCCATGTACGCAATGCCCACCAGCGATCCAGAACCAGCAACGACCAGCATGAAGCGAGTCCACCACTTGCGGTTGCGCTCGCTGGTCGAGACATACTCCTCCCTGCCGCCACCTCGGCCACGACCTCCTCCCGAAGATGCTTCACCCTCGCTGACTTCCAGGTACGACGGCGACTTGCCAGCGCCTCTCTGCTCGAGCTCGGCCTCCAGTGTCGAGGGAATGCCCTGGGTGAGGTCGGGCAGCTTGTGGAAGGGTATCGGTTCAGGCTCGGCATCGGCGGGCTTCTTCTCAGCGGCAGATTCGACCTTGTCCTCTTGCGCTGATGAGCTTTCTGCGGGGTTCTGAGGACCTGACGCGGGCTGCTTCGCTGCTGGTCTGGACGGCTCGTCGGAGCTGGGTTTCTTGTCCGCAAAGGCACGGAGGAACTGCGAGCTGGGAGCGGCCGTTGCTGGGCGGATCCGGAGAGGCTGAAGGGCGGCGGTTCGTGGCAGGCGAGCGGCCGTCAGCCCCAGCCGAGAGGCTTGAGCTACTCTGGAGAGCATCGTGATGCGACTGAGGGAATGAGAGAAGGCGGGAGAGAGAGAGAGGGCTGCTCAATTGCGCATGTCCAGATCGCTGGACGATACTCGCGATGTCGCCGGATTCACGCGATCTCCTGAGTCGCTGCTTCAGCGTTTGTTCGTCGCCAAAGAAGATGATGCTGTTGGTGTCGGTTTAAGTGGCTCAAGGCAAAGTTCAGTCGTCCGAGTCCCTCCTCTTGCGTCTTGACCCGCCGCCGTCATCCAGATTTTTTTTTGCTGGGATGCAATCTGCCGGAGTTTAAGCGGTTCTGGCATGTTCTCTCTTGAACTGTGGGGTATCTGAGTAATCCGCGCACTTGCCCCGTTTGGGCGCCTCACTGCCGCATGGATACTAGCGTTCTGCGAGCCGGCTCACGTGAAGCTGCCGATGGGGGAATTATCGTCATGGCTGCTTCCTTCTCCAACTCGAAAACCTCCGACTCTGCGTAAAGTACCGAGTACGTACCCATTCGTACTGTTTGCCTCGACGATTCTGGTTTGTCATAACTGAGCTGAGGTAAAGCAAAGGCTGGCTTCCCCAGCTTCCGTCCTCTGTCACTGTCTCTCCCCCTCACGCGCGCAATTCGTTGTCTTGCTCCTCAATTGATCGTGTCTCGGATACCGCCTCATTACTACTACTACTACCTACTCGATACCGCCTCTCCTCTGGACTCCCACTCCCGCCGGTCCCTGATCCAGCCTGTTCCGGAACAAAGGCGTCATTCCTTCGAGATCGAACCGCCAAGCGAAACCGCGCCGTCCAGCCCCAAGTCACCATCATGGCCGCTGCGTTTGCTGCCTTGTAGAGGGTGGTTCATCTCGACAGTACTCTTCTCGCCATGGAACCACCCTCGACGAGGCGTCTCGTTCCTCTGTGATTGATTGCCCGAATCTATCCCGTCACTTTCCCGTCACCCGTCCTATTTAACCGCCAGTGCGGCATGCGCAAAGATCCAGAGTGGAAGCACCGTAACGATTTCGATTTTACCACTATTCGCCACACCTTAGATTGGAACCAGATCGAACTCCATCTATATCCCCTTCCACCACGCCACCATGTCCGAGCACCCTTCCAAGAGCACCGGTCGTCGACCGTCTCTGACCAAACCCTCTCCGCCAGCAGCACCCAGAAAGGCGCAGGCCTCTGCGAAGAAGTCGCAAGTCGTGACGCATAAAGCACACGCCTCGACGAGCAAGCCGCCAGCCGCGATGCAGAAGAGCCAGGCCATGGCAAAGAAGCCTCAAGCCTCCGAACCCAGGCTTGAAGCATCGCAGCCGAAGTCGGAAGAGCCGCTAGAACCACAGGCGCCTGCGCCAAGCAGCATCGACGATGAAATCAACAATATACCAATCGCCTCTCTGACCCTCGACACTCCTCTGATCCCGCTCCGAAAGAAACCGCCGCGTGTTCCTGCAACGCCCTTCCACTTCCTCTCCCTGCCCACCGAGCTGCGCATCAAGATATACGAATACTACTTTGAAGACGACGACGAGGTCATTGACCTGTCTCCGCAAAACTACAAGCGCATCCACAAGAAGCTCGGCCTCATGCGCGTCTGCAGGCTCCTCCACAAGGAAGCGACGTACTACTACTACGGCACCCGGACGTTTCGCATCTTCCCCACGTATCCGGGCAAGTACTTCAAGACCAAGCGCCCGCTGCTCGCCCGCCTCAAGCCGCGGCAGCGCGAATGCCTCACGACTCTGGAACTGCGCCTCGGCCCGGGGTGGAATGCGCCACCCAAGGGGTGGGTTGTCAACGAGGCGCTCGGGCTCGGGGACTGCGTCAGGGTCCGCAAGGTCAAGGTCCTTGTGGAATGCGACCCCAGCGACAACATCTTCAAGGGCTTCCGCCGTTCCAACGGCTACTACGAGGGCTTCAGCCAAAAGCTACTCGCCGACGTGCTTGCAGCCTTGCCGGCCGTCGCGGAGGTCGAGTTTGACGCCTGGTCCAGCGTCAAGAAGAAGGGCGCGATGATGTCCGGCCTCATCAAGGTCGCCTCTGAAACCAAGGGCGTGGCCATCCGATGGGGCCCAGAGCGCGGCTGGACCGACGCGGATGAGGACGAAGACGCAACGGCGGCGGTTGCTGGATCCGACCCCAACAGGCCGCTCGAAAGCGTTCCGATCCAGGGGTTCGAGAACCTCCATGGCATTTTGGTTGAGGCGTAAGCATCAGCAGCGAAGCACTGGCACGTTAGCAACGGGATTGGGATGTATGATTCTATATGTGTATTGCACTCTCTGTGGAATGACTTTTGACGATGGATCTGAAATGATTGGAACTTGGCGTCTGTTTGCTTCTCATTAGTTTCTCTTGGTTTATTTTCACCATCATGTCTTGCTTCTCCTATGACTATTGGAGCTCCGATTAGCGCTCCTCTCTCAGATATGCCGCTCCTTCTATAGGCGATCAACTACTCCTGAAAACCAATTCAATTCTCTTTGACGCTTTCATGAATCATTTCAACTTTTGGTATTTCATATACAGTTTGAATCCATCCCGACCTTGATCCCCTCATAGCGCCCCCAACGTAGCGAGGGCATTCCGCAGCTCCTGCACCGCCGTCGGGACGTCGTCAAAGTTCAGCGCCGAAATGGCCCACTTTGCATGTTTCTGCGCCTGCGCAATGCTCTTCTGGTCTGCCACTGACGGTGCGCCGCTGCCGCCACCGAGACTTGTCACTGCAGGCGCTGAGGGGGCCGGGACGGCAGCGGAGACGGGAGCTGACAGGGGAGTCGGCGACGCGACGGCTGGAGGGACGGTGACTGTGGGAGCTGTCCAGCTGGGAGGGATGGAAGGGTTGACGGGTTCGGGCGGCTGTGGAGGAGGCGCAAAGGATGTAAACTGTGACGGCAGCTGAGGAGGAGGAGGAGGGGGAGGCTGCGAGTCTACCGGCGGAGGAGGACTGGTGCTCATGGGCGAAGGGACGAAGGGCTCGTTACTGTCGAATTCTGCCGGCTGAGGAGGGGGAGGCGGCGGAGGGGGAAAGTATCCTTCTGACACGGGCTGCTCCGGTCGCGACGACGGCTCGCCTCCATCGGGAACTTCTTCCACGGAGGCGGGCGGCGGTGGATTCGTCAGCTGCTGGACGGCGGGGTCGAGAGGGTCGAGGGCGGGTTCTTGGTCTTCCTCTTCGCGAGGCTTGGGGTTCGATTCGTTGGGGTCCTTGCCCTCGCGGATGGCCTTGAGGATGCGCGCGGCGTTCCACTTGGCGAACTTGATCTTTTGCAGGACGTCCGGCTCGGGGGTGCCCCATTCGTGGGTGAGGTCGAAGAAGGTTGCCGCGGCGTCGAATGTATCTGCCGTTTGCCTGATCGTGGCCGTAAGTTTGGATCTTTCTCGCAGTGAGGTGGGGGGTTGGTGGTGGTGTCTGGTTTACCTCGTCACCTTGTTGGCCCTCATCGTGCGCTCGGCGCGGTCAAACGTCTCCTGCGCAAACTGCTCGACGTAGGCCTGCCCCGCGGTGTTGTCCATGATGGCATCGTCGTCCGGGCGCTCGGCCTTGGTGGCCTCGAGGCGCTCGAGGAGGGCCTTTGTGAAGGCGAAGCAGTCATCGTCGGTGTTGTGCAGGCCCTTTCCGACAATCTGGTTGACGGCATGGTATTCGCCTGAATGATTGCCAGGTTTTAGTTTTTTTGAGTCTGAGTTTTCCATGTAATGGGTTTGAGCAGAGAGAGAGAGGGCGAATATAGGCACCGAACGTACACCAGTATGCGATGGCGGGCTTGAAGGCGCGGAGTTGGTTTGCGCGGTTGATGAAGCGGCTGATTTCGGGGATCTTGAGGGGTGCGGGGATGGGGAGCGGCTCTGCCATTGCGACGGGTGCGTCTTTGCGTCGTTTACTGAATTCTCTCGGTTGTGTGATGCGTCGGATGTATAGAAAGGGAGAGCAGATGAGCAGAGGCGGGATATGAAGAGTTAAGTAGTAGGCGCAACGACGTAGTACGTATGTAGTGCCTGGTGACGATGCTGTCTTGCTTCCCCCCCCACAGTGGACTGGCATCAAAGCTGCAGCCTTAAAGCTGACGGCTGCATCAGCCACGGCGTGGTGGCCCCGCTCAAGGTCGCGCCACAGCGACAGATTGGGAAGCTGCACAAGCTGAGGATCGAATCACACTGTACACGATCTCTCGAGATGCGACGTTTGAATCATGGCAATTTGATGTGCTTATAACACCAAAATGAGACAAATTAACAGAATAACAGTTTCTGGCTTTACAAGAAAGATATTCTGAGCTTATATCTATCTTGATATTGCCAAGCATCATGTAAAAAATCAAGAGCATTCGCCCTTCACATACATCCACCAACCAGCAATACAACCGTCACCCTAGACAGGCAACATAAAGTCAAGGCACGCCCGCACTGTGCATCCTCTCCAGCGTGGCCTTTTCCAAGCAAGCCAACCTTCCATGAGAAGCCAAAAAGCAACAACACCCCAACTATAAAAATCTCGAGCAAAACACCAAGCAGCCACATCATCCCTCGTCTCTTTCGGCTCAATCCTCACTTCTTCTTTGTCATAACTGTCAGCCCTCCTTCCACCAAAGGGTCAAGAGAGATTCTCTCAGCTGTTGAACTCGGGGACCTTGTTCTCAGTCTCGGCTTCTCTCAACTCCACCCAGAACTCATTCAATCTCAACTTACACAGCAGTCAATTAACCCCGGCCATGCATCAACAAACCCTCCTCGCCACCCTCGCGGCGAGTCTCGCTGCCCTTCCGTTCGCCCAGGCAGGCTTCTACCCCAAGAACTCGCCCGTGCTGCAAGTAGACGCCAAGTCGTTTGACCGTCTCATCACAAAGTCGAATCATACCTCTGTAAGTCTCATTGGCCCCGACATCTCATCCCCAAACTCATCACACAGCAAACACATACGCTTAGACACACAAATCACCCTATGTGGAAGTATGTATTAACTCATCAACACCAAGATCGTCGAATTCTACGCCCCCTGGTGCGGCCACTGCCAGAACCTCAAGCCCGCCTACGAAAAGGCCGCCCGCAACCTCGACGGCCTCGCAAAGGTCGCCGCCGTCGACTGCGACGACGACGCCAACAAGGCCCTCTGTGGCGCCCAGGGCGTCAAGGGCTTCCCCACCCTCAAGATCGTCCGCCCGGGCAAGAAGCCCGGCCGCCCCGTCGTCGAGGACTACCAGGGCCAGCGCACCGCGGGCGCCATTGTCGACGCCGTCGTGTCCAAGATCAACAACCACGTCGTCAAGCTGACGGACAAGGACATCGATGCCTTCCTCGACAAGGACGGGGAGAAGCCAAAGGCCATCTTGTTCACGGAAAAGGGAACTACGAGTGCGCTGCTGAGGAGCCTTGCTATTGATTTCCTCGACGCTGTCACCATTGGCCAGGTCCGGAACAAGGAGAAGGCCGCCGTTGAGAGATTCGGCATCTCCTCGTTCCCCTCCTTCGTCCTCGTCCCCGGAGCCGGCAAGGAGCCTATTGTCTACAGCGGCGAGCTCAACAAGAAGGACATGGTCGAGTTCCTCAGGCAAGTTGCCGAGCCCAACCCCGACCCGGCCCCCTCGACCGCGAAGCCCGGCAGCAAGAAGACATCTTCCAAGGACAAGGCCGGCAAGGAGGCGCCCAAGGCCGACGACTCTTCGTCCACCGCATCCTCCGAGACGTCGACGGCCGCCGCGCCGGAGTCGACCCTCATCGATATCCCCGCCCTGACTTCCAAGGCCGACCTCGAGAGCCACTGCCTCCAGCCCAAGTCCCAGACCTGCGTCCTCGCCTTTGTGCCTGCGTCCACCTCGGAGATGCGCAACAAGATCCTCTCCGCCGTGTCCCAGCTGCACACCAAGTACGTCCATGGAAAGCGTCACTTCCCCTTCTTCTCCGTCGATAGCGACGTCGAGGGCGTTGCCGCCATCAAAGAAGCCCTCGGTCTCTCAGGCAAGATTGAGCTCGTCGCCCTCAACGCCCGCCGGGGGTGGTGGAGGCGTTACGAGGACGGTGAGTTTAGCGTTCACAGCGTCGAGTCCTGGATCGATGCTGTTCGCATGGGTGAGGGTGAAAAGCAGAAGCTTCCCGAGGGAATCGTTGTCGAAAAGGCGGAGCCTAGCGAGGAGGCAAAGGCCGGCACTGAAGCTCCCGCAGCCGAAGAGGCTGCCGAGTCTGAGCACGATGAGCTCTAAGCGGACGGGAGAGCACCAGCTGCAAGTACATTGATCCAAGTTAGCAAAACTGTAAAACAATAAGATTGAACATGTATCATCATAACCATTCCCGTAAAACGTACCTGGTATCATTCAAGACGAAAACCACAAAAACACCCTGTTCCACATACAAACTTTCCCTTACTCCTCCAAACTCACAGCCATCAAATCACTCCTCTGCACCACCCCCTCTTTGATCATCTTGCTCCCCTTTGCCCTCACGATCCCGTCCAGCAACCTCCTCACCTGCCTACACCCGTCCACGCCCACAACGAGCATGCCCTCCAACCGGCTCACCTGCACCCTGCTCTCGCACACCAGCACCGCAACCTTGTCTGAATCACCCAGCGTGGCGACGGTCAAGAACGGCAGCTCTTGCTCCTCCTGCGTGTTCAGATCGAGCAGCGGATCGGCGGAGTCGTCGCCCGCGGCGTAGGACGAGGTCGAGCCGGCGGTGCAGGCGGTGATGTAGTCCGTCATGGGGATGCCGGCGTCGATGAGCGCGAGCGTCGTCGCGTTGATGAGCGCGGCGAGCAAGGAGCCGTCTTGGGAGAGGACGTGGAGGGATACGGTGATTGTCGAGTGGGGGAAGAGATGGGTGTGCAGGTTGGCGGCCAGGGCTTTCTGGATGGTAATCTCCATCTCTTGGATGCGCCTACAATCCTCTCAGTCAGCATCTCTCACTCTCACTCTTCCATATAACCCGTCCCCTCCTCTTCCCTTCTTCCCAGCTTCACCCTCAGAGTGCAGACTCACCTATCATTCCTCCCCCTCCTCTTCCGGTCCACGCTCGAGAACCCAGCAACCACCACGTTCACCACGATGCCCGCCCCGTCCTTCTGCCCACCGCCCAGTGCACCACCTGCGCCTCCTCCTCCGGCCGTGCCCCTCTTCTGCTGCCCTGCCTGTGGCTCCGCAGGGCCCGTCACCACGCACATGACCTTGGTGTGGCCCATCTCCAGGTACGACGATCCGTCCGCGGCCTCTTGCGTGTGAATCTGGGCGTGCAGCCGCCGGAGGTCGTTCCACCGGCGGCCGTCGATGCGCAGGAGCGCGAGGGAGTATGTGGATGTGTCGAGAGGCATCGGGGAGGCTTGTGACTGCGAATTGATGAGCGCGAGTGAGCGATATCAAAGGAGAGGGTAGTTTGTCATGCGACAAGTCTCAATTGACAATGTCAGTTTTGAGGTTTGCTTGAGATCAAGAAATTTTGGAGCTTTGAACGTAGCGTAGTGGGGTCGATCTGGTCTCGGGTGTGGCTGATAAGCTGATGTGGCGCCGACCTCCTGTCTATCTTACCTACAGACATGGAATACGCATCAAGACAATGATTTTGGATAGTTTCATTAAGGAGAGGGAAAATGAGATTCTTCATTAGTCCATCATGATCTTATTTTGTAGTGGCCGTATATTCAACAGGCCGGGTATACTATACTAGCACGAAAGCAAAGCTTCGACAGCTTGAGCTGAAAAGCACAATACGCTCGCTACAATAACAACCTCGTCTCCTCAAAGGGAGCCGCATCAAGATCAACAGTGATCCGCCCATTTTTGCTCAACGTCGCCCCGAGATCGGATATCGGCGTCACGAGCCGGGTGTGAGCCACCTCCTGTCTGCTCACTCGAGCCTCGTCCCTTGGTATCCAGAGAGTTGGCTTCGGCGTCCAGAGCTCAGGGGGCTGATAGGTGGCATACTTGTCGCCATCCGTATACACAATCGGTGGCCGGTCTTCCTGGACAAGCAGCTTGCGCAGTGCCACAAAGTCTTCATGCTCTTCTGGGTGCAGCCACCGCACCAGGAAGCCAGGAGGTTCTTCTCCATTTCCGCTCCTTGCGAATGCAAACACCTTGGCCAGCATTGCGTTGAGCCCCGACTTTTCCATCCCCGTCTTCACTTTTTCAATAGCAGCCGACTTCATCCATGCCGTCAGGGCTTGCCGGATACTGGCGGCCCCTTCGAGAGCCCTGTTGCCAACTACCTGGTGATCATCGTCGTCAATCTCCTCAATGTCCACCTCTTCCTCTCCGAATGCCTGTTCTACATCAAAGTAGCTTGCTGCCGCACCGCCGGCATCGTTTCCGTGCGTTTCTCCATCGTCGTGGTTGGAGAGTCTTGCCTTTTCTTCCAGCTGGATTTGCTCTTCCAGTGCCAACGTCTGCGGCAGGCTCCACATGAGGCGCGAGATGGCGTCTCTGAGTAGGAAGTGAATCAGGCCCGTCAGAAGAAGGAGGGCAATGACACATCCCATGGGCCCGAACGCAGAGTTTAGAATCAAGAGACCAATCAAACAGATCTCTGCGAGGTAAAGCCCAATGATCAGCTGCTGTAATGCTCGCGGATAGAAGAGGCCCTTGCTGTCCGTTGTGGTGTCGAAGACGTAGAGTAGGTTGTACTTCCAGACAATGGCCATGAACGCCATACCCCCGGCGCTGAATATCAAAATCAATGGCGCAATGCAAGCATATGAAAGTGCTATCGAATATGGTCAGTTTCTTCGTTCCAGCGTAGTAAGGCGATCCAACATCGGGACATACTAATGACTCCCATGTTTGTAAATACGGGAAAGATGCCACCCCAGCGAGCGGGCCGAAGGTTGCGCCATGTTTTCAATCGAGTCCTGGGCACATCGGAAGCCTTTGCAACAATATGATGGCGAATCAATGAAAACACCTGCAGCAAATGTGACCCACCACTAGCCAAGCACTGGATCAAGATGTAGGAGAGGTAAAAGTTGGATGCTTTGGGCAGATTCTGCGCGAGAAGTTTCTGGATACTGAGGGGATCCTGGATAATGTCCTGGAGTGCACCCGAGGCAGCCGAGGTGATGGTGGTGACCAAGAAGACCTGAACCACTTGGAAAGCAAAGTATGCATTTTGCGTGAAGAGCTCCCCAATGATGAGCGAAGGAATGCCAGTTTGGGCGGCGCAAACTACATAGAACGATCAGTATATCTTCCCTTGACAGGTTTGGCTTGATGAAAGGGGGTCTTACTCCTCAGCAGGATTGGCACCAGCGCCATGAGCACAGACAAGGCAAATGGCGGAAGGAAACCGCCAATAACGCCCTTCACGAAAGACGGCAACTTGTCGAGCCAGTGAAGGAACGGAATCTCCTTGGTTAAAAAGTCCATATTGGACACGGCGCCGATGAAAGCCGAGGGAATCGACCAGAAGATGATGGCGGCGGTGATGCCACAGAGAATAAACAGGCGTCGGACGATGCGCTCCCACCACTTCATTCTCAGAGATTCCCAAATGACCTCTTCAGGGCGAATCCCAAGCAGACCGGGGGCCATCTGTAGAGGCAAATGATGCACAACGACTTGTTGTGCGGCATGGGCAGCTTCCTGGGTATCAAACTCGATAAAGGCAGCCGGAAGAGGCTCGGCATCGCCTCTCTTGATTTGGCGCCGCAGTTTGTAAATCTGGATGTTGAGCTCCTTGAGCCGGTTTCGAGTCCACTTGATTGTATCCATTCGGCGTCCAAAGTTGCCAATGGGTCGATGATATGGCCGAGCCTGAGCTGGGATCCATTCACCCGCAACGGAGCCTCTGACGTCCGGCAAGGTGGACCTCAGGCCATACGGATGCACATAGTCCAAGTCCTCGGCGTTGATTTCCACCTCTTGCTCTGGATTAGCTTGCTCGTCGCCGGCTTTAACGCTGATGGAGCTCTTCAGATTCTCAAGCTCCAAGGTGACTTCCAGCGGCCCTTTGGGGTGTTGGACAGTTTCGGCACTACTCAGCATCGCGATCTCGTTTCTCTTTGCCGCCTCCTCCGCTTCCTTTCCGGGATTGTTGAGCACATTGCCAGCTTCTGGGTGCTTGCTAAGCCATTTGTTGCGCGCGGCATTGGCCTTTTTGATGAGAGTAATCTCGGCCTTCTCTAGCCGCAGAGCCGTCTGCTCTCTCTCCTCAACCAGATTCGCCAGGTCTTTGCTTGTGCGTGGGAGGAAGATGCGCTTCGCTGAATCACCATAGAGCTTTCGCAGTCTTGCTTCGTCGCGATAGGGCTTGGGGATACAGAGCAGAAGCATTGTTTTGGACGACAGTCGATCGGCGTAATACGGCGACGACAGATACGCCTGGCGCAGGTTGACAAAGTAAATGCACTCTCGAACGACGGTAAAGAGCACGAATCCTTGCGACTGCACGTTAGAAACGGTGCCATGGGACAACTGCTGAGCTCCATCTTACCGAAGAACAGCCAAGCAACGACGGCATGGGCCCATAGCTTTTTAGAACCAGTGGCGACGTTTCCAATGGTTAAGAATTCGAGCTGTTCAAGATCGTTGCCGCCAGTGCCGTGCACCGGAAGGAGAATGGGCCACACGATACAGCAGCCGACGAAGCTAATGTTTCGTAGAACCTTGAGATAGCGGAGGAAGAAGTAGGCATCAAGGGAGCCATTGTTGAGAAGGTAGGTATCTGGAATCTTGAAGAAGGGTACGATCCAGTTGAACAAGCCGGAGGGCAATTCAGGGATGGGTTTCCTAGATCTTGCATCAGACCCGAGTCCGACGTTGAGAGCGCAGAGAGGCTTGTGGCCAGGGGCATAGAGAAGCAGTAGATGAAGAGAGCGGTGCCTTACTCTGGATACCGGAGGCTAGGAATGGTTTTCGGCGCGTAGACTCGCTTGGACCGATTTCGTAGCAGAATGAAACAGGTCAGGCATAGGCCCAGATATATGCCGACGGGAGCAAAAGTAGCACCAAGTTTGGACAGAGACGCTGTCTTGTTGCCGCTCGACGTGCTGAGAGTGCCACCTTCAGAGCCATCGCGGGCAGACCCAGTTCGATTGTCACTGGGCTATATCGAAGCGAGTCAGACCACAAGTTAGCCAACAGGAGACGGTACACAGCGTTGATTCAAGTTGTGGCTTGATGGGCCCCCAAACCCATAGTCCATCTGCCCCGTCCCGCTTCAGCTGTTCAGGTGCAGCGCCGCCAGATGCTGCAGACAGAAGCGAGTGTCCAGACGTCACAAACGGTAAAGACGGGTACTAGTAGTATATAGCAAAGCTGAGATGACATACCAGAGTAAGGCCCCTCACAAGGAGCTCGTGCCATGGCATAGCCATATCAAAAAGCTGGCGATGGGGACGAAGCTCAGGCTGCAAAGACACCGCGAGGGCAAGACATTCTCACCGCCGAGAGGAAGCCAGCAGACCGGAGCTCGGGTATCTTGCCGGTATTCTGCTAGACAAGGCGATGCAATGCGAGAGCAAAGCACAACAAGCAGTTCGAGTCGAGTCGAATCGCCCAGCTGGTTTTGCAACAGAGGTCAAGAGGAGCCGACCGCGCACAAGCTCAGTTGGCGTTCTACTTGTACAAGTAATATTCTGCACAACGCTGCCGCCACGAGCAACGACGCAGGAATCGCATTTAGCCCGTATTGCCAGCTGGGGGAACCGCACATATACAGGCCAGGGTTCGAGCTGGGAGGAACCGGGGGGCAAGGACCGGCAATCTATCAGCAAGATGGGGGGGACGAGAGTGGTGATGGATGGCAGTCAGCCTCTTTCTTCCTTCTTTTTCCCCCCATCTCAATCATAGAGCAAGCGGCTCCGATTTATCATTGGCAGTGTCTCTGGTAGGCCGCCAGCGAAGCCCCATTCTGTGGACGGCAATCAAACGGGCATGGTGCTAGCCGGCAGCGGCCTGTCCAGGTTGCCAGGCAAGGCTCTCCCAACCCGACGTGGCCACGGGCTCCAGGATGGCCCCTGTTCGGCGTTCGCCAATCGGAAATGCAGATGGGCGTCAGTTGTCTTGGAGGCTGGCGCAGGCGATCGGCACTTTTATCAGGTCGGCGATTGCGCAGTCGCAGGGCTACCGAAGAGCATTATTCTGCACCTGAATGGGCGGGATGTCCTCCGTCAGGCCGCCAGGAACACCGAGAACTGTATGAGAGTAGAATCGGGCGGTTCGTAGCGATGGCGGGTCTCTAAAGCGCTCTGGTGGAGAGAGGAGAGGAAGAGACAGATGGAGAGACGAGGCGAGGTCCGCTGCGGATGAAGATGCTGATGGCCCGCTGAAACAAGTACTTTGTAGATACAATTGGAAGACCATCACGGTGTCGGCCGAGATGATCTGCTCGGTTCGACGTGGCGATTGTTGAGATGCAACCCTGGAGCCGGTTTGTTCAGGGTTGTCTTGGAGAGGACGAGGGAATGATGCGGCGATGACAGGATGAGGACATGAGCATCGGACAACGTGAAGTTGGATCTGGAAACATTATTGTCCTGGGTTCCCTTACAGTTTGAAGTCGAACTGCGCTGTTGATGATTGCTATAGGGGAAGTAGTGGATGTGCTACCTGTAGTACAGGGCACCTACACGCCTAACAGCACTGGGCTGGGCCTGTAGCCACTATCGGGTGCTGCACCTCACGAGCCGGATCTTGCTCGTCCAGTACTACGACAACAACTCGGTACAGAGAAGAAGAACTGAACACCAAATCTTATGCCCTATCTGGGCATCGCACAGAGACGCAGCAGTAACATCATCTTTGCTTCATGTTGTCTTATTGGGTCGACTCCAGAAACAGCCTGTTGGCTCAAATATGACGTGTCGGACGGGGTCGAATCTCTTGATCCATCACTCTCCCTTGCATGCCGATTTGCCTCCTCAATTTTCCAATCTGAGATCAATGATGCCAGACCACTTCTCTCTCTCCTACGGCTTATGTGTACTGTATGTACATGCGTCCTCGACTTCTCTGATTTCTCCGTCCATCTGTTCAAACCTCACCGAGACACGGAATAGCCGCAGGCTGCCAAAAAGTCCTCGGTGTAAAGCCCCTCCTTTCTCCAACGGTTAGCGAGCCTCTCCTCCAAAAATCGGACGTTCCTGAGCCACTCGACGGCGAGGCTCTGCTGTATCCAGTCTAGTTCGCTAGATAGTGGGCAGCTGAAGTCAAGGTGGTGGGAAGGGTGACGGGGCAAGGGTAGGGAAACCTGGGCAACTGGGCTTGTCAGGGATACGAAGGGATCGACGACATCAGCGGGAGGACCGATATGATTCGCAACTACTCGTACAGGGCTTGCAGCAACTCGTATGTACAAGGTTGGTAGGATTTCAATATCTGCTCTGTCTTATTTTCTACTTCAACCCTTTTCAGCTGTCTCTTCCGCTAACAACTTCTTTAAACGAGTGTCAATATGGGCTGCAATCCTACGCGAGTATTGGTTGCCTTGCGTGAGGCAGCCTTCCAGCCTTGGCAGTACATGTCAGATTCTGGCCTCTCTGGTTCAGCTCGACTCAGCCGCAGCTTTTCATTGTTTGAAAGCTATCAATGACAACGTGGGCTAGCGGAAGGGTTTTGCCGACGACGATGACATTCATGTCTCCTCAAGATTCGGCTGCCATGGTATCAAAGTTCCTGTCCCATTTTCAACTCCAGACGCCGTACAGGATGTCGCTTGCTGAACCAATTACCCAGATAAATAGAATGCCCTGGGAATATCCAAATAAAAACCAGAAAAAGAAGAAGGCAACCCGTCAACACAATCCGCCCCGGAATCACCATCAGCCATCGTCCAAAAACACCAACACATCAAAGTCCTCCTTGACGACAACCCAGTCCTCGTCTTTCTTCTTCCCCTCATCCAGCTCATCAGTCGACTCGGACTCAAGAAGACCGTCGTCCTCAAGACTGACGTCCTCCATCAGTTGAGAGAGCTCCGAGATCGAGCAATGAGTGGCCTCCTCATCCAGACCTGCATCTCTCTATATCAGTTACGATGTTCCACTCCACATTTGCTAATGCCACAGTTGCTCAAAGAGAGTCAAGCAGGAAACAAAACGCAACTGAACTGAGCCATCAAGAGGGTACTCACCAGTGAGTCCATGAGGCCTGTCATGCCCCAGGTATCGTGCCTGAAGAGCGGCTCTCCCGGCCTGGAGCCTCGCCAGCCATCTCTCCTGCGACGCCTCCTCCTCGGCAAGCTTTGCCGCTGCTCCAATCCAGGCTTTAAACGGGCTGCTCCTCTTCGTCAGCTATCAGGCCACAAGCACGGAGGAAAGGAGAGTGGGACTCACGCAATCAGGTTTCCTTTGCCCTCGTTCCCGTTGTCATTGCCAAGGTCTGTCTCCTTGGCCCGGACGCGCGCAGGGGCGCCTTTATCTTCTCCCCGACGGCACTCCGAAGATGTCGCCGGAGCTGCTTGAGGTTCTCCTCTCTTCCGCTCCCTTGTGTGCTGCTCCATTGGACTCTTGTACCGTGATTGTCTGTCTGACATGGTGGATATATGGTACAAGAGGATGGAGGATCCGAGCAAACAATGTAGATGGAGGGTAAGGAGCAGGAGAGAATGGAAAGGGGCAGAAGGGGATGGCAGGGAGGGGGAGATCAAGAGGTTATTATACCCAAGAGTTGAGAGGCTACACTTCTGTTGAGAGGCTGCACTTCTGTTGAGAGGCTGCACTTCTTTACGTTGAAAGGGTTGTTTGCGCGGCATTCTCGGAGAGAAAGCTCAAGCGGCAACTTCATGTGGTTAGAAGATGGATATGCTTCCTTGGGGCTGAACCTATTTGCCGTGACTCTTGGAGGCTTTTCGGTAGGGAAGCCACGGAGTCATGGCGACACAGGAATTGATCTAACCGGATACTGAATCACGGCCAATTCTGGCACGAAGCGATCCAGAAGTCAAATCGGGAGGACAGTAACCCGAAGGGGGGGGGGGGGGCGCAGTTTGTCGAGAAGAGCCATCGTCTAACTACCTTTTTGCCTACATACGGGCATGATTCATGAAAGCTTGACAACTGTCAAGAACACGAACAGAAGCTGGGTTACCGACATGCTTCCCTCCTCATCAGGGCAATCATCCGCCTCCTTTGATGTGAAGCCCAGCATACTCGTTCTTTTCTTCATCTCGTCATGTCAATACTTGAACCGCGCGTAAAGCAAGAATAACCTACAAAATAACCTTCAGCCACGACCCGGAAATGGCTGTTTTGGCGTTTTCTCTTTTCTTGAACCTTGCCGCAAAAGAACCATTCTAGAAACAGGAACTCGCCTAGAGTTCCGGCTGCAATGAGGGCCAACGAGAGCCACCCCCAACTCACATTTGGGAACGAGAGAGTGGAAAAGCGGATCTTAGTGATTGTACGTACGTAGAGAAATCTTAACCGAGGCGACCAGACCTCTCCCCCCGCCTTTGTTGGAACACAGAAACTTTAGCATTTGTGCTTCATGGCCTTATCTCAATTCTTACATCGGAGACTTCGACAAGGGTTGGGTTACATAGAGGCCAACCTCCGTCATGTCAAACTTCACATCTCCCTACGTAATCAGCAACACAAATGACGAATGGCGACAGATCTACAGCAAACATCACGACATCAGGAGAGAGAGTTCAAGTTTCATTCCTCAATCAGTCAGAACCGTAGATTCAAAAGTCATCTGGCTTGGTATCTAACAACGGCAGTATTCCTTAACCATCTGCCAAATTCATCCCCCTCATCCACAAAAACTCTTTTTGATGGCTAGCAAACCGGACCATTTGACATAACCTGATCCGGAGCCACATCCATCGTCTTGACGTTGGCGGAGCTGGACATCCTCTCCATCCTCTGTATCTTCTACGAGAGAGAGAGGGAGAGGACACTCCGGTCTTGGCTGAAAAAGCAAAGAGAAGGACAGAGACAGGTACCGCCCCGTGCCCAAACTCTTTGCAAAGGAGGCTCAAGAATCAACTTACTCGCGCAGTGGGAGGGACCACTCGCGAGGGGCCGCAGCATCGACCCAATGGTCATCACACGCATCCACCCACCCCGTGAGCAATCACAGCATCCAAGACCAGCTTGCGTGCTGCCATCAGCTCTGGGGGGGGGACGCGGTGGGGAAGGATGATATAGAAGCAAAGGGAATGTGCTTGTATATACATTACCACACAACAACATTAATGTGTGTTTTTCACACGGACGGAAGCAGGCGTTGCAGGATCATGATGCAACCCGCCCGAACCGTCGTGGGGGAATAAACATGTCTCGGCGACGTTCTCTCCAGAACGGCCTCCTCATATCGTCATTATCATCAAGCATGGTCCATAGAGTCTCTCAACCAACAATGATTCCGTTGCGGCGGGAAGCATGGGGAGAAACCTCGTAGTCGTACTCCTCGTCGTCGCTGACGTCGCTGGCGCAGGAGGAGCTGTCCTCGTAGCCGCATCGGGCGCCGCCGCAGTCGATCTTGACACGCTCGCCCTTGCGGGTGATTCCGTAGCGCTCGCAGGTGCAGGAGCTGCAGTCGGAGCTGGGGGTGCTGTAGCCGGAGAGCGAGGAGCTGGGCGAGGAGCTGTCGGAGCGGTACGAGAGGCTGGAGCCGTTGGACGAGACGGGAGAGGTGCTGAAGTCGGTGAGGACGTCCTCGTCGAGGCCGGTGCTGCCGAAGCGGGCAGTGAGCTCCTCGAGCTCCTCGTTGCCGTAGTAGTCAGACTCGAGGATGTGCTTAGTAGCGTGCGGGGACATGGGCTTGGGGGCCTTGATCTGGGAGACGGACAGGGGTCGGCCCTTGGGGATGTCGACGGTGAGGGAAGCACGGTGGCGGGAGGACTTGTCCTTGGACGAGGAGTGCCTGGAGGAGCTCTTGCTGCTTGACTTGTGGTCCTCGGTGACGTCGAGGATGTTGAGCTCGCGGCCGGTGGTGGGCTCGGTGGTGGACTCAACAGAGGGGTTGTGGGCGATGTGGTAGCCGTCGATGATGTAGTAGTACCAGTATCGCTTGCCAGCCTCGAGGGTCGAGTTCTGGAATCTGAAGGTGCCCTTCCAGGTGCCGGACTTGGAGGTCTTGTCCTTGGCAAGGGGGAGCTGGCCGACGTAGTTGTCCCAAGAGCCGAGCAGGTGGACGGTCTTGACGCCGGAGGAGACGCGGAGAGAGAATGACAGTTGAACAGCAGACATGTTGATTAGTGTGAATTAAGATGTTGTGATTAGGGAGATGCTTTGAAGGTTGAGTGATTCTTTGAGCAAAGATTGGTAAAATTTGGTGTTGATCGCCAGCGAGCAAGTAAAATCCACAATTCTGTTATTAGGCAGGGGGGTATCAATTAGAATGTCGTGATGAGTGTGTAAATGCAAAAAAATAATGGTTCAGTGTAAAAAATTATCTCGTCTCAAGCTGACCGGCAACTGAGATGTTTGATGGTGTAGTTGACAGGTGAAGTGGTTTGTGTAAGTGAAGACGAGATATGGTATTAGAAGGGTAAAAGGGGAGACCAGCTCCAGAACAAACAAAAAACAAACAAGGGGAGGGGGGAAAACAGAAAGGTGGATTTGAGGTTGGCAGAACTTGCTGAGGAGCAGAAAAGAAGAAGTCGAGATGGACGGGTGTTGGTCGCCTTGATATACGTTTTGCGAAGCCCAGCAAGAGGCCCGCGATGACGGCCGACTTGGTCCAACCGTGTGCGGCCCATGTCTGGAACCTGATCCAGAGCTGCAACCTCTTCAACCTGCTTTGCCTGGATCTGCCCTTGCCAGCGGGCCAATAACGCGGCAAAGTCACACACCAAGGCCGCTTCTGCATGCACCTCGCTCACCAGACAGGGGTCGGGCGGTTAACCACCTGAGGGGCGCCCATCCACCATCCACAGCGCCGCCGGCGTCTAGCTGCGGCGCTTGATTGGACTGCCGCCAGCAGGACTCGTCACCTGCAGACCAAGGCCGCGGGGCCTCTTCGTGCTCTTGACTGGCTCATGGCCTGATTGCAAGCCGTAATTGCGTCCTCTAGCATCCGTTAGTTCCCTTTGAGGTCCTTTGAGGGAGAGGCCGAGCTGGCCGTGATTCGCCGGAGCGCTTGCGGGTGGACCGACGTGGTATCTGGCCCAGCCGACAGGTGCATATAGGCGAAAGAAACAAACAAACAAACCGGGCTGGATCAAGGCTAGAGCTGCAGCGCTGCTTTTTGATCACACAATGTCGGTGGAGGCGCGGAGAGTGGCAAGGCTTCACTTGGTCATACATTCGTACAAGGATATGGACGAGGGAGTTGGCGAATATGCACCTAACCAGCGGTTCGCAAGTATGCCATGTTCAAGTCGTATTGGACAAGGTGGACCATCAGAGGAGCGTCGACAAAGCTGATAAGAGTCGATGTCGTATGTATGTTGTAGATTCCCCGTTGGTCGATGGGCAGCTTAAGAGATGGACTCATCTGCTGGCAATATGTCTCCGGTCTCACAGAGAGCTCCCCGATTCCAGCATTAGCAGTCAACGCGAACAAGCTTGCAAGCCTCGGCATCTTTGACCAAGAACCGAGCCTTCCAAGGGTCCAGTTCTCCACGAGCGACAAGAGCTGAGAAAACAACGGATGCTGATTGATCAATGGCTAATAATCGAGAGGTGTCGCCTTCGGTATCGCGGCTCTATCTCGTATGGCATACGCCTGGTATATCATCCTCTCGGTTGAAGGTGTCGACATCGAGCCCAGATTTTTGGTTCGCTCCATCAGGTTTCCAGCGTGAATCCCTGACATATGATGCCCGTGTGATATTCTGTACAGTGTCCCGTTCCCTCACTCCAAGCAACAAATCAGCCCTCAACGCCTTGAGTATGCTCTTCTTCATTTTCAAGGTATATCCTCTTCAACCCTCCATCTTCACGTCCGCACTGCTGTCCTTTTGGTCGGCTCCGCGAATATACAGCACGTTGTTACACCTGGATTGTCATCATCAGCACGTCAACAGACAAACTCGAGACAGACAAGCGGTTTCGCGTGCCGCCGCTGCAGCAGCGTCCTACCTGATCAGAACTTGGCCCAGCTCGCCCGTCAGCTTCTCGTTCAGGTACTCCTCGGTGTTGGCCAGCTGGAGGTTCATGTAGCTGTCGATGGACTAGAGAGACACCAAACGCGCAGTTAGCATCTTCCCAGGGCAGACAATTGCCTTGTCCCAAAGCTCGAGCTCGACTCACCACCAGTCTCCCCTTGTACTCCGTCTCTCCCCACTTCAGGCGCACGAGGACCGTCTTGTCGACAAGATCCTGCAGCATAGGCCGAGGGTTCACCGGCACGAAGCTCATCTTGTCTGCTGGCGTCGAAGGTGTAGATGGTTTGTGGCAGGAGGCACGCTATCGCAAGGCTGAAAGATTCGTGACGAGAATCCAATGCCACACGAAGAGCAGACCGCCCCACCAGGTCCAGGGCCGGCTGAATCTCGGCCTACCAAAGTTACGCTTGAAGGTGCAACAAGTCACTATATCGGCATAACCTCGATAATAGCATATATCTACAAATCCCAACTATCGCCCATCCTTGTCTCCAGCCGCACCTTGTCACATCACACTCCGTCATCAACGCCGGTAAAAGCAGCGACAGGCATTGCATTGTTCTTCCACCTCGTGGCTCGGCCTTCAGACGGACCTTGACGCGGCCGGTTAATGACCCAACCACGGCATCATCCGCATCTCCCCGTCGCGGCCGCAGCAGAAGCGACCAACGTGTAAGCGTGATACGATGTACTGACGGTGTTGATTCGCTCGATGCCATGGAAGAAGGAGGATTGTTTCTCACGCTCCCATGTCCTCCGTCGCATCTTTCTGCCATCATGGCCCGCCGCAAGAAACGCTCAGTTGCCCTTGACGGCGCTTTCAGTATACACCTCACGGTTACCCTACTTGCCTACTTACCTACCTTGCGTACAAGTGCAAGGTCACGATGCGGGTGAAGGACTCCGCACACCAAGTCCTACTGTACGAAGTTGTACTCGCAGAGAGACAGACATCACCGAATCCTTCTGCGGCCCGTTATGGTGGCCGCCAGACGGTCAACTGAAGTGGCTCCCCTTTGGTGTCTTATGCTCCTCTGCCGTCTCCCTTGCATCAATATTTTCCCTCCTGTGTCTCCTGCCTAGAGGGATGAGGTATGAAGTACAAAGTACGCAGTGTGAGGATCAATTTCCCTTTGTCATTCAATTGCCGTCGTCCTTCTGAATCGGACGCATTTCGCATAACTTAACCTATCCCTAGCGCCGGCGGCAAAAGCCTGCCATATCAAAGCCTGCGGAGAACAACTGTGAGTATCACTTCTGAATCTCAGCTCATAGCTTGAGCATGACGAGGCCATACCCATCTTCCATCTGCTCAGATGAGGTGGCTATGTAGTGCCTACATCGACAGTAGGAACAGCGGAGGATGTAGGTGGGCTCGCCGATAGGGCTATCAACCTGCTCGATGTTGCAGCCAAAAGAGGCCTCTGCACAAGTAACGTTCCGGCAGTACTCCCTCTTGTTGATTTCCGCAATGATCTTGCCAAACTTCTCCATGACGCGAGCAGTTCCAGCCTCGGCGTACTGGCGCTTGGCAACGAGCTCAGCCTGCTTCTGGCCTTGGTGACGCAGGACTTGGGCAGCAAAGTCGCCAACGAGGTCGGTCAACTCGGGGCATCCGACCAGGTCCGTCATGTTTTGGGCTGCGATGCGCGCCATGGAGTCGTGCAGCGTCTTGTCGCCAGTGGCGCTGAGGGCCTCCTTGGCGGTGATCATGAAGGCCTTGGGATCCCACTTGTCCCGGAACGCCTGCTGGATTTTTTGGCTGGCGAGGTGGCCGAGGGCCTTGACGCCGTAGTAATCCGCGATGGCATTGACACGCACATGAAGCACGGTGCCTGGAGTGTCTGCGTCCGTGGTCAGAGCTCCTGAGAGGGCATTTCAAGTCAGTAAATGTGCCTGGGACGACCTCGTCATATGGCCGGGTACTGTCTACGACGACGAACCTTGAGTCTTCTCCTGCACCGGCTGAGGCTCCTGAGGCATGCGGTCATAGTCTCCCGTGTAGAGAAACTCGACCAGGCGTCGCACAGTCTCGGCATCGAACTGATCTATTTTTATCACGCCGGTGCGGCCCTCCTGTATCCACACACCATCCATCAGCGTTCTTCTCCCTCTGATTTGCCGGGATTCACACACCCTCTTTCCGCTATACTTACCTTAAAGTCGCTGTTCACAGCAGCGAGAAAGACGGGCGACTGCAGGCACGCGATGACCTTGTGCAGCTTGAACTCGGTGCCCCGGCAGACGACGGTCAGATCCGAGAACTGGCCGGAGCGCAGCAGATCGCGAAAATCCACGCCTGCGGTCGAAACAGTGGCCATCATGACGGGAATCTCGAGTCAAGACAAAGGGTACGAGGTACAAATGTGTTTGGCTTTCACCAGGTCTTGGCGCGCTAGAGTCAAGACGGGCTTGGGGTTGGTGACATGGAGAGGGGAGAGGGAAGGAGCAAGGGTGCACAGCTTCTCCACCGTTGTTGTTATCAGTGACGCGGAGCATGATTGGTGGATGGAGCATGGCAAGCGGGGCTGTGGGATTGGCCGGAGTTGACCCGTGGATGGTCCCGCAGTCGAAGAGGTGAGGATTTCTGCACGGTTTGGGGTTCACGGGGGTGATGCAGCTTGAGTTCACCAGATGGATGATGAGTGAAGATTGTCACTGTGGTCTGGTCAGCAAATTCACCCGATACGTGAACAATTAACGCGCGAAAGCGTCAGGTCACGTGAGCTTTGGCCGACTGAGTCACTCTCCGTCTTGTCCTGTGGTCTCTTCTCGCTCTGGTTCCTCTCGGCGACGCCAGACAAGGCAGGATTCCAAGACCACCACCAGCCTCAGATGTAATATTTAACGCAGCGGTTTCCCGTCCATTGATCCAGAGTTGGGAGTTTCTTTTCTAACATAGATTTGACAGACTGGGCAAATTTGATAGGTCGCCAGGCTGGTGAATTGGGCGCGTATTGGCAAGCAGGAAGAAACAAACTTGGCTCAAGAGACATCCTGTTATCATAACTCCAACTCTAAGAACAAAGAAACAAAGACACGTTCCTCTCCAAGTTCCTCACGACCCCCCCCCCCCCCCCCCCCCCCCCCCCACCCCCACACCCCCCCCCCCCCCCCCCCCCCCCCCCCCCCCCCCCCCCAAAAGGTGTCAACCATGAGCTCTTCTCCCCTCACCGTGGACCTGGCACTCGTTGCCAAAGTGACCGACTACATCAAGGTCTACATGTCCAACTATGACCCTTCCCACGACTACAGCCACATCAAGCGCGTGGTGCACCTCGCCCAGGCCATCCAGCCCAGCGTCCCCAACACGAACCGTGACATCGTCACCCTCGCGGCGCTGCTGCACGACGTCGGCGACAGGAAGTACCTCAAGCCCGGCGAGGACGGCCTGCGCATGGTGTACACGACGCTGCTCTCCCTCGGGGCGTCGGAGGAGCTGGCGCAGAAGATCCAGGCGATATGCTTGGGGGTGAGCTACACGAGCGAGATGAAGGACTTGGCGCGCGTGAGGGAGCTCATCAAAGAACATCCGGAGCTGGCGGTTGTGCAGGACGCGGATCGGCTGGACGCGATCGGGGCGGTGGGCATTGGCCGGGCGTTTACGTTTGGGGGAGCCAAGGGGAGGGCGTTGGATGATTCGATTGGGCATTTTGATCAGAAGCTGTTGAAGCTGGAGGGGTTCATGAAGACGGATGTTGGGAGGGAGATGGCGAGGGAGAGGACGGAGAGGATGAGGTTGATGCAGGAGTGGTGGCGACAGGAGACGGAGGGGATTGAGTAGGCTGGCATGGATGTTAAGCTGCGATTGAGATAGAATAGAAGACATTGAGTCTATATATCTAAAGTCCTCGATGATCATTGAGTCTTGAGAGTTAGCATGCCGCCGGCTACCCTGTGATGATTTTGCCTTTTCCATGATGAATCAATACAACTCTCTCTCCACCTGTGCCGTTTGAGCAACTTGATTAGCACGGCAATTCCAACAGAGCACTATCGAGACATGTCACTGTTACAGACTGATTGCTACAAAAAAGTTGAGCCTTTGGAGTGTCACCCGTCTTTCCCATACCCGATCTGGGGTGGTATTCCCACACCCACGACGCACGCCATCTCAGGACAATGGGATTCACACCAAAGCCTCAACAACGAACCAGCCATCCAGCAGCGCTCATCAGCTACTAACAAGATGAGCCGGCGAACCACCTGTTGGACGCGATAGTTGCCGAACCTCCTCACCAGTGTGCCCCCCCCCCCCCCCCCCCCCCCCCCCCCCCCCCCCCCCCCCCCTACCCCCCCCCCCCCCCCAACACACGATTCCAAAAGTGGCCTGCTTGCGGAGTGGTGGATCCCCATCGTTTTCTGGGGTTGCTATGTAGTATTGAGCATTGCTGCAAAGCAGCTTGACCTCGAGTCAAGAGACGCGGTGATGGCCGAGCCCTTATCGCTGGGCTTTTGCGTTCTTCCAGTTACGTATGTCCTGTTTGGTTGGTAACATCGATGTGCGGTCGTCTGAAGCCTGATATATTCGAACTGCCACGTATCCAAGCATGTCTTGCATGTGCACTGAACCAACTGCACGATCCTCCATCACCCAAATTCACGTGCAATCCCCCTTCGCCCATCAGCCAAAAAAAAAAAAAAAACAAACAAACAAACAAACAAACAAACATACGAGCAACGAGTCATTGCCACGCAGCAACCGCCATCACAAGTTCGCATAGGCTATTCGCAACACCAAAGAGCACTCAAACTTCCCCCAAAGTTGATGCCATCTTTCTTTCCCACATCCCGAAATTCGCCCATACTTTCCGGATTTGGGGGGACAAATGGAGGGAGGGAGGGGGAACTTGTGTGTGTACCTGTGTTCGTTATCCCATGTGAGGAAATGCTTAGCTTCATCCTTATCCATCTTTGTCCAAGCCACATGCGCTTCTTGTCCGAGAGCCGGTGCTGCCTAGGGGCAAATCTGCTTGGTTAGACTCAAAACCTGCTGGCTTATCTTAGGTATTGTTACTACTAGCAAAAAGTTGCTTTGAATTTGGAATGATGTGGGATTCCGCTTGGAATTACATAGTATTGGTCGAGTAAAGAAGAGAGTGGCGTTGTTCCCCCTTCATCCCACCTGACGGGCATCGAATCACACGATCTTGGGGGGAAGCAACAAACACAGCCCAACTCGCATCCCCGTTTTCCCCAGCTTGTCCCAATGGCACGCCCCTGCTTTTGCTCTCCTCGTGGGATCTGCATGTCAACTATTCCTATTCGGTGCCTGTAGCAGGGAAGATGCATCTCAGCCTTTTTTTTTTCTTTTCTTATCCTCTCCCCATCCCCCAGACATTCAGACCAAAAGGCACCGCATAGGTACAATATGCCAAAACGCCTCTCTCCCTCTCCCTCTCTCGGTCAGAGACGCTTAGTTGAGGCTACCTAATCATCAAGTCAGCCATCGTTTATTCTACCTCGGAAACTAAGAAAACTAAAAAAGCCAAGCAGCGTTAATTCCTCCTCGGCTCATTTGCATTTGTGTCCCAATTCACCCTTTTTTTGCACATCATGTCAGCCCTAACGGCAGACTTGCCATCAGGTGTCGCCAATGGAATGGAGCGGCCTTTGCGGCCCCAGACACTTCGGATACGTTGAGTCAGCCTATCCGAGTGGGAGGACATGAGTAATTGCTTTTCAAAGTACAGTAATTAGCTGTTCATAGCTGGCATCAATGAATGTTAGTAGTCGGGCCAAGGTAGTAAAAAAAAGCGCCTTTTGCATCTCACGTCAGGAACTGTGGCTTGTCTCAGTCAGGGGAGGCAACAAGCGTAACAATATCATTGCGTTTTACGGCACTCCGCATGTAGTACCAAAGAGGACAATAGAGGGGCGTGTGTGGAATCAGAGAGCCAAGAGCCAGGATTTGGCTATGAACTGGATCTGCATCGGATCCCGACTCCCGGCAGCGGTGCTGCGTTGGTTTGTTTTGGTTGGTGGTTGTTTCGTTGGGCTGAGGGGGGGCTTGCTAGGGGCGGAGAGTAAGCACGGCCACGCGTGAAGGGAGTCCGTGAACCTTGAGGGTGAGGCTCACGAGAGGTGGCGGCAAGGGGGGAGGTCAGTAGTACTAGTAGTATACAGATGTGGTATATAAATCTCCGACCCCGGGGGCCGCTTCTGTTCTATCCGTTCTGTCGGATGCTTTGTTTTGGCAGCTTGCTTCTTATGTCTCAATAGAGTTGGAGCTGGTCATCGTGAGATCGCGGCCTTATATGGACGACACATCATCACACCATTGACTCCTTGATTCACGATACCCTTCCAGCCATTTCCAACGACACACTCGAGACAAACAGCCCTCCTCTTCTCATCTCGACAATATCGCCCACAATCAGCATCACCTCAATAAACAACCCCATCTCATCTTCAAAATGGACTCCCTGCCCTTCGAGCTCATCACCCTAATCCTCACCCACCTCCCCCGGCACGACCTCCCCTCCGCCCGCCTCACCTGCCACGCCTTCAACGCCGCCCTCGCAAAGCCCACATTCTCCACCCTCGCCTCCTTCGTCGACCCGGCCGTCGCCCAGCTCACCATCGAGCGCCTCGCCTCCGACCTCAACCGCCGCCCCAAGGCCATCTGGTCCCCCGGATGCTCCGTCCCGCGCGGGCTTCCCGTCCCGGAGAGCTTCCTCTCTGCGATGCGCGCTGCCTTGCGGGGGGCTGAGGAGGCGGCGGCGTCTCCTGCTCCGTCTAGATCACCTTCCGTTCCTTTCTCGTTCCCTTCTTGTATAGCAGCAGCCCGCGGTTCCATTTCCTCCTCCTCCGTATCACTATCTTCGTCATTGGCGTCCTCAGCAGATAGCAGCGGCGCGTGGAGCGACGCCGAGGACAGCGACGCAGGCTCGGACATCACCATGTACACCGAAGGGGACAAGATCACGGCGGAGAACTTTGGGAGGAGCATTGGCATGGACGAGCTGACCGAGGACGTGCTGCGGCAGGCGCTGTTCCGGTATGCGCTGTATCTGAGCTACGTCTATACAGGGGAGGGCGAGGCGCCGGCGCTGTGGGTGATGAATTCGAAGAAGTGGGCGCAGCAGCGATGATTTGGTTTCCGTGGCGTGTTTTCCTTTATATACGGCATCACTTTGGACTTTGACAGGCGTTTTTTCTACAATCGTATACCAGACAGTACAAATAACAATCTACGATCCCAACAATACAATGAGTAATATGAGACTGTCGATCTCATAACAAGACCAGGACAAGACAGCGACTGGAATCGAGACCGGGTCAAGGCAGCGAAGCACGAGACGAAACAATTCGCAAGCATAATACCAAGGTATATTCCATGGCTCAAGGCATGTAGAAAGGTATATTGCGTGATCTCCATCATATGTCGATCTCTAAAAGTAAATAACAGCAAAAAGACAAGTAAACTCCCGTGTCCAAACATTAGTCCCCAAGGTATAATATCCCCCCTCCGTTCATGACTTTCCGTCTCCTTCTCTTTCGCTACCATGTTATATACAACGTTTCGCAAAAGAGAAAGAAGAGAACATGACATCCTTTGCCTTCCCCGTAGATTCCCCGATATTAATGAAATGGTTCTCGTTTTCTCTTTTCATCTTCTGTCCGCTCAAGACATTTCATAAACATGCTCACACGTTGTGAGATATTGAATTCAGTCGTAAAACGTTATTCTGCTTGACAGAGCAAGGCGAGCAAAAAGGGAATGCTCGCTTACAGGAAGTAAGCGGCGACGAGTCCCATGACGGCCAGAGCACCGCTGGCGCGGTTGGCAATGGCACCGCCGGTAGGGATAGTGCTGGGGCCGGAGCCGGAGCCGGTGGTGGTAGGGCCAACGGGGGTGTTGGTGCCGCTGGGAGCGGTGCCGTTGCCGCCAGCAGGGGGAGGAGGGACACCAGTGCCAGCAGGAGGAGCAGGAGCAGCAGGAGTGGAAGAGATGACGACGGGGATGGTAGCGTTGTAGGTGATGGTGGCAGTGGCAGTGGCAGTGGCAACCACGGTGCTCTCCAGGGTGGTGGGAGCGGCGGTGGCAGAGGCAGTGAAGCTGGGAGTGCACTCAGAGGCAGGCAGGGTGAAGGAAGGCTGAGCGTAGACGACGCACTGTCATTGACATGTTAGCTTGAGGTCATCCATCTGATCTGACATGAGAGCAAGACGTACGTTCTTCTGGCAGGCAGCATCACCAGCCAGCTCGGAGCTCTGGTAGCACTCGGCAACACCGCCCGCAGGGGGGTATCCGGCAACGTTGTCGGAGCATCGGCCGGCAGTGCCAATGCTGTTGCCGTCGCAGCGGAGGATGATATCGCCGCCCATGCAGTAGGCAGCGTTGGGCTTGGCGCAGGACACCTTGTTGGTGCCCTCGGGGGGAGCCTGGGCGCTGACGAGAGCGGCGGCGACGGCGACGATGACGGCGGAGGTCTTCATTTTGTCTGTTGTTTTGTGTTTTTTGCTGTCTTGAGAATAAAACGGGCGTGGGGGATGAGGATGATATTAAGATATTAGGCGGATATAGTAATGGTATTGCAGGCTGTTGAACGAGAGTACAGCTGACGCTGGGGCTTGTTGGTATACTAGCGAGTGTAGTAGATGTTTGGAGTTTTGGTCCGGAAGCAGAAAGTCGGACGAGGTGTGCGAGGACAGGACATGATTATATACCATGTGTGCTGTGCCATGTGTATGCCTTGATTATACGAGGTTGTTCGTCCTTCCCAGCAACCCAAGCCAAACAAGGCACATGCAGGGAGGCGGCCAGGGTCCCCCTCGAGTGCCGGGGATCCCAAGCGGTCTCCAGCTCCAGGTGCTCTCCAGGCGCTGGTACCGGTACGGGCTGCGGTACCTGCCTGTTGGGCGTAGCGGCGGCCGAGAGACAAGGCCCCCGTCTCCCTTTTTCCTGGCCTTTCCCGCCTCTCCCACTCACTGGTGCTGGATCCTGCCGCTTGGCCGCCCACGCGGTACGTCGGCCGTATGTCTCCTGTGCTTCGCTGCGAGTAGCTTAGATGTGGGAAGTACTTGTCCTACTCACAGTCAGCGCTGGCCAAGGTGCATCGTGTCAGCTGTTAGCCCATCGCAATGAATCCCGTATGCGTGTAGAGGACGATACCAACATGTACACATAGCATTGGAGACCTCGTCTGGTAGCAAAACCGGGGATTCCTGTGATAGCAGCCCATTCGTATACTCGTACCGGCTCAGACCAGTGCAGACGGGAGGCAGCGAAGAAAGGGAGCATGCAGCAAGAGTCGGGCCCCCAACCGTCACGGTGCTAACCAGGGGTCCCTTCTGGTCGTCCCACCAAAGGCCCCAGGACCCGGTCTCAAGCTGAGTAGCGATACCTGGTCCATACATGGGCCGACAGCCCACCGCGACGTTCTAGCCTGTCGGTCCGCCGTCGCAGCTGTAGTCGGAGGTAGCGGTACCTGGCCAGCCACGCGTGGCTCGGGTGCGGCCACGATGACAGGCGCCAAGAGGCAATGCAGAACAGGCGGTGGCTCCTGTGCAAGCGCCGGGCGCCACACAATGCCGTCAGTCGTTCAATCTGAGCATCTTTGCATGGGTTGAGGAGAGGGAAAAGAGAGGGAATAAAAAAAGAGATAGCGAGACAGAGAAGCAAATACGAGCTTTCCGTCCGCTCTATTCGCTGGCCGAGGCCCCGAGTGTGGCTAGTAGCTGGAGTAGCAGCGAGGAAAGTGCGATGGTTGCTGCTTCTCCCCGTTTTTCTGTTCGCTCTTCCCCTCTTGCGCTCGCAGCTGACTGGTCCTGACACGGTCGAAGCCAGTCCTGTTCAGGCAGGATGAGGGCCATGCCGGGCCGTCATTGGCCAATATCACGTCATGGCGCGCAATGCCCCCGGTTTTTGCATCTCCACGTTTTCTGTCGCCCGAAGGAAGGTGCTGTTCGGTACTTGGGTACGTACTCGTACGAGCTTTTTCCCTTCGCCTGTTTTCTCTTCCCCATGACAACTACGGGGAATCTTTTTGCTTGGGCTTCGCCTCGAGCACCAGACGCAACGTTTCGCCGTACAGTGTGTATAAGCTTATAAGCCTCTTCATCGGATCCCTGCGACGCCCCCATCCTACCGACGATCAATGCTTAGGCACAGGGCAGTCGGGTAAAGGAGACCACGACATATCGCACTGTGTTCCATTGGTGATGGTGAATGGCAAAATTGAAAGAGGACGGAAAGAGGCTGAGAGGGCACAGGAACACGAACAAAGAAACCAAGGAAAATCAGCGACATTTCCCATCCACAACGACTGAATAGTGACGCCATTGGCTTCCAAAAAAAGATTTCTGCCCTCCGCCTCGGCCCCAAACTGGGCAGATGAGTGTAAGCCAAGCCCAATCCATCCGCGGGCAATGAATGGGTTCACATAGGCCAAGAGGCCAGAGGCAACAAGGCCATCCATATTCAAACGTGCCTCGTATCGGTCCCATTTTCGATCAAGCGAGCTCTCTTCCTCGAGGCTATGATGCAGCCCGTGCCAATAGCGCCGTGGTGAGAGATAGAACGTCTGGGCACGAGACACTGTTGGATGAAGAGAGAGACAGGGCAACTATTTTCACGATCACATGGGTCGTTGTTTGTCGCCTCATCACCAGCCAGGCTGCACTGCCTACGGATTCACATGTGTGAGAAGGTGCTCGAACGCACAAGCATCCCATCGACAAGCGAGCTTGATCTGTACTTTCCACAGACCAACGCAAGGTGATGGCGGTGATACTACACAGTTGCAGCCGCTCGCGATTGCCGGCCCAGCCCTTCCTCGATGACACTGTCAGAATCTTGATCCTGCTCTTATTGGGGCACAAGGGCACATCTATCTGACTGAGGCGTCCAGCGTCACAGACATGGATCCGGCTGACAGGACGGCTGGGGTTCTCTCCGACGTGCCGCCGTCCTTTTCCTTGTTGACGTGCATTGATCTGTGTGGAATCTTGTGAGCTCCCTTGCCTTTCCTTTGTCTTCTTTGTCAAATTTTCAGCTCCTGAGAAATCTGGGATCACGATCTGGAGAATGATTATATGCTTCTTTCTTCTCCTGTGACTTTGACCTTTTCGCCTTTGTATCTTGGGTACACGGAGCGTGGTGGGACGGGCCGCCAAGAGGCGGTGATGTGACACAGGTATCACAGAGCCCGGGCCGCCCTTTTCTCTTCAAGACGGCAAGCAAACCGGTATGCAGGTATTACTAAGACGGCAAGCCGGTTACTAAACACAGGGACAAAGGCCGATAAGGCAATACACGTAAAAAAGCGAGAACACACAAGATGGAAAAGGAGGACAAAATCTTGCAACTAATGGACGAGATACGGCGCGCTCCGATATCACGATTCACATAATAGGATACGAGAAGGAGAGCAGCCAGACCAAGCTATTGGCCCTCTTCCTCTTCTTCCTTGTTCTTTTCTCTTCCTCTGTGTCTTCTTCTTTCTGACTGCTCTTCGCTCGTATTCCAGAGAAAGATTGCGATATATGGGCAATACTTGGAAGAGACGAGCACGCCGTTTATTAGACCGAGCGTAGCCTTGGCCTTGCAGAGCCCTAACAACTCACCTGTACCGATGACCTCCGAAATGGTGGGAAGTTGCTAGCAGGACAAGGTATTTGTACCTTTTGTCCATTTGTGCGCTCAAGCCAAGCAACTCCGAGTGCAAGAGGCCGAGATACATACGATGATGATACGGCACGTCCGACGAATTGGAGAGCGAATTGTGGAAGTCATCGTACTCTTACGGCAAAGTCCCGGTCAGCTGATTGCAATTGGGTGAATGGAATCAATCAGTATGTGACTCCAACCATCAACCAGACTAATGGAAGCCAATGTCCCATATCTCTGAGGACTTCGTCTTGTACATACGAGATGCGTGTACGAGGAGCTCGGGCAGTATAAAACTTCGTGCTTTCGTACAGTACAATACAAGCACTTGCATGCAGACCGACATCCCTTTTCGTCTGGCAAACATTGGACAGCGTCGGGATTGTCGCCGTCGCCGCGGCGCGACGTTCCAGCCTACTGCGTGCTGACCCCCCCTGTCCGTGGACAAGGGCTATTCAGCTGGGGCGGGAAGAAGCGTTCTGTTCTTTTCTGTTGCTTCTTCTTCTCCTTCTATTCCTGACTCGGGCAGGATGAGCATTCAAGGATCTTTTCTTTCTGCTTCTTTCCCTCGTCTTCACTCAGGAGGGTGCTGGGGAGAGAGATGTAGTAAGTAGTAGTACTACTACTTGAAATGCTGCAGAATGAAGTGATGTATGTAAAGATCCTGGCTAATGAAGCTGTACTAGAGACAAGTTTCTACTTGTACTACAACGTAGACTATGACTTGCCCTGAATGTATTGGTGGCATGTGCCATTATAGGAGAGCTAGTAGCATTTTCCTGCCCGCTTCCCCTGGTTCCAGGAGAAATCTCTCCGCAGCGGCTCAGCGTTCGCCGATCTGGGCTTCACCGCGATCTCCAACAAGGAAAGTCACAAACCCCAATGGAGCAGATCAACAGCCATCCAAGCTGCTCCGGACAATAGTAGACCTTTTTTTCCTTCTTCGAACTTTTCCTGCCCCTGACTAGCTGTGATTACGGAGTAGTACTAGTAGTACTATCATCCAAGGTTCCCCTTCTCCGCAAGCCTTGGCTATCCCTTTTCCCTTCTCAACTTCCCCCCTCAAAAAGCCAGCTTCTCGTGCTTCCACGGCCTCTTGCCCTCGCCCTCGCCGTACGCCGTCGTGGGCTGGTAGTCGCCCCTGATCTTGTACTTGTAAATCGTCAGCCCGTCGAGGCCGACGGGCCCGCGCGAGTGGATCTTGTTGGTGCTGATGCCGACCTCCGTGCCGAAGCCGTAGCGCATGCCGTCCGCCAGCCGCGTGGACGCGTTCCAGTAGACGCCGGCCGAGTCGACCCGGTTCATGAAGTGCTCCGCCTCGGCGCCGTCCGCGGTGAAGATGGAGTCTGTGTGGTGCGAGCCGTGCGCGTTGATGTGGGCGATGGCCTCGTCCACGGAGGAGACGGTCTTGACGGCGAGGACGAGGCTGAGGTGCTCCGTGTCGTAGTCCTGCGGCGTAGCGTCCTGGATGCTGCCCTCGGGGAAGGGGAAGCCCGCAAGGGCGGCCTTGCTGGCGGCGTCGAGGCGGAGCGTGACGCCCTTCTCGGCCAGGGCGGCGGCCACGCCGGGCCAGATGGTGACGAGGGCCTGGTCCTGCACGAGCAGCGTCTCGACGCTGTTGCACGCGGCGGGGTAGCTCGTCTTGGCGTCGACGACGGCGACGGCGGCCTTGTCCTTGTCGGCGGTGGCGGTGAGGTAGATGCTGCAGAGGCCGTCGGCGTGGCCCAGCACGGGGATCTTGGTGTTGTCCTTGATGTAGCGGACGAGCTCGTTGGAGCCGCGGGGGATGACGAGGTCGATGTTGCGGTCCTGGCTCAGCAGCTGCAGGATGGCGTCGCGGGTGGTGACGAGCTGGATGGCCGAGTTGGGGACCTGCGTCTTGGCGAGGGCGGAGGAGATGACTTGTGAGATGGCGACGAAGGATTCCGTAGACTCCTTGCCTCCTGTTGGCGATGATGTTGTCAGTAATCTTGTAGGAAACGTGCGTGAAGATGGGAGAGAAAGAAAGAAGCACTTACCCTTGAGAATGGCAGCGTTGCCGGATTTGATGGCTAGACTGGCAATGTTGGCAATGACTTCGGGACGGGCCTCGAAGATGATGAGGAGGACGCCAATGGGGCACGTCACCCGTTCGAGGATGAGGTTGTCGTCGAGCTTCGTCCGCAGCTGAGTCTTGCCGACTGTGTTTTATTGCTTGTCAGCATCTGACTGGTTTTTTGTAAGTTTTGTAGCCATGATGGCCAAAACATACCCGGATCCTCCAGGTCCCTCACATCGAGTATCCCCTGCAGCATGTCCTCCCACTTGCCCTTCTTGCCCAGGTCCAGCCTCGACACCAGCGCCTGCGTCAGCGTCCCGTCCGCGGCGGCCTTCCGCGCAAGCTCCAGGTCGCGCGCGTTGGCCGCCAGGATGTCGTCCTTGGCCGCCGTCAGCGCCGCGTGGATGGCGTCGAGGGCCTCGTTGCGGGCCGCCGCCGGGAGCGAGGCCAGGGTGAAGGAGGCGTCTCTGGCGGCGGCGGCGGCGGCCTCGGGGGAGCCGTTTGTGAGGGACATTGTCACTCTGTGTCTATATCCTCTCCCTCTGTGTTTATCTCTTTGCGGTTGAGTAAGGATTGTGTCTGTTTGGGATGAGTTATTGTGGTTGAAATGAGCGTCGAGTTGTGAGGTTGGAATGGAGTATGAGATCAAATTATGAGCCTTATGGATGAGAGCGGGTACAGTCAGATCTGATTTTCAAGCTCCGATCGGGGCCCACGCATCGCCTAGTCCGGTAGTCAGAGGGCCGGCAATAGTCAGAAGCGACACTGCTGTATAAAACACTTTATTACTGCAATGATTTGACCAAATACCATTCAGTTGTTGATGTCAAATTCTTTTTTCATAGAGTTCCTCTTCATGCTTTGCTATGTCCGTGTTTGTCAGCATGAACATGCACACATTTGCCTCCTGCGATATCGGTTCCAAGCTCAGGTCCCGTTTAGCATCGGCCAGCGCATCTCCAACCTCGTCGTCGTCTCGGGCCACTCATTTGTTGATGAATCCGCTTATCATCTCCATCGGAAAGTCGCCTCCCTCGCGAACAAGCAGACGAAAGGCCCTCTTCTCCCACAGCTCTCCCAAGTGGCTGCGCGCAATCTGCAGAATTGCCTTTCTCATTTCGTAGCCCAGGCCGGTTGCCCCATACACCTCTCGTATACAGTCGACAAAGCTCTCGCTGACCCAGAGGTGCTTGATCTTTGACTCGAAATTCTGCAGGGCATATTCCTTTAAGCCCTCCACTCTGAAGTAGTCGGCCAATTGGTACACGCGAATGTCTTTGATGAGTTCCTCATCGTCCGCTAGACAGGATGCGGTCAGTCGTTGAAGGACAGCGAACGGCGCACAAGGAAAGGTGACGAACCAATCGGGAGCAGCGGCTGTGCAGGATCTTCAGAGTATTCCCCTCTATACATGTACTCAAAAACCCTCCAGTGCGCATGCATGCTGCCCTCGCTGTACTCAAACTTCCTCTCGGTGGCTTCCTTCATGGGAGACCTCAACGCCGCCTTGAAATAGTCGCTCTGTGCCGAAAGCACGATGGCATGTGCTGGAAGCTCAACGCTGCCCAGACGGATCTTGACGTCTGCGTATATCTTGCTGTTGAAGCACATGTGAATCGCCCAGAGGAGCGTTTCGGAGTGCTGGTTTTCTTCTTCCTCTGCGGCTGCCATCGTGTTGCCACCGAGATGTTGAGCCGACAAGGTACCAGGCCTGGATGCCCATGAGAGGATGGATAAGCTAAAGAATTGAGAAGAAGAAGAGAATCTTGATATTCCGATGCGCACCCCATATAAGGTACTGTTCAGATCACGGGACTGGAAGCGGTGGCTCGAAAGGTCGGGCAGCTGCCATCGTAGCTCCTTCCTCTCCTTCTTTCCTTTTCTCTCTTGCTCATCTGGGCATCGGTATTGCTCCCAAGGACAGCTGCTAGTAGGCCATGGTTATGCCCGAGTCATCGTCGAGATGGTATCGATCAAGTATCGATACACCATTGAGCGGGTAGCCGTGAGCTCATGAAGCCCTTTCACGAAGAGCTGTGGCGCTTAATGCTCTGGTGAAGGCTCGGCCTTTTCCCGTAGGCCATTGTCTCTCCTACCTGGACCCGTATGTCAATGTAAGTTTCACTCTCAAGCAATGAACTTGTGCTCCTGGAGCATCACCAAGTTTGCCGGTCACTCTGACGAAGCAAGCTATTGCCTTGTCCATCACAGAACTAGAGCCCATGTTTGACAAGTGGTGCTGCGACGACTTGTTCGCGCAGAAGCCAACCACAAAGGAATCGTGAACAAAGTCCACCGAACTCTTGGACTCAGGCACTCAGAGTAGTTCAATCCCAAGCAGAATGTTACCTTGAGAAACCCTTGTAAGCTTTCACGTCTTCCCCCGGCGGCTGTTTTATAATATACGTGCCGTATTTGGTGCATCCCTTTTGCATTCGCTCGTTCTTCTTCTCAGCAAAGATGGCACCACCATCGGTTCCTGTCCACAGCTTACCTAGAGATATGATGTCAGTCCGGGTATGATGTTGACCTCTTGGAGAATCATTAGGAGAGAATGAGGTTGTATTTGCGTTTTAGCAGTTTGAGGAGCTTGTGACTTGTCGGTCTTTCACGAATTACATGCATCACCCGCGAATCTCCTTGACTCTACTAAAGACTCGCTCACTTATGATGGGAAAGCTTGGATACTGGATATCCTATTCCACATGGTTTCACACATGTCTGACGGGTCACACGACGGCGGGCCCCTGCATGTACAAACACCAGTCGAGTTGGGCGAGGAGGATGTCTCGAACTGGCTTGTTGCCACCTGATCTTTTTGCTCACGCTCCCTTTTCGATGGTTTCAAATGAATGTCAGTCTCTAAAAGCTTTGCTATAAACGGAGAATTGTGCTGGTATCCGGTCAACTTCATATCACAAGCTTGTTCTACTTTATCGTCTGATCGGAATACCCTGGATGACAAAAGGGGCTGAGACACAAGAGTGACGAACTCCCTTTTAGCTCGTTAGATCGAGCCTTTCACGAGTGATGCTGTTCTGCATAGTGGCCATTTGATCTATTTCAGAAAGCCTTGTGAACGGAGAAGGATTATATTTACACGATAGAAAGGTGATAGTATCGTTGTTTGGGTGTATGGGTAGATGAGCTTGTCCTGACTGTCCCACGCCATCACTAACACGAAGGTGCCCACCTTTTGTTTTTAGGATACCTAGATCGAGACACTCAGTTAGTATAATAGATATGTAGTGCCAACAAAACACTAGACTCACCAAACTCTAAATTGCTCAATCCCTCTCAAGCACTGAAACTCAAGTCTTCATCTGCAAGTTCAAACATTCAAGACATCCAATCGACCCCAACTCAAGTTACCCCAAGCACCTCAACTTGCAATATACCCCAATGATTCCGTGACTAATGGCGTATGGATTAGTACTACTATGCCAATCAATTGTCAGCCTCCAGTCTACATACTGCCCCACACGTACTGGCGTTGGACGTGGAACATAATCCATCAAAATCTGCTTGCTTTCCTTGTCCGGCTAATTCCCAGCGGCACGTCTTAAGCGGTGCCCCTGCATGTTTGTTGCATGGACGAAGGACATACTGTACTACTGTACTGTAGATTGCTGACTGCAGGTGCCATTTGCCTCCGAAGTGTCTGCTTCCTCTTGTGTAACTGCAAGAGATAGATACGCGACGAAGCTCCTCATCATTATTCACGGACTTATACAACATCTCTATCAGGAGTATACAGGTATAGTCGAATTCAACAACAAGCCATCAACCCCAACTAGAATTACCCCAAACCTCGCCGACAGACCTTCTCCAAGCACTCCGTAGCCAAGCCAAAAGTACAGCCTTCCCACCCTCTTATCGTCGGCCCCGTTTCACGGACCTCGGCCATGGAATCCAAGCCGGTGCGTATCCGAATAAAGGCCCACCTATTACGGAGAAGGGCAATTTTCACCGTACCAGGACAGCAAGAAAAAAAAAAAGAGATGCAAACGAACAAGGGGGGGTGGGAATCGAAGGGGATCGGAAAACGGCAATCTTGGTTGGCTGGGCCTCTTGATTTTTCAGTATGTCATAGTATTCATCTTTTTTTTCCCTTGTGAGACAGTTGAGTCTGCATGTCATCATCGTTCTTCTTCTTCTTCTTCTTCAAATACCCTTGTGCTTGCTCCTTCACCGTCCTTCTTTTTTCCCTCTTCCCCTTTCTTCCTTGGGACTGTGCTTCGTGTGTGGTGATGAAGGACCAGTTCCGATTTCGTTCTTCTTCTTCGTTCACTGTTCTTTTCACTCAAGATCCGATCTGCTTTTAATGTCGTCACGGCTGTCCATGTCATATGAGCCATAGAAGTGACAAGAGAACATCATCCAGAACGAGCCCCTCCTCCTCGTAGTTATCCTACCCATAAGTACAACGTCAGCTGCTCGTCGCCGTATATCAAAAACAGCCACTCAACATGTCATCAACACCCGATCCCGAAAAGGGAGAGGACCTACGGACACCCTCTCCTCCTTCTATACACTCCTCCAGCGACAGCATCGCCTCCGCGCAGTCAGAAGACCAAGACACCAGCGACGAAAAGAAGACGGCCCGCAGCCTCGTCCGCGAAGATGATGACTCCGAGCCTCACCATGACGCCCTTGTCCCAACCGTCAGCATCACTACGGCGACGCAGCCCACAGGCGACAACAACACCAACGCAGCCGGACAGCAAGCCGGGCGTTCAAGATCCCGTGCCTCAACTACACGATCTCGCACCCTCACCATCATTCCCCGCTCTCAGCGACGGGGCGTCCTGGCTCGTCTCGCTCTTGTCCCCGAGGTCGAGCGTCCGTACGAGTACAAGAACTCGACGAAATGGGGCATCACGCTGACCATTGCCCTGGCCACTGCCGCCGCCCCCCTCGGCTCATCCATCTTCTACCGTATGCGCATCATTCTCAACTGAAGAAACTCCCAAGTCCCATCAAAGCTGATATCGATTCGCAGCCGCCCTCCCTGAAATGACAAAGGCCCTCCACACCACCGAAGACATCGCCAACCTCTCCGTCGCCCTCTACATGATCTCCATGTCCATCTTCCCGCTCTGGTGGTCCTCCTTCTCCGAGCAGTTCGGCCGCCGCTCCATCTACATCATCTCCTTCGCCCTCTTCCTCGTCTTCGCCGTCCTGTCCGCCGTCTCCGCCAACATCGCCATGCTCATCGTCTTCCGTGTCCTCACCGGCGGCGCCTCCGCCTCCGTCCAGGCCGTCGGCGCCGGCACCATCGCCGACATCTGGGAGTCGCGCGAGAGGGGGCGCGCCATGAGCACCTTTTACCTCGGCCCGCTGCTGGCGCCGCTGATTGCGCCCATCGTGGGCGGCGCGCTGGCGCAGGGTTTCGGGTGGAAGGCGACGATGTGGTTCCTCGCCATCTACGGGCTCGTCATCCTTCTCCTGCTGATCTTCTGCCTGCCGGAGACGCTGGCGCGGAAGCACAAGGCCGAGGAGCCCGAGTCAACGACGACGATCCGCCGCATGACGACGGCCGAGTCCGCCAGGGTGCGCACGAGGAACGTCGCCGCGAGCGCGAAGCGCATCTTCATCGACCCGCTGAGCGTGCTGCTCTTCTTGCGCTTCCCCCCCGTCTTCATCACCGTCTTCACCGCGGCGATTGCCTTTGGGGCGCTCTTCATCAGCAACATCTCCATCCAGCAAAAGTTCTCGCAGCCGCCGTACAGCTTCAGCGAGATCATCATCGGGCTCATGTACATCCCCGCGGGCTTGGGGTACTTTGTGGCGTCCATCTTGGGGGGCAGGTGGATCGACAAGATCATGGCGAGGCAGGCCATCAAGGCGAACCGGTACGACGAGCATGGCAAGCTCATCTTGCTTCCCGAGGACCGCTTCCGCGAGAACATGTGGCTGGCGAATACCATGTACCCGATCGGACTGCTGGTGTACGGTTGGACGCTCAACTATGGCGTTATCTTCATCGTTCCAGCCATAGGCAGCTTCATCTTTGGCGCAGCATCCATGCTCGTCTTTGTAAGTTTCCCTCCTTTTTTTCCGGTCTGCTTCTCCTCTAAACATCACACCTTCGCTAATTCCGCATATCATGACAAGTCTGCCGCCACCACGATGCTCACGGAATTCGTCCGCAAAAAGAGCTCCGCGGGCGTCGCCGTCAACAACTTTGTCCGCAACATCCTCAGCTGCGTGGGCGTCGTCGTCGCGGCCCCCTGGATCAACGCCGTGGGCGTGGGCTGGGTCTTTACCGCCGTCGCCCTCTTCTGCATGGTTGCGGGCTACATCGGCATCTGGACGCTGAGGAGGAACGCGGCGCGGTGGAGGAAGGAGATGGACGAGGCGTTGAAGGACTGGAATTGATGATGCCTGATGTCAATGTGTGTTTTTGCTTTTCTAGACTGAGTTTTCTATATGTGGATAGATTTCCGATGAGTTGATGATACCCTGATTTCAAACCTATGTCTTGCTTTCCAGACCGACTCTCTATACAAGGTATGATAGATATACGAGCGCTTCGTACAAAAGAGACTCAAACCCAGGTCAATTCTCTCCAGCGAGCAACTTCCCCAAAGCCTCAACAGCAACATTCCCCCCACTAAACACCACCCCCAAATCCCAGCCCTCCTCGCCCGCCTCCCTCTCGACAAGACCCCGAAAGTCCTCGTCAAACAGCGCCACCGCCAGCGGCACGCACGCGCTCGGCTCGACGACCAGCTTCATCCGCTCGTAGACGAGCCTCATGGCCTTGAGAATCTCCTCGTCCGTGACGCTGAACATGCCGCTGACCAGGCGCCGCTCGTAGATGACGCTCCAAGGGTGCACGCCCACCGGCGTCCGCAGCCCGTCCGCCACCGTCAGCGAAGACACCGCCGTGACACGCTCGCCAGCCTCGTAGCCTCGTTTCGCGTCGTCGGCGCCCTGATACGAAGGCTCGGCGCCAAAGACGCGGATGCCCGTCCCCTCGCAGCTCAGCGCCACGCCAGAGAGCATCCCCCCGCCACCGCACGGCGCAATCACAGCATCAAGCCCCTTTCTCGTCGTCTTCGTCTTCTTCGTCGCCGCCGCCTCGTACACGCCCCTCAGCCCCTGCCCCGCGGGATTCACCCCCTCGGCGATGCTCCTCTCGACCTGCTCCTGCAGCTCCAGGCCCAGCGTGCCCTGGCCGAGCATGATGTCCGGGTGGTCGTACGGCGGGACGAGGCGCGCGCCCGTCTCGGCAACCACCTGCTCGACGACGGCCTCGCGCTCGACGCTCGTGCTGCCGCTGAAGACGACCTTTGCGCCGTACCCCTTTGTGCCGGCGATCTTGGCGGGGATGGAGATGCGAGGCATGACGATGTGGGCCGTGATGCCGTGTTCTCTCGCTGCGAGGGCGAGGGCCTGCGCATGGTTGCCTACATGTATCACATCAGTACGACTTTTCCTATAAGTTGAATGAACGAGTACTATCAAGGAGTTCTCACCAGAACTATGCGTCACCACGCCCTTGTCCTTCCCCCCGCCCTCCACCCAGCCCGGCTCCTCCGTCAGCCTGTGCAGCGCATAGAACGCGCCCCGGACCTTGAACGCGCCGATGCGCTGCAGGTTCTCGCACTTGAACCACAGCCGCAGGACGGGGCGGGCGGGCGTCCGGCCGGCGAAGCGCGTGCCCTCGAGGCTCCGGGGCGTCGAGGCCAGCTGCGAGAGGGTCTGGTTGGTGACCACGGGCGTGCGGTGGACGTGCGGCTGGATGACGGCGTGGGCTTGGAGGACGGAGTCGCGGGTTAGGGGGAGGGTTGTTGAGAGGGCGGCCATCTTTTTTTGTTGGTTGAAGTGAGGTTTGTCGTGAAGCTGTCCCTATATGTGGTATGCGGGGTCTTTGGAGTTGGGAGTTGTACAATGAATGAAGAGCGATGACAGGCTTCTATGAGGGTAGATATGAAGAAATTAACAGTTAAAGATATATGGCGACAAAATCACAGGCTCATCTCATCACTCTTCAAAATGGCGTCAAACCAAATGAATCCTCAAAGGCGCGCATAAAGACATGAATTGATGGATCAAGTCAAATCACCCCGCCCGCTAGTTTTCAACCGGTCTCTAGGGTAGTCTAAACAAGCCGCAGCTAACGTTCTGGAAGTTTTTGCCTCTCCCGTCAATCGAAGGGTCTAGCCTAGTTCCCCAGACTTTTGATTCCCTCTGACACAAGATGCTGAATGGTTCTATTTCGCACCTGTTAAAATTAAGAGATTGCTCGTTCGCTGGTCCTGCGTTGAGTCACTATGCAGTGTGATCAGTAATCAAGTCAATGCTCCCTAAGAGGAATGCTTCACGGTCGCAAGGTTGCCGAGAGATTCTCTAGTCCTCAACTTCGTCTGCCTTTCTGAACAGGCCTACCAAAATCAGAGCTGGAGACGATTAAGGTAGAATTAAAGGTAAATCTGTTTGAGACACATCTTTTACTCTGAGACAGAGCTGGAAAGATCCCTGCGGCCTGTCTCCCCTCATTGCTGGATCGGGCATTTCGTACAGCAGCTGAGCCCTGCCTGAACAAACCCCCTACTTTTTTCCATGTTTGCTTTTTCCTCCACGTATTTACCCAACATCAGCCGACAGTTGAAAGCCATTTGGGCAATCGATCCCTTCCCATGGCGCCTGACTGACGTTCGCCTAAAGGCTATCACATTTTGATTCCGGTCCGCCGTACATCGTTGAGAGTGCAGATGAATCTCAACGGTCGCCAGGGGAGGGTGGCCATAGCAAACTTTCAACCGCAGGCGTCCCAACGGTGAATACCAGCAGCCTGGAGCCGAGAAGAAATGATTGCCCGGGGACTATCGAGTTGCAAGCCGGGACAGGGGGGAATGGAGGCGCCGCCATTGATTCGACCCATGGCCGGCCCGTCGAATCACGAGCCTGGGTTTTGCTGTTGGCTCTGAGTTCGGAGCCTCTTCCGTTACTTCCCCTCCCCTCTCCCACGAGAGCTGGTAGTTGTTTCCCCCCCATTACCCAATTTCACGTCTGAGGTTGCTTCGGCCCAAGGACGAGCGGGCGCAGTTTCGACCGGAGGGGCCGTCGACGGAGCTGACCGATCAGCAGCCAGCCCAGCCAGCCAGCGAGCCTCACATCTGAGGGCAGCAAACAAGAGCACAGTCCCTCTGCTGGCCATCAAAGCGCTGTGATCTTGTCTTTGCATGAAGATAGTACACACATAGCACACACTCGCAGGTGATGCCATCCTTGACGAATGCCAAGTCTCCGCTTCAGGCCATATGCAGCTTTCTCAGCTGGCAAGATTACCATCGGCCACGAGCATGTGTCATCTCCGCGGGGACAAGCCCGACAGCTTCCGTCCCTTCGTCTCGCCTCGTCTGCTCAACCGAGGCCGAGATCTCGTACTTGGACCAAGCATATGTCAGGCAAGAGACGGGGAACGGACAGGACCCCTCGCAGTAGCATCGGACGCTGCCATCTTGGCCGGCAGAGTTTCATCCCCTGCATCCGTTACCAGGCTTCTCACATCCTTGCCTTGCCTATCAAACGGCGCTCCGTGTCGGCTGCAGTCCGCACATCGAGTCCCCTTTGCGAGCACTCTCTGGCAGCATTAGCCCCCTGCACCTGATTTCTAACAGTACCAACTCACCGGGATCAGCAATATAAGAATGTAGGAGGAGTCGCAGTGACAGGGAATTGCCAGCAGCCCACCATTGCCCAATCCCACACGGAGGCCTTTCTCGATGCCCTTCTCACATCCAGTCCTTTGCTGCCTTCTTGGCTGCATTAGTGCATCCATCGTCCTGGGACACGGGGCCAAGATGGGCTTTGTACTTTGTATGAGATGACCAGATACAGGTGCTACCTGTCAGGAGAGGCTGAGCAGGCTCGGAGAAGACGCCCCGTCTCCAGCTCATCCAGCTCTTGCCCACAATCGGCCGCACCTGCAAGCTGCAGGCGGTAAGTATGTGCTTGATGCTTGATGCTTGATGCTTGGATCATCTCGGCCGGAAGCTGAACTCTTCTTTCCTCCTCGCCTCCAAGCCTATCAGCTCTCTGCATTGCCTCTTCGCCGTAAGCCACAGCGAGACGATTTGCGCCCCGGTTTCGCTACTTTCTGGGCGCTTCGCGTCAACTTGCCGCCGTCCCCCCCGAACCACTGGTTGTAAGCTTAATGAGACATCACCAGCCCTCTCTTTTCTCCAGCTCTCTCTGTTTTTCGCTCTCCTAGTGCCTCATCTTTTCTCCCTGCCGATGTCAGAAACGCGGCCCGAGCGGGCTGTGTGTACGCCGCTGGTCGAGAGAAGTTTGGGGAGAAGAGGATCAAGTGAGAAGTGACGCCCAGAAAAAGCAAATATCTCGAAGACAACGAGAAAAAGCAAAGTCCGAAAAAAGCAAAGAGAGAAAAAGAGGGAGACAACAGTCGGTCGCACCCTGGGAGACCTACTACACACCCCCCCCCCCCCCCCCCACGCTCGGTTTTGCTTTCCCCTGCTGAAGGTTCCTTGTATGTTTTCTGGGTGGCTTTTCCTCCCTGAAGCTGTAAACCGGGGTTCGAACGTACGTATCTTGCGCCAATTTGCAAATCAACCAATTTGCAAGTCAACACTTGGAAAAAGAAAAGAAGCAGCTTGAGAGCAGCGTTGGATCTCGAGACCGGGGAAAATGCTGGGGGCGTGTAACTATCCGGGACATGGTGGATGCTGGTCAATGTCGCATCGGGTTCGTTCCAGGTTCCTGGGAGAGGCGCCTGTCTGGTTCGCGCCCCAGAGGCCATGACATGACTGACCGCGTTGATGGACGAGACACGGTCTCTTTTCCACGTCTCTGTTGCTCTCTTGTTCGGGTCGACCTAGAGATTTAAAGAGGGGATAAGAAGCCATAGTAATGCTTCTTTTCCCCGAAGTTATCCTTCTCGTTCAAGACATTCGCTGGTTCAACCCTCGTCAAAGTATTCATCAGCATGGAGAATCAGAACTTGCAAAACGATCCGCCCAGCCGTGACAGCAGCATCAGCCTGGAAGACCACAACGGACGATTCCCAAGGTGAGCTTCGTCTCCCAGATCCAGTCTTCTGGCGAATGACCTTTTGCTGATTCACGTCGGGCCATTCAGGCTCAGTAGGTCTGATCTCTATACTGCACACCAGCAGCAGAGAGCGGCGTACGGGCCGTTGACGGAAGAGCCATTCTTGATGATGCCTCTCGATTTCCCCAGCACCTATTCCGGGGATGACCCATCCGCTGCAGGAGAGCCTTCGGATACAAGCGCTGCACCGTCGTCGCTTTCGGTTCTTCGTCTAGAACGCTACTTGGCGGAAGAGCAGTGCCACGAACGCCTGATGCTTGGAGTGCCGATTCTGGGGTCCAACAAAGCCACAGTCAAGAAGTATATCCATGAGATTATACACAGCATCGACGGCAACGATGCGTCTCAAGCAGGGGCTATTCGCGGCACAATGACGGACTGCGACGACAAAAGCTCTCCGAAGTCAACCACTTCCTCGATGTCCACATCTTCAGCTGAGTCGTCAGAGCTCGTTGAGGCGCACGACAGTAAATACGACCCTCGAGCCTCATCAGATATGATTCCCAGCTTGGCGGGACTTGGCGAGACTGACATGGCTCGCTTCAAACCAGAACAAGCCTCGGCTGACAGTGAGTCTCATAACGACGGCCCAGACCTCGGGGGCCTTGAGGAGGAGCTTGAAGTGGGACGAATCCTGATGTATGTCATTGATAGGTTCCGCCACACCCCGTCCGTCACTAACAGGCAAGATGTAGGCGCCACAGGACGAGAGGCCACGAGAGGCACGACAGGTGGCGCGTGGGGAAGCAAGCGCGCGTGAGAAGGAACATTCGCCGGCGAAGGAGACAAGAAGAACACAAGAAGGAGGCAGCCTGATGGCTGACATGTATCGGCGGCGGAAGAGTCGATGACTTGACGTGCACATTAGATAGCGCGGCGTTGGATGGACGGTTGCACATGCATTCCGGAGGACTTTTGAATAGACACATATTGTCTTTTGGGTAACGTTAGACAGCGGCTTTGCAAAGGCGCGAGCCGCAGTGAAGGATTTGTTTCCAGCTTTAATGCGGTCTGCAAAATTGTGACTGGTGATGCTTGTTTTTTTCAGGTTGAGTGTCCTTGCGCCAAAATACAGCCCAGTTTATTACCCCCTACCTCACGCACGGCGCCTCGTACCTTCCTCCGACAGATCCTAGGTAGGTAAGGACAATCGCAGATGACGGAGTCACGTGGAGGAATTATTCACTGGTCAATGGCCTATAATGCAATTAATCTTTGTTCTTCATGGTATTTTCCGTCCATCTTTGGGCGTATTCGGATGAGGTTTGGACCTTGAAGCAGTCAACTTTATGTATTTCGCTTGTATGCTTATCGGACGATTCAGCGATAAGCCGCGCCGAGGGGGTTCGATCCAAGCGTCTCTTAGTCCCTCACCTTACCGTACCTTACCTCATAAGGATGAGACGATGGAATGGTTCATTCGTACTTCTCCTCTCCAACTCAACTATTCACATTCTCAAATAATTTACCCATTTTCTGCTTCTCTTATATTCAAGCCAAAACAATCTAGAGTATTTATTCAATGAACATTGTAGTGGATTAGGATCATCACGATCTGCCATGGCGTCTGATTCGGTGTACAAGCCCGCCCTGATAATTGTTGACTTCCAAGAGGACTTTTGCCCTCCAGTGAGTTGCACCTCTCTCCCTCTCTCATATTTCTTCTACTAGCTATTCCCCTACCACCTAGTATTCGTTTGTTATCTTCTATTAATTTGATATCTGCTATTTCTGTACTGTGCTTCGTCTCTCAACCTATCCCCTTCCCCCTCATAGTGTCCTCTGTAAATCATGAAGCATGACCATACTTATCCCCAAAGACACTCCTACTAGCCTCACTGACTTCAACAACCAGAATGGCTCCCTCGCAGTCCCTCAAGGCCGCGACATCGCCCCCGTCGTAAACTCCCTCCTCACACTCCCCTTCGCCCTCAAACTCGCCACCCGCGACTGGCACCCCCCAAACCACATCTCCTTCGCCGAAAACCACCCCGGCGCAGAGCCCCTCAAATCATACCACACAATCGTCCACCCCACAGACCCAACCAAGAGCGACACGACGCTCCTCTGGCCGAGACACTGCGTCCAGGGCACCCAGGGCGCGGAACTCGTGCCCGAGCTGGACGTCGACAAGGTCGATGAGGTGCTGGACAAGGGGCTGGACGCGAGGGTCGAGATGTACTCTGCGTTTTGGGATCCCATGAGGGTGAGCGTGAGTTCGTTGGGGAGCACGCTGAGGAGCAAGGGCGTGACGGATGTGTTTGTGGTGGGGTTGGCGGCGGATTACTGCGTCAAGGCGACGGCGGTGTCGGCTGTCGAGGAGGGCTACCGGACGTTTATCGTGGAAGAGGGCACGAGGCCTGTGATGAAGGAGACGTGGGAGAAGGAGGGGAAGAAGGAAGTTGAAGCGAAGGGTGTCAAGATTGTGAGTGTTGATGGAGAGGAGATTGCGAGGGTTCGGAGGCTGGCGTGATCATGACGCTCGTTTCGATATAGCAGCAGCAGGGTGCGTGTGCCTTCACGCTGCCGCTGATAAGGAGTCTCCATGGCAATTGGGTAAGAAAGCTGCTCAATATGCCGTTCTACAGCAATGGGCGTTTGGTACGCCACACCTCTTACGTAGTTTTATAACGTGGTGGAACACCCCTCAAGAATCACCAGAGATACACGCAAGCACATATGAAGCACTGTCCGCGGGTATTAAGGTTTGCCATTCGCAACCTTTTTCAACTCTATATACTAAGCATATATCGTCTATGGAGCATGCCAGTGCATTGCCCGGATCCCATTACATCCAATTTAAAGAACAAACTCCGTGATTACCAACACCCGACCCGTTTTACTGCGCTTGATGTCTCTCACATTACCCAACATATAGAAAATTTGTCCATTTCATCATCATTATTTTTTCACCTCCGAACCGCAGATCCATTGGACATGGCCAAGGATTGTGACGAGGGAGCCGGGGTCATCGCTCTTGAGGGGGCCCCTGAAGGTGCGGCGCTTCGGTTGTGCGCCATGTGAGCCTTGACCAGGTGGCCGGCGGCGAGGGCACTGCAAAGCGACAGCTCACCCGCCAGGACGGCTGCGGCGATGATGCGAGCAAGGCGGCGGGCGTTGTCTCCGGGGTTGGTGGGGTGAGATCCTCGGACGCCGAGCAGCTCCAGCATGGATCCCTGGGGGTCCAGGATGGTGCCACCGCCAAGAGTACCGACCTCCAGAGAGGGCATGGAAACCGAGATTTGGAGAGAGCCACGGAGACTAGACAATGGGTTAGCATGCCGATCGAATATCAAAGGAGGGAACAAAAGTAGGCACTCACTTCTTCATGATGGTAATGCAGTTGGCACTCTCCACGACCTGTGCGGGATCCTGGCCAGTGGCGAGGTACATGGCGGCGACAATGTTGGCGGCGTGGGCGTTGAAACCACCAATCGAACCAGCCATGGCAGATCCGATCATGTTCTTGGACGTGTTGAGCTCGACCAGAGAGTCGACATCCGTCTTGAGGACGCTCCTGACGACTTCACCGGGGATGATGGCTTCCGCAACAACGCTCTTGCCACGGCCTTCGATCCAGTTGATGGCAGCGGGTTTCTTGTCCGAGCAGTAGTTTCCGGAAAGAGAGACAATCACCATGTCGTCGAAGCCGGCCTCGTTCTGCATCACGTTGAGAGCGTGCTCGCAGCCCTTGGAAATCATGTTCATGCCCATGGCGTCACCGGTCGTCGTCTTGAAGCGGATGTACAGGTTGGTGCCGGCAATGGCCGTCTTCATCGTCTGCAGTCGGGCGAATCGGCTCGTCGAGTTGAAAGCGTTCTTCATCGTCGTCTGGCCCTCCTCAGAGTCAAGCCAGATTTTGGCAGCGCCGGCGCGGTCCAGGGTCTCGAAGCTAACAACAGGTCCTCGGGTCATACCGTCAGCAGTCAAAACAGTCACGGCACCGCCACCAGAGTTGATGGCCTTGCAGCCTCGGCTGGTGCTGGCGACAAGGACACCCTCGGTAGTAGCCATGGGGATGAAGAAGCTCTGTCCATCAATGACAAGAGGACCGGCGACACCGACGGGGATGGGCATGTAACCAATGACGTTCTCACAGCAGGCTCCAAACACGCGCTCCCAGTCGTAGTGTCGGTAAGGCAGCTTCGAGTTCTCCAACACGCTGGTAATCTCAGAAGTGGCTCGGGTGCGAGAGATGATGGTCCTGCGAACCTTGACGGCGCGGGTAAAGTCCTTGAGAGTCTTTTCGAGGGCATAACCAGGGATCTTGCCGCGCATCGACAGTTCGACGACCTCTTCGTCCGTCATCTCGCTGACGCGCTTCTCGGCGAGCATCTTCTCCAGGACGGCCAAGCTGCGGTTCTCAGCCTCCACCTTGGGCTTCTTAGCCTCAGTGTCGCTCTCGTCATCCGTAATGGCAGGAGTGGCTGGCTGAGTCTGCTGAGGGGTCGGGGGCACATATTCGCCAAGAGGCAGAGTGGCGGTAGGGGTGTCGTTGAAGCGCTGCGCGCGGGCGAGCTCGTTGCGGTCAATCTGGTGGTCAGGAGTGTTGGGGTCCTTGATGGTCCACCGGGCCACATTGAAGAGATAGCCATTGAGACCAACGCTGAGGGCGAGAGCGGCCACGATCCACTTGGAGAGGACGGGGTCTTCGAGACTGCTGAGGATACCACCGACGACACGGCCTCCAACGCCGAAAAGCTCGCCCTCGGATGGCCCGGTGGCTGAAGGCAGGGCGTAGTGAACGGAAGGATACTCGAGCTCATACTTGATGGGCGTGATGATGCTCACGAGGACGGCAGAGCCCTTGGCCTTGGCCATGTCCAAGATGGCGTCGAGGCCATTGGACGCAACCTTGAACGGGTCGATGGGGGGAGTAGAGACGACACCGCTGAGTCCGCCCACCAGTGAACGAATGTTGGAGATGGAAGCGCCGTTGCGGAACAAGATCGTGATGACGTTGATGAGGTTGACGAGGATGAAGCCAGAGACCATCAGGCCCTTGAACTTGGGAATGCTGGTGCTCTTGACGTTCTTGCCAAACAGCGCATTCTCCTTGGAGGTCGGGCCATCAGCACTGGTGGCGGCATTCTCAGCAACACGGCGGCTGACGCCATCGGCCTCGAGGACCATGCGCATCTCGACGTGACGCTTGATGCGGTTGATGACCAGCTTGATGCTCAGGATGGCCGTGTAAAAGGTGAAGAGCAGGATGCAGTCGAAGAAGAGGATCCAGGCGGCCAGAAAACAGAACTGCTGGAGACCGCCCTGCACGCCAGAGGCGGCGCCAAGGCTCAGGACGAAGATCTCCATGGCGTAGTCGCAAACGATGTCGTAGCCCTTCTCCCTGATCGCAGCCTGGACGGCGTAGGAGATGACATTCTCCTGCTTGACCTGCTTACCCTTCTTCGTCTCCTGCGCGCGGTGCTCGATGGCATGGCTCAACACAGCCTTGGTGAGGACAATGTTCTTCTCGAAGCCAATGGTGACGACGAGGAAAGGAAGGCCCTCGGAAAGCAAAAGAACGCTGATGGGAATACCAAGACTAGTGGTAACGGCCAAGCCGAAGAGGAAAGCGAAAGTAGAAGAGAAGAGCGTGGTTGTGCCCAGCCAGAAGTTGGAACCCAGTCGGCGCATGGACAGGAACAGAGAGACAAACGTGAGGTGCATGGCAAGGTAGCCCAAAACCATGATGGTAATGTCCAGTCCGCCAGCATTCTTCAGCAGGTCAAGAAAGTTGAACCAAGACTCGCGAGCTCGCAGCACGAGGTTGTTGCCCACGTCGACCTTGGCAGCCTTCATGATCCACATCTTCTTCTCACGGCCATGTTGAGTCTCCATCTCCTGGGCATTCTCGACGGGTATCTCCTGTACAGCGGTGACAAACTCCGGTGCCTGCTCATAGGGCAAAGAGTACGCCAAGACGCTGTCACCCGCATAGGCGGCAAAGGAGTTGATCGTGGCGGGCAGGGCCGTGATGGAGAGGTTCTGGGGAGTACGCACAGCGTGGGCATGGGGAGCAGCAACAGCCGAGTCCGCGGAGACGATCTCGGGGAAGACAAGAGTCAAGAGGGCAAGGTGGTCGGCTCCTTCAACAGAGCCAGAGCTCTGTTCCACGTTTTGCCACTTCCAGCCCGTCTCGGGACCGGCTATCAAGTCTCTGCTGCCCTCAGCCAGCGACGCCCATTCCGCCTTGCTCACGCTGGGGGTGTTGCCGAGCAGGGTCTCTTGGAGCAAGCCAACATAGGATGTGCTGGCCAAGAGGGCAATGACACCAATGGTATGTATAGGATGGGAACAAGCCACCTTGGCCAGGAACTGGAGCACCGGGGTGATGCGCTTGTTCAGACGTGACGGGGCCGCGGCTTGGGTCGGAGCAGGCTCCCCGCGAAAGCGGCTGGGAAGCAGCGTGGAGGGATTCATGGTGTAGACAGGATATGCTTCGTTGCCGGCTTGCAGCTATTCCATTGGCAGGTCTATCGTACGATGTCGACTAAGTAGGTACCTGTGCGGTCTAGTGCCCGCATCACCTTGTAAGCATCTCGCAATAGAACAGATGTCAAGATGTCAAGATCTCGCAGAGGTGGGAGAGGGAACGGGGCGGACATGGACATTGATTTATAGAGAAAAAGAGCAGCGCCGTAAGATGCAGACTCACCTGATGACGAACGTTGGCCTGCTGTTGAAAGCACCGGGCCAGCCTTGTTGACGGGATTGCCGTATTCGGAGTGGTGGCGGCGAAGGAGTGCCAATGGCAGTGCTGAGCGCCCCGAGAACAATAGGATGCTGACAGCAATTGACGATGATCCGGCTTGACAAAGAGTGACGAGGGCGTCGGACAGCTCAGCCACAGCGCCTGGGATGCCTCCAAGAAGCAGCAGATGGGGGAGGAGGAGGAGGAGGAAGGGAATGAAGCGGGCAGCGTTCCCTTTCTTCTTAACGTCGACGAGAAGGAAAAGAAGCGGGCGAGCAAGGGAAAATTATGGCCACTGCAGGTTCCCCTGATGGAAAAAAAGAGGCCCCAGAGACTGCAGATAGCAAACTGGTGCAAATTAAACGTCTCCAAAGCTGCCGCCCAATGGGGTAGTAAATTGGGGTCGCGGTCTTGAGCGCTTGGCCTTAATGAGCGATTCGGGTTGGTCGATCGTGGGGCGCTGAAGCGACGTCGATCGAATCAGAGGGGAGCGGGAGAGCAATTGAGGGCTGTGATTTGTCCAGAGCCTCCAGCGGTTGGCTAGAAAAGCTGGTGGATGATGAAATGAACTCGACTAGTGAGTCTGCCGTTGTTGGTGTTTTTTTCCTTTTTTTCTTTTCCAAGGTCTCTCGGATTTGGGTGAGGGAACCGAACGGCTCTAGCCGATTATACGAGTACGAACCCGATAAGGCGAGCAAGGTGCGGTTTAAAGTACAAGTACAAGGAACATGGAAGGGCTGCTCTCCTTGCTCAAAGCCCAACTTGGAAATTGACGGTACAGCTCGCAGCTCCCGTCCCAAATTCTCCTGGTGCAAATTGGATGAGGCACCACATCTGCAGAGATTTTCCAAAGTGCAGACCGATGCCTTTTCTCTTGATTTCAATAGCAATTGCTTGTAGTAGTACTGAATCCTGCAAGCATCTCACAGTATCATGCAATCCTTCAAGGTTCCTGCAAGGTATCCTTCTTTTCGCTGGTGGATCCGCCGCTCCATGGCTGCACGTGTTTGGCGAATGACGGCGCGTGTTTGGACTTCTCAACAGAAGGAAGTGGCAGGCACAACCCGCAGCGGCACGTGGCGTGCATACTTGCCTGGCGATCGCCCAATTACCTCGTACTTTCTTCAGCTTCCAAGTTCTCTTGCGAATCTCTCCTCGTACTCGAATTCTGTCCAAAAACAAGCTCTCGACACAATCCGGAGTCGTTGTCGTCAGCATCTTCGCCATCGCCCTCGAGCTTCGACTTCGATATCGACGACCTGTGCCTAGTCGCTGCTAGCCCTCTATCTACGCCCAATGGCGGGCCTCAGACCCGCATCGCTACGGAGGACCTGGTCAACAAGCATGTTGGCGCGGTGGATTCCGCTTGAATCCCAGCAGCCGGCCAGGCTTGGGACTGCAAAGAAGACGGAGAAGAGATGGAAAGGCCCGTGCTTCATCAGTGACATGTACGACCTTCAAGGGCACCATGTCCAGTCACTCACTCCCGTCTTGATAGACTGATGAATCCATGCAGCCCTAGAAGAGGAGAGGTCTCGTCAGCCGGAATGTCATATTGTACTCGTATCGGACCTCCACCGCCAGCAACGCCGCTTCACGGACGAGGATTCTGAGCGCATCTCTGCTGCTACTGTACGCGCATGGAGCAAAGCTCTCTGAGCGGGCCTGACACGACAAGTTGCATGTTAGGAGCAGCATACCGCATTTGTCGCCTTGCAGAAAGTGATAGTGTTGCCCAACCGCTATGTGTCTTGTTTGACATTCACAACGGCTGCGGCGAGAATCCATGTCGGCGGTTCCATTGCCCCGACCTATGCCATGATTCGTCCGAAACAACATGCGGTGAGGGTGGCTAAACTTGAGATTTCCAGAATTCGCCTCTGGCAGGTCAAAGCCCATCACATTCGACGATTGGCCCTGCGTTTCGCGGCAACGCATTGTTGACAAGCACTGTGTAGGAATTCTTTTCTTGTCCTTCAAAGACTGACATGGTTTCACGGCTGGCTGACGGCTGCATCAATTACCCCGGCATCCAGGTAAGCAAAAGCACCGCATTCGTTTTCGATCAATGGCGAGCATTTTCCGCACCACAAGTTGGAATTCGGTATGGCGTGCTTTGACTTTCATCCACTGTCACTGTTCCCAAAAGAAGAAGTGGGAAACAGCTGGGTAATGACTGACTGCCGGGCCTCTTCTCCATCATCCAGGAGGAGCATCGGCGTCTCACAGACGCACCCAAAGAATCCGCCGACATATTCCAAACTAACAATGCTTGTCTGGTGGGATCGCCAATACGACGCTATGATTATTCTCTAGTATCCGGCACCCATCCCAAGCAAATGGGTAGTATCAAAGTCTGATAAGAGCTCTACGAGGGATGTAACCAAAGTTCGATTCCTCCTACGTCGGCTGTCTGGGAGCTTTCGGCAAACAATAACGGGGCTATGTTACATCTGCTGAGCTCAGTATGGAGTACTACAACTTCTCTGCCCATACAAGTCGACGGAACAAAGCTAAGGGAACGAGTACGCGCACCACTGGTGCGTCGAAGTGTCTTCATCTTGAATAGAGTAGCAGTGATATCAATTACTTGTAACCGCTAACAGATTACCTAGAAAAAATCAAAAAGACGAGAACCACCTGCGCCCGCTAAAGTCTAATGGTTACAAACATTGCTATCTCTCACAGTGCATCATCGTCGTCCCGAAGCTCTTCTGATTCAAGTAGCTGATACCGGCCCTCCTCGTGAAGCCGAGCGGTGGTGACCCGGTCAGGATAGTTCCTCAGGAACATGTTTGTGAAGTGCGTGCCATAATGGATCCCCTCAACAGGTGATTGTCCGGCATTGAAGCCCGGAAGCGGTCGTACCACGGAACGGAAGTTGGGCTCGTGAAAGTACGCAAATGCAAAGCGTTCCCGAACATTGAGCCCGACCTTATGCGGTGTCGACTGCAGAAAGTTGTTGGTCATGTACTGCATCATGTCGCCTGAAGAAGAGTTGTGAGCTACAATTTCCATGAATGGGACAGTCAAGCTTACCTGGAAAGACGGTAAAGGTCCCTGCAACAGGAGGCACGTATACCCATCCGGACTCGTTTTCTCGGAGGCCAGCAGAACTCTTTTCCCAGTTGGAGAACCGCTCACTCTCACGCGGAGGCCGGACAAAAAGTCCTGCAGGACGTCTCGTTAGTTCTGCGGGCTTGACGAGTTTGTGAGATGAAGCTACGTACCTCCAACGGAATCCTGAGCTGCAATGACGAGCAAGCCATAGTCGGTATGGGAGCCGATACCGCGCCCCTTTTTGCCCTTTCCATTGGTCCTGTTGTTTTGTGGAAATCTGCAGAGACACCCAGTCAGTCACGGCTACACGATCCTATAAGAGAAGATCATTTACCTCAGGACGCGCATGTGGTGCCACCCGTCGTCTGTGTACTTTGTGAGAGATCCTGTGGGGATATCCAGCCCCATCTCGATGAGCTGCAGGAGCTTCTCTCCCGATACGGCCAAGTCTTCCATGTACTTGTTCATGACGGCTTTCATATCCTGGTCCAGCCAGGGGCACGGTCCATGGCATGGCCAGCCTTGGGCGACTCGCTCGTCGGTGTGCGGAAGATCCTTGGTCACGGTGAAGATCTCGGAGTAGTCGGCGACTCCGTCGGTGATCTCTTCACCGGAAGCGATGTATCCCGAGTAGCTGGAGCCGTCCACGCAGGCCTGTTTCCGCGCATGCGGCTGAGCAAAGAAGCGCCTGCTTGCGGCGGTGGCGGCTTGGTAGATTCTTTGCTGTGACCTGGTCATGCCGATTTGCAGGATGCCGTCCCGGCGCCAGGCACCGATCATGGCGTCGGCTACGGCCTTGTCAGACACTGACCCTGAGACCTTTTCAGGCAAGGTGAATGTCTCTAGCCGCCCGACCCTGGCTGTGAATCCCGGCGGCATGCTATGGCTGACGGATGTCTGCGCAATGAGTGCCGATGTGGAGGCAGCGCGCGTCTTGGGAAGAAGATGACGGGCTACATCTACACCTCTGTTTGCGACCTTGACAACGGCCATCTGATCTGTGATGGGAGAAGACGCGAAAAGGGAAGTATGTGGGAAGCTGTCCTGTTTTCGGGGAGTATGTTATGAGCTGTCTTGTTTTCCAGGTGAGCTATCTGATAGTGGCTCTTTGCGTTTCTGTTTTGTGGCTTGATGATGATACCAAGGCTTGAAAAGAAGGAACCGAGCGAGCATAATATATCTAAAGCTTCAACACTCAAAGCTCTTACATCTTCGGAGTCTTCACCACAACGACCGACCGCTCTTCTACGCTTCTCCGCGCAGGTTACCCAGAGTAGCACCAAGTACACTAGAGAGCTCCCAAGTGCGGTTATGCTTCGTCTCAAGCGGTGGTGGCCGCAGCTCTGCCTCGTGAGGAGGCGGTTCTCAAATACGCATGCTCAACCATCCCGTGTGCAACACCGGCTCTCTAACGGTTCTGGACCTGGTGGATGGGTTTGTACTACGGAACTGCTAAACGATCTGGAGGCGGTCTGAGACAAAACGGCCGCAGCGACATTGTTGAGAGAGGTTCAAGTCTATGGAGTGTGAGAGGCGAAAGTCCCCAAAGGAACACGGAGGGAGCTAGTTGCCTGATCTGCGATCTACACGCCAATCCTGAAACCTTCATTTACGAACCAACAAACGTAATGTTGACAGCAAGACTATAACTTGACGGCAACTCACCTCCTTTTGGCCGCCTCGAGTTCCAATCACGCTGTTACGAAACTAACAGGCCGGTCATGTCCGAATAAGCTTCAACAGTGGCTGAGAGCTATGCATCCATTTTTTCCAAAATCGGATGGCACTCTTCCATCCACTGGCTGCCTTTTCAACGCTGTCACACCTGCCAGGAAGACATCTGGAATCACTCTGCAGCTAATCACAGCCGACATATCGGTGAGCTCTCTCAAATCAGGCCGTGCCTCTACCTTTACGAGCCCTCCAATCCGGTCCTTCTGGTTGTTCAATCGTGAGCAGGCGTTGCTATGTCCTTCTTCGCTATCTACACGCTTTCCGACAGGACTACACTATTACAGATAATAGACAAGTCATTCTAGCGCTGTCTTTATTTCAACTTTCTTCAAGCTCGAGATGAAGCTCGAGAGAGGGGGGGGTAGGCGCAGCCGTGTGTCTGAGTGGAACAACATACCATGAAGTATGCTGTGCCATATGAGAAGCGCGGGTGTGGTGTGCTGCCATTGGACACTCGAACCGGAGGTGATGGACGAGTTGAGCAACCTACGAGACGAACGAACTAGTGGGGAATGAAAGATGAATGAGGCGACACTCGAGTTGAGGTTGGACAAGCTTGGGACAAAAGTAGGTATCGACGTCCTCCCCAGAGTCTGGGGAGCTCGATCGCAGTCCCAGAGGCCGATGCTCGTACAGAAACAGGATGAAGCTGCGATCGGGCTTTTCAGGCATCATCTTGGATTTGGCTATGCTTTGATGTCGAACGAATGGCCTATATTTAAGGCTTGACCTCGCAAATAGTTTACCAAAATATCTTGGATCTCGATCGCATTGGAGCTCGGACATGCAGGGGCAGCCCAGCCCTGCGGAATGCGTGTTGAAGCGCGAGAGGCTCCAGCATCTTTCGACCTCCTGGCACGAAGCCATATCGAAGTGGTGTTTGGCGCTCGGTCTATACGAATTTCTGTCCGATAGACGAGGCCAAAACACGGAGCCCTTTGAGAAGTCCAAGGATCAACCAAGTCGAATCGATTCAGCACCTCACTTCCAGCGCTGATGCTCAAGTCGCCCCTTTTCTCTGGACTCTTCGAGCTCATCTTCCTTCACGCCACCCTCATACTCGACATAACTCTCCATCCCTCATCTCTCGCATTCTTTCTTATCATGACCACGATCACGCCATGAAGCAGCACGACCTCACCTCGCGCCCTCGACCACTCACGCCTGGCCATCATGATGCGTGCGACCCTTCAACGTCCAAGTCAGACAATCGCACAAAGAAAAAAACGGTTGCTTCTCCGGGTTTACACGAACTCGAGCTCTTGATAGACGGATATACTCAGCTCCCTGCAGCCTCGCGGCCCCTCGCTGTCTTCCACTCGCTGCTCTTCTTACCGAAGGAAGGAAACTACCGACCGCACCCCGACTTCGTGCTACCAAATGCAGCTTTGCACATGGCCTCTATGACCTTGAGACATCTAACGGTCAAGCATATGACTGACAACGGTGAAGCTAAAAGAAGTTGTGTGACTGCTGCATGGAAGAGCGGGGGCTGAGTCTCAGACATTGTTGTCGATGGCATACATGACCATACGGAGTACACGATACGGTCTTCACTTCACAGTCTAAAGGGGAGAAACTTTGCGCGCTATCGGGAGAAAACGGGGGGCTGTGAAGTTTGTGAAAGCTCTATCGTGTGGGGGGGTGTTGATGTTACAGCGACCAGGCTATGAAGAAAAGAAGGCATCTACCAGCGTGTCGCTCAGCAGATCACGGCCACGTTGCTGGATGGAAAGCTCTCTGATATCCCATGAGCAACCCGAAAAGACGGTCAGAGTCTTTCACCTCGGCACACTTGTTTGCCTTGAGTCTCATTCCCCCATCCATCCAGTGAAATCTCATCCCCCATCATTCACCGAATATCATCCCCCTCATCCCCCTATCATTCGCAGACACACCACGCACCTTTCTCGAAGTCGTCCCTTGCCAAAACACCCAATCCATCAAACCATTACAACGTCAAGCACGGAGCTCACTTGACCAACTTGCCCGTCTCATGCTCCAACCCAGCGTCCTTAGCCTTCTTATCCGCAAGCTCACACAGCGCCTCCCACTCCTCTTTGCTGACCCTGCTCACGCTCAGCCGGCTCTGCTTGAGCATCTGCATGTTCTCCAGGGGTCCTCCCGACTTGCCTAGCTCGCGCAGCTCTTTCAGGCCAATGGGCACGGCGAACTTCTTTCTGAATTCGACGTGGACTAGGCTCCACCGGACGTTGTCTTTGGAGGATTGAGGGTCAAAGTAGGGCGTTCCTGGGCGACGGGCACTTCCTAGAACACTTGTGTTAGCTTTGGCCAAGTCTATGCCCCATGTGGTGTGATGTGATGCTAGGAGGCTTGGTATGAAGTTGGACTTGCTGTCTTCTGAAAACTCTTTGACAATCTCCATGATTCCTGCAATTCCTGGCTCTTTGCAGTTGGAATGGTAAAAGAATGCTTTGTCGCCGGCATTCATATTCCGCATGTGATTCCTTGCCGCATACGCTCTTATACCTGGCCCAGTTCAATCTCATCAGCAAACCCATCCTCTCGTCATTTGGCATCAGAGGTAAACAGAAAAAAAAACTCACCATCCCACCCCTCAGGCTTATCCTTGGCCCTCAAATCATCAATGGAAAAGCTCACATCGATGCCATTCTCGAGACGAGTCTCGGGCTCGGCCTTCATGAGCCAGTACCACTCGCCTTCGTGACGGGGCGCGTCAGGGTTTATGGTGGGAATGGACTCGACGTCTGGGTCTTCGGAGACGGCTCTTGAGCTGGGGTTGTTGTTGTTGTTGCTGTCCTTTGCTTTGGGGGCTGTTGATGGTATCGTATCTTTTGTGTCGTCGTCTGTTTTCTTCCCCTTGGTCGTTTGTGTACGCTTGTTCTTGGACTTGTCATCCTTCTTCTCAGTGGCAGTGGCCGTCTTGCTCTCAGCCCCCTTCTTCTCAGATCCAGTTCCATTATCGCTAGCAACGCGAGGCTTCGCGGGCGCAGCAACCTTCTTCTCCTCTTGCTTCTTCACTTGAGCTTTTTCGTCGGCTTGCTTCGTCGATGCAGCCGCCGCCTGGCGAGCCGATCGCCGCTTGGCGACAGGTTCAGCAGCGGCAGCGTCGTCGCCGTCGTCTCTTGTTCGTTTCCGGGGCATGTTTCAACTCAATCGCAAACCACCAAAAAAAAATTGATGAAAAAGGGTAACTAGCAGAGTGGACTGTGATTAATTTGTCTGTATCCAGTCAATCAAGGCTCTCAATCCAATCAAACCGACACCCAAACTCTTTAAAGAGTCGCAAGAAATAAGCTTGCCCGTAACAAAAGTCTCCGGGGGAGCGCGTCCATACCACCAGCCACACCAATCTTAACGCGCTCCTCCTTCTACATATGCCCACACATCCCTTCTCGTCCCTCAATGCCTATAATAAGCCACAAATGTGGCTTGCTTCCCGTGCCGCTTTCTCGCCTATTTTTATCCTTCTAGCGCAGGCTTTCTCCTCGATTTTAGCCGCCAATTTCCAAGGTTTCTATCATATCGTGGTTCCCGTGTCTTTTGCGTCTTCCCTCCCCGGTTTTTTCCCTTGATTGCTGCGGCCTCCACCACCTTACTTGCTTACCTACAACTACATACTACATACCTGTAAGAGCCTCATACTTCGCATTCCTCGCCCGTTTACCCCAAGCTGAAGGATTTTCAATAGTAGCCTTGGGAAAACAGGAAAAACTTTCTGTCGATGCTATTTTGGGGAGAAGAAGATCCTGCCCTTGTTACAAACAGATTGAATTGGTTCGTGATTGCGTAGATAGTCGTCGTATGCAGGCCAACAACTGCGATTGGTCGGAGCCCCGCTGACTAAGGAGTTAGGGTGCTGCGTGATGACTCAGCGTTGATGACTCAGCCAATCCGACCTCGACGCTTCATGACAAGACGGACGACGTGCCGTCTTGGCGACATGCGGCATACAGCTTCTGCGAATTCGGTGGATATGGACTGATTCATATTATGGTAGTGTTCACAAAGAGACAGAATTTATGCGAGTAGTATCAGATATGTCAATTGATCTTAGTGATGATGGTGTCCTACGGTCACGGCCATATACGAAAGATTTACAGCCCCAGGAGGATTGGGAGCGATACGATATACGACGTACAAGTCGTACGAGCAGCAATGCCAGCATATATCACGGCGCCGCATGTTGACATCAATGCCATAGAGTATGGGCAATGGGTTGCTTCGAGACATCAGACAGAGGAGGGAAGAGTCCCATTCATGTAGACAACGCAGGCTTCTGGCCGTCGTCCCATAAGGTGACAGAAAATGTTCTTTTCGGCATCGCCAGCGACATGAATAATGGAAAAAGTCCGACCGCGAATGGCCTATACTTGACGCAGTTTGTAAGGCTGCGTCGTAAGCTAGCGACGTCGCACAGGGAAATGCGTAGGACTTTGAGAGATATGGGAAAGATATCCCTGAAGGAGCGGCGAGATGGTGATGGAAGCAGGAAAAAAACAGAAAACATGGGAATGGAAGGCAGGATAAGCGCATGCATGCTCGCATGGGGCTCAAATGTCAAGTACATCGACTTGGAGAGCAAGAAGACCATCGCTTGACGTCTGCTCTCATGAGAACCAAATCCTGATGCCGGCGACAGTCAGTTGCCAAATAAGAGTGTTGTGCGTGCGTAATCTCGGGGAATATGCCGACCGGCGACGGCAGCGACCAGATAGTGGACGGCCAGCATGTCTGGGGAGGGGATGCGAGCAAGTGATGGTGATGACAAAGGGCTGCAGGTGTAGTAGAGACGTCAGGAGGATGAGGTACATCGGGAGAGGTAGTGTCCAGAACGGGGACTCTCATTGGCCGAGAGCGAGGGGCTCCCTCCTCAGGACCTCAGGGTATAAAAGCCGTCTCCCCCCGACTATCCTCCTCCCCTTCACTCTCCCCTCTTCAACCTCGACAACTCACATCTTGTCAACCAACAACAGAGAAATATCTCTCAGCGTTGAGCTCACAAGAGTCTTGCTGTTGAAAACCCCTTGCACGTCTTCCTCCTGTCAGTCTTCGACCAACACCTCGTCGTCGCTCACCTACCTACCTCCCACTGCCGGCCACCCAACCCAGGAAAGGGTCGACAGAGGAGGCTATCATCATCATCATAGCACCTGGTGCCATTGATTGAACCATGGGTTCCATCAAGGTGGACAGGATGTCGCTGTCGCCGAGTTCCTCAAGGGAGCTTGTCATGGGCCTTGACTATAGCAGGGCCGATACCAAGAGGGCTCGCGAAGGCTACATGGAGCCTCGGGTCCGCAACGTCGCCATTGCCAATGCCATGGCACATAGGAGCCATGGACATCATCGCTCGGGGTCTTCGACAAAGCGCTATCGTCCCTCGGAGGGGGGTGAAGCTGTTCATCATCACTCCTCATCTCATCGTTCATCACGTGAGCTCGATTCTGTCCTAGCCCAAGCATCAGTGTCATCAAGAGGAACAAGCCAAGACTTGGCCTTGAGGCCCAGAAGGGCCAGGACACATCAACTCCCTTCTCCTCCCCCAGAAGACTTCCCATATCGTCATGGCCAGGTCGAGCCTGTACCTAGAGCCATTGGTACACAAACAAGTCGAGATCTGCAAGGCTTTGGCGCATGGTGCGATCCAATTGCCTCACCTCAGCAGCAAGTCTTTGCTGGAAGCCCCTACAGCTATGAGGATGCCCCCCAAAGCACTCGCAGCAGGAGGGATAGCATATCCATCGCACCCAGCACACCACGGGATCGGCTGTTGCCAATGCCTGAGCTGTCGCCCATGCCCACGCACTTCGTCTTCTGTCCCTGCTGCGTCGATGAGGAGGACAGAATAAACGAGACGTGGCACATGGCAGGACCCGAGAAAATGGACACTCAACGTAGGTTGCCTCTGATGGTGAGCCCAGTCACTTGAGTGGTGATACTGACCAATGGCAGTGGAGTATGCAATGGCATACATTGAGCGGATGAAGTCGACGTAGAACAGGTGAAGCGACGTCGGAAGAGAGAAAAGGTGGGCAGCGGGCTGCCGATGACCAATGTTGGGTGATGGCGTATGGCGTTTTGGCTGAGTGATTTGATTGAGCGCATTGGAAGGATTCTCGAGTCTCGCGATCAGCGACCTGTAACCGCTTTCAGTCTTCCGTAACAGTAATGAATTGAACTTCGCAGCTCATTCCCAACGTCCGCTTGCTGAGGCAGAAAGTAGACAGAGTGGCAAAAAAGATGGCAAGCCTCAGGACGAGTTCGGCCGGCATCTCTGATGGTCAGGTGTCTTGGAACGACATGGTTCCTCAAACGCTAGGCATCATTATCCAATCCAGTTGAGCGGTTGGTGAGTCTGCCTAATGACGAGCGTGATGTATGTGATAAGCAAATGGCGCGCCCTTTTGGCGATCGTTTCAGGGCGACAAGAGGAGAAAAGCGATGGTTGTGGTCGAGGAGAGAAGATGCCAGAATGTTCTCTTTCGGTCGCGGATGAGGAGAAGAGAGGCTCGAGGCTGAAGCTGGTGAAGGACATGCAGTGTAAGAGAGAGAAGAGTGAGAGCGATGGTGGAGAGGAAAAGTCCTAGACAGCAGAATGAGGGGGTGGAGCCAGGCGGCAGCCCCAGTTAGCCCCGTCCTGTCCTATCGCGCCGCTGTGGGACCGGAAGGTACAAGACCGCCGTATCTTTCAAGAGCCTGAGGCTGAGACGGCGGGGTGAATCATTTTTCCAGCCCGCCGGGTCCCGGATGCCATTGTTCCAGCTGCCACAGTTTAGCCGCGCGTGTAAGTGGGTCTGTCAAATTACAATGCTTGGCGTTGCCGGGCCAGCAAGAGTTCTAAAAGCGGTTACAAGTAAACAGTGGGTACGAGATTAAATCCAAACCCCTACCATCCAAGGATCATCACTTTCCCCATTCCACATCTTGGACTTTATCCCAGCCATCATCAGCGCAAGCATTTACTACCACTACGCTACATATCATATCGTCGCTACATATCATATCCTCCTTCTCTTTGTTCTAGCACTCTCATCGCCCCCGGCGGATCTCCCGTCACTGTCGCCATGGAGCCAGGCTCGATCACCCAGAAGCTCTTCGAGGTCTATCTCCGACTGCGACCCCCGTATCCAGGCGCGCCCCAGACCGAGCCCATTCTCCACGTCGAAGACCCTCACGATAACCTGCATCCGTCCCACATCACGCTGAACCCGCCCGCGGATCGACGGAGGGCCATTGAGCGGTTTGGCTTCACGCAGGTCTTTGAGGAGGACGCCAGCCAGCTCGATGTTTTCCACTGCACGGATACGTCGTCTCTGATTGAGGGCGTGCTGGCGCCTCAGGGCGGCGACGGAACAGATGCCGTCGTGGCCACGCTTGGTGTCACCGGCTCAGGCAAGGTACGCAAGCGGCGGTGCGAGGTGTTTGGCTGTGTCCATCTAACCTCAGGGGTAGACGCATACGATCCTCGGCAGCCGTAACCAGCGCGGCCTCGCCCAGCTGGCGATCGACGTCATCTTCCGCTCCATCATCGACAACATGGTCGAATCCGCCCAGTCGCCCACCCTCGACTCTCTCCAAGCCTGCGATGCCTCGGAAGCCACGCTCGTCACGGCGCCATACTTTCTCGACACGATGAACTCCGATCAGGGGCCGACGTACCGCGGCTCCGGCTCTCGATCAACCACACCCATGATGGTACGAAACAAGTCAACCCTCTCGCCTTCCAAGACCAACACTCCCAGTAAAATGCGGCCAAAATTGCAGCAAATGCCCGGCTCCTTTCCGGATTCAGACGTCGCAAGCCCGAAAAGTGTCAGGCCTGTTGGGGAATCTGGAGAGGAGACGCTGAAGCCCAAGGGGCCACAGTCACCGGACAAGGAGAATCGCCCTACACAGCAGTCTGTGGAAAGAGGCAGATCCAATAGCATTACCAGGAACCCATCGCCCAAGCGGGCGTTGGAGCGGCCATTCATGTCGTTGACAGCCGCCAGTCGCCTCAAGACAACAGCTAAACAAACCAAAAAGGGCGAAAGCATTTCGAGCCAACGACGAACCCTGCGCCGACACTCGACTCTTTTATCTTCGCTCCCCAGTTCTCCCGACGTCAGCGACTTTATCGTGCCCTGCGATCCCGCCGCCGAATATGTCGTTGTTGTGTCCATGTACGAAGTTCACAACGACCGCATCTACGATCTCCTCACTCCCGCCAGCAAGTCACCGGCCAGCAAGGACTACCGTCGCCGACCCCTTTTGTACAAGCCCACGGAGCTCTCCCCCGATCGCAAGGTGGTGGCTGGTCTCCGCAAGGTTGTGTGTACTGATGCGAGAGAGGCCCTCTTGGTGCTCGAGGCTGGTCTACAGGAACGACGAGTAGCTGGCACGGGGAGCAACAGCGTCTCCAGCAGGAGCCACGGATTTTTTTGCTTCGAGGTCAAGAAGAGGGCCTTTGGCTGGAAGAACAACTCTTGGAGCGGTAGCAAGCTGACGGTTGTCGACCTGGCGGGAAGTGAGAGGGCGAGGGACGCAAAGACTCAGGGCGCAACGCTGGTGGAAGCGGGCAAGATTAACGAGAGCCTCATGTATCTCGGACAGTGTCTCCAGAGCCAAAGTGAGATTAGTTCTGGCAAGGTGAGTTTTAGATTCCATTACAGCTTTCAGACAACCGACTGACTCCAGCAGCCCAACGTTGTCCCGTACAGACAGTGCAAGCTCACTGAGATCCTCTTCTCCAACTCGTTCCCATCAGCGGCGGGAGGATACAACCACATTCCTCGCCGAAACCCCCAGCGAGGCATCATGATTGTCACGGCAGACCCCCTGGGCGACTTCAACGCAACATCCCAGATCCTGCGCTACAGCGCTCTTGCTCGAGACGTCACTGTTCCTCGCGCGCCCTCGTTCAGCGTCAACATGCTGGCGCCGAGCCCGACGCACTCGACGCAGCACACCAGGCCGTTTGGCAATACCGGGTTCGGCTCCACGAGAAGCCACTTTTCGCCTGCCAATGCCACGGAGGAAAGGGTAACTATGGAGATTGCCGCGCTGGAGATTGCCAGGATGAGCGATGAGATTGAGCAGCTGCGCGACGAGATCGAAGTGCAGAGCGAGGCACGAATTGCGGCTGAGGCTCACCTCCTTAGCACGGAGGATCGCATGATTGACATGGAGGCCGCCGTTCGCGAAGAGTGCGCGATTGAGTTTGAGCAGCGCCTTGCCATTGAACTGGCACGCTTCAAGGCCTCGATGCAGATTGAAAAGGAGCGCCACGAGGAGCACTGGGACCGCAAGGTGGACATACTCGAGCGCGGCCTGGACACGGGCTTTATGGAGGAGGACTTTGACAAGGAGAACGTGCTCGTGGAGAATCTGACGCAGGAGGTGGAGCGGCTGAGGCGGGAGAACGCGATCCTCAAGAGGGAGCTCGCGAACCGCAGCCCCAGCAAGCGGAAGCCGCTCGAGGAGAGGGAGGACTTTCCGAGCGGATCCTCGAGCAAGCACGACAACTTGACTGTGTCGACGCTTGGGAGGAAGCTGGAGCGGATCAAGATTAGTGATGGGTCGAAGCCGGGCAGTCCAAAGAAGATACGGAGGTTGGTTGCCCGGCGGTGGGAGGAGTCGGACGAGGCGTAGAGATGAGGGAGAGCAAAGCTGCTTTCTTCGTTGACCTCTGAGCCTTGAGCCTCTGGATCTGACTGATGTTTTGAGATTGTGCTTTTGACCCTGCTTTGGAGATGGATTTTGCGCTTTTGGAGATTGCGTCGCTTCGAGGACTGTTTGGGCCGTGATTGGACAAGGGGAACAAAAATGACGACGCCACGACCCTTAGATATACCCATGCTTGAGGATTTTGGCGATGTTGGGATTTTCAGTTTTGGTTTTCTTTTTACGTATTTTTGCTGTTTAATACTTTGGTAGTTCTCTTCTTGTTGAATTAACTGTATGGTTCGACCAAGGTCATGATGCTCTTCTCTCCTGCTTGGTTGTTGTTGTATTAATTACTATGATTAGCTGGTATGTATCTTCGCTTCTCTATATGTAAGAGAGATGGACATTTACGCCTCTATCTCGTGAACTGTATGGGTATATCTTGCTTCATGATGCTGAGAATATGCAACCCGTATCCTCTCCACCTCTGCTTCGCCATATCTCGTGAGATCCTCCCACAAGCTCAAATCGTTCCCCTGTTGCTCCCCAGCTGGTCGGAGTATTCCCCTGCTCTCAAGCTTGAGAACCACTGGGCGCATCATCTTCCACAATGGCATTCAGCATAGGCGCTTTGCCTTTTCCCTTGTCAGTGGCCTTTCCCTTGCCTTTATCCCTGCTCTGGCTTTCGTCGCTCTCTGTCTGAGGCGTCGTCTCCTGGACAGGAGCCGGGACGGGAGCCGGGACGGGAGCCGGGACGGGAGGCTGTTGCACAGGAGGTTGATACTGCTGCTGCTGAACAGGAGGCTGCCACTGCATCATCTGCGGCGGCGCAACCACATAGATGGGCCTCTTCGCAACCCGATTCACCCGATCCGTATCGACGCACGCCCCCACGAACAGCCCAAAGTGCATCACCGCCACCACAAACGTCACCACGGCCGCCGCCATCGCGACCCTCTTCTCCCTGAGATACTGCCTCCGCGCGGCGGCCTCCTCGGCGGTGTCGGTGGTGCACGTGTACACGTACCGGCGGGTCGTGGGATCGTACACGTTCGAGCAGGTCTGGTACGACGGGTCGGAGCCGTACCACGAGTCCTGGAACCAGGGGCCGAAGAGGGCGGGCAGGATGGCGCCGAGGAGGAAGATGATGAGGCTGAGGGCGATGTGGGCGCCGGGGTGGATGCCGCCGGACTGGAAGCGGCGGAGGGCGCGGACGAGGAGGTCGGCGATGCTCCAGACGAGGGCTAGCATGCACTGCCATTGATGGGGGGAAAGTTAGACGGGAGGGGGGCTCATACGGTTGAGGAGGGGGTTTGAAAGAGAGAAGGCGGGGGGAACTTACGGCAGGAATGGCGGCTATGAGGACCGTGGCGTAAAAGTACTGGTAGTTGAGCGTGCTGAAGCCCAGGCCGACGCCCGTGGCCCCGAGAGCGACGGAGAGGATGTGGAAGGCCGTCTTGGTGAGTTCCCAGGGCCTGTTGGGTTCTGGTTCGGGCGTCTCGAAGGCTTGTTGCGGGAGTTGATATGGGACATAGGGGAGGACGTTGCGGGCATTGTAGACGAGTGGTTGGAAGCCGGCGGGAGTGTGTACTGGTTGGGGTGTCGCGAGGGGCGGTTGAGGTTGAGGTTGAGGTGCGGTTTGGGTTGTGGTTTGGGGTTCGGGGGGAGGTTGCTGCTGCTGCTGCTGAGAAGAGGAGGCAGAGGAAGCCATTGTGGCGGGTTGTTTTGTAGTTGAAGCCGGATTGGAGGTTTGCTAGACTGAGTTGAGGTCTCGTTGGGAGTTTGTTAAAGACAGGCGGCGTCCGGTCGGAGGAGTGTTTTCCTCGGTTGAAGGTTGAGAGACGGACGATTGAGTCGGGGGCAATGAGTGAATGTTGTCGCATGCAACGCGAAGACGCCGTAAAAGAGCAGAAAAAGACGTGAACCGTCAATCTATCGCGACTCAATCCGTCATGCCACTGAAAAACGAGCGGGAAAAGGCAATGCAAGAAAGACCAATCCAAGCAAAACACAAGGCCTCCAGAACGACAACGGTCCAATGCAAGTTTTGAAGAAGGACAAGCGGAAAGAATCCAAGATCGTGAACAGGCTCCCACTCCTTCACTATCCTTCAAACGAACATGGTAAGATGACAAAGAACATCAAACGTGAATCAGGAAAAGCTCAGCTGTCCAAAACCCCCCAAGCACAGCCTTTGCAAAAAAAGCAGAACATGCATACTGGCTTTTGCTAATTAAAGACAGCACCGAACTACTTGACAAGACCAGGATATCCCGCCCTGAGCCTGAGTTCTTGTCTCGCCTCTCGCCTGGAATTTAAGCAAGCGTTTAAGCTACTCCCAACCCCTGTCCAGTCCATCTCAGTCCAGCCTCGGCCTGGCGAAGCGACTCTCAGTCGTGATTGGTGCAAAGTCCGCTCTGTCAAGTGGAAAAAGAGCCGATGAGAAAAGCGGTGGATCCCGTGATAGTTCGGCCATTGCCTCTTCCGGTAAGAAGCCAGGGGTAAGTCCGTAGCTTCTGCTCTTTTACACGTACCAGGGGTTTTTTCCAGATGGAGTCCATGCAGGGTTTAATAGGCAGCAAGACCCATTGGGCTGAAGAGGAAAAAAAAGAGGAGACTGGATGAGCTGAGTCGGCAGATGACAGAAAGAGAGAAAGAGAGTTGAGTGAGAGAAAAGGTTGTTCAAGTTTGCAAGAGTCCAGGATTGTATCGTCATTATAGGTGTACGTGGTCTAAATCGCGGCCTGCCAACGCCGAGCTCTTCATAGAATCATATCGCCCGTAAATATCAAACAAGACATCAAACCCAAGTCCATTATTACATGCCTCACATCTCGTCCCCCTCATCCAAAAGTAGCATCATCCCTCACAGCACAGCCCCTCAAGCAGGAGCATAATACTCCTTCACCGGCTCCTGTCCACGAGCAGCAGCAGCAGCGGCAGGCACCTGGACATTCTCCGTCGAGGCCTCATTGCCCATCGGCTGCCACCCCTGCGCCGCCGGCCCCCAGTTCTGCGGCTGCGCAATCACCATGACGGGCCTCGCCTTGGCCGTGTTCCTCCTGTGCGTCCTCACGCACGCGTCCACAAACAGCCCAAACTCAATCGCGAACAGCAGGCACGTAATCACCGCGCCGCCCAGCGCCTTGCCCCGCGGGTACCGCACGTAGTCGTCGTCGTAGTCGCACTCGTCGTACGTCCGCAGGTTGCCCTCGCTGTCGTACGTGCTCACGATGCAGTTCGTGTCGTCCTGGTCGTCGCGGGAGGACATGTCGTTCAGGGCGACAAAGGCGCACAGGCTGCCGCCCATGATGGCGGTGATGAGCCAGAGGATGAGGCAGACGCCGACGTGCGCGCCCGGGTGGATGCCGGCTTTGAACTTGCGCACGGCTCTGGTGATGAGTTCTGCGAGACTCCATGCCAGACAGAGACCGATCTGCATATGTCATGTCAGTCCAGCGTTCGTTATAGGAGAATAGAGGGGGAAAAAACATACACCTGGAGCTGCAGCGGCACCAATGCCATAGCCGCTATCCCCGAGAGACGACAAAGACACGCCCAAGCCAATGGCGCCCAAGATAACAACTGTGCCGTGGAATCCCAGTCTTGTGTAGGCGCCCTTGGTCGACTCGATCGGAGCAGTTGTAGCAGTTGCTTGGCCCGGGTAAGGCTGGTAGTAAGGTTGATATCCGGCAGCCGCCAGCTCTTGGGGAAGAGAATGCGCAGGAGCGGGCACTGCAGGAACTGTGGTCGTCTGAGCCGTCTTTTCGGTCATCGCGGGAGTTTCTTGGGAGGCCATGGTGACAGATGGCTGAAGGGGTGGCGAACTGTAGTCTGAACTGGCGAAGAGTGGTATGAAGAACTCGAGACGAAAGTTTGACGAATATGAACCACGGCAGTCTCAGAATTTGGCAAACGTGCAGAGAACGAACGGTTTTCAATAACGAGTGAATGTAACCAGAACCGGCACAAAGCGAGTGTGAGACGTGGTGCAAGTCTTGCACCGAAACGAGCGACAAGAGAGCGGCTGCAGCAAAAGAGACTCAATCGTGATTCAAAGGGCCAGCGCCCAGGCTAATATAAACAAATGCGAGGTCGCCACCCAAACGACGGCGCGGCTGTGCTTGCTGCAGATGGGAAATTTGATCAGGGAACACCCCTGTGTTTTGCTGCTGGTCTAGACAAAATCCACGACACAAGGTGGCCGGCAGGATCCACACCCATGAGCCCACCGCCTGCGGCCAGCCGCTTCTATGGATTAGCCGCTGCTAACATGATTCTAGTCTGTGCGGCAATGGCTCACAGTCTTGCTCGAGACCGAGGCACAGAGTAGCAGTACTATAATCGAAAACCCGGGAAACATCTGCCGTCGCTCAGGCAAGGCAAGCATCCTGCCCGCTACCTCGAGTCCGCGCAGCAATGGTGCAGCGCTTGGAAGCTGCCGGCTCGAAGGGCAAAGTCGTCATCTACAACTCCCGGGAGTGCTCTTCAGCTCTCACCACCTGGTATGGGATCCGAAGGACTGTCTGAAAGCATGGTGTCTGCCTGTGCCATTCGAGCCGGCAGCTTTCGATTGCTCGATCCTCAGAGCATAGAGTCCAGAGCCATGATTCTATCATGTGCTTCAATCCCGCACAATGACCTGGGACACATTTAGCACACGTCACATGAATCGAAAGTGCTTCGCATACCGGTCATCCCTGCGTCTTGGCCGCGGCTCAACATCTCTTCATATTCGCCATCCACGTGGCAACCTTTATATCTTTATTCTCGCTGTATCACCACCATAAGGCCCATTATGCCCAGCATAACCGTCTTCAGCCACGGGTACTCTGAGAGCAGGATCGTGACGTAGCCCACAAACGGGATATATCCAACCACACTTCCAATCATGTCGGAGCGCTCCAGATAGTCCTGGCCCTTGGCGAAGAGCTCAGTGTCATCCGCCACGTTGTTGTCGCCTTTTGTGAGGTACTTTGCCTTGTCACTGGGAAAGAGTAAGTAGATGCAGACTGTGGCACGACCTTCTTCACCTACCCATGGCCAAACTTGCGCACGATCCGATGCACAATGGGAATATCCTTATCCTTGACATTGTAGACAACAATTTCGCCGACCGAGGTTTCGCTAAGCAGTTGACGGTTCCACAGGAAGAGCAGATCGCCTCGCTGGAACGCCGGTTCCATGCTTCCGCTGAGGACGACGACGATGGGGGAGGGAGAATCGGAGACGATGGAGAGGCCTTTCCACATCTAATTGCACAGTCAGATCAATCCGTTCCAACGCATCGTGCGCCGTGCGAGACGGCCTGTAGCAGCAGAGCAACGCACCATGAATGCCGTGGACAGCACCAGCCCAAAGTTCATGATCTGGGCGGCAAGCTGCCGCGGGTTCTGGAGACCTGCAAACATTGTTGTCTGATGTCGTGGGGTGATGCTGGTGAGGTCGGCGAGTTAAAGACAGGCTGAGTGAGCTTGGTGTTTGTTTACCACAAACTGAGCGCCTCTGGTCAGAATCTGGTCCAATTGCTGCCACGATATTAAGCTTCTGGCGATCTGGACATGGTGGCTCTTTGGCGCGTATCGGCCAATCACACGCTGCGATAAGCAAGCCAGCCCCACCCCCCAGCTTGCACTGGCAGCTTGCATCGGTACGTACCTCGGGCTGTTTTCACCTGGCAGTTGCTTGCCAATTCAGGACCTTTCGGGATTCAAGTCGATCTGCGGGGACCCGATCTGATGTCATGGACCAGGAAGCCATTGACCGTGTATGTCATCGGGTGTAATCTTGGAGGCGGGCGTGGACAGTATAAAGCAGGTAGAGGAAGCATTGATTCTCATTCTTGGTTCCTTCACTACTAGATCCATTGTCAATAAAAAAAGAGACCCGAACCACTCAACTTTGATCACTCCGTCATACCACTTACACACTCACTTACATACCCTGAACCAAGCATCGCAACCATGGACAGCAGCGGCAACAACAACACAAACCAGATCCAGCAGAATCCTGGTCTGATGGGAGCTCATGCGCAATACATCAAGGGCCTAGGAGAAGTATGAACGAATTGGGAGATCCCAAGAGTTCAAACCATAATTCCAATCGTACATCTGCTGATTTCGTCACTTTGCAGTCCACCATTGGTAGCATCAGCGGTTCCCAGGCCTGGTCTGCCTCGGGAGAGCAAGACAAAGCAGCCGCCGTCGACGCCATGCGAAAGGCTGCCGACAAGAGAGATCCGAACCAGGGTTACGGAAAGGCCGAGGAGTGGGCGGGCAAACTGACTGGCTGCGAGGGCATGCAGAAGGAGGGCGCGGCGAGTTCCCAGAAGAGGAGCGACTGAAGGCGCTGAGTGGATGGGCTCTCACCTGCTGCGTAACGTCGAGAGGGCGAACAACTGCGGGTTTCGATCGATAAATGTACACATACTGTAAATTAAACCGAGGAAATAGGATGGAATACAGAACACCATTGAGCAGCTGAAGCTCGCCTTCCACGACAGATGTCGTGCCTTCGAACCTTCCACTCTCGACGCCATCACAGACCTCTTTCCCGATTTGAATCCTCGTATCTCCTCGTATGCCCTGTTTCTCCGGCCAAGGCGAAATGTCCTTGCAATCTCACCATCCACACTATTTCGGTATACACTCCTTCTCGCTGCTTGAACTCGGACCTATCGCATATACTCTCCTCAGAATCAGCACCCTTGGGCCCCAAAACGCGTCGAATCGCGAGCTTTATTCGCTAAAATATCAGTAACACGTTGCCTGTGGTCTCACATACCTACTTCTTACTCTGTTTACTGCATCATACGACAATGGATACAACACCTCTGCTCAGCAACGGCGGCCCGGCCCTGCTCCGAGACCATGTGAGAGCACCCAGTACTCGCAAGCACAATATGGAGATGCGGTGCTAATGAGCTATCATTCAGCCTGTCTTCCTCCGCGTCAGCCATTCTCCGTGGTCCCTCATACCGCAAAACGTGCTCTCCTTTGTCCGCGGCTTCATCCTCGCCTATCTCACAGTGGCCGCCATCCTCATCTTGAACTACGAGCTGACCAATCCACCTCCCAACTCAAACCCAACCGATCCTGGAGCCCCAGATCCTAACGATCCCGGATCTTCAGACCCGAAGGATCCTGGATCCTCAGATCCAAATAACCCCTCGCTCTCAATCATAGCCGCAACGGCGACAAACTGGCGACTCTTCTTTGAGTTTCCCATCATCAGCTTTGGCCTGGTTCTTTGGTACTTCATAGTCACATTCGTAGGTCATATGCGTTACCGCGGCGAATCAGCAAGATATTCTCTAACCTTCAATGTGTCTGCAGTCATGGACATTTACCCACTTGTACTACCCGGATGCCGACGACGTCGATGGACGGGTTGAATACGCCATCGTCAGGGCCATGTCCTTGCCCAGAGACCTGGGTAACCTACGCTACCAGTTCTACTTCACCTTGTTCTACTTTACTACGGTCGCCTACTCTTTCATGAACTCGGCGATATACTGGTTTGTTACGCGGCCGCATGACTTGGTGCATGGTGTCTTGGGGCTCTTTAGCCAAGGATATCCTAACGAAATCAAGTTGTGGGATGCGACGGCACTGAGACTCGCTGGTCCATGTAGGCATATTCTTTCCTGTCAAGATAGCAGAAGAGAGAGAGAGTCTACTGACACGAAGTTGTAGTCAGCGACATCTTTGGCGAGGGGTGGCTCCGGGCCTTTTCCCTCATCAACCTGTACGCGGTCACGCCAGGCATCATGGTGGTTGAGATACTCTTCCTCAACAGCATCAGGCGCCCCAATGTGAGTGCTAGAGATTGCGAGCGACTGTAGCCAATACTGACGTGGGCGCAGGGCATCGGCGGCTATCTCTTCGCCCTCCTGGTATTTGCTGCCCTCTACATCGGCTGGGCGTTCATTGGTCACGCCGCCACCGACGTCTGGCCATTCTTCTTCTTTGACGCGGCAGAGGTCGGCTCGACTGAAGCGGTGGTAGCATACAGCATTGGCTTCGTCCTGCTGGCCCCCATTGGTAAGGCCCTGCAGCTGGCATTGGTGGACGGCGGCTAACAATGGCTACAGCCCTCATCTTCATGCAGGGCTTCGTTGGCGTGCGGGAGTCGCTGGTCCGACCCTACGTCATCATCCAGGACTCTCTTGAGGCCTAGACGCACAGTTGATGGAGGGGTAATGGAGCAGCGATCGTGACTCTTGTTGCTTGGGATGAATCGGAGGCTTCTTTTGGTAGTGTGACGCATCAAGGGACCTGGCCGATTGTCGGCGGCCGTCTTTAATCTTGGTGTCCTATGAAAAAGCCGCACTGATGCGCTGTCCGTGTGGGGAGAGCAGTCTAGAGCATACTCTTAACCTAGAAGCAATGTCAAGGTGTTCGCGTTCCTGACTAGAACCAATCTGTGGCCTTCTGGCGCTGCCGCGATGCGATGCTTGCATGTGGTCTCCCCTGGCGAAGGAAGGGGATGAGGGGGATGAGGGGGATGAAACAGACTAACAGCGGCGGAGATGGCTGAAGGAGGAACACGTCGACGGTTTGTCAGGCTGTTTGGTCACGGAAAGACGGAAGCCATGCGTGGCAGCTGGCGTTTGGACCGATTGAAACGTTGCCCTGGGCGATTCGGAGCGAGGCGAAGCAGGTCAGTCAGCTAGTCAGTCAGTCAATCAATCAGTCAGTCAAATCGGGATTGAATTGTTGCGGACTTGGCTGAACCCCCTCCCTATGGAACACGTCACAGGTACCTTTGGCCGGCGGTGGTCGAGGAGGGGTTTGGCGGGACCACGTGGTACAGGTACCGGAGACAAGCCTCCCCCCAAGAGAAGCGCAGTCATTGCGCGCAGTTGAAGTCATTTGTCAACAGTGAGGGGGAAATGCAAAAGAAAGCAAAGTAAGAATAGGGGACTGCATAATGCATGAGTTGATTGGATTTACAGCAGTAAAGATATTACTTGTAAGCAGTAGTAATAGTTGGAAAAAGAAAAGACAAAAAAAGATTTTCGAAGCTGGCGGTTTCTTCTCTCCCGCCGGGAATTGAACCCGGGTCTCAAGCGTGACAAGCTTGCATACTGACCACTATACTACGGAAGAATTAAACAGCTTGGGAGCTGTTGTAGTGGGTCGCTTCGATGGGGAGTGAGGTGCGTATCGTGCTATATTTGGGCTTCAATACATACGAGCAGTACATTTTTGTCCCGCACATACAAGATCTCAGGGCAGTTGCATGTCTCAGGTGGAGGTGAGATTTGGTCTTGCGCTTGAAGCGTGAAGAGGCGAAAAGACGAGAGAGCAAAAGGTGAAGGGAAAAAAGAGAAAAGCTCGTCACGGTACATTAGTAGGGTCGGTATAGAGGTACAAAAGAGGGAATCAAGAGCGTGCGTACAGCGAGGGAAATTGGAAGGGGAAGAGGGACTCGGGGAGGCGACTTACATGGACCGAGTTTTGTCCTATCCGGCTTGTTCTATTCGATGTATTTTGTACGGAGAGGGAGCATGTTGCAGATTTGGGGGATGTATGTATGAATGGCTCCATGCGAGTTTATGATATGTAAGGTAAAAGTTGAGTGGCTCTATGTAAGTCGGGCATGTACTTTTGAGTGGCTGTAGGCAAGGTATGGATGTAAGTCGACATGTGAGTACCTCATGAATGGCCGACTGTTGAGCATTACTCCGTACATGCAAGTATGAATGGCTACACTGTGAGCTTTACAAGCACAATATGAATGGCTACATGCGAGCAAAGAGGGGGAGACATGTCCCTTTGATTCGGCACCGTTACCTGGCGTGCGCTTGTTCACGACACTTGTTGCCCAGTGATTTGGCTTGCCGCGCTATTCAGCGCCGTCCCCCGTCTGCCATTGGCGAGCGCCTATCTCCGTCCTCCATGTGCTCCCAAAGATGCCCTTGACGGGACGAGTAGTACCTACATCGAGTCGTGGAGTGGGAGGGGAGGGGGACTCGCATCTCCCATTGGGTGCTGACTCCGGCTGCCGTCCAGTCATCTGCCATTGGCCCATCCCGGTGATGTCGTCCTGCATCATCCCATCGCCCACACGCCCCCCCAAAGCCTGGTACAGCACAGCACAGCACAGCAAGCTTGCAGGTGTCCGCAACTCTCCAGCCGGGCGGCGTTGACACAGCGTCCCAAGTACTGGGTACCCGCGGCTGCTCGCTGGCGGCCGCGGTGGCTGAGACAGGGCCAAAATGGACTGCCCTGCCCAGATTCCAAGTTGTCGCCTCCCGGCTTGACTGCTGCAAATCGTAGTACCTTTGACCTGCTGAACTGCGTCTGCAACAAGGTACAAATAGTGGATCCCGTCTCGTTTTGCCTGCTTTTCCCTCCTTTCCCTCTCTTTTCCTCTCCCCCACACGCAAGCCAAAGAGGGTCGCAAAGCTTCTCGCGAGAAGAGCCATCTTCTTTGAATTATAAGAAGGTGGTCCTTTCCGCGCCCCGGACCCGGACAATTCTTTTGTTTCCTCACTCATTGTGTGTCATTCATTCATTACTCTCTGGGAATTCTAGTTGTCTGCTAGTATTTCTTGTTCTTTTTCACTCTTATTCAATTTCAACTCCCCCATCCTCCGCTCCTTTTCCACAAACGCTTCGTCGCTCTCTTATAAGTCAACAGTATATGCATAGTCTTCTGCAGACGTGAGAGGGCGTCCACCAACTCTTACATGCACAACCACAACCACCGCGCCCTCCACAACAAGGACAAGCACAAGGACACCTCCTTCTTTAGCCAGCTCAAGCAGACGCCCGCCAACATGTTCAAGCGCGCATTCCGGTCCCAGCAAGACCAGAACCGCGTGGACAAGTCGTCGCGGCTCAAGAAGCCCGGCTCCTCCAAGGACAAGGCCAAGGAGCACGTCAAGGCAAAGGTGTCCAAGCTGCAGAACTCCATCATAGAGCACGAAGCGCCGGCGCCCGCTCAGAACATCAACATCACCCCCTCGCCGATTGTCACCCTGACCGTTGGCCGCGAGGGACGCCTCTTTGCGGCGCACGAGGATGTCCTCAGCCAGTCGCCCTTTTTCGAGGCGGCCTGCGGCAAGGACTCCTCTGCGGACGCCATGAGCAAGAGGATCTCGCTTCCCGACGAGGAGCCCGAGATCTTCTCTGCCGTCCTCGAGTATCTCTACAAGGGGGACTACTACCCGCGCCTGGTCCACAACAGGCACCGCAACTCGTGGGAGCTCGAGGACCGCATGCGGACTCCCCAGAAGTCGTCGCCAAACCCCGACAACGGGGGCGGCCACGCAGGCACCGGCGGCTCCGATGCCGCCGTCTACCTGTCCAGCGTCGGGGCCGAGGTCCTGCGCGACACCGTCATCTACTGCGCCGCGGACCGGTACGGCCTCGAGGAGCTGAAGCGCCTGGCCCTCCGCAAGCAGGGGCTGCACGCCGGCATCGACGTCGGCACCATCCTGCGGTCGGCCCAGTACGCCTACGCCAACACGCCTGATTCGGACAGTCGCCTGCGCGCCCACTACCTGGCCCTCATCATCCGCTGCCGCAAGACGTTCAAGCGCAGCGGCACGATGCAGGCGGAGATGGAGGCGGGTGGCAGCAAGCTGTTCTTTGACCTGTTCGTCGCCATGTGCAACCACTTGGACGACGTTATTGACGTTACCAACAACCGCTCTCCCAAGACTGTATGATGAGTTGAGCGGCATGGACACAACGGGAGGACAGCGTCAAGCATCTTCGGCACGGGCTGAGTGAAGCGCCCGTTGGAAGGCGGAGGATGAGAGAAACGAAAAGAGAAAAAATTTCAAAATCCAAATGGTAAAATGGGATCTCTTTAGCAAGCATTTTTGCGCATCTTGTCAAGACCGGCTACGATTTGTGCCGTGTCGGCATTTGGTCGCTGGTTCAATGTCCTTTGCTCCTTTTACCGATTTTGGTCGTTTGGTGTTTTGATGGGCGTCTTCATCATTGCTTCAATTTACCGGCCGCTCTCTTTTCCTCTCTTTTGCGTGCGGATTGTTTGCATTGAGCGTGGTTTCGCACATTTGCGTGGCTTCTGCATACTGTCCAGCCTTATTGCAAGCCTCGAGCGAACTCCTCTCTGCTTTCATTCTACAGCGCCGACATCCTCGGTCCTTGGTGTTTTGGTCAAATTGTCAAATCGGAATTTGTATAAGTCCATGTACAGCATACAGCATGTACGGCACCATGAGAAACAGAAAAAAAGACGGAAATGACAGCCCAAGAGGCGTTTTCCAGAACACGATCTCCTTTGGATTGTCGCAAACTCTTGGCGAATTTCTTTCTGCTTTCCTGGATGCAAGGCAGCGGAACTTTTCTCGAAATTGGATACAGATGGGAAGAATCACCTGGGTACAGCATTTCGTTATGCTTACGGTACGGGTTGAGAAGGGAAATTGTTTTTCATCTCGGTCAAGATTGGAATATCAGAGCCTTTTTGCTTCTGATGCTTTTTCTTCTTCCTCTTTTTTTTCTTTTCTCCTTTTGACGAAGACATGACAAACGACAATCTTACCTTTTCTGCATGGTGTAGCCCTGGGGGCGCAGCGCAGGCCAAAAAGATGTATAACATACAAACAAAGAGAACAAAAAAAGAGAAAAAAAAAAAAAAAACAATCCCATAGGGTCGCTAGCGGTCCTCCCTGACTGGAGTTCCGTGTCAGGGTTGAGGTTAATGAGACAATTTCGCACCTCATGTTTGATACTCGCCGGTGAATGTCATGACTCTTTTTGTATAAGCTGTGATGAAAACATTGAGTACTACGGAGCACCAATTATGGAATCATGTATCGTTGTGCACAATACTCTCCCCAAGATGCAGTTCATCTAAGCAGCATCCCACTTGACATCAACACCCTCAAACGTGGCCTCCAGCTCACTACCAACATCTTTACTCGGCCTCGCCACCAGCGCCCCAACCTCGAGCTCCCAGCCCTCGCCCCCGTTATCCTCCCCATACGGCCAGCAAATCTCCCTCATCGGCGTCTTTTCCTCGCCGTCGACGCGATACACCCACAGGCAAGAGCCGTCGTGCGCGTCCAGCCTCTCGAGGAGGATCGTCACGCCTTTGGTCCCGGCCTGGATGTCTGCGGCAGAGGAGGAGACGTCGGCGACGCTCCAGTCAGCCCAGCTGTCGCAGCAGACGGTAGAGAGGCGGGGACGGCCGTTGAAGAATTCGATGCCGGCTTTGATCCATTTGCGGGGCGTGGCGGAGGAGGAAGAGGAGGGACGGGTGAAGAGGAGGAGGATGCCGGCTTGGTCGAATTGGTGGGTGTATGTTGCTGTGAACGTGAGGGTTGCGGAGAGGAACTTTGGCAAGGGCTTTTTGGAGAGGGATTTGTAGGGGGCTGGATGGTGTTTGTTAGATAAAGTCCATGTTTGCTTTGTTCAAGGGAGTTGAGTGTTTTTCTTTGGCGGAGAGGGTTACCGGTGAAGACGTCGTGGGAGGGCGGTTTCTTCCAGACGTCGGTGTTTGGCTGGGCTGAAACGGTGAATGAAGCCATGATGGGATGTCACAATGAGCTTGATTTTGGTTATGAGTGGTGTGAGGAATAGGAGCGATTTGAAAAGAACTGAGGTGAGCAACAGCTGGGAAAAATGGGAGGGAGAAGGTGGTTTTATAACTCGAGGTGATTTATCATATCATTGCCCCCAAGCCAGGGAGCTTATATCGGAGTATTTGGTAAGGCCAAGATGTTTATTTCACCGGCTTACGGTTCCATTAAGAAATACTCCGTACAATACAATGTTGCTCGTAAATGGTAGAGCTGGAAATGCCACTGTGAGAGATCTAGTGATCTATAGCCGGGGAACGGGAGCGGGGGAAGTGGAATAGTATACGAATTACAGGCGGGGAGTGTCGGGGCTAGACAAGTACAGCAACGGGAAGACCAGGACTTGTACTGATCCAACGCCTGTTTACTTTGACTGCAGCAGATATTTCATGGCATATTCTGTCGTTGATCATGAGCCAACAAACAGCCGCGGCTAAGTAAGTGTAAAATGATCATTATATGGATAGAGGATAGCCAGTTCGACGTGAAGAGTCACAGCGAGACGGAAGCGACACGAGATCAATCTCCCGACGATTAAGCGGTCGGGCCGACCACAGTCTTGAGCAAAGGCTCAAACTTTGCCTTGACCTTGACAGTGACAAGACGAGAAACTTTGTCTTTTCAATTCCTCTTCCATCTCTTTGCAAAGGTCGCTTCTACGGGGACTCTGTGCAACGAAAAGTGCTTGCAGATAGTACCGTCCTCTGCGTCTTTGCATCTCCAGTCACGCAGCTCTCGGCCGTCCGTCATCGTCATCTTTTCGCCAAAAAAAAATTCGTGAGGACTGCAAGGTTCGAACCAGCGGCTGCGCCAAACCGCCCGCCTGCAACTCAAATTGCCCGGAAAAAGACTGCGAGTCTTTTCTGCCTGCGTCTTCCCCACTCGGCCACTAATCCTGCCTGGCACTCAACCAGGCCTTGCCATTCTCGCCCCGCCCGACTTTTTTTCTCGTCGTTTTCTTTTGCCAACCTCAGCTCAGCGCGCGCTTCGGATCTCATTCACTCCATGGTTTCCTTGATGGGATCCAGAGAGCAGCTCTTCTTGGTCTTTGCATCGCTTGCGCTCACGAACCCTGCATAGACGGCCAGAGACGGCCTTCTTCTAGACGGCTGGACGGTCGCTTGTCAAAGAGCCTCTTGCGTGGTGGAGCGAACAAGAAATACAGCTGCTGCTGCAACCGGAATCTCTCTCTTCTGTTTATCGATACTCGCTGCTCACTTACAACTTTTTCGTCGCCTCATCCATCTCGACTCGATATCGTCCAATACTCTCAACATTCAGACACCACCCTCACCAGCATCACCAACACACGGCAGCCATGTCCTTTCTCACGCCACCGCCGTCCAAGGCGCCGGCAACGCAGCGCAGCGGCCCTTCCAAACCTCGCTTTGCTAGACCGAATCCCGTCCGGGCCCTCCGCGAGCGCGAAGAACGCTCGCATGCTTCTGCTCTGGCGCGTGCGTCATCCATCCAGAGGCCGGGCGTCGTGACTCCCGCTCACCAGCAGTGCGCCAACAAGGCCTGTCCCAAGCCCAATGTCGTCGACGGAACCTGCCAGACCTGTGGTCGTGTTGCGGATGACAGCAACATCGTCTCCGAGGTGCAGTTCGGCGAGACCTCGTCCGGCGCTGCCATGGTGCAGGGAACCTTTGTCGGCGCCGATCAGGCCGGTGTTAGAGGCATGGGCCCGGCTTTTAGGAGAGTCGGCGGCAGCGAGGACAGGGAGAAGAGCATTCGGGAGGCGCGCGGCCTCATGCAGGGTTACGCCCAGCAGCTCAACATCAGCGACAGCCTCGTCACCGCGGGCACGCAGGTCTTCAAGCTTGCGTCCAGCGCAAACTTCATCCAGGGACGCACACTGGCGAGCGTTGCGGCCGTCTGCCTCTATGCGGCTTGCCGTGCTGAGCCGCCATGCAAAGTCATGCTCATCGACTTGGCCGACTTAGTCCAGCTCAATGTCTTCAAGCTGGGGCGCATCTTCAAGAAGCTCAACGAGGTGGTGCCGATTGGTGCTGACGGCTTGATTCCAGTATACCCCGAGGATCTCATCTGGCGGTTCGCCACCAAGATGGAGTTCCACCAGGACACCGCCAAGGTCGCCGAGGATGCCGTTCGACTGGTCAAGCGGATGAGCAGGGACTGGATGGTCATGGGCCGCCGACCCTCTGGTATCTGCGGCGCCTGTCTGCTCATGGCTGCCCGCATGCACAACTTTCGGCGAACCATCCGGGAAGTCGTCTACATCGTCAAGGTCACAAATCACACCATCCAGAACCGACTGCAAGAGTTCAACAACACCGAGTCCAGCCGCATGTCGGTGGAGGACTTCCTGAAGCAGGATTTCCTGGAGAGCTCGCACGATCCACCTTCATTCTATCGAAAGTCGGACGAGTACAGGAAGAAGGCGGAGGAAAGGTCCCGGAAGCGCAAGCGCGGCATCACCGGCGAAGACGTCCAAGAACCCAGCCCGGAAGAAACCCCGGCCAAGCGACATGTGGAGGGCGGGGCAGATCTTTCCAAGGCACCCGAGGTCAACTATCGCCGAGACGCCGATGGCTTCATCATTCCGCCTCTGCCCTCCCAGATTCCACAGGGAAACATCAGTCTCAACCCATCAAAAGATGAAAACGAGGATGGGCCTGAAGGCCTGGAAGACCTTGCGGAGGCATTTGGAGACGCCCTGGAGGAAGAGACGGCAGACCAAGAGTCCGCCGGCCGAGGCAAAGGCAAACGCGCCAAGCCTCAGCTTCCCATCAACGAAGAATGGGAGCAAGATGAGCAGGAGCTCGAGGGAGTCATTGAGGAGATTTTCAACGACCCTCTTACGTATGAACATGCTCTTGCCTATTCGACTGCCGAGCAGCGCGCCCGCATCCACTCCCTCTGGGCTCGTCAGCAACAACCGCAGAAAGAGGTGTCCATGGCGGCCGACGTCACCGAGGACGAGTTTGCCGATGATCCCGAGGTCATCAACTGCCTGCTTTCGCCAGAAGAAGCACGCATCAAGGAGATTATCTGGGTCAACCAGAACAAGGACTGGCTCAGGAAGCACCAGGAAAAGGTGTTTCGGCGCAAGATGGAGGCGGAGCGCCCCAAGCAGACGCGCAAGCGGAGAAAGCGTGCGAGGATGGGAGAGGGCCAGACCAGCCCGGCCAGCTCTGCCGCGGAAGCCGCCATCGGCGTGGCCAAGGACCGAGCGTGGTCCAAGAGGATCAACTACGACGCCATCCGCAGCATCTTTGACATTCCCAACGTCGGGCTCGGCTCTGCGGCTACCAGCCGGAAGACCAGCTTGGCCGGAAGCACCTTTGGCGCCGATGACGACGCCAGCGAGGCCCCCGACGAGAGCGTTGCCGGGGATGATGCCCAGGAGCACGAGGAGGAGGAGTACGAGGAGCCGGAGGAGTATGGCGAGGGTGAAGAGTTTGGAGGTGGTGGCGAGTACGAGGGAGGCTATGACGAGGATGATCCTGAGATGGATAACGAATATGGGCTTGATGATGAGTAAGGGCATTGAAGCTTGGAGGTTTTGGTCTTTATAATAAGGACAGTTTTCGCTTTGAGATTTGGCGTTGGGGATATGGCTTTGCATCGAAGATTTGGCTGAGGATATGGCGTTGAGGATCGATTATGCGTTGAGGTTCGATTATGCTCTTCTTTACACCTTGCGGCGAATGTAGCTGTAGATATGTTCTACATGCTTGGACATGCCACTTGCGAGTGGCCGCTGGGATTGACATACCGTGAGCTTATATAGTTGCTTGAGACCATGTACCACAAATTCTGTGTCTCCATTACGCATCTCTTCATATCATCATGTACATCAACTCATATATATTTGCCAGGATGGCTCAAATTGCTCTCTTACGAGGCCCATCACGCAGGATACGCCGGGAAATCCCACGGCACCGCCCTCTCCAACAACTCATCCCCCAACCCCTTCTCGCCAGCATTCACATACAGAAACTTGGTGAACGGCACCGTGGCGTAATACTCGAACCTCGTGCCCGCAGGAATAAACGCCACATCCCCCTGCAGCAAAAGCTCCCTCTCGTACCCCTGAACCGTCAGCGCCAGCTGTCCCTCGTCCATCTGTATCGCAAAGTGGTGGTCCAGCGTGACGACGTTGGCGGCTTCGCCCTGGAGCCGCGGAGAGAGCGTGATGGTGCCGACGGTGAGGTTCTTAAAGGGCGTCTGGGCGGCCGTGAGGAGCGGCTGGACGACCTTGTACCCGTTTTCGCTGTTGAGGTACTTGGGGCCGTAGTCCTTGGCGATGTAGTACGGGTCCGTGGGATCGCTGGACAGGGAATTGTTGCCGTCGTGCCAGTGGAGGCGCGGATCGCCGGCGGTGCCGTTGACAAAGTCCCTCCGGGGCACGTACACGTCCGCGCCCGCGACCCAGAGGTCGAGCGAGTTGAGCAGCGCCACCTGCGCGGGCGTCGCCTCGTCAAACGGCTGCTGGTCCGCCTCGACGAGCTCGTACGGCGACCCGTGCGGCGAGTCCCAGTCCCCGAGGCTGAAGACCTCAAACAGCTCCTCGAAGCCGCCCGGGTTGAAGATGTGCGTCAGCTGGCTGTCCGGGTCGGTGTGCTGAAAGGTGTGGATCGTGCCCGGGGGCGCGGTGCCGAAGTCGCCCGGCGTGAGGACGCGCGCCTCGTCGACGGCGCCGGTGGCGTTCTTCTTGGTCCAGAGCTCGATCCGCCCTTTGGTGCAGTAAAAGTGCTCGTGGACGAGCCGGTGGGTGTGCGGGCGGGCCGAGGTCCAGGCGGTGAACTTGCCCGTGTGCTGGACCATGGCGAAGGCGCCGGCGGAGGAGTTTGTGGTGATGCTGAAGCGGATGATCTGGCCGGACGTGGTGAGCTTGACGGCGTGGCCGGCGTAGCGGGGGAGGATGTAGGGGCGGAGGTGGGAGGGGGCGGTGTCGACGACGAGAGGGGGGTGGGAAAGGGGTGATGATGATGATGAGGAGGAGGAGGAGGAGGAGGAGAGGGAGAGGAGGGAGAGGGAGAGGAAGAGGGAGGAGGCTTTCATTGTGGTGGATGGTGATGGTTGGGTTTGGTAACGAACAGATGGGAGGTGTCACGGCCAACATAAGGGGGGAAGAGAGAGAGAGGTCTTTGAGGATCTTATAGAGATATACATAAGTGTATGGAATCATATATCAGGTTGGGTAGCAGTGAGAAGAAAACCGAGACAAGAGGGGAATAAATCGCCGGCACCTCAACCCCGATCCAGGAGCTCGCCATCAACACTTGCATGTACGTACACGAATTGAGAAACCAGCCGATGAGCCTCTTCCCAGTCCAAGCACACCATTGTCCTTTCACGGCATCCATTCAACGACCTTCACCGATCCAAGAGTCGACATTTCCCGAAACAAACGTCAATTCCCCGTATGGTTGCACCCCTCGTCCTGCCTATTCCGGACACTCTACATATAAAAGTGTTCATCGAATGTAACCCGCCAAGAAACTTTGCCATGGTTCCAGTTGATGCGATGCAACGATTTGATTGATTATGTACTGCTTTTTGCGTGGACGTGTGGTTGATGTCGGTTTTGTAAGCGCCGGTTATATAGGTGGAACCCAACTTGGAGGGTTAGATGTGGCGAGCTGTTCGATCAAGGATGGTTGACTGTTTGGCTGGGGTTTATTTTCTTGTTTTGAGGCTGATACTAATGAAGCCCGAAACCAAACCCCGATAAAGAGTGAGTGATAGGGTGGTTTTGCAGCTGCGTATGGACGCAAGGGGAGCCTTTCCAAAAGGCTGAGGTGGTGAGAAAGCGAAGGCTGATTGTGCGTGTGAATGAAGTTGAGTGATGGTATAAGACGTTCGGTGATTCGCAGCACTGGTATAGGAGGGGTCAGGGAGGAGCTGAGAGTTGGTGATGCTGTATTGGATATCGAGGCCTCTTTGATACATAGCAAGGTATGCATATATAACATGAGGCATTGCGCATGTCGGTACAGGGTTGCTGCTGTGTCTGGGACGAGGTAATGCATGTATATAATAGTGTCGATGTTCCCCTTGGAGCTGTCATGGTCACCCATAAAGTGCTCAAGTACTTGTCAAGCGACGCCATCCAATCAACAATACTTTGGTATAACAACCACAGAACCGACAGACACATACTGCTGCGCAGTCACTCTTCGACTCAATGTTCACTAAAACACATCAGCTCTTTTCTGTTGGTCGAGTGGAGGTACTGGGTACATTGGTCAGTTCAACACTTGAGGAGGGGAGTTGTGACGCTTGTATAAGAATTCAGTAACTGACCGCTCACCAGCATTCAGAGGGTATGGAGAAAATAGCTTATGACCCAGATTCTTCCAAGTCTAAGACTATTCTCAAGTATCACTGAGCCCTCGTGGACCAAAAGCAGCTATGATCAAGTTCCTTCATTGCTTCGCTATGTGCAGACTTTCTGGCTATATACACCATGAGTATTTACAAGTCATGAGAGCCATGTACAGTCTCCCCCTTTTGCCGTTTCATCATTCATCCCATAACACTTCGTGACAAGTCCACATCGTCGCTTATTTCTGAGCCCAGCCCAGGCGCTCGTTGCCAAGGTCAAAGACAACCAGGGCAGCCTTGAGGGCAACATCACCAAAGATGTTGATGCCAATGTCGGAGCTGCTCTGGAGACCACCGAAGCAGGTGGAGCTGCCCTCCTCGATGGGAGTCAGGTTCAGCAGGTCGCCGGGGATGGTGATGGTAGAGCTTCCGACGCCAAAGCTGAAGGTAGGGAGGTCCTCGTCGCAGTCGAAGACAACACCCTCCTGCTGGTTGTCGTACTCAGCGGAGCGGACGTTGGCGTAGTAGGCATCGACAATGTCGTCGTCGAGGAGGAGCAGGGTGGTGCCAGTGTCGGCAATGCCGCTGATGGAGCTGCGGCTGAGCTTGCCGCCGCCGACAGAGTAGCCCGAGGCAGTGAAGCCCCAGAAGCCCTGGCTGTTGTCAACGGGGGTGTAGGCAACGGGACCCTTGGCGACGCTGGTGTCAATGTAGCCAAAGTTGTAGCTGCCGTCTATTTGTTTGGCTCAGTCAGCTTACTTGATCGAAGAGAAGAGGGAACAAAGCTCAATGGGTGTACTTACTCTCGCCGTGCCTCAGATCGGCAGTGAAAACGGGCTCAGCCAGGCTGCTGGCGGCGTTGGAGAACCACGTCTTCTGGGGGCGGGGCCTGACCTGGTTGCCGCTGTCAAAGGCAAGACCAACGAGGCCAGAGATGACAGTGTCCTGGACGAACTCGGTGGACACACGGGTAGCAGACTCAACGCCCTGGGTGGCGACGCTGAAGCCTCCAATGGTGACCTTGTCGGTGTAGACATCGCCGCTGGAGCTGCTGCCGTCACCGTAGCTGATGGACCAGGTGGCGCCAGAGACCTTCTTGGAGGTGGACGACTTGGAGGGAGTGTAGAGGGCGTGTCCGGTGGCCGAGGACTTGGGGGTCTCGGAGCTGAAGACCCACAGGTCGGAGGAACCGGTGTCAAAGTCCAGGGGGAGGACCTGAGCCGGAGTGCCGATCGAGACGGAGGTGACGTACTCCGAGTCGGCGCTGTCGCTGGGGTGGGTGGGCGCCGAGCCGGTCTGGCGCTTGGCGATGGCCTTGGCCTGCTTGGCAGCCACGATAGACTTGAGGTTCTCGCTGATGGGAGCGCCGTACTTTCTCTTGGCCTTGAAGAGGGCAGTAGGGCCGTGAGGGACGTAGTTCTTGTTGTACTGGACCTCGACGGAAGCGGTCTTCTGTCCCTCGGTAGGGAGGGCCGCGGCCAGGCCGCTGGCGGCGAGGAAGGAAACGAGGAAAGCTCCAAAGGTCTGCATCTTGAACGAGCCGGAGGAGATATGGAATTCTCAGAGAAAGTTGCTCGGGGGTTGACTGGACTTGTCTTGAAGTCTGATGTGGCTGATGAGAAAGAAGGCTCCAACACCAGACGGAGGGAAACAAGACGTCTTTATATCCATCGCGACTCATGTTGAAGGCGCCTGGCGATGCTCCTCCCATCTCCGAGGCATTGTCGTTGTTGACGGCTTCAAGAGCATGGTTTAGGAAGGTCGCCTTGCGCCATTCTCCCCGAGCTTCACACACTTGCTGGGGCATGGTGATGGGAGGAGGAGTCGCGATGGTGGAATTGACCTCCGCAATCAGGCCAGATGGCTGTAGATCGTCGTTTACGGCCCGCGAGCGAATGAAGCGTCCACGTCCAGGGGTGCATCCATGTGGAGGGCGTGCCTGGTCTCATAGCCCGCAGAGGCGAGGCCGGCCGAGAGCGTACTGCCATTTCTGCCTTGCTTCAATGGAGACGCTGGAACCTTTGTCGATCACGTATCTTGAAGCATCCCAAGATAGAAGTCCAGAGTCCTGCTAGTCCACGGCCACGGGGATTCGCTCGGAGGCGGCGCAACACTGCTGTCGCCAGAGGGGCATGGTCGAGATAGTGCTTTACACAAGACTCCTCGCCACTGTTGTGGCCGGCCAATCCGGGGTCGCTGCTGGCTGTGCACTCTCGACACTGCGGAGGGCTAGGGAAATAGGCAGGCTTCGAAAGAAGTACCCAATGCTGATCTCCTGTCTATCAAGGGTCTGCCTGCTCCACGCTTGAACGGTAGCCCACAGTTCAGACCGTGTGATGATATGACAGGCTGGGGTATTAGGCGGGCCGACACGACTTGGGCGACAACGCTGCGCCCGCGTCTCTGTTCTGCTTCGTACGGCCGAGGTCGATCTGAACAAACGAAGCAACAAGCCCATCCTTCGCCGAGTGATGTTGCAACCGTGTTCCACCGCATCCCACTGTCAGTGGCATGCTCGGTCACCAAACGGCCAGTCATGAGCTGCAAACGCGAATCAGCTCCCGTATAGGCTCGGAGGCCCGTTCGCCTCAACGGTGAATCAAAGCCACGAGAGCCACCGATGCCTTGACTCAGATCTGTCTCGTGCTCCTCGCATAGGGGACCGAAGACAGAACTAGCCCAACCGACTAGGGATCACCAGCTCGGCGGCCGAAATAAGTCTAATCCGTTAGTTAATGTTAAATCCGCCGTCCCAGCAATCAGAGAGGCCTGGTGACCGGGAATTAACAGGGCCAATCTGCTGTGGCCTCCGATCCTGGGGCTCGGACGGATACCTCGAGAGTCATTGGCTCCGGCGCTGGGGCACTACTGTGCTGGCCCAGGGACAATCGACTTGGCGTCCGGCAGTCAGGGGTGGGAACTTGTGCCAGAGTCGCCATTCCTCTCATCTCTGCTGTCGTGGTGGCCGTCAAATCACGAGCTGCCGTGGCTTGCGGCGCGGACAGAAGTTCGTTACAGCCAGCTCAAGCCCAGAGCGGCATGTCCAAAAGGCCCAACGCCCAAAAGGCCCGCTCCAGCTGCCGGACAGGGGCCAGGGCATCACCAGAGCCGCTGTTTGGCTCTCGTTGAAGCCGCCGGGCCCTTGTCTGCTGGCCGGATAATCGGCATGCCGCTGACCGTGGTCGTGGGATTCTCGAAAAAGGGACCTGCACGAGTAATTGTCAGTCGCAGTCGGCCGGAGCAAAAGAGGCAGCGGAACCGGCCGGACAGGCGGCTGTGGTTGTTGTTGTCGAGCGCGAATGCGACGCTGCGTGAAGTTTTTACGAGTTACGAAATCTGGAGGATTACGAGAAGAGAAGAGAAGAGGAAAGAAGTTGTTTCAGCGTCTGGAGCACGTGATGGTTGCGATAAGGACGAGTTCCTTCCATGGTTGGCAATGGCGTCATGTTGTTGTTTCTGTCCAAGCAGAGCCTCGACGGTGCCTTCAATACCTACACACATCGACACTGAAGCCTTGACATTGCTTACCTATAGATACCAGATTTACGAGTATAACGCAGCATACTACCACCACCATCTCGACGGAAAATAAATGCCGTGGCGCTGTATCCAAGCCGACAGCCGGGTCCGTCACACGCATCGCATCGCATCGCATCGCCAAGAACCAGCTGCCAAACAGCTTTGGATGCCGGCAGTCAAGCAACAATGACACTGGCAGGTCTTGGCCTACATGATAGAGCAGGACTCGCACAAGGCACAGGCTCAGCAATGGCACTCCAGCGTCGCACGCTCACAGCGTTTACAGCCCGTCCAGCCAATCTGCGTCCGTGTTGGCGCCCTCCCTCGTGTCTTTTTTTCTCCCTCCTCCCCTGGTCCTTGACCCCTGTCCGTGGCCAGGAATCGACGCCACTCGGAGACCATGACGGCTCTGGAAGGTGGCTCACGCAAGGCATCTCTGAGTTCAGCTCGCGTTTCAATGCAGGACACCACAAACATCGGAGATAATCAGCCCTGGTGTTTCGAGTGGTAGCATCAAAAGGACCTGGAAGAGAGTCTGGGCTGCTTCCATCGATATGGCCGACTAGTCATCCTGTCACACGTCATTGAATGCTGCCAAAAATGGAATGCAAAGGACTCTTTGTTCCTGCGAAACGGCCGCTCGACTACTAACACGTTGCATCCTCTTCAACTTTCGCCGTCGTCCTCGCATCTCTTCAGCCCCGATCCCCCGCGAGAACCGACAAGGACAGGGGCTACCCATGGCTTCTGAGTAGGTAAGATCGCATGTGAAAGGCCCTATTTGGGACTGCCGCGCTTGACACGACCAATGATGCAATCGTGAACGGCTACGCCCAAACTCCCAAGCATCTGCTCAATGGAAGATGACCGAGCTGCTTGTGGCAAAGCGGGCCGTCCTGCGGCTTAATGCTACCAGATACATGCCAACTCCAGTCAAGATGAAGCAAGACATGTTGACCCTTGAGCATCTCGGGCTCTGTGGGATAGGAATTCGAGTCGGCGATGAGACTCTACAATGTTTGGCACGAGTTATGAAATACAAGCCAACCTGAAGAAAGATCGATACAGGGCTAATCGTATAGCACTACTTACACGTCTTGCCAGAGCCACAAGTGCTCCCAATCTGGCAACTTGCTGCGAAGCCGCCTATACAAGTCCTTATTACGGAGTATCTGCATCATTACTCCACGCAAAGCTGCATAGCAGAAGTTCCTTGAAGCTGCATCACGTATAGTACCTATGCCAATTTCCATCCTACGCGCTAAAGCCCGTTGATGCTGGAGCGCATCATCAAGCTGGCTAATGCTCGTGAAGGGAGTAACGGCTCATTATACAGATGAGGAATGTAGAGAATACAACGAATATACCGACCCATGCGATCTACTGCAGTGCCGTCACCAATTCCGCGGACTTTTGTCTATCGAGTGAGCCTCTCATCAATGAAAATTTTTCACATGAAGTCCGGCAACGTCTGGAATGTGTCACGATGGGAGCCTGATAACTTTTCGGGTAGAGCTCCCTTGGTCTGAATGAGATGTAGAGGTGATGTTGGTGATGTCTACTATGAACAAATCGCAAGGCAATGATGGCTTGACATGTTCATGATTCTTGAAAATGTTGGGTGTTACCACGATTGTACAGACATTGAACAAGAAAGCTTCCCTTCATGATAGTCGTCTTAGGGTAGCCAAGTTGCATGGACTGTAACCCAGCTACTGCAACCTGTATGTAGCAATGGAGTTTCCGTTACGGTCCTCTAATTCCACATATGGACTTCTATTTCACCTTCTATTAAGACTGTACGTACGATACTAGAGTGATCATGGTGCCGAATGCTTTCACACTAGACCGCAAACTGGTAATATTCTGCATTGACCTTTACACGACGAAGCTTCCTTGATGCTGCATGACTTCCGATTTCATAGGCGCCTGTGCGCTTCCCTCTATTGCTCATGAAGCGCAATATCTATCACCAATCAGTAGCACTTGCGTCTAAGAAACGGCTGAATATCAATTGCATCTCATAGCTGTTGTATGATTCCAAAGAAGAGAGTCTCCTGAAAAGACTATGAACCTGTAGCAGCTTATGAGACCCGGCACGCCCTCAGAAAGAAGTAGTTCCCCTCCTGGATCACGCAAGTCTCCATCGCAAGAAGCTCATCAAATATTTTTGGGAGACTCTTCTTGTTGGTCTACTAAGGCGGCAAAGAAGGTGTTGCGTCGTGCAGATGGTAACGCGGCGATGTACCTGCGTTCACAACCACTTACACGGGTAGTTCAACCATGCACGAAGCCAAATACAAAGAGCTAGTACCCGGTATAGACCGTTTGTCCAACCCACGACATCTGATATCAACATGTACATTAAACTATAGCCGTTCGACCTAAAGATATAACCCATGCGCCATATACATTTCGTACAATGCTCGAAACATGCATAATCCCACTCAGTTTTTGCCAATCTCCTCTTCCTGGTCTTCCCACTCACCATCCTCTTCCTTCTGCTCATTGACCTTGAACTCGGCGTCGCCCGCCAATCCCTCGCTGTCAAAGTCATCCACATCCATGTCGCTGTAGTACTCGTAGTCATCCTCGTCATCCTCCTCGTCCTTGTCGTCGCCCTTGCCGCCCTTCTGCGCCGCCTTCTGCGCCTCCTTGGCCTTCTTCTTCTTCTCCACGTTGGCCTTTTGCTCGCGGCGACGAGCCTCCTTCTCCGCCATCCGCTTCTCCCACCGCTTCTCCAGCTCCTTGATCTCCGCAGGCGACTTGTGGATGTACTCGTGCCACATGACCTTGCCCGAGCACATGCCCTCCTCGACCTTGGTCAGACGTAGCCGCATGCGAGGTCCGAGCTCGACGAGCTTGACCACGTGCTTCTCCACGTGTGCTTCCTCGACTTCCTCCTGTTCGCCGTTCTCCGCAGCCGCAGCGCGGGCTTTGGCGGACAGGACCTTTCGAGCCGCCGTGTCCTGGACTTCGACTTCAGCATCCGTGTCAACTTCGCTGCCGCTCGTCGCATCCGAGACGTATCCATCGCCGCCCTCGCCAGTCATGTAGTCTGCGATGTCCTCAAGCTTGCCCAGGTTGGGCACATGGCTGCGCCGGCTGGTCTTGGTGTTCAGGAAGTGCTCGGCGGCATTGATCCGGCGCAGCTGCTTGGAGACGCCCGAGGGCCGCGTAGTGATGGCATAGTGTCTGAAGTTGAGAATGAAGGTGCCGTCGTCCTCCGGCGACTGCTCTCGGTTCAGGAGCAGCACTCTGCGAATCGTCTTGATGGGCGTTGTCTGGGGGTTGATCGGGGGGAACATGGATGAGAAGACGGTGGTGGCTAGTGATTCGAGATGCTTGGGGACCTTTGACTTGGCAGTGGCGCCGGGGCGAGAGAATCCGTTCATCACCAGCTGTTATCCGTCAGTATGCAGCTTCCAGCTTCAGCCATAGCAATTGTCCTTGATCCTTACCAGAGGGGCAGCAAGAAACTCTTTGCCCATGCCCTTGGGATGCCTCTGAATCTTTTGAATGTCCTTGCAGAGAGAGTACTTCTCGACCCGAAAGTTCAGCGTAGGTCCTCGGGGCGCCAGCGCAACCCTCATGTTCGTGTTTCCTCCTTCTGACCGCGAGAAGAGCAGCAGATGTGTCACACCCAACGGACCGCACATGACGACGTAGTCCTTCAATCGGTTTCCCCTCCGCTCCTTCAGCCTGCTGGCGGTCCCCGGCTCCATGACTTTCCGCACGTCTGCTGCAAGCTGGCTGACGCTTGAACCGACCTCTCCCGCGCCGATTCTGATGACCATGCTCTTGGGATCCCGCGCCGAGGCATGTCCGGCGGAGTTGGGCTGCGGGTTGCTTGCGCCCAGGTGGGTTCGCTTCTTGACTCTTCGTTTCGCCATGGTTGACTGAGTTTTGTTGTGCTTGATATGTCGAGGTTTTGGTGTGAGACGGACCTCCAATTGACCGTCAATATCAGAGCGAAGAAAAAAAGTTCAGACAAGACGAGCGATAAGCGCTTATCGGTGATGCAGGGCCCCGCCATATTTTCTCCAAGCTCCAAAGCAGCCCGCTTGTTATGCAAGTATGCGGATTGGCTAGGAGAATGATTGTTCCGAGCGCATACTTTGCATGTATCAAACTGTTGCAACAATTGAACCATTTCACAATTTCTGTCTCTTGCAATATAGCAATTCACCGGATATTTCAGTCGCTTTTGACTCTTTAACTGGTAGAGCCTGGTGTCTAAGCCTCTATATAACACTGATTCATAAAAGATTATCTGGTTATGTTTTCTGCTGTCCCCATGCTTATCTCGTAACTCAGATCATAGTCTCGTTTACAGCATTCTCTTGATATCTGCATCCTGCATTGTAGTCCGGCCCCGCTTTCTCGCTCTCGACCGGGGTTCATCTCTCTGCATCCTGATTCGCTACTGCAAAAGACGAACCCAGAAAAAAGTTGCTGGGCAAAAGGCTTCCGTCTTCCTCCGTCTTAACAAAATCCCACATCAAGACAAACACAAATCAGCACAATGAGCGGCCCAAAGAGACAAAAGACCGCGCACGACGCGCCGGTCAAGCGCCAGCAAGAAGAAGCTGAAGACAGCGCCTCTCAGTCGTCTCACGATGCTCCCACCGAGGAAGAATCAGCGACGCTCGATGTCGCTTCCACTGCCGATGCTGCGGATGCGCCAGAGGAGCCCAAGACATTCAAAGAGCTGGTAAGAGGATACCATACAACTACACCATAATTCCTCATGACTGACATATTTAGGGCATTGTCGATTCATTATGCGAAGCCTGCGAATCCCTCAACTACAAGCGTCCCACCGCCATCCAGGCCAAAGCCATCCCCGTCGCCCTCCAAGGCCGCGACGTCATTGGCCTCGCCGAGACAGGCAGCGGAAAGACGGCCGCCTTCGCCCTGCCCATCCTGCAGGCTCTCCTCGAGAAGCCCCAGCCGCTGTTTGGACTCGTCTTAGCACCCACTCGAGAACTCGCCGCGCAGATTGGACAGTCGTTTGAGGCTCTCGGCGCCCTGATTTCGCTGCGGTGTGCCGTCATCGTGGGAGGTCTGGACATGGTTCCTCAGGCGATTGCCCTGGGCAAGAAGCCTCACATCATCGTCGCCACGCCCGGCCGATTGGTCGACCACCTGGAAAAGACAAAGGGCTTCTCCCTGCGGTCCCTCAAGTACCTCGTCATGGACGAGGCCGATCGCCTGCTCGACATGGACTTTGGCCCCAGCATCGACAAGATCCTCAAGTTCATCCCTCGCGAGCGCCGCACATACCTCTTCTCCGCCACCCTGAGCTCCAAGGTCGAGAGCCTTCAGCGGGCCAGTTTGAGGGACCCCGTCCGCGTCAGCGTCAGCTCGAGCAAGTACCAGACCGTGTCGACCCTGCTGCAGCACTACATCCTCGTGCCGCACAAGCGAAAGGACACATACCTCATCTACCTCGTCAACGAGTTCGCCGGAAAGTCCATCATCATCTTCACCCGCACCGTCTTCGAGACGCAGAGAATAGCCATCCTCCTGCGGACCCTCGGCTTCGGCGCCATCCCTCTCCACGGACAGCTGTCGCAATCGTCTCGACTCGGCGCCCTGAACAAGTTCAAAGGAGGATCCCGCGAGATCCTCGTGGCCACCGATGTCGCCGCCCGTGGTCTGGATATTCCCGCCGTCGACGTCGTGCTCAACCTGGATCTGCCGCAGGACTCCAAGACGTACATCCACCGTGTCGGTCGAACGGCTCGTGCGGGCAAGTCTGGTATCGCCATCAACATCGTTACGCAGTACGACGTCGAGATCTATCAGCGCATCGAGGCCGCGCTGGGCAAGCAGCTGGACGCGTACCCGACCGAGAAGGAGGAGGTCATGGCCTTCCAGAGCAGAGTCGAGGAGGCGCAGCGGGAGGCCAGGATTGAGATGAAGGCTTTCCTGGAGAACAAGGGTAAAGGCAAGGGCAAGGGCAAAGCGAAGGCCGGTGGACCAAAGAGGAGGAGAGACAACATGGATGAGGAGGAAGGTTGAAGAAGATGACATAAGAAAGGAAAGGAAAAGTTTGGGCGGAATAATAGGCGCTATCGTGCCAGGCAGACACAAAGGGTGTTCAGGTGCAATTTACATGATTTGTATGAACTTTCAGGGGCGCGGTAGTTTAACTTATCTGGTAATTCAATTCTGAAGTGAGAAAAAGCATATCTTTACTGGATACTTGATAACTACATTAAAGTCATTCCGAACCAGATAAACACAATCCTGAACCTCCATCCCTCGAACCCCTCTTAATCCAATGAGCAAAGTGAGTAGCGCAACCTCCCAGTCTATCCTTTCTTAAAATAGAGACCTGCCACGATGATGCTGTTGCTTTTGATATCGTAAACTATGAGGAGATTCGACTTCTTCTCACACAATTTCTTAAAAGGGTATATCAATCCCCTTTGAAGCCGTAAGCCTATGTTCCCATATCGACCGAATCGTCCGCATCTCGGGGGGTATGCGGCTCCGCCATCTCCGCGTCCTCATGCTCATCTTCATGGCCCCCTTCCTCATCCTCGGCTTCTTCTTCTTCTTCTTCCTCTTCCTCGTCATGGAGGTCTTTGCTGTGGTCGCCCTCATGTTCTTCTTCGCCTTCTTCAGCCTCTTCGGCCTCTTCGGCTTCATCCTCCCCATGCTCCTCATCGTCTTCGTCTTCTTCATCCTCGTCTTCTTCAGCCTCATCACCCTCGCTCTCGCTATCAGCGTCCTCGCCACTGGTCTCACCACTCTGAATGGTGCGTCCCAGGTGCGGAAACATCAAGCTCGGCGGGACATCCTCTTCGTAGTCTTCCGGAACATCGCTAAGATCACTGTCCACAGACTCTTCAAGGCTGTGCGCGTCATCACTCTCGAGCTCTTCCTTGTCCTCCAGCTTGGAGTCGTCGTGGCCATCGTGGCCGTCCTCCTCGTACGTATGCGTATCGGGCATATCGGTATCCTCCCCTGCCTCTCTGCGAACTTGCGCATCTGGCCCTTCGTCGTCGCTGTCGCCGTCGCTGGCACCCGCGTGAGGCGTGTGGCTCTCGCGTTTAGCGCTCGACATGCTTCCTACTCGGCTCCTGGGCAGTGCCGACTTGGGTGTTTCCAAAGACCGAGTGACCGCTTGCTCCGCCTTACGAAGGACATCGGGCCTTCGGACTCCGGTTTTGCGGACCCGCGGCGCCGCCTCAGACTTCTCGCCTTCCAGCGGCGTCGCAGTGCCCGGGAGGCTGTCATGAGTGCTTGGGGGATTCAGGATGTTGCTGAGGGAACTGGTTGGCTTGGCTTCAGCTTGAGCCTGAGCATGGGCCGCAGCCTCCAGCTTGGCCGCAATCTCTTTGGCCTGATTGCGCTCCTCAATGATCTTGCTCGGCTCCTGACCTGGCAGAGTGGCGGCTATATCCACATAAATCTTGGCATAGCAGTCATTGATCAGATCATCGATGCCGGCAACCTTCATCAGATTAGCATTGAGCTTCTTCAGTTCGATAGCCTCCTTCATGCAGATGAATGCTGGGATGTTGGCCTCGTCGCGAGTAGCCCATTCGGTGATCCTCTCGCTGATAATCTCAAACTCTTCGGTAGACAGCGACTTGAACGCATCATCTGTAGGATGCGATATGTCGTGAGCATCTCTCAACAGCTTCAGGTAGGCCATGCAGCACGACTGCCACAGATCGACAAAGTGGTAGAAATCTGCGCCCTTCTTCCGAAGTCGACGAAGCAGCTGCTCCAGGTTGGACTTGTCGGCCATGACCACAAGCAAATTGGTCATGAACCGCACGTATTGCTCAGTAAAGACATGGTGGCGGCCGGGACGCTCGGCATCGCATTTCCACACGTTCATGACCATCGTCTTGGTGAACATGTTCTCTCTTAAGATCGCAAAAGCAGCCTGCGCGGCAGCCTTGTCGCTCACTTGTGCCCCATGGCTCTCGTCGAACAGAATCTTGGCGTGGCGTGCAACGATCCGGTGCTGCCAGTTAGACTTGTCCTTCTCCTTGAGCTTCACAAGCGTGGGAATTATGTATTCTTCCCAGTGTTCGGGCTCTGAAAACGAAGCAAAGGAGTCATCCGGCTTAAACTGCACGCCGAAAGGCTGCTCCGATAGGATTTGGGCTCCTTCTTTGGCAGGGAGATCCCCTCTCATCACAAGTTTGTGTACAATCGACACAATCTTGTAATGCGGCTCGAGGATTGGGTCGCTGTGGCGGGATCTTCTCGCGTTGTAGGCGACTTTGACAGCGTCTTTGAGCGCTTTGAGAACCGTATTAATGCCGATCTTGGTGTCCCTGTCCTTGCTATCGAGCTCTTCGTCTGGCGTCTGATACATCTTCCAGTAACACTTGGCCAGCATGTATGGATTTCTACTCGAAAAGTCAGTAAGCATGTTATCAAGTAAGAGCAAGTGCAGGGCTACATGGTGTAAACTCACTTCCAGTTATTTGGCTTCCGCTCCATGGCCATTCTGAAAAGCTTCGCAGCAAATTTCCACACTTTATACTCCGTCATCTGCTCATGGAGAATCCTCTTAAACGTTCCCGATCCCATATTCTGAATGAAGAATCGTTCTTGATCAGAGTGCTGAAAGGGCTCCATAGCAAATGGCTCTCGACTCGAAGCGTACAGACGCATTCCAAACTTATGGTACAGGTCGTGTAACGGATCTTCGTCGGTAGCCTCGATCTGTTGGTACCGAGAATGTGACAAGGCCAGTGTATAGCAGTGAATCGCGTTTCTCTGAAACTTGACCAGTTCTGCCCGGTCTTTGTTCATCTTGTCGGCGGTCCACAGCACTGCCTCATCCAGATCGTAGTCAAAGCATTCAGCCAGCCGGAACCACGACTCCCAGCTGTCTGAGCTGAATTGCAGCTGCAGCCTCAAAAAAGTCGCGCCGATGCGAAGGTCATCCGTCGCGCCCGGAGTCTGCCGTCGGTTCAAATCCACAGCCTTAAACTTGGTCAATGCTATCATTCCGAGCAAGAAGAACCAGCCGTGCTTCGCCAGAGCGGCTTCCGGCGTGTTCGTTGACACAGCATCCACCGTCACCTCTCCGACCAACGCTTGATAGAGTCGAAGAGGATGGATGGGCTTTTTGACAAGTTCGGTGAAGTTGCGCAAGTTGTGGATCATCTGTGCCGTGGACTTTGGCTGGCCAATCGTCTGCTGCATATGATCAATCGCAGTCTTGAGGTCCGATTTCAGGAGATCCTTCATCGGCATGCGGTTTGCCAGGATCATAACCTTTTCCACAAGCTGCATTGTCTGGCGCTTTTCGAGCTTCTCGTGGGGACAGCCATGATCTTGAACTTCCCACGCTCCAACTCCCAGCTTGAGACCGTACAGATCATAGACCACTTGTGGCAGATAGTCCTCCCAGTTTTCGATGTTCTTGTTCTTAAGCAGCTCCATGCGCATAACCTTGAGGAAGATCTTGTTCGAGGCCTTACAACATTTTCGAAGACCAATCACTTGGTGGATAGCGGCGAGGAAGTCTGCCAGCTCCTTCTCCGAGTCGATCGACTCATGGAGAGGCAGCGCTGCCCTGAACATGGTGAACTGAAGAGACCAGGTGCGCACCTGCATTTCTCGGAGCTTGGTGATGAGAGACTGGAAAGTCGAGTTCGAAGACGGCGCCGTTTTGACCCCTATTTTGACCTCGTCTTCATACAAGAAGGCCACATGAAGAATGGAGTTCACCTTGGCAATGGCACTGCAGCTCGACTTGAGATGGTCATCATCGATGATGTCAAATGCAGAGGAGTCGTTCAGGGCCAATGTCAAGGCCTGAATCAGCAGCTCGTCGAGAGACTTCAAGGTTCTCATGTAGAGAAGCAGGCGAGACTCATCGGGCAGCTTGGCGTACTTTTCACTCTCCAGGTCCGCCACGATCAGTTCAATGCTTCGAAGGAGGCATGAGAACCGCTTTGTGGTGTATTTTATGGCCTCATACGCATCGCCAAGTCGTGACCAGAGAAACAGCCTCAGCTCAGTGCTGCTGCTACCCAGAAACTTCCACAGATCACGCATGCCTTGAGTCGCACAGTCTGAGATGGAATTCTTGTTCTTCTGCTGTTGATGTTCCTCCGATTCAGGAGGAGAAGGTGCCTCCGAGCCCGGCGTCTCGTCTGGCTTCTCCGCAGATATACACACGGACGAGGGGTTGAGGACAGGCTCCAGTGTTTCAATGACGTGAACGGGGCTTTCCATGCCTTCCTGGAAAAGGCTGAGGAAGAAATCCATAGTGGTGAGCTTGGATATCTCCCGGTCTGCCGCGGCCGGGGAGATTGTTGGCATGACCACGTTGTTGGGTAGAGTTAATGTCTCGACTTTCTCCTCGGTCAGGAAATCACGAAGCGACGTCCACAACAGGAGAATGTGCTCCCGAACTGGATTGTCTGAGAGCGACGACACCAAGACGGAGGCCCACAGAAACCTGATGCAGAGGGGATCAGTTGCTGGCCGGTTCATCAGGCGCACATAAGCCGACGCCAGATCCAGCCACCGCTGGAGTCGGTATTTGGTCTCCATGCGGGTGGCATAATCAACTGCGCTGCTTGGATTGGTAATTCGCTCGTAAATGTCAATGTAAAGTTCAAACACCATGGGGATGAGAGATTCCAGCTCCGCGAGGGCTTCCGGGGAAGACTGTGTCCGCAGCGCCTCTGAAACCAGTTTGTAGAGCGATGAGTCGGTAGTGTTGAGCATCTGCACTACCGCAGTCTTCATATCGTCAGACCACTTGAAGGAGGCATAGCTCGAGCTTATGGTCTTCATCCACTCGAAGACAACATCATGACTTGTCATCTGCTCACCTCTCTTCTCCACTCTCAGCGCGAAATCCCTCAGTCCCTTGGTCTCGTTGAAAGGAACATTTACGGCTTGATCCTCAGAGCCGGTCTTGGCATGTTCCAGGAAAGAAGAGAGCCCCAGAGTCGCCTGCTCCTTCTTGTTAAGAAAGACCATGGCAACATCTTCCTTGAAGTCAGCGATCAGTGTGCGCAAATCTTTGGCCCCGACACGAGTGAACTTGGACGAGCGATCTTCTGCCACGCACAGGTTGAGCATCTCCTCCAAGTAATCAAAGGTTTCTTTATCCTCGACTCCAACGATCTCGAGCAAGTGCTTGGTCATTGCAAACAAATGTTGGTCAGCCTCCTGGAAAGGACGCAGTTGGTTGGCTATCAGGGTGCTCGGATCGGGGGCTTCTTCGGCCTGGGTGGGTTCGGTTGCTCTCCTGCGGACTCTTTTGCTTCTCTTCTCGGTCACATTCTCTTCATCGGCGCCGTCTGGAAGCCCTGCGGCGGACTGTGATCGCTTCCTCGCTGATTGCGTGGCGTTGGGCTCCTTTTGTGTCCCGTCGGAGCCTTTGGCAGTGTCATCGGCAATGTCGGACCCTTGGCTCCCTTTCGACTCCCGAGGCGGCGTTATAGACGCTTCTGCCTTGTTGCCGTTTGTACCCGAGGCCTTTTTGTCTTCGGAAAGACTGCCATTCTCGAGTCCGTTGGTGGCCTCATCTCGCGGTTCGTCCATGTCCGAATCCTGCTTGGCAGTTTGCAAGATTAGTCTGCAAATTTCCAAAGCATCCTTCGTGCTCTCGGCACATTTCATAAGTTCGAAGCCAAGATCAGACCAAGACTCAACGTTCCTGCTCTCCATGTCCAGGTCGCTCGTCACGGATACATCGTCATTAGTGCCGCCGTTGTCTAGAAGCTGCTTGCTGATCTGCAATTCCGCTGGCACTGACAATGTCGCAGTCGGGTCTGGCAAAAATGGAATGGGGTCGAGATGTCGTTTCAAAAGTGCTGGCAGTTTCTTCTTCATCCAGGGTGCCATCGCAGGGTGCGACAAGGCCATGTCGTCGCCGAGGAGATTCAAGTACATCTTGAGCTGCTCGCCCGCCAAGCTCTCGGCGAGAGAAGGAGGTTCAACCTCCATCACGGCAGGGTCATCATCCAGCTCTATTGCAGCCTCCAGACAGTATCGCTTGATTCTTCCGCTGTTCAGGGCGGCGGCAAATCTCGCCACCTTCCTCCAGAGCTCTGGATCGGAAGGATCTTGGTCCAGCGCAGCGGTCCAGCTGCCGAGAATCTTCTTTCCATGGTCGCTAGAATAGTACAACTGGAGCTTGCTGCCCCAATCAGGATCCGCATCTTTCTCATCCTTAAGCTTATCCAGGTAAAACTGTCCGTAGTTTTTATATGAGAGGTAAAGCGCAAGCGCAAGACTTGCAGCCACGCCGTCTGCGCCGCCCGCGGCCACATCGAGTCCGTCTGCGAAGAATTCGGGCGCTGAGGTTTCTGCCTGGCCATCAGCCTGTAGCTCCGCTCGCTCGTAGTCGGTTTTCGCTTCTCGATACTTGAATATCTCGGACTCGAAGAGCTCGTCGTAGGCGGCACTGGCTGCTTCGCGGGACCGCAAGCCTTGCGCGTGGAGCTTCAGCGCATTCTGGAAGCACTTGAGGGCTTCGTCAACCTGCAGCATACGTTAGAATCTGTGTACCGTCCGGTTTCCATCAATCTCATGGATATGGGCAACTAACGTGAAGTTCCTTGGTGGTATCGATCTGCTCGTCGAGGTTTTCCTCAGGCTCGAGGTTGATGGCCTGAAAGGCGGGCTGCAGCAAAGGGTCAGGTCAGCATATGTATGTCGTACCATATGTCGTATGCATCCGAAAGGGTCTGGGCGAAGAGACTCACCATGATCGCAAGCGATATGCGGACGCTGACAGAGCCAGCATTCGCGGAGTCGTGAGGTGAAGGTTGGAGGAATCTGGAGATTCATCTGGCCCTGAATGACGTTTGAATACTGATCCATGGGTTCAACTGGCGCGTCGCGTAAATCCAATTCAATTGGCCCCAGCCGAGGCGATAAGATCAAATTACAGCAGGCCTGCAGTGACTCGCTTGGCGCTCAGTGCTGCGAGTCCACTGTAGCCTGAGGGGAGGTGGCGCACCGGCAGCTGACTAAGAGCGCTGTGGCCGCCACTTTAGCCCCTGTGGTGCCCCCCAAGCTCCCCGTACCTGGCCTCGCTGGCATCGAGATAAAGTACCTGGGCTGTATGTACATGCGCGGTACACGTGCAGGTGCCAGACCAGGGCGGAACGGAACCTTGGAAGGCTGGTCATACGTGGTCAGTGTCCAGCCCCGGAAGCCTCGAATCCTTGCTCGAAGCTCAAACAGCTGCTCCAACCACAGACAGCTTGCGCAATTCCAGCTTCGCCTCTGCGTGGACCGCTGCAGCCGCTCTTGATGGTTGACGCAGCTCGCAATCGCCCCGGAGCAGCTCGAATCCATTGATCGCGCAGCTTCAACAGCCCCGTTGCCGCCATGGTTGCGCCGGCAGTGCCTGAGTGAGCCTCCCGCCATGCACGCAGCTCCAGACAAGGGCGCCTAACTCTTGCCCAGGTTAACCGAGGACATCCTCCACGAGTCGATCGATGCCAGGACAGAATCGCTTGCGACGCTGCGAGAGCTGGGTCCGCCGGATCTGGTCCATCTCGTGAAGCAGGCAGTGCGCAATCCGGGAAAGCAGGTTAGCGATGGCGACGACGAATTCGAGGCACGGGACAAGCAGCTAAACGGTGTTAATTGCAGACCGGCGTCTACCATCATGTCACGGGTGTCGATGCGTCGTCTTCGGCAAGTCTTGCGGCTTATATCAACACTCTGACGTACAGAGACCATGACCCAAACACAACCACCAGGATCGTCGAGGGTGTGTACTGGTAAGTGGCAGAGATGAAGCGAACCGTTTCGAAACACATGGCAGTGCTGACAGCGCAAAGCTGCTACAATGCTTTCTCGCGCCTGGACATGCGCGTGCATGTGTCTATCCCTGGCACCGTCGAGAGCTATTGCGTTGATGAGCGAGGCGAAAAGCGAAAGGCATCAGACGACCTGTGGCTGGAGACTTATCTCTGCAGCGTTCTGAGAGCGTATTCCTACGCCGACGACGGTAGCGGAGACAGCATTCGCAAGATTGTCGGCGTCCGAAGATTCAATCCTGTCACCAACACAGAGACTGAGCATCGTTTCCTTAATGCGGCCGAGCAGCTCTTCTTCCGAGGCAAGGAGATGGAACGAATCATAGACCCTGTCAACAGTCAGCTAACTTCAAGCAGGATGGCAGCTGGGATCAGATTCCATTGTTCAGGTCCCGACGAATGTGTCGAATCATCTCACCACCGGACTGCTCAAGTACCTCGAGACTACCGGCCGATACACATCCGGCATCAACCTCTTCGAGAAGCTCCGAACTCAGAGCGTCGAGGTCGCCTCACTGCTTGCAAAGGTACTGTTCATGGGTAATGAAGAAGTGTCGGGAGTCAAGGTTCTGTACCAATCGCTTCAGCAAACTCCCATGGACTACGTCATGCTCGACACGCAGGCAGATTTTTTGATGAAGAAGGCGCTCAAGGCCGACACGCTGGAATTGAAGGAGGAGAGGCTCAAGATGGCCCTCGGGTGCGCAGACCGCAGTACTATCGCTGCGCCAAGCGAGTTCAGCACTTGGGCCAGACTCGCCCAGGTCTACGTTGCCATGGAGGATTGGGAGAATGCTCTGACGATACTCAACTCATGCCCCATGTTCACCTACCAGGACAAGGACTCTCCCCTGATGCCAGAGCCGAGAGACGTCCATCTGCCTACGCTGCCCGAGACGCGCCTCGACGAGATTGACAGCGAGCCTGAGTCTAGGTATGCTGAACAGGTCGATCCGAGTCTGCTGAATCTGAGGGCAGCGTCTTACCGCGGCACATTCAAAAAGGCGTACAGCATATTGACGGAAATGACGGCCAAGATTGGTTGGGATCAGCTTCTCAAGATTCGCAGCAATGTCTTTGTCATGGAAGACGAGTACCGTACCGAGAAGCAAGAGGCTACCCAGGCTGCTCAGCCGATGCGGAGTCCGAGCATGGATGGCCTTCGGGGCACGCCCGACCCGACTACGAACGGGGACGAGGGTTCAGAAGATGGCGAGAAGCCCGCCGAAGCAGTCGCATCAACACTGGCCCCTAACGGAGAGAACAGCGGAGTCGAGAAGCCTTCCAGCACTGCGGACCCCGACGAAGTCAAGGCCGATGCTGAAAATGTGAGTCGAGTTGCGCACGCCGAGAGGCACTGCTGTTTACTGACACATCAGGGGTATAGGGCACCAATGCTGACGACCATCTCTCCAAACTAAACACTAAGCGATTGTGCGAGCGTTGGCTCGACAGCTTGTTCATGGTTCTTTACGAGGATCTGCGCGTCTACACGATTTGGCGCACGCAGATGGCTCAGTATCGAGCCCAGCAAATCCAGTACAAGAAGTCGGCTGAGGAGTGGGAAATTCTCGGCTCGCTCGCGGAGCGTCTGCAGCACTTTGACGAGGCCGCCGAGGCATACCGGGCGTGTCTGTCTTTGCGCTTCAGCCCCAAGGCCCTGGCAGGCGTGCTGCGCGTCTTCGAGAAGACCAAGAGCACCAGGGAGACGGTGGCGGCGGTGATCCGGCTGGTTACTTGGCAGTACAGGTGGTACAGCGAGTTCAGCCCAGAGCTGCTTCACACAATCCGGACCCTAATCGAGGATGAGGGCGCCGTCAAAGTCAGGAGCATCATCCAAGCAACGAGCCTCCCACAGAACGTGCTCGATCTGACGCACCACTACGCCGCTTTATGCGCAACATTCCGCAGCAGCGGCACCGACGGCTAAACAGGGGAGAGGAGGCGTGGCTTCAACGGGGGACTGGCTTGGGACTGAATCTGGGCGGGGCTTTGAAGATCAAAAAGAGGAGCATGTTGGAACGGAAACTATCGGCTAGCAGTGAGCAGTGTGTCATTTTTCTGCGGATATCAAACAGCCATGCAACAGATCGCGTTACTTGTACGGGGTGCATTAGTTGTAGGTGTAGTAGAAGTTGAAGTTGAGGCTGCTTACCTTAAATAATACCTTAGTTGAAGATGAAAGCTTGGAGTTGAACCTTTACACGTCACCGCGGGGCTTTTCCGCTCCTTACTATACCTCAATTCTTAGTGCCCAGACAAAGTTTGGCAGCGGGGCAGCTTTTTAATCGCTGAACTTGACTGTCCCCAATTTTTTGATTCGATCACCAAGCTCTTTTTCTTCCTTTCTACATACTTACTTCACAGCACCCTCTGGCTCTACTTTACGGCGTATTATTGATCTTGTGAGCTTCAAGATGGCCTCATCATCTACTGGCGGCGCTCCCGCGATGACGGCATCGTCACCACCCGTCGTCGTCTGCGTCGGCATGGCAGGCAAGCTTCCCTCAACATGGACCGTCTCGTGGTCCCAATCATTCAATCTAACATGGAAATTCTCTCCTACTCACAGGATCCGGAAAGACGACCTTTATGCAGAGAATCAACGCCCATCTCCATTCGAAGGGAACACCTCCATACGTTATCAACCTCGATCCCGCGGTCCTCAACGTGCCCTTTGAGAGCAACATCGATATCCGAGACTCTGTCAACTACGAGGAGGTCATGAAGCAGTACAACTTGGGGCCCAACGGCGGAATCTTGACGTCGCTGAACCTTTTCGCCACAAAGGTCGACCAGGTGGTGAACCTGCTGGAGAAGCGCGCAAAGCCCGATCCTCAGAATCCCAATCGCAAGCCCATTGACCGGATCCTGGTCGATACCCCCGGTCAGATCGAGGCCTTTGTATGGTCAGCGTCGGGAACCATTCTGCTGGAGTCGCTCGCATCGTCGTTTCCTACCGTTATCGCCTACATTATCGACACGCCGCGGACTGCTTCGACGTCGACGTTCATGTCCAACATGCTGTACGCCTGCTCCATTCTCTATAAGACCAAGCTGCCCATGATCCTGGTCTTCAACAAGACAGATGTCAAGGACGCTTCATTTGCCAAGGAGTGGATGACGGATTTTGAGGCGTTCCAGGAAGCCCTGCGCCGTGACGAGAACTCGGACGTGTTTGGCGGCCAAGAAGGCTTCGGAAGCGGCGGAAGCGGCTACATGGGCAGCCTGCTCAACTCCATGAGCCTTGTGCTGGAAGAGTTTTACTCGCATCTGAGCATGGTGGCCGTCAGCTCCCGTGTCGGAACTGGCATCGACGAGTTCTTTGAGGCCGTTGAAGAAAAGCGAAAGGAATTCCTGGCGGACTATCTGCCGGAGCTGGAGCGACGGAGAGAAGAGCGGGAAGAGCGCAAGAAGAAGAGTCGCGAGCAGGAGCTGGAAAAGATGATGAAGAGCATGACGGTCGACGTCCCCAATGTGGCCGAAAAGGGACCCATCAAGGTCGGTGCGGACGATGACGACGTGGACGTGCCGAGCGACGCCGACTCTGAGGACGATGAGGACGACGAAACGACCGCGGAGGGCCTGCAGGCTAGATATGCGGCTGCCGTGGACAACCAGGACCAAGGCATCCTGGGAGACGCGAGTTTTGCGAAATACCTGCACACGCAGCGATAACGCAAATCTGGGCTTTTGATGGCGTTACGGGTAGTTTAGGCGTTTTGGAAAATCAGGTGAACACATTGGGGTGCAAAAAAGGGATTTGGTTAAGTTTGATATAATCATTTGAGGTTGCGCCAAAGCAGGTAATACAGGCGTCTCTTGAGACGCGCATGCAGAACAAGTAATATCAAAAATTTTCCCAAGCTTAAGAATCTGACTCCCTGTGTACTCTTGATGATGCCTGATGATTCTCCCCAACTCCTGTGTCGTCTATGGTGTCGTCTCATTTTCTTTAAACGCCCTTGTTATCCGCCTTCCACGTCCTTTCACCTCCCCAAACGCAAATCTCTTCGCTCCATCGTCTATCGAGCCTCAAATTGCACCATTCTAACCACAAAAAAGTCAGCAAAAAAGCCTCTTCATCCCAGGGACAAGCCGCCTGGCAACAACTCACCGCTTGGTCCGCTCCTTGTACAGCACCCTCCCCGCGCAGTGCGGGCACGCGACCAGCGCGTCCTTGCTGAGGGTGACGTTGCCGCCGCAGTCGCCGCAGATGTAGGTCATGACGGCGCGGCTCTCGTGTCGCTCGCCGCCGGTCGCGCCGCGGGAGATGCCGCTGGCGGATGCGCCGGTTGTGGTGGGGACCTGGTACTCTTCGCGAGGCATGTTTTTTATAGTCGTCGTCGTTTTTGTTTTCGTTGAGAAATTGGAAGAGGTCGAGAGTCTGGTTGGCGAGGTTTGTTGCGGGTTGCGGATGGAAGGGGTATGGGATGCTGGGATGACGGGGGACGTTGTATGGAGGAGATGAGTGGTTGAGTAGAGAGAAAAGTGTGGCGGTGGAGGAGAATTTTGTCCGGCAGAATCAGGCGGTGAGCAGCCAAGGGAGCGTTGCCTTACGTGAGTGGGAAGTTACTGGAAGCCTGTCAGCGTTCTCAGCGATCAATTGGCTTTCCGTCTACGGAAATAATACCTTACACTTCAACAATTCAACGTTGATCCAAGAATTGTGAATTTCAACTCGTTTTTATCATACCTCAAGACTGAGTTTGCACAATGAATTGTTCCCTAGTATTCGCCTTGTCCATCGTTGCGCGACCCGTCTTCCCAGGTTAGCCCCAGTCGACCAGTGTCTTGCAGCAGCAGTCCGCCTCTGTGCTTAATAGCATCCATCACCTTACATACAACCTCGGCAACTAATCCAACCGTACCTTTGTCAAACAATACACCCGCATCCGCTCTCCTCACCTGTTTCACGAGAATCTTCCATTGGGCTACTGCAGGGGGGCCGACAAACGCGGAGACACTTATTACAAAAGTATCATGTCATTGAGCTGCTGCAATTGAAGCAGCAAGCCGGAAGGCGCGTTTTGGCAACGGCGCATGTGGTGGTGACTTTTAGCCGCACGTACCGTAACCGCAATCTCTTAGCGGGTTTGATCTTTCTTTGCTGGGATCTTTGGAGATTACCTTGCGACAAAAAGCTTCCCGAGCTTCGTAAAGAACCATGCCCTGCGATTCTGGCTGACTGTTTGTTCTTTTTTTCTCGGGCCAAGCTTAGAAGGCAGAGCAGAGCAGCAGATACGGGACGAGCGACTCAATCAATTCAATTTCTTCCCTTTGAGACGAGCATCATCTATCTGCTCCATCTCGACCGGCGCACCATTTACCGAGGCACACACCAAGGCATCACCACCAAACAACGAGGAACCACCAACTCGACAAGTTCCCAGAGGCCACCGCCCAAGATGCACGCCTCGTTCGACCCGTCGCTCCCCCCTCCCACGATCCGCGAGGAAGACTGCCCCTTCTGCGCCATCGCCGCCGCGCACCCGCCCTGGGACCCCATCGACCCTCCGCACCCGTTCCGCTCGCCGCCGTCGGCGCCCACGTCCTACGTCGTCCTCTCGACGCCCGCGCTCATCGCCTTCCTCGACATCCTGCCCCTCAGCCACGGCCACCTGCTGCTCTGCACGCGCGCCCACCGGCCCAAGCTGACCGACGTGACGGCCCCCGAGGCGCGCGACCTCGGCGAGTGCATCCGCCTGCTGTCCGCCGCGCTCGTCCGCGCCACGGGCATCGCCGACTGGAACGTCGTCCAGAACAACGGCGCCGCCGCCGCGCAGGTCGTCCCGCACATGCACTACCACCTGATCCCGCGGCCCGAGATTCGCGCCAGCGGGCGCTACCGCGAGAGCTTCACCATGTTTGGGAGGGGCCAGAGGGAGGAGCTGGACGAGGACGAGGCGGAGCAGCTCGCCGAGGAGCTGAGGCAGCAGATTGCGGATATCCTGAGGGAGGAGCAGGAGGATAGGGAGGATGCTTATCATAATAAGCCTCCGAAGCACAAGCTGTAGCGGGCTGGATTTGTTTTTCTTCTTTCTTCTTCATCTTCTTCTTCTTTTTGTTCCTTTGTCACACTTGTTCTCCGTTTTTGTCGAATAGCGCTTCTTTGGTTCTGTTCGGCTTTGTTTGATTTCTTTGCGAACCTTGAGCGGGCATGCATACGATGGCTTTGAGTTCGAGAGGGAGAGCGCGGCTAGAAATGCGCTTTTTGCATGGGATTGCATTGACAAGAGCGTTGTCTTGTTACGCTGAGCGCGGAGATAGATGGAGTATTATCCATTCAGCATCGATAAATCAAAACCCATAGTACATAACGTACTTTGATTGTTGTTCACATGAAGACTGATCTCTCGTTGTCCCTCACTATACAATGAACATCAGGCCATTTGGTCTTCGCTTTAAATCACGGAGTCGCTTTGTGTACGGAGTACGAGATGAATAGAACTCGCTTCTTGTATTGGTAGAGACACGCGTGTTTTGCCAAGCATCTCAAAGTACGTTTTCACTTCTTACTTGCACATCCCGAGACGACATCACACATCCCAGTCAAGCGTCACAGGCCTTGCGACAAAGAGCTGAGGCTCAAAGCTGCTTACGTTGAACTGCTGATTGATCGATAGAGGCATTGCGTCCAATTAAGCGCATCGTCGACGTTGGTCAACATCACTTTGCATCCAAAATGCTAGCGTACATCACTGGTAGGTGATCACCATTATTGATCAAGGCCGGTTCACCGTCGCAGGATCTTAAGAACAGAGAGCCGCTTTTTACTCGTCGCCTCCAGCCGTCACAGCCTTGGGCTCTGGTGTGTCCGTCGCCTGGGCCACCTCGGGCGCCTTGACGGCCTTGGCCGGGGCGGAGGCATCGGCTGTCTCCTCTGCAGCTTCGGTCTTGTCCTCTTCAGCTTCGTCTTCGGCGGCCTCTTCGGCATCGGCCTCTGCCGCTTCCTCTTCCTCTTCCTCTTCCTCCTCCTCTTGGTCTTCGCCGTTGGCCTCCTCTTCGCCCTCATCAGCGGTCTTGCGCTTCTTGTGTGGCGGCTGCTTGCCTGCTCAAGGTGTTAGTCATTGCAACGTCACATGAATCAACTATGTACTGGAATATTTTTTTGGGGTGGTTTTGCAGAGAATGGGAGGGAATTAGCGGTAGTGAGTCGTCGAAACGACCCGCCTGCTGCTCTCGCAGGACAAGGACGACGGGCTGTGATGATGGCGTCACTCACCGTTCACTGGGGCATCCGCAGGCTCAGCCGCTTCTTCGGCGTCTCCCTCTTCCTCCTCGTCGCCCTCCTCCTCTTCCTCCTCCTCTTCTCCGTCGTCATCGTCGTTTTCCTCTTCGTCGCCGGTGGAGACATATCTAGAACCACACTGTTAGCACGGTGTCCCCAATCGATGACGTTTTGCTGGGGAAGAAGCAGCTCGTAGCTATCTAGACTGGTGCCAGAGTGCGACGCGGCCTGTGCGAAACGCGGCCGACCGCAACGCTCAATTGACAGCACCAGCCATCTCGCTCACTGTTCCAACAATGGCCAAAAGCTGAAAACGCAGTGTCTCTCGTCACTTACTCTTCTTCCTCTTCTCCATCGTCGTCTTCGGGGAGGGACACGAGCTCCTCCTCGTCCTCCTCGTCACGGGTGCGCTTCCGGGTGGACATGGTGTGAGATTGATGTGTAAGGCGGATTGAGATGCTGTAGGAGAGTGACAAGCGAGGCGCAATTGGAGAGGGTAGGACTGGGTCGAGATACGCTGGACAGTCCGGAGCAGAGGGGGGGATGGGGATGCCTTTTATATGTGAGGCGGATCAAAGAAAAGAGAAGAGGGAAGAGGAAGAGAGAGAGAGAAGAAGGGGAAGAAAAGAAAGACAAGGTAGGGGAGTGACAGACTGCGAGAGCGCGACAGCTAGACTCTACCTAGAGGCTGGAGGGAGGGGGAGGCCAGTCTTACTCCAACCGGTACAAGTACACGCTGCGCGGTACCTCAAGTCTCCAGACCAGCCAGTTCTGGCAGCAGAGGCTTGGGGCAGGAATTGCGACAGTACCGGCTCTCACAGGGTACCGACGGGTACCGCAGCTGCTGACCTACAGCTGCACTGCTACGACTCCAGGATGCGCTGTCCAAGGTAGGGAAGCTGCAACGCTTCAATGGCACGAAGAGCCTCACGTCTTTGTCTCTCTCTTTGTCGCCTTGCCGCGAGGTGACGTCCAAGTTGAGACAAGTACCCCCATAACGGCGGCGAGGTACCCCAGAGTCGCGGCGGTGGGCTTGCGCCCAGCCTCAGCAGGCGAGGTCTGGCGTCGTCACCGGCAAGCTCAGCATCTCCGGGAGACTTGAGCGGCGCTTAGGGTGGACCACAGAGGGTACACGTACTTGTGAGTACAAGAGCAGCGAGACAAAGACGGACCCGAGGCCAACGACCAGGAAAGACAGAAGAAAAGTGAGAAGCGAGAAAGTGGGCGCGAGAACCAGATGAGGCGTGAGGGTGAGCAGCAAAGGCCCGGCGTGGGAGGATGTGGAGGGGATCGGAGACGCCCAGCCAAGCCCAGCCACCTGTACGTGTACTTTTCCACAACAAGCGAGTCCTCCTCTCTGCTGCTGCTGCTGCTGCTGCTAATGTGCTGTCTGTATGTACTGAGCCTCTGGCTGGTGGCTCCGAGCATGGAAACAGAATCCTGCTGTCGCTCAGCGTCTGTAGGGGCGTGTTTCTAACGAGGCGGGAACCGACCAGTGAGCTCCCATGGCCAATCAGGCCCGCTGCAGTCCGTCGAGGGCGAGCTCCGAGAAAGCAAAGACGCGCATGTGGGATACAATCACTCCGGGGTACGACGGCGCATCTCCAGCTTTCTAGGCCGAAAACGGGCGGGCTGAATGCGCTGGGGCAGAAGCCGATGGTGAGCCTCTGAAGGCTCCAACGAGGGCCATCCGTCCACTGCGGAGGTGGTGCAGTACAAGTACGAGTACAAGCTGGACGCGATTTGGTACCTCCGACTCTTTCTTTTTTTCTTTTGGCCGCGCATTTCCATCGTCTGGCCCCATACATAGGTAATGTACAGACTGTGCAGAAGAACGAAGTGGGCTGCAGTGAGCGAGCTTCGGCCAGCAAAAGCACGAGTACCTCTTGTTACGTACCTGCAGCTTCGTCATCACGATCAACGGATTGTATCATCCATGAGCCACGTGACGCTCGCTCACTCAATCGATCGGTTCCTGCTTTCCTTTTCTCCTCATTCTCTCATCGGCTAGACTGAGTTTTCGAGCGTGGGAGAGTTGCAGATCACGGAGATTCAGCTTCATGTTCCTTTTCTCAACTGGCTAATCTCTCGCCTGCTGCACCTCGCTTCAGCCGCAGGTTCATGCTGCATACGGAGTAAGTATTACTCATGCTCTTATTCAAGCTCAACAGAACGACGAAGAGGAAAAGCAGGGAGCGAGTAGCACGAGGATAAAGAACAGCCAGACTCGCTGCTGAGTGAGCCCATATCCATCCACCAGGAAACAACATCCGCTGCGGGGGGACTCTCTCTCACAACCTCTCTATCTGTCTCTCTCTCCCCCCCTCTGTCGCACCCCCTGATGCACAACAAAACGGGTCGCCTACCTTTGCCTGCCTATCGCCGGGCCGCACCAATGCACGTTGTCCTGGCCGATTTCCCCTTCTAGACACCACATTCTCTGCTATTCGGCCGTCGGCGGCACTATAAAAGATGATCCACTTGGAGCTTTTCGCAGCAACGGTCTGCCGTACAATTTACAATTCTGGGGTAAAAAGGGCTTCCATGTTGCCACTTCTCACGATGCGTAACGTTCACTCAAACGATGAGACTCAAATGCCGCAATCCTCTTACACTGCCTTCTGTGGCCGATGAAGGAGGTCCACGCCTTTCGGACGAGGCTTTCAACGTGTTCCTTATATAACGCCCAGGAAGAGTTGCTCAATGAGCCGCCAATCCGTGCTCATGAAGTGATCGCAGTTTCTCTACAGAATGATCAATGCCTTGACCAGGCTCTACGGCTACAACACATACTAGGTAGGTACCGCGTGACTATTGCCTGTTGCCATGCGATGCTGGCCACGATTGAATGGTGAATACTACTTAGCACCTGGAGAGTCCCCGGAATTCGTACATGTCTAGCATCGATCAAGTGCCGGGAAACGCAATGGCTCTTTAGTCTCTATCAGAGTCTATGAACGATGAAACACGCTGCCCCTACCGCGGCGTAATATCTTGGGTTAGCTCTTATCATGTGAAGGCCTTTGTGCGGCTATAAGGCTGCACGAATATGGATTGCAGGATATCGTCCAAAAAGAAAAGAGGGCGTGGGGAAGAGAGACGGAGGGAGAACAGGATATGGACTAGAGATAAGGATGGGTGAGGGTTTTTGAATTGGGAAATGGTCATGCATAAAGAAATCCGGGACGCTCTCTTGAACATGCCAGAATACATAAAGTCTCGCCTAGCGAAGGCGAGATCAGCTCGACAAGGCCAAGATAAGTAGCCAGATGTCTGCGGTAGAATGTCAACCATGGCAGCACATGATCCAGACACCCTACGACGACTTCAAAATCTCGAGATTGACCCTTACGTGTGGATTGGTCTATCATGAATGGGACAGAGAGTGTAGGCTAGGCTGGTCCATAACATGGAAGCTGATAATCCATCTGGAAGCAGTTCTCTTCGAAGAGTCATGACCGCATGTGACTTATACCATCAAAGACTCCTGGTAAACGTTCACATGTTAAGAACAGGGCTATTACAGTTGGACCAAGCCGTTGCAATTAATCACCCCCATCTAATCTCCTGATGATGTGAAAAGGATAGGACTATGTGCTCAACTGTCCCCGAGAATCAGTCGAATGAGGCAATTGTAGGGGAACGACTTGGTGAGAAATTGGCCATGCTGTTGCAAGGCAAGTTCACGTAGGAGATTATCTGAGCAAAGGCTGCCCTGCCGGGTGGGCAAGCGGTTAGCAGACCCCCTCAGGCCGTGTGCCCGGGATAAATACCCAGTGACGAGACCAATAATGCAATATTGGGGTCAATCTCAGGTACAAGAGGACCAGAGCTGATGCCCCCAATCGGCACACTCCAAAAATCGGTGATGCTTCTCTCTTGGCCGTCAAAGGCGGTTAAAGAGTTGCAGTCATGAAGACATTGCAACGTGAGAGAACATGTATACGCCTTTCACCATTGGCATGTCTTTCGAGTCCGACATCAGAGGGGCCATGCAGTTTTCTTACCTCGTCCCTCCTCACTATTCCCTTGTTTTTTCCTTGTCTCTCTTTGCTGCTGCGCTCAAGCAAGTGAGACATGCATAGACATCTCAAACACCGCGGCAGCATCCCGGTGGCAACTAATGTTGTTGTTTGCCCAGGGCTTGTCGAGCCAAAGAAGATCATCGGTATTAAGGAGCCGCACCGGTCACTTTTGCCCAGGAGCGCCATTCGCCAAAGTTTGCCCACGGCCTGGCTAGCTGGCTGGCTGGCTGCGGGTTGCATGGCAGGACAGGACATGGCCAGCTGGACATGATCCCATCAAAAGGGAGCCGAGGCGGGGGGCTTGGAGGCACTTTAAGGCGGTGATTGGCAAAATCTGATATGCAAGGGAGAGAGACAGGCTGCAACACCCACTCGAAGCTGTGAGGGAGGGGAGGGGGCCAAATTTTCCTCTAGATGGCGACATGAGGACAGAGGGTGGGAAAGGAGCCGTGGTGTCGAAGCGGCATGAGGAGTTTCGTCGCTCTTATTATGTGCTTTCTGAAATTGAGGCTCGAAATGGTCGAGGAGAAGCGGCACCAGCCGAGATGAGGCACAACTGCGTCCAGGGCTGATTAGATAACAGCGGCGGCTATTGCCCAGGGCAGTTCTGTCCATCATCTTTGGGTGAGAAGAGAACCAGCGGTCTCGAATTCACAAGACATCTGAGGGGTCCCCAGATTTGCATACAGTAGGTATGTTGGTAGGTAGAGTTTGTGTGCCTCTACCTTTGCTTGCCCTTTCTGTCTTGAAGCGGCTAGCAACGCAATGCAGAGAAGCGAGGTCAACAAGCAGTCATTTGATGTTGCGCATCCGTCGCATACACGTATACAGAGGTCATGAGGCGGTATTACATATCCAATTGACACATTCGGAGTGCTGCAACTGCACCTTGCTCTCGCAGCTGCATGTGGTTGCCAGGTGCTTACCTACATGGTCTGTACAACATGAGCTTGAGGTTGTCATATTCGCGTACTAACAAGAACCGAGTGTTAAGCGACAGCATGACAGAGGATTGCGGCTGCGGCTGGTGGCTTGGCCGCTTCTGTTTGGGAGCAGGCCCCTGATGATGCGGAATGATGCGAGGGAGAAGAAATTTGCGCTCAGGTTGTCCCAAGGCACGAGTCAGGTTCAGGTTGTTGCCTCAGTGCTCGGGCGTGACCAAAAGGAGAGCATGGAGGCTTGCAGACATGCATGTGAATACTAGAGCACACAATATGGAACGCACGATGCTCTGAAAGACGAGCACTTACTGCAAATTCGGCGGTTCCAACCTACATGTAAGCCAATTCCCCGGGTAAGGCAGGCCCTGGCAGTAGGTAATAGCGGTTACCGACACCCGGTATCATCCTGGACTCTGAATTTAACTCTACAGGATGAGGAAGAATAGGTCCGAAGGATCGTGGCAACTGCCAAGGTGCTCTAGGCAATTATTCCCAGCAGAGAGATTGAGAGATTCTCCGCGTGGCCCAGGAAATTTGGCCGTCAAGGATGCCAGTGGAAAGGAATATCTTGGCAGCAGGGGACGAGAAAAGGATGGAAAACCCAAGGAGAAGGGCTCGGGAGTCGGTGGGGGCACTTTCAGGTACTGCATGTACTCGTAAAAAAAAGCATTGCGCTTATGAATGGACACTTCATGTACGGAGAATGAAGAGGTGGCTCGGCTTACACGTAAAGTAATCCACTTATCAAGCAAAGTGTTGAACAGGCCAAGGGTTCATGAGCTGAACATGAGCCAAAAGAAGCAACTCCGGAATGCGGTTTAACATGCACTCCAGCCAAACATCATACGGTTATGACCGTCATGGCGACTCTCACAAACGCACGACCTAACGTCCTGAGACATGTACGGAGTACGCTTCAGGGAAATGCAGGGCGCCTGTGCCTTGCATCGCGGTGCTCCGATATCCTGTCAACGACCTACCGCAGAGAGCAAGCCGAAGTATTACTGTAGAAGAGGGAGAGTCCAGATTGAAAATTTTAAGCTCCTTGTTGATGACAATTCGAGGGCATTCGTCCATATCCCGGGTACCCGTGCTTTTCGATTGTACCTTGCATGAGTGAGATGGGGTACGCGATGACAGCAAAATTGAGTGACAGGGGGCCTGCGCACTGCTGGGTACAAGCAAATGAGATGAGATGAGCCAGGAGTCGGCATAGACCTTGTGGAACTTTTTTTGCCCTTCTTTTTTTCTTCCATTTGTGATCATCGAGCCGTCATCGTCGGGGATGTGAAATAGTATTGATAATTGTAGTGAGTTACGAGTTACTCGAGACGTCTTAGGCTGCGGTGTGTTGTTTTGCCGTCATCCCAAACACTCCTCAAACGGAAGAATGTGCGAGACACTCAAGAGACATCATGAGACCTGGCAAGACACAGCCAACAGCCTCCGTAGGGCTGCGTCGAGGAACAACAGATAGCTTGATGTTTGTTTGTTTTGAGCCCCATGTCCTGTATAGTATTGTCAACGCGCACGGCTACAGATTGGTTCTTCAAGTACGAAGTGCTCCATTGCCGCAGTCACGCATTGAGGGTTGATCACAAAAGTCCCCAGAAACGGCAAGATACCGAGGATCAACAGGATGAAAAAGCTGCTCGCATGTGCCGATGCAGCGATGACGCAGCTGACGCAGCTGTTCTTGTGTGAGATCACGCGGAGAATTTGTTTCGAAACGTGGCCTTGCTCCGTAACCTGCCGTGCTTGTGATTGAATGCTACGTAAGAACGCACATGCCGAGGAATTGATGCTGAAGCGGGAAAAGAGTAGGTGCGCCATATATCATGACGACAGCAATCAGTCTTTGCCATCTGAATAAAGTGACTTCATGGCAAGAACGAACCGGTTCAGTCCATTGATCAACGGGAGAAGGGAAATAGAGAAAAGCCATCGTTCGACATTCGACACATGTCTTCTGGTCGTTTCTTGTTCTGCCCTTGCTGGCCTCGATCTCCATATCCCGTGTGTTCCGCCTTCGTATTCCAATTTGCCCGCCCAATGCTAGGCGACTAAGAGAATCTTGGAAGAGAAGCCGCTTGTCAAGCTGCGGCTCCAACTGCGCTGGTCCCTGGCTAGCAGCCCAGCTAGCAGTTATGGTTGGGCATACAAGGCATAGCATCCAATGCTAGCACAGCGGCCCCAATGCAGGTCCCAGCACAGCTCGAGCGAGGCTCCATGTCCCTCTTCATGCCTGGCTGCTGCTAGCCAGGATCTCCCAGAAGGCCCGCGGCGGTCGGATGGCCGGGATGGAGGGGCCCGAAGCGCTAGAGCGTACAGGCACCAGCGGCTAAGGTATTCATGCAGTTTGCTGGTCTTGCTGGTGTTCCAATCTTCTTCCAGGCTTTTTTTCGTGACCGGGGTAAAGGGGGGGAACCACCGTTTTCGACTGGGGCCGGGGCTGCCGGGGTCATCTCGTGGCCTCTGTCCAGGGGATGATGGATTTTGATGTCGTCTGGGCCGGTTCGTCTTGTCTGTGCGAATTGCTTTGGAGATGCAGTGCAGCATTGACTCAACCAGGCGAGAGTTCCAGGCGCTCGGCTTCGGCGCTGGGCAGCCCGCCAGCAGCAGAGATTACCGCCTGCAGCAGCCTGTAACGACCTGTAGTGGCCTGGGCTGTAGCGGCCTGCAGCCAGCAACATGACCCCGGCCCTTCCCCCCTCTCCTCCCCTCCCTAGGGAGCTGCTGTAGGGAGCCGCCATCATCCACCACCATCACCATGGAGATGCATTGAGTGCAGGCTGCATGCATGTGGCGGCGTTCCTTTTTCTCGGCGCTGCTCATCAGCGAATGAATGGCGGCGGCGATATTGCACTCCAGCTCGCAATCACATCCATACTACATGACCTTCAGCCAGACCCCTCATAAGCAAATAGCCAGCGCTTCTGGCCGAGAACCTGCCTCTTCTCTCTTCTCTCCCTTCCTCTCGCCCTCGTCCTCTGCTCTGCCTCCGCAAACCCTCACTCGACTGCCCATCGCCGTCCGAGGCGCTGCGGACGCTCCTGGAGCCCTGCTGCTGACCCGACAGATTCCTGACAGCGGGCTCCCTAACCAGCAATAAGCTGCTGCCGTTCCCAATTTTTCCTTCTTTTCCACTCGTCCTCGGCCGGGGTTGTAGAATTTCGATGACGGTGGCGTCCGTCACCCCTGCAACGTCAACCTGTACCTGCTGGACGCTCGCCCAACGCCGACAAACGACGAGTGACCAGCACCAGCATCCGCCTCAACACCAGCCGTTCCGCCACTCGGGAGCTGAGGCTGCAGCGAGCTGCGTCCAGTCTCTTGTCTTTTGCATGCACCAAGCGTGCCGTAAGGAGATTTCCATTCTGGTCCTGATTTTGATTCTGATCCTGCTGCTGCGTGAGAAACCGGGCGTTTCCGCCTCAAACGCGTCGACTTCGCTTCTGTTTCTGTCTGTACCTTACTTAGCTGCTGGCCGTCCGCTACCGCTCTTTTATCCGGGGGGAAGCTCCATCCTGTATAGCAACCGACCAGCTGGACAAACCGCCTCGTTGATCGATCCTTTCTCTTCTCGACCGGTGGGGATTTGTCTTTTTTTATGCCAGTGACAGCTCCAGATTCACGCACTTCATCCTTTTTCCCTTTCAACTGCTGCATGCAGCTCAGCCCCGAAATCCTGCGACCTGCCCTGATCTGACCTGCCGGCTGCGCTCAGCTGCAAGCTCTTCTGAGACTAGCACCTACAGTAGGTAATACTGGGTGCATCTGCAGCTGCAGCCGAAAAGCGCACCGTCTTCCCCAACTTCAACCTCCGCGACTTTCAACTTTCCGTAAAGGATCCCCCCGACTTGCGTGCGACGGGCGGCAATGGCACGGGGCGGCGCCCTCTTCAACTCCAGTATTGACCATCTCGAATCTCGAGTGTCGCTGTCGAGGCGGTCTGGCGTCGGTTCCGCGCGCAGTCTCGCTCTCGGCATCACGCAGAAGACGGCCTCACGTGCTTCAGGCGGTTCGACGAGCCCGGCATCAGCCTCCCGCCGTCGCTGCTGGGCTCCCAGGACTCGGACGACGACAGCAAGGACAGCTCAGGCATGAACTCGATGACCGTCTCACACGCTGCTGGCGGACACGGCCGCCAGCAGAGCATCACCAAGCCGCCGCTCTACGCATCCCGCATGAAATCTCCTCCTCCGCCTCTCACCTCGCTGCCCGCCAGCGCCAGCAGCGATCGCCAGCGACCGCCGCAGCTCTCCCCTATGCCCATCTCCCCACGCTGGGACTCGCTCGCAAATGGCTCCTCCCGCATGCTGCTGCAAAGCCCAATGTCGCCGCTGCCGCCGCGGTCGCCCTCACAAAACAGCTGGTATGACCGCTACGGCCAGCTCGACGAGGCCTCGTCGCCACACCACCAGCCACAGCAGCCCGGGGCCAGCCAGCACCAGCACCAGCACCAGCATCATCACCAGCTTCAGCTTCATGCTGCGACGGCGACGTCGGTGCCCGCCAGGGACATGGCCACCGCCAGAGGACGGCTGCCCGCGCCTCTGCAGCTCGACTCGTCCGGCGGCGCCCTGATGACAAAGTCCATGCGCGCCCACGCACCGGGACGCACGCCAGAGACCCCTGCCGTCGAGAACTTTTCTAGACCCCGGAAGCAAAGTATTAGGTCGCCCCCTGTCGGCGGCCCAGGTAACCTCCGGCTGGCCTCCCTCCCTCCCTCGGATCGCATCCCGGAGATGACCAGCGTTTCACCTGCCTCCACGCCCTCCTGGCAGCACCCCCGACGTCCCTCTGTCTCCTCAAAATCCTCACTCTCCTATGCCATCTCTCCATCCTTTCCCCCTACTGCCGAGTATCTCGAATCGAGTCGATCGTCCAGAGGCACGTCTGCACAACCTCCAATCGCTGCCCCTCGCCCCCAGCTGGGCCATCACAATCGCATTGACAGTCCGGTCAACTTTGCCGCGCCCGGTGGGCCAGCTCCTTGGATGAGCGACGAAGAACTGCGATCCAGCTACAGGTCCCAGCTTACATCATCGTCTGCCTTTGGCACCGCCCTCACCGAGCGAAGCAGTGTCTTGACCAAGGCCAGCTCCGTCCCGTCCATCTACGGGAACGAGGCCGACGCACAAGCAGACGCACCGGCTGAAGCAGACGCAGACGCAGACGCCGACGCCGACGCCGACGCCGACGAACCGAGCTTGGAAGATGTTATGGGCATGTACGAGAGAGGCTTCTGTGACGACGACGACGACTACGACTACAACAACAACAACAATACCAACCAAAACGACTACTTTGACCCCCCTCACAGCACCCGCAATTCCCAAGACGACTACCACCACTACCACCACCACCACCAACCCTCATACGACCACCACCACTACCCCTACGACGATCAGTACAACACTGGCTACGGCCCTTCTCCATACGACTCGTATCCCCACGAAGCACAGGTAGAAGCAGAACAGCCAGAGCACCAGCAGGAATATCCACAAGAGTGCGAAGAGGAGGACCAGGAGCTTGAGCGGAAGCTTGAACAGGACCGCCAACAGGAGGAGCCTGAACAGGACCTGAAGCAGGAGCACGGACAAGAGCACGGACACGGCGTCGAGCACGGACACGCGCCGCTGCCAACTCATGTGGAGGAAGAGGAGGAGGCAACAGAAGAAGATTCAGCCGAGACTGAGACCGACCACGTCCCTGACAACATGATTAGCGTCATGCAGCGCCCCGTGACCTCGAGGTCCGAGCCGGGCCCTGAGCGTATTCGCAGCGAGGACTTCAGTGCCGACCCCGTGCCTCCGGTGCCGGCGACCCATTCCGCACTGGACATGGAGATTAGGCAGTCCAAGATGCTCTTCTCCAGCGCCGCCTTTACGTCTACCGTGCCCGCCCTCACCCATGACCATGATCTCGACCACGACCCTGAGCACGATCTGGAGTTTCCGGAGAAGCGCGACTCGTCGAGGACGGTCGAGTCGAATCCCTCGGTAGATTCGGACGGCGTTCGCATCGACGCCAGAGGCGCCGCCACGCCCAGCCCGAGTCCGTCGCACATTTCGCCGCCCTCAATGCCCGAGTCCCGATCGGTATCCCCTTCTCCATCCGTGCGCCTCCCCGCCCCCGAGCCCGAGAAGCCGGGTTCGCGCGATCGGTACGGCTTCAAGAAGGAGAACCAGTTCATCACCCGGCAGCAGTACGATGCCTGGGACAAGGTGTACTCTCAGTATCTCGCCCGCCGCCGCAAGAAGTGGACTGCCTACCTCAAGGACAGCGCCCTGATGACGGATCGCCCCCAGCGGTTCCCGGCGCCTAACGCCAAGACGAAGCGGTTTGTACGAAAGGGCATCCCGCCCGACTGGCGTGGTGCCGCGTGGTTCTACTACGCCGGCGGACCGGCCATTCTGGCCAAGCACGGAGGTCTCTACGACAAGCTGCTGCTGAGACAAGCCAAGCACGTCGACATTGAGGCCATTGAGCGTGATCTGCACCGAACGTTTCCCGACAACATCCAGTTCAAGCCCTCCCAGGCCACCGCCGACATGCTCGACTCCACGACAAGCAGCGAGCGGGCGAGCCAGTCCACGGTGCGGGGTGCAGCCCTCGACGGCAGCGGACCTGGTCCCGTTGGCTTGGAGGGCGAGCCGCCGCTGATTGCCTCCCTGCGCCGCGTTTTGCTCGCGTTCGCCGTCTACAACCCCCGCATCGGATACTGCCAGAGCCTCAACTTTATTGCCGGCCTCCTGCTGCTGTTCGTAGACACAGAGGAGCAGGCCTTCTGGCTGCTCAACGTGATTACGCACATTTACCTCCCTGGCACGCACGAGATGAGCCTGGAGGGCTCCAAGGTGGACCTTGGCGTGTTGATGACGGAGATCCGCGACACGATGCCTGCTGTATGGGACAAGATTGGAGGAGAGCTGGACAACAGCGACCCGCAGGCGAGACCCATGACGAGCAAGTCGGTTCGGAACCCTCTGAACCCTCTGACGCCTCGGCTCAAGAAAAAGGACACTCACCTTGCGCTGTCGTCTGAACGGCTGCCTCCCATCACCCTGTGCATGACGGCGTGGTTCATGAGCTGCTACATCGGCACCCTCCCCATCGAGACGACGCTGCGCGTGTGGGACGTCTTCTTCTACGAGGGCTCCAAGACGCTGTTCCGAGTTGCCCTGGCTATTTTCAAGCTGGGCGAGGCCGAAATCAAGGCGATTGCGGACCCGATGGAGATGTTTGGCGTGGTGCAATCGATGCCTCGGAAGATGCTCGACGCGAACAAGGTCCTGGAGACGTGCTTCAAGCGGCGCAACGGCTTCAACCATCTGAGTCAGGAGGTGATTGAAGAGCGCCGGCAGGAGAGACGCGATAAGGCGCAGCAGGATCTCCTCCTGCGATCGCGCAGTAAAGCTGCGACCACCGGGGCGACTGGCAAGGAGGCTGACGGGGAGCGAAAGGGCGGCGGCCTGTTTGGTGGGCTGAAGAAATAGCCACATAATACCTACAAGGGGGAGGTTGGCTTGTTTGCATTGATACCACTTGTGTCTGTTCTAATCTTCTTTCTCACCTTTTCATCTTCACTTCTCTCTATTCCCATACACTATAATTCTTCTCTTCTTTTTTCCATTCGATTCATAGCACGGCAGGCGTTTGAGGGAGATGCCAGGTGTGGCCTTGGAGAATGGCCACGATGCATCTGTATGAAGCATTAGCATTTTCTTTTACCTCTTCTCTTCACCTCTTCTCTTCTTCTCCAACCCTCTCCGACTTTCACCTTCTCCTTTGTTCCCTACTTGACTCTTTTGCTCTTCTTCTTCTTCTTCATACCTCTTTGATCTTCATACGGGGTGCGCGGATCATATACAGGCGCTCCCCTTGTTTCAAAATACCATGACGACGGTTACGGCTGCAACCTGTGGCAGGTCCCTTGTTAGAGGAACTAGAGCGACGGATGCCGGTTGCAAACACTAGAAAGAAAAAGGGGCGCCTTTGGCCAGAGGAGACGAAAGAAGAGTCGAGTTCTTTCTGCCTCTTTTTCTTTCATCTCTTCATTTCATTTTCATTTTACTCTCTCTGTTTTCTACATCTTGTGGCTGCGCAGCATAGAAGGATGGGAATGTACAAAAATCTGTTTTCGTTTTTTTACTCCGTCACTGTTTTGAGAATCTGGATAGACTAGGACACAACAAAAATCTGGGGTTGGAAGAGGGAGTAATTGGCAAACCCACTGGCGTGCGCGAGGATTAATCGTCCTGTGCGCGGCCAATGATGAATTTCTGAAACGAAGATTTGATCTACAGCGTTGTGCGTGAGTGATTGTACATGTATGTAGTTGGTAGGAATTGAGTTGTAGTTGAGTGCCTGGTGATGGAAGTCTTTGGTAGTTCGTGTCTTTGTGCTCTGGACGAGAGGCCCCCTGCCGGCTGTCCTTTCATAGCAAGCAAAGGAACAGGGACAGCAGTACAAAAGAAGCATTCTTGTTATTTATCTCCTTTTTGACCATAAATACATTCACCAGCGCAAACTTATGTTTTGTTATATTTTCATCTTGCAGTCGATGGTCATCTCGCCATGCCGCTTTTTCTTCAATCTTGTGGACGTTTATCGTACGTGTTGCTGGCCATCTGCCACGCGCTGATGAGCAGCCTATTCGCCAGACCGACGAGACTTGCCCATCGTGGATTCTCTCCAAACCATACCGCTCCTCCTGTTCTTGCACCTCAACCAAGACGAAGACCAATCCCAGTAAGAATCCATCGCCTCGCCAACGTCGCCCAACGTCTCCTCCACCCTCGGATTTGCACGCACCACCTCCTATGCATAACAACATAATAAAAGACACACAACACAAAGAGAAAAGAGAAAGCAAAAACAGCAGCAAATGGCTCTATGACGCCGGAAAAACAGGCTCCTCCAGAGCATACCTATTCACCATCTCCCTGGCCTTTGCCTCCCACGCAGCCCGGTCATTGCGGTACTCGTCCGCGATCCTCTCCTCGAGCGGGTCGTCGGGCTGGGGCTCGATCAGGAGGTTCCGCAGGGCCTCGAGGACGGCGGCGATCTTGGTGCTGGGCTTCCAGTTCTCGGGCTTGAGGATGCCGAGGCAGACGTTGCCGAGGGAGTCGTTTGTGACGTTTGGGTGGTAGAGGCGGGTGACGAACTTGACGACGGGGGGCTTGAAGGGGTAGTCGGTGGGCAGGTTGAGGAGGATGCCGAAGCGGCCCGGGTGGAAGGGCGTGGAGGGCGGCGGGGAGAGGACGATGTGCCAGGTGTGGAGGGAGGCGGAGGGGGGGAGGCTGATGGAGAAGCCTTCGGGGGGGTTCTGGGAGACTTCGGCGAATTCCTGGGAGGGGGGAAGAGAGAAATTTGTTAGATGGTTTGTGACGAGTTGTGGTGGTTGGTGATGGGCGGTGATGGGGGGAGGAAGAAGGGGGGGGCTGGCTTTACCTTGGAGATGCGCTTGGTGGACATGATGGGCTGTTTTTTTTTGGTTGAAGTATCAGGGTAAGATGTCTTCTTTTGGGGGAGACTATGAGAGGAGGTATGTCGAGTGTATTCCGTCAGGATGCTGATTTCTTGTAGTATCGCTCGCTATCGCTGGGAACGTCGAGGTAAAACAGTCGTGACGTCGATGCAGGGAATCAAGAAACAAGAGGCTTCGTGTCTCCGAGACTATGAACTGGAGAAGAGAAGGGGGTCAGATAGACAAGAGACGCCGTTGCTGTGTTTGCGGTAAGTCGGGTTTGTAGATGGAATAGAACTTGTTCGTCTGGTGTCTTTTGCTGGGTTCGAGCTTCGCTGTTGTGACTCTTTTTCCCTGGGCTGGCGGTATGACGGATGTGGGGTTTTGTGACGAGCTCCCGCTTGCTTCAGGTACCGAGTACGTACCGATTGGCGGGGCAAGATGGCATTTGGAATCAAACGTGAGGATTTCACGTACCTGCCTTATCTTACAGATACGGAATGCGGGAGGATACCTAGATAACTACCTTTGGACAGGAGATGGATGAAATTACTAATGCTCAGCAGTGAATGGTTTGCTGTCAGTTCTGGAATATCACAACTTTGTAAGCTAAGACGCAGTATCATGTTCCAGCTGCCATCAATACGGGCAGGTACCATCTCGGTCAGCCAAGCCCAAGTGGAGCCTCATTCACCGCTCACCGACACTCACCTTGATTTTTTCTAAACCGTCTAAAATTTACATGCAGTCTTTCTCTTCACCAACACCATCCACTGCCCAACCTCGATACACCTACCTCCACCTCTCTTGGCAAAGATTCCGATCAATTCAATCTCGCGACTCGATACACGCAGAAACACATATAAACCTCAAACCTCGTCCTACCACAAAAAATGGCCGCCGACGCCGTCTCAGCGCAACAAGCGCAGCAAATGCCCTTTATCAAAAACCTCGCCTCAAGCGGTCCGTCTCTCTCTCCCCTCTCTCCTCCCCCGCCCCCCAAACAATCATCTGCTAACAAAACTCAACAGACCGCAAAGCACGCACCGAGTCCCTCGCATCCCTCCAGTCCTTCCTCTCCTCCCGCCCCTCCCTCGCGCCCCTCGACGCCCGCAAGCTCTGGACGGGCCTCTACTACGCCCTCTGGATGACGGACCGCCCGCGTCCTCAGCAGGCCCTCGCCGCGGACCTGGCCAACCTCGTGCACGGCCTGCGGGACCCTTGCGTCGAGACCTGGTGCGCCGCCTTCTGGAGCGTCCTCGGCACGCAGTGGCCGCACATTGAGGCCCTCCGCCTGGACAAGTTCCTGCTGCTCGTGCGGCGCGTGTTCGCCGCCCACCTGAGGGTCGTCAGGGAGAGGGGGTACAAGGAGGGTGGCGATGATGATGTGGTGGAGGGCGTGAAGAGGGTGTTTGCGGGGTGGTGCTTTGACAAGGAGGATGAGCAGCGGGTTGCGCTGGGGCTGAGGCTGCATGTGCTCGACGTGTGGGTCGATGAGCTGGAGAGGGAGGGCGTGCTTGCTGATGCTGCTGCGGAGGGGAATGAGGGGGCGAGGCGGTTTGTGGAGTTTGTGGGGGAGTTGGTGGAGGGCTTGAAGAGGTGTCCTGTCAAGTCGGTGAGGCAGCGGGCGGCGGACAGCTATGATGACGAGAGGCTGCCTTGGGTGGAGAAGAAGGACGGTGGTGAGGAGGAGGGAGAGGAGCAGGAGGAGGAGGCGGGTGGTGAGGAGGATGGTGAATGGGGTGGGATTGAGAACTAGGGGTGGCGGTGTTGTGATGTTTTGGCTTTGGGGCTTGAGTATACCATGTGGTGGAAGAAGAAGGAGTTTGGCGTTGATTTTCGTCTTATACATGTTGAGTTCTGATATATTTTCGAAAGGATAGAAGTATATACAAAGTAAGCAAAGACCGTGTTTGGCAATGCCATCTTGTGAAATGGCTGGAAATGATCTCTTCTGGTCAGACGTCTTGAACCTTGAATATGACAAGTCTTCAATATTCAACATCCCTCTCCACCGACCATCAACCAAACCAAGCGCATTATACATTATGCTCCATACTCCGTTGTTCGCAATCATCCCAACTCCTCATCATTACATCGTTAGAAAAGCGATTATTATAACATACGACAAGGAAGTGAGTATGAAAGGACGAGCAAAACAAAGGACCGCCGCCGCCGCGTAAACAGAGTTACCTCTCCAAACCATCACCATCGCATATATCACCTCCACCCCTTGATCTTCACCCAGCCTTGCTCCTCTTCCTCCCCTTCGACCACGGGGATAGGCTTGGGCATCTCCTCTTCGACCGCCGTGGACCCCTTCTCCTTTTTCTGGTTGCCACGCTCCTTTGCAAGCCGTGCCGCTCGCCACTCGTCCCATTTCGCCTTGTCTTCCGGTCGTGGCGCCTTGGGAGACGGTATGAGACCCTTCTTTCGGAGGCGCCGTCTGTGCCGCCGCTTTTGCTCGGCTGAAAGCGCTTCCGTGTCCACGTCGGTGATGCTGCGTCCCAGAGCCAGATCCTGTATGTCGGCGAAAAGATCGTAGACTTCCTCGTATGCGACGGATGCCAGTTGGCGTCCCTGTCCGCCAGTGATCCACTGGTCGAGCTTGATGGGCAAGGCAGTTCCAAACTCTGTGGGATCGTCAAAGGACCAGACGCAAGGCGACTTCGAGGCGGGACACGTAGTTGGGCGGCAGTACAGCGAGCACATGGTTGCCTCGGTCGCATACCACAGCGAGAGTATCAGCGTAAAGAGGCCAAGCCAGGTAAGGCGGAACGTCGGTTCGCGGTGAAAGAGTCGCGGTAGAGCGAGATGCAGATACGTGACGGGGGCAGAGGCGGGTTTCGACGACGCGCAGTACGGACAGTCTGCCGTAATGTTTTGGTGGCTGTGATGCTCGTGGCCTTCGGGCGCCTCTGTGAGTGCTCCGCTCTTCTTCTTCTCGGGCGTCAGCGGCGGCTGGGCGCGGGAGAAGCGGTCCTCGATGCGCTCGATGCCCTGCTTGGCCGAGCGGATCCGCAAGAGGCCCGTCTGCAGCGTCTTGTTCATCCTCTCGAAGGCGGCCATATCGCCGTCGGAGGAGGACTGTTTGGCCTCCTTGGTGTGCTCGTTCTTGACCACCGCGGCAACGTCAGACTCTGAGGAACTCAGGCCGAGGTCGAGGTCCAGCCCAAGATCGATGCCCGTGGAGCGAACAGCGGCGCCGCTCTTCGAGGCAGCGAGTTTGGCCGTCTTTCTTGCATTAGCCAGCATCTCATCCAGGTCGTCAAAGGTCGAGTCGTCAATGTTGTACTCGCGGCGCAGCTCCATCATGTCGTCCTTGACAGAGGGAGGCCTGGCCGAGTTCTTTAGGGGCGGTCGGCGTCGGGGTAGCGACTTGGCCCGCGGTTTCTTCATGGCCGCCAGCGCCGAAGCGCCAATGTCGCCGCCGTCGTCCGTCGTGCCGGGATCAGAGAGGGTGTCCTGATCTTGGCTCCTCTCTTTGGTCCTCCAGGAGGAGAAGCTAGGCTTTCTGTCCCGGAAGAGCAGCGTGGGCTTTGGCTCAGCTGCCTTGGTCTCGATCTGCTTTGGAGCGTGTTCTTCGTGCTTTGGCTCCGGTTCGAGCGCCAGCTTCTCCGTCTTGACCGTCACCGGCGTCTCAACGTAGGCGCCCGTGACTTTCGGCGTCCCCATGGTCAAGGGGTCGGGCTTGGAGGGCTTTGGTGTCGCATCTGATGACGACAGCTTGTTTGGAGCATGGTCGTCCAGATCAGAGTCGTCAAGAGGCGGAGAAGGCGCACGCAGAGAGCCGCGTTCGGAGTGGTTGTCCGACGGCGCAAACAGCTTCATCTCGGCCTCGATCCTGGCGGTGGGGTCGGGCTCTGACTGCATGCTGGATCGCTTGCTCTTAGTTGAATCAATGGATCGCGTGCGCTGCAGGCCAGTGAATGCCACGCTGGGCTTTGCTTTCTCAAAGTCTTTGGTGGCGTCGGGAGCTGTGCCGGTATTGGCGATGGTATTCCAAGCAGTAGTCGTAGTCGCAGTTGTAGCAGTATTCCAAGTGTTTGAAGTAGGTTTCTCGCCGGTGGAGGCGCGTCGCGGAAACAGGCGAGACGCGATTCGGTCGGCGATTGATTTGGCGGTGGATTCCTTGTTTTCCTTTTCTTCGTCGCCTGGCGGAGGCGTGGGCAGCTGTTTCGTCCGCGGCTCGTCCTCAACTGGCGGGCTGGAGCTGGCGGCCCTTGCCAGCCGTCGCAGCAGCTCTCGCTCGTCAGGCCGCCGTTCCAACGGTCGCCGCTTTCCCAGCAGACTCTCGATTTGCTGCTCGGCGCTATCGAGCCTTCTCTCCAGCTCCTGGGCTCGCGATGCCGTCACCGCATCGCCCTCTTTCTTCTCTTCTTGGCCTGCACGCTTCGCGCCCTGGTTGAAGATGGTCGCGGGAGTGTCTGCAACCTGCCGGCCAGCCTCATTGCTGCCAAAGGACGGCCTTGAGCGCAACAGCGGGGGTGCTTCCTCCTTCTTCACCTCCTCGGCCACCTCGGTCTTTGCTAGTCGCCGCCGCGCCAGACCAAAGGGAAGCCGAGGCTTGGACTCCTCGTCGGGGGAGCGAGGGCGCGCCATGGAGTTTTGCTCTTTAATCTCCTGCAGGCGAACGGCCGCATATGCCCGCTTCGACATGCCGTCGACCTCTAGCCGCTTAATGTCGTCAATCTTGGTGTTGTTTCTCGGCCCGTCCAGGTGTCTGCTGGCGAGCGGAATCTGGCGCTCCACCTGCGCTTCTCTCTTGAGGATGTCGTCCAGCTTTGTGTTCTGTGGCTTCGGCAGACCTGAACTCGGCATGGGAATGTGGCTACCGTTTGCGCGGAGCTCGAGCGATCTAATCTCGTCCAGCTTGCTGTTGCGAGAACCCGGGGCAGTGATTCGCGGTAGCTTGTCAAAGTCTTGTTTTGCGTCGGGGGTGAAACCTAGGCGGCTTGCAAACGGCCGAGTCCCGACCCTAACGCGCGGACTGTCGGATATCTGCAAGTCGCTGGCGGTGAAATCTTCGTCGACCTGCCAGACGAAGCTCTTGCCGGGAGACGGAGACGACGGCTGGACAAGCGTTGCTGCTGACAGGGCAGGCTCGACGGACGGCAGCGGAACGTCCTCGATGCCCGGGACGAGTGAAGGAAGCCCGCTGGAGGCGGTGGTAGCGGTAGCGGTCCCCTCCCTGTTCGCCCCCGTGTGGCCGGCACGCAGGCCGAGGCTGCTGCCCCTGCCTGGCGAAATGGCCCCTTCCCTACCGCTGACCAGCGTTGCGCTGAGGTTGGAGTTGCGCGCCGACGGAATCTTGCTGCGCCCCTTAGTGTCGAGATGGTCCGCGCCGAGCTCGCGCTGCAGCTGCGACACCTCCGAGGCGGTGCGTGTCCTCCAGGGCCTCGGAGCAGGACTCGGCGAGCCGTCGACGGCGACGGGGTCGTCCATGCCGGCTTCGAGCATCATCTTGGCCGCCTCCTCCTCGCCCTCGGCCAGCTCCATGGCCTTGCGCAGGGATATCGGTTTCCGGCGCGACGTCGACAGGCTGTTGAGTCGGGGGATCTTGGTGCCGCCGGACGAGAGCACGCTTGCATTGGCGTTGCCATTGGTGTTAGCACTCGCATTGGCGCCGGCCTGCTCTCGCGCGGTCGAGGCAAAGCTCTCCGAGATGGGCCTCGGCTTCCGTAGGCCGGTCGCGTGCGTGTCGGCAGCGGCGCCTCCCATGCCGATGCGCCCGTAGCCCGGCGTCTTGGCCGTGTTGTACAGATGGAGCGGGTTCTCGGTGTTGTCTTCAGGCCGGCCGAAGAGCGATTTGCGGGCATCGTTGTTGGCCTGGAACGGCGTGGCTCGCCCGCCGGACCGGACGCCGAATGCGTTTTGCATTGCAAAGGCTTGCTGGCTGGTGTGACTATTGTGATGATGGAAACAAATCGACGTGACTGAATGCAGCGGCGGAAAGGCGCATCGTTATCGCAGGAGGAGCAGGAGTTGTGGTTGTTGAGTCTATCGCAGCTGGTGAATCCGATGCTATTCAGTCGAGGCGGCGCGTCATGGCCTTGAGGCCGGAGTGCGACTCGGTTCTAGGATTGGAGGGTTGAGTGCTGTCTGATATTAGAGTAATTGTAATCGCAACGCCGGTTTGATGCTTTGAAGATGCCTGCTTGAATCGATACGTCGGGCTCTGAGAAGCAAGAGGAAAGGGAAAAGAAGGTGAAGCGAAGAGGAAAAGTGTCTGAAGGGATTGAAGGTGAGCGCGTCTGGCGACTAGCGGTCGATTCGACAGGGGGCGATTCTGCGGTCTGGCGCTTTTTTTTCTGGGGACTCGCCAAGGTGTGCTGTCGATGGCCCGTGCGCGAGCTCAGGAGCTGGGGTTGAACAGCCAGAAGAAGTTGTAATTGGAAGCATTTTCATATTTGCTTCGTATTGTTGTCATGCATCCTGAGAAATGGCTAAGAGGGCAAATTGCAGGACGTGTCAAGGGTTGTTTTACTGTGCTGAGGAAGCCGCCTTGACCTGGCCCGTGTTCTGAATACGACGATGACGGTACAAAGTATCGACATGGTGTCAAGCTGGGGCGAGCTTCGTCTATCTCGCTAGGGCTGAGGTGGGATATCCTGAGGTTGTCTGACGAAGGGAGAGATAAAATTCTGTGGAATAACTGCTTGGGAGTATTCAGTTCTCGTCTTGCAGGAACAAGGTCAGATGCTGAAGCTGTCCTATGTGAGATTCACATGACTGAAGCAGCAAGCACATGCAAATCGGAGTCAGGTTGGGCTTAGTCGGTGTAGCTCCAATCAGCGCATGCGACGGCAACTTCCAACATGAGAAGCACAACACCTCTGAAAAGGGGCGAGAATTATTGTTCGAAGCAGTGATGGCAGAGACGTCAAATTAGTCTTCATCATATACTGAGAGCCCCAAGGTCCCGGAGCAATATTCAGCTGTGAAAGCGCGTACTGATGCCGCCTGCTGACAGGTCAGTGCCTACCTACTAGTATAAAGGATAGTATGTACCTATTACACACCCCGTATCACTTCCTTCAAGATGGACCTTCCCTCTTATTGAACTCTCAATTCTTTAGGCATCTGCAAGCTGCGTAACGAGAACCGATTTGTTTGCTGTTATTCTTCTTACAGACTGGTCGGGCTTTTCTCCTCGATTCCGACCTTCTTCCATATTGTTTCCTCCTGTTGTGGCCTACCGTCTTGGCACGTCGTCTGCTCTATGGGCAGCCGTCGGATCATCAAATATCATCTTTAGCAAGACCAATTATCGCAGTACCCAACAGAAACACATCGGCGCGTCATTGCAATCTACGTCGTTACTAGGAGGAGAATTGCCTACTGGAAAGTCACGCCCCGCACTTGAACGCATCATCTCTCGGACCTGAGAACTTCTCAACACTAACAAACATACCGGACTACTCTGGGGATGCCTACAGAGAAGCTTTAACTCCCATCTGCCAAAACTTTCAAATAGTATATCCGGTATACGGGGTGGGACAAATGCCAGAAACCCCCGGGAACGCCTCTTGAACACGGCCATCTACTGCCTACGAATGTCGTCCGGCGGTATGTCTAATTCAGAACCTGCCAGTCCTCTGTTGTCTCGGGTTACTACGGTGAAATTCAAGACAATGACAATCAACATTGGTCAGAGAATTGCCAGTCTCTTCCTATAGCGCTACCAATCTCGATCTACTTACCTGCGCAAGGTCCCAAGACGGATGGAAACTCGCTCGTTGCGAAATCTGCAGGGAAATGAATGAAGAGAACTCAGCGAGCGTGGGCGAGGCGTGTCCAGGGTGTCTGGGCCTCGGAGCGAGCGTTGAGGTCGACAAGATATATGCAGATGTCGTAGTGCGAGAGGATCAGAGGATCAGAGCGCGAGGGCTCATAACCTGTTGGAACGAGTGAGAAGATGAATCAAGATGTTGATTAAGAAGCTAAGTTATGATAATAAGCTGAGGCGGGGTCGACGCCTTATATAGTGTGGTCGACCCGTGACTGCCATGACTATGCTATATCCCTTCCTCCATCCATACCACGGCCTTGTACTTTCCTTCTTCAACAGCGATTGGTGAGGAGGAGGATACTAGCTCTAGAGGTGGGTGTGACGAGGACTTTGGAGAGGGCGTGGTAAAGTATGCCGAGAGGGACACCGAGGACTATACAGAAGAGAATCCGGCGCGGAGGAGGCTTAGGACTCGGAGGGGGAGGAGGCAGAGGAGGAGTTGGAGCTTGGAATAGACCTCGACTCCATATTCGACCAGGTGGAGGAGGAAATGCGGGAGGATGATGTCCAGGAAATCGAGCAGATGGGAGACGACAAGGCGGAGGAAGCGACATATGCAGGTAAACAAGCAGCCAGGGCAGACATTATTCGCAAGGGTCTCGCAGATATGCGTCTGCCGCTCAACACGGTCAATCAAGCTGGCGACTTCGATTGGCTGGTCCTCGTTCCTTAAGGAGGACGTTTCAACCCCCCCGGTTGCTGAATACTCTGACGAGCCGGCAATATGTGTAGCCAAGTATGGCATACAGTTGTCTGATCATGGATCTTGGCAACACCCTCAAGTCAGAAATTCGCACCACGAAACGTCCAGGCGGGGGCAGAACCAATAGAGAGGTTTCATGCCCGATGGAAAAAGTTGGCAGACGACATGACAGGTCCAGCAAATGTTTCTGCTTGGGTCGACTGCCGTGGTAGTGTAGGACTTTGCCCTTGAGACAGGATACCGAGCCTAAATCACTTATACCACTGCGGCAAATGATGATCTTTCTGTGATCAATATCAACATTTACTTCTTCACATCGACTTAGGTACCGCTATTTCTTCTGGGTAGGTATGTAGTCGTTGCACCTGTACTGTGCCAGATCAAGTCGACGCCAACTTAATCTCAAGCCATGAAAATAGTACACCACCAAGTCAGCCTTGCCACAGCCAATGAAACGGCGTCCAGGTCATCACAATCGTCCCGTTTTAGCATTGTTGTGTTGGTCCCAGGTCAATTTTCTGCAATCTTTTCTCAACGGCTTATACGACTATCATTTAGACTTGTCCTGATGCGTTGAAGATATGGGCTTGTATGCCCCCTTTGAAGACGAAGTTTGTTGCCAAGCCCAGCCATGTCGTCTAAAAGGCAACATTGAATCTCGTTGACTGCATTGTCATTCTCCCTCTCACCATACACTCATCCCGTAATCCGAATATGCTCCATCTATTGTTTCTTTGTAGATCCTGGACACTGATACTATCCCCTTGGCACCAACTGACTCATTCCAGCATCTAGTGCACCTTGGCAACATCTGGTTCCGCACCCGCATCCCGGCTCCCTCATCTTGAACCATCACATGTCTTTTATCCGTCCTTTCCACGCAACGCAACGCACTTACGTGTCTATCCTCGCCAGGCCTCCAACGCAACAAGACACACCCCTCTAACCTCAAAAGGCCATTCAGCGTCCATTGCCCTCGGAAGATTTAACCGATTATTCCAGCCCAGTGGATATCGCTACAGGAACCGAATGGTATCTCTTGCGAGGACCGAGGATTAGCCTCGCGGGTAGTTTCCTTAGTCGGGCTCGGAACGTGATGAATGTTCCGAAACATTGATCCCTTGCTCGAAGGATTCTTGGTTATACATTGTCCTCCGTAGCTGATGCTATATTATTCATCCTCTTCTTCCGTTTCGAAACCCATTTATGGCTTGAATTCGTCTTCTCCTCCACTCTCACCGTCAAGTGATCATATACTGTCTTGGCTACTGGTACAAGCAATTGACTGGGCTGGGTTTCTTCACTACAAAGGCATCAAACCACCAAGGAATCGGCCACAGTCTCTCACCAGGATCACTGCTGCTCTCACCATCTCATCCGACCCATACTTTTTCCTATTGCTTCACCAATTGCTTCGCCCCCCCTCGTACATCATCACCAATAAGTCAATCGTCACAATGACTACCACAGACCCCCAACTCCTCCGCAAACTCGGCAGCATGTGAGCCCTCCTCCTCACCACCACCATTCATTCATACAGCACACTCACCAACACCATCACAAGTGAACACTTCTCCTCCTCCCGCCACCACCTCGGCATCTACCGCTGCGTCACCGTCTCCGCCCGCCATCACCACGCCCCATCGTCCCCCTCTCACTCCTACCTCGCCTCAACCTCCCCCAGCCCATCCTTCCTCGCGGCCCTCGCCCACGTCGTCCGCCACCAGCCCATGCTCCGCGTCGGCATCGCAGCCGACGACACCAACGACGCCCACTTCACGCACGTCTCCTCCGTCGACCTCCGGGAGCACGTCTCCGTGACGTCCGTCCCTTGCCGGTCCGCGCAGGAATACGAAGACCGGGTCGCGCAGCAGCAGGGATGGGAGCACGATCAGAGGTTCGCCGATGTAGCTACACGGCCGCCGTGGAGAATCACAATCCTGCGGCCGAGCGGCGATGTCCCCGAGCTGCAGGACATTGAAGACGTCTTCTTTGCGTTTCATCATGCTCTCATGGATGGGACCAGTGGCCGCCTCTTTCACGAGATGCTCCTCGCCGCGCCTTCGTACCAGAGCAGCACTTCTCCGTCGCCCGCCGAGGCCGAACCCGTCCTCTCCTTTCCGGAACCCCCCTCTCTCCCCGAGTCCCAAGAACAGGGCGTCGACTTCACCCTCTCGTGGAGCTACACCCTCCGCACCCTCTGGACCGAACTCGGCCCATCATTCCTCAGACCGGCCAAGCAACCCATCTGGAACGCCATCCCCATGGACTTCTCCCTCTCCTACAAAACCCGCGTCAAAGTCGTCAGCTACCCTCCCGAGCAGCTCTCAGCTTTACTCTCCGCATGCAGAAGCCACTCCGTAACCCTCACCGCGCTCTTACACTCCCTCATCCTGACCTCCCTGGCAAAACGCATCCCCTCCCCATCGTCGGCACCGGCCTTTGCCGCCGCGACGCCCGTGTCTCTCCGGCCGTACTTGTCCCCCGCCAAGAGCGATCCGGCACATGCCTCGTCCCTGCGCTGTCTCGTCACAGGCTGCACGCACCATTTCTCTCCCGAGGCGGTTTCCGCGCTGAGAGCAGCACAAGATGATGCAGACGCCGCCACCACGACGACGGCCCTGATATGGAAAAACGCGCAGGGCGTCAAGGCGGAACTCGCTGCCAAACTGGACACGCTGCCCGCCGACGACGTCATGGGCCTGCTCAAGTACATTAACGACTGGTTCGCTTTCTGGCGCGGCAGGGACGGCAAGCCGCGTGCGGATTCGTGGGAGGTGAGCAACATTGGCGTTCTGAAGAATCCCTCTCCTCCTCGAGATGATGATCAGGTTCCCAGAGCGACTCGTCTGCTCTTCACGAACGGCGCCATGGTTGCGGGACCGCCGATGGGAATCAACGTCGCGAGTCTGGCGGGATCGGAGTTCACGATTGGATTGTCGTGGCAGGATAAGGTCGTTGAGGACGAGTTGATGGAGCAGTTGGCTGAGGATCTGAGGTCGTATGCTGCCAAGTTTCACGAGACGGGCGGTTCTTTCGTCTAGACCTTGGACTCCTCTGCGGCTCACTCCTTCTTTCTGTCTTCTTCTTTTCTTATTTTACTACTCACTTTTAATAACTCGACGATGCGAAAATGTTCACGTTGGTACGGCACACTTATTGGAATAGGACTGATTGAATTGCATACACAAGAGAAACAGTCGCGAAATAATAGTAATATACTCGAATCAATATACAATTGTGTCGTGATATTCTTCGCTTCCAAATATCCAAATAAAATAATAAAGCCATTATGGACTTGTACCATCTAGAAATCTCAAATGTCAAGGTCCCATGCCTCTTGTTCAACCCAATCATCATGGTCTCGGCCATCTAGTTCTAAAATCCCAAAACGCCATGCAGTAAAACCTCCCTTTGTCAAATACAGAAAATTCTTTCCTCATCATCTTGGTCCCGTCTATTCACATTCCCTTCTCTTTTCTTTTACCAGCCCTGTCCGGGAGGCTTCGTCGGCCGGGATCCTCCTCTAAAGTAGTTGTACTGCATGGGATCCATCTCCTGGCTCTCCGTGTCTTCATGTTGAGGCAGACCGCTGTAGCCCCGTGGCCCGCCAATGCCCGGCCCGGGCGTTGGCACCGGCGAACCGACCGCTGGGCTTTGGGCCCGATTCAGGGGCACGTCTTGGTAGCCGAGAGGAAGGTTGGGACTCCGTGCTCGCTCGTGAGACACGTCTCGATATGGCGTGGGCACCACGGCGGGGCCGACTGCGTTGTGCACCAGGCCAGACGAGCTGCCATTGTCCTGCGCGTAGAGCGGACTGCGGTGGCGGCCGATCGAGTTATCTTCATACGGGCTAGGCCTATAAGACTGGTAGCTTGTGTCCTGCGGCGGCGGCAATCTCACGTTGGCGGGCGTAAAAGGCGTGGCGTAGCGGCTGGATGGCGTCCCGGGCCTGGAGCCGCTGTCTAGGGAGCCGGGCGTGCCGGGCCGTTGGCTGTCAAACTCCTGGCCGTACATCTCGTCGCCTCCGTGCTCTTCGGTGAACTCTGCTCGGTTCTTGTAGTACTCAAAGTCCATGTGCGCCTCCGAAACGTACTCGAACCCAGGCACCCCGTCCGCGGCCTTGCCGGGCTTGCCGCCTTGCATGTTGTTGAGCGCATACATGTCGGAGTAGCCGCTGACGCTCATCAGGTCTCCAGCGCCTCCGACTTCTCTGCCGTCCGTCAGGCGTCCCGAGTAGATGGATGGGAGCAGGTTCTGCGCCTTCTGATGGACCATGGGGGTGATGAGCGGCTTGTACAGAGCCGGGTGGCCAAAGCGACTGGCCAACTTCTCGCTGCGGAGGCGGCTCTCCTTCTGCATGTTCCCGTGATTCTGCTTCGCAGAGTTGGGCACTCTGTAGTATCGGATCTTGTCGTCAAAGGATTTCCCGCAGTAAAACTTGAAGAGCAGTATAAGAACGGGCAGAGGGCACACGGCATAGAACTGGATGTGAGAAGCCTCTCCTTGCACCCAGCACGTCAGCATCACAACGCCGTTGGACAGGATGGTGCCGAAGATGAAGCGGTTGAAGATGACGCGCCAGAACAGGCCGCCGGACTCCGTCTTGGTGACGTAGCGATACAGGATCAGGTACTTCTTCAGGAACGAGTCGATGCAAAAGTACAGAGCCGTCGCCAGGAGCACGAGGGGCTGGATGCCCGCGAAGCACAGCGTCACGGTCGAGTAGTACAAGAAGTAGCAGTAGTAACTGGCATAGTCAAACGCCGGCGGGGCCGTCAAGTCAATGAGCTCTCGCGGCGTGGGACTGGAGAATCGCTTGAGGAAAAAGGCGCTGACCAGCGGCCAGAGCTGTGCGAGATCGATGGCGGCACCGAGCTGTCGCTGCAGCAGATACGTGACCCAGAAGGGGCTGTTTCGGCAAAAGGCTTGGAAGATACCGAGGGCAATGTTCTCCTTGACGATGGCGTCCCACGCGCTGAGGCCCTTGTCGGTATCGGTGATGATGGATGCGACAAAGGACCAGATGACGCTGAAGAAGGAAAAGACGATGAGGTTGTTGAATACGAAGAAGGAGTAGAGCTTGGCCATGACGTGTCGCTCACGTCCCGTCTTGGTCTTGTCACCTGCCCGGATGGAGAGGCGACGGAAGATGACGGGGAGGGCCAGGTAGACACCGGACGTGATGGCGGGAGATGCGATACCCTGAACGATACCCCAGAAGGTGGTCTCCTTCTCCAGAGAAACCTGGAACGCGTGCCAGACCTTGCCCAGGTTTCCCAAGTTGACGAGGAAGATGGCAATCATGGCGTTGGGCGCAATCCAGAAGATGGTCAGGACGACGATCCAGAAGCTGTTGAACCAGCGCCTGCGGCTGCGGGTCGAGCTGGACAGCGGCATGTTCTGCCAGATGATGTCGATGGGCTTGGGCGCCAGGAGAATCGTCGTGCCGTGGGGCTTCTTGCCGCGAGCAATGTAGGCAATCTCGTGCGCCTCGGCGACGTCCGAATAACTGGCGAATCCGTACGGCATGGAGCTGCGCTTGTCGACACTGGCCCGGACCTCCTTGATCTCCACCTCGAGTTCTCGAATGCGCTGGGTGTAGTATTCAATGGCATCCAGTCGCTGGCCCTTCGGATAGGTGCCGTACGAGCGGTCCTTGCGGGAGGGCTTGCAAGTCGGTCGCGGCGGGAGGTTCTGGGGGTTCTTCAGGTAGATGGCCAAGACCTTTTCCAGCTTTCGAACCGCTCGACCGTGCTGCGCAATGAGGTCGGGGAGGTCCTTGACGTTTCGGGCAATGGCAGTTCGGGCGAAGGACGAGTTGGGAGCGACGTTGTCGATAATGCGCGCAATGCCCTCGTCGGAGCAGGCCTGCTTGGGAATGTCGTACAACTAGTTTCATCAGCCGTTAGCTATCCATGATCGATCTGCGGATACGGGCGATCCAAGGTTGTTTGGCGGCCAGCCTTACCATTAGCGTTCGCGAGTGCAAGCTGTTCTGGTAGTCCTCGCTCTCAAAGTACTTGCGACGGAGCTGCATGATCCGGCGATAGTTCCACCAGAGGAAGAAGCACACAATAATGTCAAAGATCCATGCAATCACGACTTGCGACCACAGCACGCGGCCATAGACGTTCAACGGCGTAATGGTCAAAATAAAGCTGTTAGAATCGGTCGGCGCCCCGGGGAACTTGACGGACTCGGTGGAGTGGATGGGGACGAGGACACTGATGCCGATGAGGGCGAGGACCAGGAACATGTTGCGACACATGCGCATCACGCGCAGGAAGATGGTGGCGTCCATGCCAATCTGTTGAATGAGCTTCTCTTCCTGCGTGTGCAGCAGGGGCAGGATCCATGACCACGGCTTCTTGCCCAGCGGCGGCGGCGCGTGCTTGTCGTCGGCATGTTTCAGCTTCGGGGCATACACGGACTGGTTGTACGGTCTGATGAAGGAGAAGAGGAGGGCGGTAAAGGCCGTGATGCCGAGGGAGATACCCAAGGCAGAGTAGACGGACGCCGACGCAAGCTAAAAGACTGCCATGTTAGAACAAAGAAGAGCGGCTTAGGGTCAGGCGGAAGTTTGCTCCCGTCGGGCGAGTTTGTACTAACCGTGCCGGAGAAGGGGTCTTTGAGCAGCTGTAGCAGCTGCGTCGCCGGGTTGTCGTCGTCGTCACGCGCATGGAGCCAGTACGGCACATCCCCTCGAATTGTCATGTTGTAGATTGGGCGCCCAGCGAGGGCAGAAGGCCTGCGATGCGCTTCACTGGAGATTTCGAGCCAAATCGAAGAAGCAAGGGCAAAAGCGAAAGAGTGCGATGGAGAAAGATGACGAGCGCGAGTCCGCCAACGGTTGGATTTCCACCCACGCACAATGCGAGCGCTCGGGTCGGGGTGGTTGGTGACTTTTTGCGCCGAGCAGCGGATACACGGCCAACGATGGCTCAATCAAGAGCTTCAAGGGCCGGCGGGTGAACGCGTGCTAGTCCGAGAACGCAGTCTTGTCTGTTGCGTCACCAGCGTCGATGTCAGGGGCAATGTCGCTTCGGAGGATGCCTGTCGGTTCTCGCCAAAGTCGCCAGATGGAGCAGAGCACAGGCGCGGGAAACGAAGGGAAAACGAGCGCCGAAAGGGAGAACCCAAGCAGCCAAAACGAAGGACGCTCTCTGCTAGAGAATCGCAGGCGAGCAAGCGCTTTTGGGGAGGCAAGGGAAGAGAAGAGAAAAAAAGAAAAAGAAAAATAGACAATACGAGCAAGAGGAAGAGGAAAGGCTCGGGTCCAGCCAGGGGTCATCAGATGGGGGTTTCGGGGTGGCACAAGGACAAGGCCCGGATCCAAGGCGCAGGTGAGCAGAGCAGGAAACAGAGGGAACCTGACTGGTTGGGGTTGGTGTCGTTGGTGTGCCCGCGCGTGCGTCGAGGATCACAGATGGCCATCGGCCCCAGGCTCGGATGGAGAAGCGAGACACGCCAGGGAGTGGAAGAGAGGGTCCTCTTGGACCCCAGGGCGGCACAGATGGGTGCTGTTGGTGAGGGAAGATGGAGAATGATGGAGGCGAGGCCGTTGGTGGGCATGTCTTGCTACTGTAGCTGCCTACGACATAAGGTACTCGTACAGTGATAGAATACTACTTGCAGCAATCGATAGAAGATGCTGGTATCTAGTGGTTGACCTGGCGAGTGTTCTAGTGGGCGGAAGTGTGCATCTGGTGATGGGGGGCCTGTATCTCACACGCAGCACTACACCTTTGAGCCCCCATGAATGCTCGACCTCATCAACCTGACAGCATCAACGGCATCACCAGCCTTGCAGCTTGCGCAAGTACTTTGCTTTGCGTCCAAACCGTCGCCACTGGCAGCTACCTAGTTTACAGTGGCTTCAACTCCAGACACGGATAACTGGAGACGTCTGTTTCAGCACTCAATTTTTCCCTCCTCGCTCGCCCGTCCTGCTCCAAGCAAACGGTTGACGGCCTCACAATGTCCTCTCGCCATTGGCCCGAGTGCCCCCCTGCCCGCTTCTGACCCCCCTGTGGGCTTGTTAGAGCCTTGGGAGAGACACTCGGTGGCCACTAAAAACCATCCACTTGTCTGCGTTCTCGATTCGATCTCTTTCGAACTTGTTTGTCCTCCCCCAAGCCTAAGCAAGAATCAAGGTCAAGCGGGAGCCTATTTCTTGCAACGAAAAAAAACCCCTTAAAAGCCACTGCAGCACTAGCGCGCCTTAGCACGCGGAACGTGAGCGGTGGCTGTTTGATGCCAGGAACCGCTCCAGCCAGTAGGGCGGCGCGGTGGGGCAGAGGTGGGAGGGAGAGGGAAAGAAAATACGAGTTGTGAGCAGGTCATGAAGGTTCTATAAGCGCTAGACGGGAGGGAAGAGAAGAGAGAATACAGTGAGTGAGTGAGTGAGTAGTAAGAATGACAGCGGGCAGCTGATGGCTGATGGCAGTCCAGCCAACGTTGCGTCTGAGGTTATTTCGGTCTCGCCTCATGATATGCAGCCATCTCATCATAGATACACTCATTCATTCGTACTACTAAGTATGTCCAGAACTCAGAGTACATACAGCATCATCGTGGCCTCACACTCGAAAATGCCTTCCCGTGAGCCTACGCGCACAAGCAGCAAAGATCATCGCTGCGGGGCCTCTTCTGTGTGATGCTCGCTGGGATGAGATTCCGGTGAGTTCCAGAGCGTGCTCCATGTTGCTATTTTTGCCACCAACAGAACCCCATCGACAGCTCCGTTTAGCGGCATCACCAGTGCTTGCATGCACCGTATCGATGGTGCGTGACATTCTGCGCTCTCAGCTCTGATTCTATTTGCGGGCAATCATGTACGCGACTTTGTAGGTACTTTGAATGAGCTGAGAAATAGAAGGCTTGCTCGTACAGGCTCCAAGAGCACACGCACACGGGCCGAGTACCATCAACCCAATGCTGGTCCAAGCACGCAAAAAGGGTCGGGTCTACTACTAGTGGTAGGGCCAAGAGTTGCACGGCTATAGCCGATCTGTGCTTCGCCACTGACGGCGACGATCAGTCATGGCCGTTCCGGGGGGGGTTGCTGGTGCAGGTATTCACGTATTTCATTCCATTTGGTGCTGGTTTGAAAGATGAAGCCATTTTCGGTGAAAAAACAGGAGCGGATGTAGAGTTGAGATTGAAGAAACAGAGATTTCCGAACTCTTCCTACCTACAGAGTACATTGCCAATCGATGCTACTTTGGACCTGAGAAATAGCACCCTGGCTTCCGCAATAGCCGCACACCTGGTACGCTGCAAACTGCTGGATAAGTAAGGTGCCTATCATCACATCAAGGTGCAGAATGCTCAAGAAGCGTCTATGAATCTCTTTCTATCTCTCTCTAAGGCATCTATCAGAACCTTCTTTTCTATGCTTCACGCAACCTTATCTTCTCATTCTACTGTACTCGTAGCTGTTACTTGCTCTACTCGAGTACCTGCGTCCAATTTCTTTGCGCTTGCCTGGTTTATGCGCCGGCCCGTACTCGCGGGTTTTGTTCAGATTCGGGCTTACAATCCTTGCGCTTCGCTTCTCTCAGCAGTCATGCTCCTGCATGTACGAGCAACGGCCCTTGATATCTTACAGAGTACAGTAGCTCCGTAATATGGTGATGATCGCAGTCTCTTTCTTCATGGCGACCTATTTATGTGTGCTGAGAACCTCATTCGCTGTGCCGTCACGCGACGTTACTGCAAGCGATCCATCCCTTAGACTGCACCAACGGAGAGGCCTCCATGTACGCACCGTCGTATATCTGAAGCTTAGATCGGACAGAAACCGTATACGAGCATTGAGCCTACCTATCAGCGACTTGCGCGCGTATTGAAGGGAACCATATCCCAAAGTCGAAGTTGCTGCCATGCCACGTTCGGCGAATTCTGTTCCCCTGAATCGATGTATCTACATCCTGGTCGCTCTCGGTGCAACTGGAGCCAGCCAGCAGTGAGGGTGGAGGCTCCCACTCCACTACGGACTGCCTCTATTGCCCGGTTATCCGGGGAGAGCAGGGGGCCTTGTCGAAGAATGATGCTGCAGTGGAAATGGTCCCTGTAGCATCAATTGTATAGTTGCATGTTCTCGTATTGCGTGAAATGAACGCGGGTGAAGATAAGAGCTTCAAACGGGCGTGACGATGGTGAATGTATTAATAGTATCGGAGAGAGATGTGGTTTGTGGACTGGAGACGGATGACGATAAGAAACATAGAGCAACAATACCCTCTTTTCGTCGCATGTAATGCATCTATGATGTACATGGAGGCGAAAGTTCCCCACTATCAAGCAGTTGACGACATCACTCAACACATCTCCATTCAATCTTTATAAACGAAGAAGAAACAAAAAATGTTAAACTCTAGTAGCTACTATGCCGTCATGATATACAAAGACCAGGCCCGCAGAAACAGATCAATGGATCGCATGCCGACTTGCGTCACACTTATCTGGAGACAGAGGAAAGGTCCCCACGACAACCATCTTCAAGAGCCTCTTCCTCACGGCCCATCTCTTCAAACACTCCCAGGCTATGGAAGAAAGGCGCTTGGCAGCTGGCACAGTATTTTGGGAATTCATAGTATGGTGATCAATACGTTGAATTCTTTCCACCGCATGACTCCCTCGCCAGTACTGTTCCCAGACGATTCTCGCCGCCTCTTCTCGTGAAGTCATCGACTGGCGTTCTTGGTATCCCTGCATGATTCAGAGGACCACCGCAAGACACGGCGAATCTCTCCAGAGAACAGCATCTCGACGATGCCGACTTCCTACTCAAGCAGCTCCAGCTGCATTCCTGAAGACTAATGAGTGTGGTCCATTCTTTTCGCTGCTCATCTTGGGTGTCAAGTCAGTTGTGAGTATATTTCAGGATTCTCCTCCCCCGAACTCTGGCCGTGAATTACAGTGGACGTCGTCGTTCAAGGTTTGTATATGCGGATGCCGAGAGGATGAAGGCTTGGCCAGACGATGAATGCGAGAGGGCCACAACTACTCTGAACTCCCGCGTACGATTAACCATGCTACTGTTGGAGTTATGCGGTCAAAGTACGTCGCCAGTATTCGACGATTACGACCATGGAAACGTACTAGTACTCTGGTAGCCATTCATCTCAGCCGTCCTTTTCCGTTCATACATTTTTTTCCATTATCATAAACTACCCAATACATAAAAGCTGAAGGAAAGAGTACACAAATATAACATGAAACTCAAGCCTGCCAATGACACTGGACATTTCAAATGGACGAGGCCATAGATACCATTGGTCCAGTTTGACAAACACTTTTGGCAAGGCAATCAATATACATACAGCGACAGCTGGGCAAAAGAGCAAGCAATCCTATCCCTCGAGCGCAGCCGTTTTCGCCGTAAAATGAAAAGCAAGACGAATCAAAGGAAAGTCAAGAGCCAAGCAGCTAGACATAAGTGGTCGATTAGCCAACCATTGGGCTTAAATCTCGACGGGCCCTTGACTCCGGGTCTTGCGCAAGGTCCTGCCCACCACGGGAGCAGCCTTCTTATCCTTCTTAGGGCGGCCCGGCTTACGAGCGCCGCCGTTGGTGGCCGCCGTGCCGTTCTCGTCGATTTTCACCTTTTTGTCTGCCCGCTCACTCTCTTCAGAGTCGTCTTTCTCAGCCGCTGCTTCGTCGGCAGCAGCTGCAGCATCGGCCGTGTCAGGCTGCTTGCGCTTCTCCCCGGCGGCCGTCTCCGATGTCTCCGACTTGGCATCTGAGGTACCCGTCTGGAGAGCGCCGGCCATCAGCTCGGCAGGCTTCGACTCGCCATTGGGAGCCGCGGGCTTATCAACAATAGGATCAGGTCCGACGTCACTTCCGGGCGCAGAGGCCGAGGGAGTCGGTAGCGGCTCTTGCACCTCTGTGATGAGGACGGGGTCTTCCTTTGGCTTCTCAGGTTGTTCCGGCTCCGCGGAGATTGGCAGCTCTGGCCGCGGCAACCCGTTCGCCGGAGTCGACGTATTGACGGGGGTTTCGGGGACGGACTGGACTTCAACGGAATGCGGGGGCTTATGCGACTCCTTGAAGGCATCGGCGGCGCTTGGGGGATCCTGTGCCGGCTTTGCATCCTCAGGCGCTTTGGTGTCGGAAACGATGGGGAGCTCTTTGGGTTTATCAGAAGGAGCTGAGGACTCCGCGGGGGCTTCTGGCTTGGCCGTGTCCGCGCTCATATCCATGGTCGGAGCTCCAGCTTGAGCTTCGGGAGCTTCAGGAACAGGCGCACCGACTGTTGGTGGAGGTCATGTCAGCAGGCTTGTGATTGGACTCGGAATCAGAAGAAGCAGCAGTCGAGAGGGAATTATCAGTCCTTCCATAGTACAGATCAATTGGAGTCAACTTGGATCGAATTGAAGCTGGTTCATTTGGAAGAGGGCAGTACCTTTGTCAATAGCTGGAGCAATGCCGTCAGACATGATGTTGGTGTTGATGACGTAAGAATCGGCGAGAAGTGTCGCGCGCGCAATGGCAGCGGATGGATAAATCAGGCAAGAGGATGAAGGCGATGGGAGAGGACGAGATGCGCGCTTGCAAGCAGAGAGGATTCAATTCAAGACTGGTGGGAGCGATGGAAGCGGAGGAGAGAAGAGGCGAGGATTGGGGGGGGGAGTAGAAGCAAGCAGAAGCAGCAATAGCAGCAGACGGAAGAGGCAGAGAGAGGGTTTGGAAGCAGAAGCAGCAGAGAACTCCAGCTTCACCGGTCCCGCGGTTCCACAGATGGGCGATTACTGTACTCGACTCCTCTGCCAGGTTGCTTGTTTCTGCTCCCAAGGTAACGTCTACTAGGTAGTTATTCCGAGATGATGTCGCGCGCCCGCCATTCCACCGCGGCAGGGAACATTGCCTGCTCGAAACCCTTTTGCCGTTGAGCAAGGAAGGGCCATGCCGGCGGCGCCGTGTGGGTACGTCTGCTGCGAGGAGGCAGCGCTGATTTGTCTGTCAGCCATCACGATCACGAACCAGGAAAAGCCGACACAGTGCCTGCGATTGTCGCTCGATGGGTGGTGGACAAGGTTGGCGGCGGCCGACGAAGGGCGAGGGTCGGACGGTGTGAATTTGTCGCCATCGGGACCGTGGGTTGAAACGAGCAACTCTTGCGGGGAGATGGGGAATCGTCCGTCATTGGTACATGTTCGTACTGTACGGCATTGATATGTGAGGCCAGGCAAGGTCAGGGTAATATGGAGGCGACGCCACCCTGGAGCGCCTTTCAGCTCCGGATTTGTCCAGTCAAGACACGACGTCGGCTGTTTGTGGGCGGGGCTGCAGCGAGTTCGACGTATGTGCGAATGGTAATACCGATGCGATGCGATGCATGCACGGCTGTTTGGCTTTTGATCGTTTGCGAGGAGGAGATTGGCTGCCGATGGGGGACAGAGGGGAGTTGATGGGGTTGCTTATTGGAGTGCCTGGAATGGCCATGATGCCATGGATGCGGCTGTTGAGGACGCTGGGCTCTCGAGCAATAAGGTAGTGTGCCGTCAGTATCTGGATGGAGACAGTATCAGCACGCACGTAAAGCATCCGATACTAGACGATTGGAGATATCGTCAGTTCTGTCAGTTCTCAATATCTACCGAGCATCCATATGCCTAAGAGATACTCGGTAGCAAGTGCATTCGGTTGTTGATGCTCAAGATGCATGGCCACCTACGGCTGAGCAAGCCAACACTGGCAATGTCTGCTTAGTCATCAGCTGTTCGGCACCCCTAACTGCCACCTTTCGGCAGCTTCCATCTCCAGAGGCCAGCTCTCAAGCTGCAGGACGCGAAACCCAACTTCAGCACACTCCTTTATCGCCCAATTTACGCGTCTCTTCTTCCTTTTTTTTTCTCCTTCTTTAATACTCCAGCACGACACGATCATGGCCCCTACAAGCACCAAGGACAAGTACTCGGTCATCCTGCCGACGTACAACGAGCGCAAGAACCTCCCCATCGTGGCCTGGCTGCTGAACCGCACCTTTACAGAGAAGTAGGTCCAATTGCCTCTCGTCTCCTGTCTCTTCCCTTTGGAATAGAGGGACACTGACACATGTCCCAGCCAACTCGATTGGGAACTCATCATTGTCGATGACGGCTCGCCCGACGGCACGCAAGATGTCGCCAACCAGCTCGTCAAGGCCTACGCCCCCCACGTCGTCCTCAAGACTCGCTCCGGCAAGCTGGGTCTCGGCACCGCCTACGTCCACGGCCTGCAGTTCGTCACCGGCAACTTCGTCATCATCATGGACGCCGACTTCAGCCACCACCCCAAGTTCATCCCGCAGATGATTGCCGTGCAGAAGAAGGGCAACTACGACATCGTCACCGGCACGCGCTACGCGGGCAACGGCGGCGTCTTTGGCTGGGACCTAAAGCGCAAGTTCGTCAGCCGCGGCGCCAACCTGTTCGCCGATACTGTTCTCCGACCCGGCGTCAGCGATCTCACGGGCAGCTTCCGGCTGTACAAGAAGAGCGTGCTGGAGAAGGTCATTTCCAGCACGGAAAGCAAGGGGTACACGTTCCAGATGGAGATGATGGTGCGCGCAAAGGCCATGGGATGCACCGTTGCCGAGGTGCCCATTTCCTTTGTGGATCGCGTCTACGGCGAGAGCAAGCTGGGCGGCGACGAAATTGTCGAGTACGCCAAGGGCGTGTTTTCCCTGTGGCTCAAGGTCTGATCAAGCAGGTGCAAAACGGACGAAAAAGGAATGATTTTATACGAGAGTTCTGGTGGGCCGGCGTTGATATGGCGGAGAAGAGTAGCTCCCGCTTCCCAATTTCACATAATATACCATTGCCATTTTTGTTTCTCCAGGTTTCAACGCTCTCACCACGATATGCCGGCAGGAATATAGCGATTATATACATACACATTACTTGGTTCAGCTGTCTACATGTTCCTCCCACCCGTCACCATGATGGTCTGTCCTGTTACGTAGGAGAACAGCGGGCTCGCCACGGCCAGAATCGCACTCGCAGCCTCCGTCGCCGTCCCCGGCCGCCCCAGGGGAATGTCCGAATGGGTGGCGCCGGGCTTACCTCTCCCCGGGACGCCAATGGCAATCTTCTCGCCGTCCGGCCCAATCACAAACCCGCCGTCCTCCTTGGCCGCCGTCAGTCTCGTCTGGATGTATCCAAAAGCGACAGCGTTGGCCCTCACGCCAAACGCAGGGCCCCATTCCTTGGCAATCGTCTTTGTGAAGCCCACAAGGCCGGACTTCGCCAGCGCGTAGTTGATCTGGCCCGCGTTTCCGTGAATGCCCGAGGTCGACGAGACGGTGATGATGCAGCGCGGCTCGCCGTCCTTGACGCGGAAGTAGGGGGCGGCCTCGCGGACCATCTTGAAGGGTGCGGTGCAGTGGATGGCGATCATGGTCTCCCATTGCTTGTCGGACATTTTGTGGATGACACCGTCGTAGGTGTAGCCCGCCGAGGCGACGAGAATGTGGATCTTGCCGTTGCCGAAGGAGGCTGCTTGTGAGATGAGGGACTTGATGTATGCTGGGTCGAGGATGTCGCCTGCGACGGAGAGGGCTTGGCCGCCGGATTGGCGGATGGATTCAGCTACTTGGTTGCATTTTTCTGATATTCCACATTAATGCCATGACGATATCAATGAGGGTGCTGTTTACAGGAGAGAAATAGCAGCATACCGGCATCAATGTCTGCGACTACGACTCTCGCGCCTTCGTTGGCAAAGAGGCGGGCGGTTTCGGCACCGATGCCTTGGCCTGCGCCGGTGATGATTGCTGTTTGGTTTGCGAGGAGGCCCTTGGGGTAGTTGAGGTGGCCAACCACCTGGGAGACTCTGTCCGCCATTTTTATGAGATTGGTATCCAGATAGACTCGTGATGCTATGAGAATGAGTTGGAGAATTGCGTGAGAGAGAGCAGTGAGACGTCGTAGCTTATATGGGTGTAGGTACCGAGGCTCGGCGGCTCGAGTTTGCTGGATTGGGAAAATGGGGGACGGGATTGTGTGGGGTAAGAAGAAGATACCCGGTAGCTGTGCAGATGATGCTCGATTGCTCAGGAGCTGATAGTTGTTATTTTCTCGGCATTACTATAACTGATAGATATTTCTTTATCATTATGACTATTGCAGAATGAAATCCAGTGCTTATTACATGCAGCGTTGGACGAGAGTATTGGTTTGATGTATAATGCATTCAAGGTTGTCTAAGGTAGACTGTATAGCCTAATGCTTAAGCTACATCGAGCATTGATATCCAGATTCATGCTGTAGCTAAACTCTACTGTATACCCAAGCCGTTTACTTCAATGAACTCAATCTGTTGCTTTGTACAGTGATTCTCACAGCTTGAAATCGGCGTTCGTCTTCTCCCACCCAAACGGCGACTCCTCGAGGTTAGCCACCCTGTCCGCGAGCTTCGCCTTCAGTATTCGGTTCCTTTCCGAGCACAGTTCATATATCGTCGAGAGATTAAATAGCAGCGTATGCGACGACAGGCCTGAGTCAACCAGCTTCTCTAAGATGGTCCGTCCCTGTAGACCTTGTCAGTACAGTGTTGGCAGCGTGAGGAATGAATGCAAATATTCACCTCTTGAATCCGCCCGAGATAGATGAGGCACACTGCCTGGTTCACGCCAATCATCTCATCCGCTATTGAGCTGTCAAACTCTTGCCATTTTTGCAGTGCCTCCTCATAGTTGGAATCCGCCATGTCGCACAGCGCCAGGATGATCTTTTCCACGTTCTCCATGCTCTCAGAGCACTGGCTTGCGCAAGCTTTTGCGTTGGCGGTATCGCCAAGGTGCAGCCACAGCAATGCCTTGGACAGCGCCAGCTTGCCGTCGCCTCGATCCCTCAGACTGCCAAGATGGTGCGCTGCACCAGAGAGATCGTCCATCTCGATCAGGGCCCCTGCGACCTTGATGCCAAGCTCGTGCAGACGTGACTTCCACAGCTCTCTAGCAGAATTGTCGTGGGACAAAGATGCCTTTCTGATGTGATCCCTCGCCTCCCTGGCGAGATCGTGGTAGCTCATCACCGCTCGGCGGGCATCACCAAAGCCAAGCGCCTGCAGACGTACGTGCAGCACGCGCAGCTCCCATGGCACAAGGTGCTCGCCCGTGTTGTCATCAATGTATCTGCGGGCGTCGTTGAGGTCCTCCAGCGCCTTGGCTTCCTGAGCCGCAAGCGAGGTGGCATCGATCAGGGTGAGACAGGCGAGGCGGGTATACAGCAACCGAAAGATCCGGGTGGCATCTTGCGGGTCGACGGGGCTGCCGTTGATGGTTGAGCCTGTCAGTTCTTGAGCCGCTGCGATGGCTGCTGCTCGGAAGTGGCCTTTGGCGAGCAGTTCTTCAATGGGCGTGGCTTGAGTGGGCTGCTTTGGAGAGTTTCTGAACGCAGGCGGGAGGTTTTGTACGTTGAGGGGATGGTATATCTCCGGCTGAAGGAGGAATGAGAAGTCCTTTGGCCGGGCCTCTCCCAGCTGAGGAGTTGGAGATGGCGCGGCGTGTTGAGGTTGTGATGCAAAGGTTGGTGATGGCTGGAGTGTTGGGCTGAACTGAGGGGTTGAAGTCGTCGGAGATGTCAAGAGTCCACTGGCTGGCGATTAGACAGAGCGATCAAGGGTGTCTTCATGGACTGACTTGTCGGCATCTAGAGGGCCTTTGGTAGAGGATCTCGGTCTTGTTGCTGCGTTTGCGTGTCAGCAATTGTACGGAGCATCTCATACTATTTGGTGCGTCTTGAATCTCATATCCTGGCCCCTCCACCATGAAAGTGCATACCCCGAGTAATGGACGCTTTGTTTCTTCTATGGCCTTGGTCTGGTGTAAGGGTACCCTGTTGTTCACTCATTATGTCTCGGAATAATAACGATGAGCAAGTGATTACAGATTCTTCGTAGAAAGGCTCAAAACGTTGTTCGAAGACGGTTTATTGAATGTGATGACAGGCAGTAGAGGCCTGTTGGTGGTGGTAATGCATCGCCGGAGAATCCCCGGATGTTGCTTCCAGCTCGATAACCAAAGAGAGCCGACGTGCAGCAATCTGGTAGGTCATCATTTCATCCAATATCAACAACCATGTGATCATCATGATTGTTCTCAATTGCTGCTTGCTGCATTTTCTAAGCAAACGTATATGAGATAAATATTGATGGAACTTGATCATCGACATCTGGAGACTCGAAGCTGCTGATTGAGGCCAAAGGAATGTTTCCCTTCTCTCACTCAGAGCCCCACCGCGCCGTGGCTCTCACTCTCAAAACTTCACATTCCATGCTTCGTTTCTTCACCCGCGACGCACCATGAGAACCAGAAGGTCGAATCGCACAAAACGGTACACGCTCGATCAATACGACTTTCTTGAGTCTGGAGACGAGGAGCAGCCTCAGAAGAGCCGCAAAACTGCTGAAGACAATGACGATAATTTCGAGGCAGCCGCCGAGGAGCGTAGCGCTGGAGAGGACGAGGAGGAAGAGGAAAACGAGGATGAGGACGAGCAGATGAACGACAGCGGCAGCGACGCAAGTGCAGCAGAGAAGCCGTCTCGCCAGCGCGCAAAAAGGACCAAGCAGCCGAAACAGACCAAGCAGAGCAGGCCAGTCGACGTGGGCGTCTTGGAAGTGACGGGATATCTCGATGTCGAACTCGTCCCTCCAGAGGGCCAGCACAAGGGCTATGTCGGGCCTTACGATCGGGGCATGCGCGGCAAGGCGCTGGCGAGGACCTTGTTTGGCCCTAATCCCGATCGCATAAGCATGGCCCTCGAGCTGCTGGAGCGCTGGAGCGGGTGGACGCTCCTCCCCCCAAAGGTGCCGCAAGATGAGGATGAGCCTACGGACAAGGGCTTCTGGATTCCCGGCGGACTCGACAGGGAGGCTCGTCTTGCCGAGAAATGGCACGTGCAGATGAGCGCCGCTCTGCCGTCCGACAATGTCTGGTTGGAGTTGAACCGGGAGGAGTCTGAGGCGTTTCGACTTCCCCAGCTTAGCATGCCCATGTTGACGGGCCCACGGGAGACACAGCTGGAGCTGTCGATGGAGCCCGGGCGCTGCTATTCCATGTCGCAGAGCAACATACCGTACGACCAAGACAAGGACGAAAACAAGGTGCAGAGCGGGTGGGTGCTGGATGTGGGCGGCATCGTCCTGGGCATGGACTGGGCGCCTCGGCGAGACAAGAACCCCAAACAGCTGCTTGCTCTGGCAATCATACCCCAGTCCGACCAAGAGATGTACAACTACGAGGAAGAGTCCGTAAAGCCCGGCTTCCAGAAGCAAGGCGTTGTTCAGATCTGGGAGTTTCAGGGTATCACGACGGACGATGGGTTCATCCGACCGTCAAGCGAGCCCGCGATTCTTCGGAAGACGTTGTGCGTGGACTGTGGGAGGATTAGGCGGGTCAGATGGAGCCCGTCGCGCAATCATATTGCGTTTCTCTGCGGCGATGGCAGCGTATACATTGCCGATGCTGGGGATCTTGACGGCCAGGAAGAGAGCGTCTACTGTAAGCCCACCTATGATCTGCCTTTTCTTTTCTTCCACTTCTGACGAAACATAGATCAGCTACATAGGCCACTTGCGGTCCTCAGTCTGGCTGATGAGTACGCTATAAAGGCAACTGCCATGACCTGGGTCAACTGCAATCGCATGGCCGTCGGCTATTCCGACGGCTCCATCGCTCTCTGGTCGATTTACCCTCAGTGTCTCCTGTCTCGGCACCCTGTCCATCACAACGACATCATTGACATGGCATCGGGGTACCCGACCATGCCAACTGTCATTGTTTCACTCCCCGTCGGTGGCACTGCTCGAATCCTTGACCTCCAAGCTCCGAGCTACGAAGTCACTGAAGCCCAAAGACCACTGGTGCATACACAGCCGGGCCTCTTGGGCTACAGTGATCATCTACTGGGTTTCATATCCATATATCCTTCCGCTAGTGCCCTGAACACGATTATTGGATTTATGCACCATGCGCATTTTCCCGTTTGCAGGAGGATCTTCACTGGGGATAGTTTCCTCACCTGCTTGGCCATTGGGCGACTTCACCCCTATCTACTCGTCGGCGCCATGGACGGCTCTCTGTGGTGTTTTAACGCCCAGACGGAGGTCTTCAGCAATCGGCATGAGATGACAGACAAGATACGCATCTTCCGGCACGAGCACCGGCCGGGATATTTGTTCCCTCCCAACTCTCCTGCGGCTGCTCGGGGTGTTTGTCGCGTCTCGCACGGCTATGGAGTGGACAAGAATCGGAACACGAAGCTGGATGGCAAACAGACTGCGAAGAAGGGCAAGAAACTGCGAGCCAAGGAGCCAGCTGAGGCTCCTGAGGGCGAGCGAGAGGGCGAAGGAGAAGAGGACGAGGAGGAAGCTGGCGACACCGATCCATCTCGAGCTACGCTGCACGAGGCGCTGACACGACTTACTGCTATTGAGTGGAATCCAAATCTGGACTATGGATGCTGGGCGGCGGTGGCCATGGGGTCTGGCCTTGTACGAGTAATTGATCTGGGACTAGAGAAATTCCCCGAAGCGGCATGAGAGAATGACGGAAGTTGAAGTGTAATTGTAATAGTCAAGTCTATCTTGTCAATGAATACCTCTACCTCGGTGTATAAAAGTATACGCCAAGACTCCGCTTCTTCTATTTATCTTCTATTTAATGCTCATGATCTCGTATCTATAAGTCTAAGCACTGTGAGCCCGCATGTTGATGGTGATAATCAAATGCCTTGGTCATGCCGTAGAAGTGAGTTGCCGCGGCCATGACGACAAACATGTGGAAGATCTGATGGGAGTGTCCCCAGATGTCGAATGTTCCAGGATAGCTTCTCTCCGGCCAGCGAGCCTATATCACACATAAGTAGTTAGCGGACCTGTGATTGTGAGTTGGCCGAGAGAAGGGGAAAGCACACCGCGTAAAGAAAGGCGCCGAAGATGTACATGGCGCCCTGCAGGACGACCCAGCTGAGGCCCATTCTGTCCTCGAGGGCTTGGTAGCCGAACTTGAGAAGCCCGTGGCATACGGGGACCACGCCGGAGAGACCGAGGCAGACGAACATGAGAGCGCGGTAAGGTCTCCAAGCGGGTGTACGGAATTGTTCAACCCAAGACACGATGACGCATCCTAGGCCCAGGAGGCATATCTGTATTCATATATCAGCAGTAATCCTCATGGGAGGTGCTCGTTGGAACTCACCAGATACAGGTACTCGGCCATGATAACCGGGTGGCAGAAGAAGCCGTAATACATAGCGGGCACGTAACTGCCCACAATCAAGGCCACAATGCCCGTGTAGTCGAGCTTGTTGCCCCATTTGGCGACCTCCGGGCTATGGTCCGTCAAGGCGTGGTACGTAGCGCTCATGCCGAGGCAGACAACTGCACTGCCCAGAAAGCACGCAAAGACGAGGACATCGGACGACGTAGCCGAGTCATAACGCGGCCGAATAACGAGATACAAGTAGACTCCGGTAAGAATGGCGACAATTGCTCCGGAAAGGTGGGACCAGATGTTGACGGACTCGTTGTGCAGGTACAAGAGCGAACGGGCGGATGCGGCGTATGAGGGGATGATGGGGCGGTAGCCGGTGAGGATGTAGGCGTTGTCGCGGCGCCAGGGGGGCAGGTCGTCCCAGGAGAGGAGGGAGGAGATCTTTTGCTCGATGGCGTGTTCGGCTTGGATTGCGGCCGTGAGGAGGGTTTCGGAGATGGAAGGGCGGCGGTTGCGGAGGGTTGAGGAGGAGGATGAGGATGGATCTTGATCCATTGGGGATGAATTTTGGTGGTGATTGAACTATATGTAATTGATGTTCTGAGTACAATGAAATTGATTGAGAATTGAGAAGAAAATAAGACCGATTCGATTCATTTATTTCGGCGTTCGCATCTTGTTGGCGACGTTTGTAAGTTGTTGGGGTTCATCAAGATCCATAACATGTTCTGAAGTGGACCTTTGGGTGAGTGGCTTGACATGTGACTGAGCGATCGCTTTATGCTTGCTACAGAATCCTGATATTCGACCACCCATACAGGGATCCAACTTATCAAAGACGACGTCAGCGTCAATACTATACCAGTAGCTGCTTGATCCTGAAGCCGTACATCGATTCTCAGTACTGTACAGCATTTAATTTGCGGCACAACTTCCCTCCGAATACGAACACATACGTCAGCTGAGCGCATCTCAGCAAGTGGTCAAGTATAGGTATATATTCCCAACGCCAGAAATCCATCCTACAGTCTAGACTGTCCCGGAAGAACACACAGGGCCGTTTGGCCAGTTCCGACAGACGTCGCCTCGAAATCAAAAACGACCAGAGACATGCCTTGTGGCTTTCCCTATTATCGCCGCGAACAAGCAGTAGCCCCATGTAACGTTTCCAAATAACACATCGCTTTCGCTCGTCGTCGTCGTGTTGCCGTCGTCGTCTATTTCTTGCCGCTCTTCTTGATGCCCTGGGTACCGGTGTTCAGAGGGCCCTTGCCGCCGGCCTTGGCGGCCATCTCCTTGCGCGCCTTCTCATCTGCGAAAGATCAGTCTCTGTTGTCCGTCGGTCTCACGGCTTGTCGGAAGGGGAGTCCCGTACCGGCCTTCTTCTTCTCGAGGTAAGCCAGGTCGTCCTCGTCGAGGTCCTTGTTCTGCTTCTTCGGGGCCTTCAAGGGCTTGGCCTTGCCGCCTAGAGATCGACCGATCGTCAGTCTTCACCTTTTCGTCTTCACGGAGGGGTAACTTTTGGCGGGGCGGCAGGAGGGCAGAGCGAGGAAATAATCACCTTCTCGGTTGGAACCACCCATAGTGAATATTTGACGTGGAGAAAAAGAAGCAGTGAGCAACTGTCGCAGGAGAGAATCTCGAGCAAAGAGGACGAGATTGTATGAAGCAAGTCGGTGATGGCTGGCAGATCAGCTGCGCCCCAGTAAAAAAAAGAAAAAAGGCCTCCAACAAGGCTGAATGCCGAAAAGGGCTGGCCGACCATCGGGCTGCATGCTTACGTAACGCTGCGCTAGAGGGCGGCAGGCACCCCTGCCGCGCTTCTCCAGAATTCGGTCTGGAGCGATGCGGAACGAAACCCATTTACCATCATCATCATCGTCACGACACGACGCCCCCCAATTCCACTCTCCTCGCGTCGTTCCAGTAGTCTGATCCTTTTTTACAATCTCTTCTCGTTGCTCTCTCACAGGATCTCCTTCCTCGCCGAACCCCTCGTGCCGGTTTCTGGCACTTTGGAGTCAAGACGTTGACCTGCGGTTGGACTCTTTGCCTGCCACAAGCTTATTTGCCTGTTGATCCATTACTGACACGTCTTCTGTCGACATTGAAAAGAGCCACAAGAGGCCAGGTAGCAGAAGAATCAGAAGAAAGACAAAGACACCAAAATGGCAAGCTCCGATGAGGGTGAAATCAGGGACCAGAGAGCTGGGGATTTGAAGGCAACTTCACTGTCGCACGCGGAGAGAAACGGTGTTGACCGGCAAGACAGACAGCGGAATAGAAATTCCTCGCCCGACTTCGACACGGCCTCGCGATACAGCAACTCTTCGAGACGGAGCCGCTCGCCGCGAGGATACAAGCGGTCGCGCGACGATAGGGATCGCTTCCCGAATGCCAGAGCCCGAGACCAAGACTCTCGACGTGATCGCGGCGGTCGCAACGACTACAGGAGGGAGGAGCAGCATAAGAGATCGCGTATAGCATACGACGATCTTGATCGCCCTGCCCCGCGCGGTTCGAACCAGAGCTATGACCACGACTGGCGCAGTCGCAGGGACCGAGAGCGCGAACGAAGTCGCGAACGGCAACGATTTCAACGCGGTAGAGATCGATATTCTGAGCGTTCGCCGCCTCGCCATCGTCGAAGCCCCTCGCCTCGCCAGTACCAGCGCGGTGACAGGCGAGATGGCCAGCAGTTCGTGAGAGACGGCTACTCTGACCGGCGCGATTCAAGGGAATTGCGGTATGACGACGCCGATGTGAGCGCTCGGGACAACAATTCTGCAGCTAGGAAAGACTCCGTGGGAGATGCCAACGAAGCAGTAAAAGATGATGCTAAATCTCATAAGGATACCGCTCAAAACGGCGATTCAGCTTCTGCGGCTACTACGAAGTAAGTGATGCTTAATCCCCTTTCCCCTTACTCCCTTTCCCACCCCCTCTTTATCTTTATGGATTTGGCTCACACCACGTTCAGTGATGTTCAAATGGATGACTACGAGGAGCCTGAAGAATTCGATGAGGAAGCCGAGATCGAGCGCCGCCGCAAGAGACGCGAGGAGCTCCTCGCAAAGTCCAGCTCTGCCACGCCACTCCTCCGTCACGCTGTCGGAGCTTCCACCTCCAAGGCATTGTCGCCCGCCTCTTTCCAGTCGGACACGCCGCAAATGTCCCAGCGATCAGACAGCAAAATGTCTCAGTCGCCGCGCTCAAGTAAGCCCCATACTGGATGTCATGCATCGACATCGACTGACTTGTCAGGTTTCGAATCGCCTCGCTCGCCCATTTCTCAAGACGCACCACCATCTCCCGGAGCCCTTGATCTCTTTGATGGCAAAGATCTGGCCAATGCTCACGCTGCAGCGAAAGTCAACGACGAAGACGGCCCCTCTGCTGCCGAGTATGATCCTACCGTCGATATGATGGAGGATGGACGTAGAGATGAGCTGCGTCATGGACAAGTTGTCATCCACGGCGAGCCAGAACCTGCTGCGGCAATTGAGCAGAACCCTGCCAAAGTAGTGCCCAGCCCGCCGCCGCAAAAGCCATCCGCAGGCGAAGGAGAAGACGACGACGACTTCGACATGTTTGCGGATGACTTTGACGAGCAAAAGTACGCAAGCAAGGCCCAAGCCAAGGAGACGGCAGCGCCAGATGAGGTAAACGATGCGACAGAGGCCGTTGACAAAGGAGGCATCCTCGAAGGCGACGATAAAGACGGCTATTACAAGATCCGCATTGGCGAAATTCTCAACGGTCGTTATCAAGTCCAGGCTACGCTCGGCAGGGGTATGTTCTCAGGAGTCGCACGTGCGGTCGACATCACTACCAAGCAGGTTGTCGCCATCAAGATGATGCGAAACAACGATGCCCTCCGCAAGGGAGGTTATACGGAGATTGCCATTCTTCAGAAACTCAACGACGCGGATCCCGAGAACAAAAAGCACATCGTCAAGTTTGAGCGCTCCTTTGATCACCGAGGCCATCTTTGCATGGCTTTTGAGAATCTGAGCATGAATCTGCGTGAGGTTTTGCGCAAATTCGGCAACAATGTCGGCATCAACCTGAAGGCGACAAGGGCGTATGCATATCAGGCTTTTGTCGCTCTGGCTCACATGCGCAAGTGCAGCATCATACATGCTGATTTGAAGCCCGACAATATCTTGGTAAGTACCTTTCGGAGTTCTTTTTTTTTTTTTTCTTCTTCTTCTTTTCTTTCTGCCATACATTGCTGACTCGGTATCCATTCTTTAGGTCAATGAATCTCGAAACGTCCTCAAAATCTGCGATCTCGGAACGGCTATTGACCGCTCTGATGCTGCAACCGCACACACAGAAATCACGCCCTATCTTGTGAGCCGCTTCTACAGAGCCCCCGAGATCATCCTTGGCATGCCGTATGACTACGGTGTCGACATGTGGTCTATCGGCTGCACCCTGTACGAGCTCTACACGGGCAAGATTCTGTTCACGGGAGACAGCAACAACCAGATGCTCAAGGCCATCATGGAGGTTCGCGGCCGAATTACTCCCAAGCTGTATAAGCGCGGTCAGCTTTCCTCTGTCCACTTTGACGAGCAGGGGCAATTCATCAGCGTTGAGCGCGACAAGGTGCTTGGCAAGGTATGTGCAGACAAGATCCAGCTTCTATCCTCTCAATTCTCATCACAAGTGAGCTGTGACTAATGAATGTAAACACAGACGACACTGCGAACGCTCAACATTATCAAGCCGACGCGAGATCTACGCACCCGGCTCCTTGCTGCCTCGAGCGGCATGGACGACGCAGAAAGCAGGGAGCTCAACCACTTCATTGACTTGCTGGATCATTGCCTGGCGCTGAATCCCGACAAGAGAATCAAGCCGGCAGACGCTCTTAAACATCCATTCTTCGTCAATCGCTCTGGAGCTCCTCGGCGGTAGGGCCACCGGGTGTGAGCATTGATGCCTGCGAAGAACATCAGTGCTCCTCTTCATGATGTATTGCATATCTTTCTCTTTTTCATATAAATACATGGCCACTCTGGTTGCTGGCCTACCATACAAATGTGGGTTTCTTGTACTGTCGAGACACTTCGAAGCCCTATGCTGACATCCACGCAATTAGATCATCTGCGTGCGATAGTACGATCTTAATGATGAGAATACTTTGCTTTCGTGTACGAAATTGGGGATCCGGCTAGATATCCCACTGATGTATATGAGCCTACGATCCTGCGTGCTGGAAGACGGCTTCTTGCAGTTTCCTACTCTACGTTTCTGTATCATCAATCTCCACGTGATTAACAGAAGATACGATACTTTGGTGGTAATAACTGGAGGCAGACATCGAATACGCGTCTTTTTCATACGTGGCCATCACACTTACGTATAGATTCCGGTTAGGATTGCTCCTATAACTACTCAATGTATGACTCTGATGATCCGAGCTGTAATGTGTACCACCTACCTTACGAGGGAATGAGTAATATGGACGTTTGAGACTTGTTGTGTGGCGTAGGGCCTGCAAGAGAGCGGTATGGCGTAAAACGACAAGTTTTGTTGCGTGACGCGCCTCCAGAACTTGTGTGTTCCGTGGGGGGAGTGGCACGTTGCTCTCCTCGCCGGTTTCCGGGATGACAACGAGGAGAGTGGCCTTGGGTTTGTTGCTTCAAGCGGATGGGTGCTTTCTGTGTGAAAATGGATATTGGGTGGGATTTTGTGCCACGGGAGATGTGCAATGTGCGATGTGCGATGTGCGATGTGCGATGCGGTTGGGTACGTTTTGTGATGCTGTGTCGTGTCGTGTTGTTCCGGGTTCAGAGGAGCACTGGGAGCTGGGGAGCTGAAGGGGCGTGTATTGGGATTGTGAGAGTCTTTCAGTGTTCGGTTTCACGAAAGGAAGCAGTCTTTGTGTTGTGGTGTGGTGTGGTGAGGGATTAACTGGTGGGCCTGACTGGTTGAGAAGTGTCTTGCCATGAGATACAGGGCTTGAGAGAGGGCTGGTAGATTTTGCTTGTGAAAGGGAGAAATTTGGGGTGTGTGTGTGCGTGTGTGATGTGAGGATGGGATGGAAGGGGGGAGTCTAAGGTGGCGGCGGGCTGTGGGATATGAGTGTTGCTTGAGTGTTACAATAGGTGAGGTGAGGTGACAATATGTTGTGAGATGTGAGAGGTGATGTGCGGGACGTTTATGTTGTGAGATTGGGCTAATGCTGTGAGACGCATGTCGTGGAACGGGAGGGCGATGCTGTGTAAGTGTAAGAGCTTTGTGGCAGCAAGGGGGAAAAGCTGTGCTCGGGAGAAGGATATGGTGTATTGTTCTCGGGGACCTGGGGGTTTGGTGAAAGGAGTAGGTGTAGGAACATGGAAAGGAGAATTGTGTGTGTTGCTTGGGGAGGTGGCTATGCGAGGTGATTTGTGTTCCATGGTTTTTGTTCTGTGCTGTATGATATGTGAGGCTTTTCTTGTTTTCGTGCTTTATCTACTCGCCTTTATGTTACCCTTATTTGCTCGTGGCGTGGTTGTGAGCTGAAGGATGATATAGTCCTTCGTCATTGATCGGTCAGGGGAGAATGGTCGTTGATGTAATGAGGTGATGCTGGTGATGCTGCTCAATGTCTGAGCTGGCTGATTGGTTGTTTTGATGAGGCATTAAGTAGGCAGGTATGCTTTTACTACCTCCATTCTACTACGTCCAGTATCATCAACTCACTCTGGTTTTATCAAGGTCGTCTAAAGTTCCCCGCTGAGATGAGGGTATGGCAATCTATGTAGCAGAGCGCGAGAGGCACGGGAGTTGAGTTATCGTTAGGCTAGAGAGTAATATGCAGCGGAGAGCAGAATAAGAAAGACCGGTGGCGTAGAGCACTGCATACTATTCAGGGGCTTTGCTTCTTGGCTCTGTATTTGCCAACTCTGCAATAGAGGGAGCTTGATAAAGAAGTCCTTGGTTGGCTTCAAGTAGAGTGTTCTCTCTAGAAGGCCGCCAAAGTCGTCTGCTTTGTATAGATGAGTGGGCTGACGGCGATGATGCTGTGTCCCGTGAGATCATGACAAGAGTGGCTCGAGGCGAAGGTGAGCAAGTCAGGGGATATATCAAGGTAGTGGGAATCAGAGTCTAGACTTCAGGAGTGCATGTCACAATTAACAGACAATGGGCGAGATTCAAGTGGCTGGTTGAGTCTTTGGCCGAGACGCCATCGCCGCGGCTTGCATGGTGTTATACTGATAACAAGCGAATAATTGGACAACACGAATCCTCTTCCATGTTAGAGTATATGCTAGCAGAAGAGCGGAGCGCGTATTTTAAGCTCGGCGGATAAAGTCACGGTGTCTGTTCTTTGACTGTTGCTCACACTCTTTGTCTTTCGGGTATGCTATTGGTCCCGACCATGTCCGGCTCAGGGGCTGGGCGTGTGGGGTTGGACGGGCCGAAGCGCCGGGTGCTGGACGACGGCTGGAGCAATCTCAAGATGGATGTAAGTGAAGCTGCCGTGATCCTTGGGGAACTGTTATTTTCTAGAGACTTAGGGGATGATGCAAGTGGCTTACTGTTTGAGAGAAAGCAGTAGGATAGGAGTCAAGTCTACAAATCCTCCGAGCAAAGATTCAGTGAGCCTATCACGAGGGCACAGGAGATCGGATTTCTTTGATGAGTTTTCATTGAAGCCATGCTATTTCAGTCCATGTCCTCCACAATCCCCCGCATGGTTTTCCTGTCTTGAGTTCCTTGCTACCCCCTGAATTCTCCGCATTCCACCATTCCTCCCCATTCATCATCCATCATCCATATATATCAGCAAGGAAACCCCGAGGTCATTGACAGACCAAGGCCACATCTAAGCCCACTCCCAAGAAGCAGTGACACGGCCAAGGCCGAGGTCGCCGATGATGCTCTTGAACGCCGCGGGCGAGAGATCGACGTCGTTCTCGGCGCAGCCCGCACAGCGGTCGACTACCTTGACCACGCCGGAGCGGCCCTGGTAGCTGATGCGGAGCTTGCGGCCGCAGGGGTGCTCTCGGTCGTAGAGGGAGGCCGAGACGGCTGCAACGAGCTCGCCGTCGTTGTTGGTCTGGCCGCAGGCACCGAGGCCGGTGTTGTACCAGGTGATGGCGCCGGTGCGGTTGATGGTGGCGCGGGTGTCGGGCTCGGTGGGAGCGGCGGAGGTGGTGAGGGCCATGGCGATGGCGGTGAGAGTGGTGAGAGTGAAGGAGACCATTTTGTATGATTTGAGTGGAAAGCGTTGGAAGTTGAAGGTTGGAGTTTGTGGTGTTGAGCGGTGGAAGATGCTGGTGAGTGCTTGTTGTGTTGTGCTGAGCTTGGTGAAGAAAAAGAGAGGATATCGTGGGATTTCGAGGGATCTTTATAGACAAGGACGCAGTCGATTATGTCTCTGCATTTGCTTGATGAGCTGCTTCGTGAGCGGTGTCTCGAGTCTTGATCCCATGTTTGGGCGGTGTATCTTGGCGGTGGTGTTGGCGGTCGTGATGCGAGATGAAGAGAGTTTGACACTAAGATGTGGTGTTTGTGAGCACATTCTTCGATTCAGGGGGCCAGATTTGGGGTTGATGCACTGTTTCACTGAGATTAACTTGAGATTCCTGGGGAAATGCGGTGATAGCAGGAGCAAATACGCGGGTTGTAAGTGATGTGGTGGCCCCCGGGCCGGGGAGTTGGAGTCTTGCTGTTGGGTTTTGGGAATGTTTGTGTGACTGTGATTCTGTCACTGCCGGCAAGTTATTTGATGCTTGATGCACGAGACGAGTATCGAGGCTGTTTGTGCTTGATGAGTGTCGAGTCGATGTTGGTGATGCTTGTGGCAGAAGCATCAGGTGGACTCGATAGAGTTTGCGATCTGGCAATTGGCATGCTACAAAGAAGTGATTGGGTAAGATTCACCTATGGAGAAGACGTCTCTGAAAGGGTTTGCAATATCTACTCTCTGGGTATCGGAAAGAAAATGTGAATAGCAGTTTGGGTATACTTCACACGCCCTGTGGTGATGGTTGGGAACATCTAGGGTTATAGCAGGCAGATCTAGTAGCTATATCACAATTGAATCGACTAACAAAGCAATTTCAAATGGTTATTCACATATCAGTTTAGCGACTGCCGTGTTCCGGAGCAACCCATTAAGGGGCAGCGATGTGCTATATGCATGTGAAGCAGGGAGACCATCTTGTCAAAGTCGGTAAACTGGGTGCGGGGAGCTCTTCATCACCAAAATCCATTCAGAATCTACGATGGCAAACTGTACAAAGGAAGTTTGTTTTTCAAGCAACTGGGACTGACATGCATGAAAGAAACTCGTGGCAGGGAAGTGGGATGCTTTGGCTTAGACGGCGATATAAGGGGGCGGCTCCGATCATACAATGACGAATTCGCAGTTCAAGATTCTCGTATAATTGACATAGTATTGGTTTCTTGTGTAAACAGCAGTAGCATTTGAAAAGTTGGAAAAGTTTTCTCTTTGATTGATCTACAGACCTACAATATTTGCGAGTAGAGTCATAGATAACACCCCGCTTGGCTGCGGCTTTTGATGCCGTTCTAAGATCCAAGCCTCCACTTGGCCGGATCGCGCCCTTCCGGTCGTTCGGGGTTTATGCCGGTTCGTGTCGGTTCACCTTCGTCTTTGGCCTCGATAACGTCGCTTTAATAATAACTATTGGCATCGCCCTTATCATTCGTATCACGAAGATGGAGATGAAGATGCCTTAATGACTCTTCGTGCTTCATTCGTAACCTGTATATAAGAAGACGGTAATGTGACAAAGTTTATCCTTGCAGCATGCACATCGCTTCAGAAGTTACTCCTAACACCATCGCCATCAGCTTCACATTCCAGATTGTTTCATGAACCAATAACATCATGGGCAGCACCAAGGAACCCGACTTCATCATTTCCACCGTCACAGACGCTTCCACCGTGGAAAAGCACCTCACTTCGCTACGGGTGCTCCTCCAGCACTGCATCAACGACGAGCCCGAAATCTCGTCTCTCGGGTTCCTCGCGCCTCTGACCGATCACACGGCCACCAGCTACTGGCTAGACCTGCTGTCTTCTTCCGTCATTGGTCCCGGGGCAACAACAACGTTACTCGTAGCAACGGCTCCAGGAAGCGACCAAGTCATCGCCACGGTGCAGCTCGCAAGAATGTCCAAGGAGACGCATGCCTTCAAGGGCGAAGTGAGGAAGCTGATGGTGCATCCGGACTATCGGCGGCACGGGCTGGGACGGAGAATGATGGACGAGGTGGAACGGGTTGCGAAGGAGGAGTTTGGAATGGAGATGCTGCTGCTGGATACGTCCAAGGAGACGCCGGCGAGGCAGTTCTACCTGCGGACGGGGTGGACGGAGTGGGGGATCTGCCCGGACTATGCAAAGTCGTCGAGTGGACACAAGCACGACTGCTGCTTCTTCTGCAAGAGCTTGGCATAGGATGAAGCATCGTGCACTGCGCCATCAGATAGACCAAGACGTATCAAGAGAGATTACGATACTTGACGAGGATATAACATTTCTTCTCTGCGGTTTTCCAATGCACGGAACCATCACCACCCCCTTGAAAGGCGCCGTGTCTCAGCTACAACTCAACACATCCCGGAGACCCGGCCCCACCCCGAATCTTTCGGCCTCCGAAGGTCTCCGGCTTCGGGCCATCACAACTCCCGGTGGCTTCAAATCCCGGAAGATTCTCCATTCATAAGCTGATGGCTATGAAAGTAGGGGACTTTCCATAATGGTCGATTTCTCCACATGATGAGAGCCGCTAGCCCGGCCGTGCTCACTTTCAGCCTCATCAAACTTCCCGTCTGTGAGACGGCATGAGTCGTGGGGAAGATGAAAGTCATCACCTGCCCTTTGCCCCGTCATCATTGCTCATCGCCCATCACTCATCACTCGGAGAAGTATCACTCACGATCTCGGTAGTCCAGTGGCACCGGCGATAGCATCGTCTCGATTCCTCATTTGGAATAACGCGGACTCATGCCTTGCTGTGTTCAGGGAGTTTGGGAGTGTACGTGTGGGATGGATGAATCGAGGCCTGGCTTCCCGCTTCCTCCACGGTGACATCGGAGAGTTTCAACATAAGGCTGACGGTGACACACAAACAAGCTCACCTAACGGCAACATTCCCACTTGATGGAGCATGGTCGCTACCTCTTACTCGATTCGCATTGTTTCGGAGTTGCCACGAAGTCCGAAGAGGCAAACGTTTGATGACTAGGCAAATTACAACAACACTTTCTTCCCGCTGTTCCCGTGGTTTGTGTGGGTTTGCAGGAAGAAAGCTTCCGTCTCGAATAGGCATCAGAGCATCAGGTTTTGTTTCCAAAACGGCACGCGCAGGATGTCATTGTGGGATTACGCGATGATTTGATATGGAGACGCGGCTCAGTTTTGTGCTACTACGAATCTGTTTCTTTTGTCTGATGGAGGCCTTACTGTGCTGGATAGTGACAGATTATGCCTTGACTTGCTCCGATGGCTCCGGATTGCCTGGGATAACGCGGGATTGGGGATGGGAAACTGTTCTTTGTAAGGATGAGTTGCTTTCATGATGTGGAATGCACGGGAAGTTGTCGTCGGCGTGTCATTAAGCGGATGACCGGCGATAAGACAAGAAGCTTTGCTGTACTAAGGTCCTGGGCGTTGAACAATGGACTTATTAGAGACTATAGAGCCTGGCGTTGAACATTGGACTTGCTGGAGGCTTCCCGCCTTGAGGAATCGGCGTTAGCTGGACGTCCCTCCGATGGAAGCATTCCGATATGGATGTGGCAATGGCATCTCACCGTTTAGATCGCCATGATGAACTCAGTTCGCTGCCTATTCTTCTCATTCCTGCTCAACGCTGCCGGCGTTTAGCCTCGTGGAGACTCAAACGGTCCCTCATCCAAAGCGTGAAGCAGTTGGTCGTTCGGGTCTCGCAGCATTCCACAGCCTCGAGGCTTGTAAACTCTATTCTCTGCGTGACTCTTCCATACAGCCACTATTCCTTTTAAAATCTTCTAACTGCTGTTACCACTCATAGATTCTCCGTCTATTACTCCTACCGTCGTGGGCGAATCCCCGTTCACCCACTATCCCGAAGTGGCAGTTCAGCTTATAGTAGAGCATCATCGCCATCACCGGCCTTGTGATCGGTCCACATATCAAAAGCTTGCCACCTTTTGGCTGTCTCTGGAGAACTTCAGCGAGGCTGACAAATGAGAAGGCCGTTTCTATTCCAGATTTGCAATTGTCGGGCTTGACTGAGTCGGCGGCCGAGACGCCATCCCGTGAGGGCGCGAGGCTCTGACTTTGGGCGACAGCCGGGCCATATGCTTGTTCATCTATCGTTCGTTTGCTCTACTTCAAGCCTAGTTAAGAGCTCTACTGCCTTACAAAGCTCCATTGCCACCACAAGATCGCAAGTTGGATCTCTCACCCGATCAACCACACGGATCTCGCTATGAATGGCGTGAGGCTCTAGCCACTGCCAGTCTGGCGGATGCAAAAACATACAGTACGAGGCATTCAGACAGGAAAACAGCCACCAAAAACCTCAAACTGTGCTGCCATGGCCATCCAACAGGCGCCCTATAACACACACGCCCCCTCTGGGTTCCATTCCAGTGCACTGGGGTCGGGACGGGCTTGAAGCTCATCCACTCTAAGCCTCGGAGCACGGCGTGACGCCTTTGGCGTTCCGCCTCTGCTTTCCAGATGTTTATCCTCACTACGGGGTACAGAAGAGAGAAGGACATGATGCACTGTGGCTGCGTGGCCCTTCTGAACCCCGGGGAGTATGTACAAGACACCGTCTGGGTACCATTCATTCGCAGCCCAATGCGATGGAGATGGCGCGATGCCCAAGTCTAGGAGAGGGAGCGAGTACTTTGGCCCGACTATGGAGAAACGAGGTCCATGGCTGGCCCAGTAAGGATACTTCGTAGCATCGGCAACTTTTCATCGTCGGCAGATGGAGCGGATTACATGTTGCCCAAGATAACCACCAGTGACATTCTCGCCCTCTAATCTCCCTGAGTAATTCAACTCTCACTTCTCAGCTCTGCAATCTCATCTATAGCAAGTCAACTGCAGGTGGATCCTCCCCGATGTCCGCGGCACAAGCAATAAGCACTCAGTTTCTCACTGCTTCTGCTGCTTCGGGTCCATGGCATGTAACATCGAGGCCGAACCTCTCTTCCGCGAATGTGGAGAAGCCGGCAGTTGCATATTAGCTCCTCTCTCAAGAGGAAAGATAGTAGCAGAGATTCACCGAATCACTGCCAACTCGCAGAGGAGATTCTCTGACAGCAAGCTTGCCGCTTGTATACATGCAAGGGCCGGTCTGGACGTGATTGCTTGTGCCGCGCCCATGTTTTCTTTGTTGTACAACCTCGGAGCCCTCCGTGATACCCCATATTACTTTGAAACTCCGTACAAATCACACAAGGTTCTACTGATCCCAACCCGCCTTTTCACTGCATCTTGGAAGCAAAGGGCGTGAGATCCGCCTGAGTGGCGAATCATGTAACCTTGAGATGACACTTCATGCCCGGCTGCTGCAAGCGAGAGCCATTTTGTCCTTGGGCCCTGACAGGAGGCAATCCAATCATCACGATCTGTTCCTAGATGATAGGGATATCAGAAACAAAACAAGGCATGGCCCAAATTCGGCAGGATGCAGAGCAGCCCAAAGCAAAGCAAACAAAGCAAAGCGGCTCCAAGCGAGGCTGTCCGGCCCTATCAACTGTCACCTTTTCCATCCTCCTCACCACAGCTAACAGCTTCAATATGAGAGCTCATAAACTACGCTGACATATAATACTACATACTACGAGTACTCCGTACTACTACAGCAAAGAAGCAGAGAGCAAAGGAAGTCCACTATTTGCCACAAGCAGTAAGCACCGCATCTGCAGCTCTGCGTGCTGCTTTCGTGTCACCAGCAGTAGCGCAGCCCAAGAGTTGAAAAATGCCGCCTGACCCTCTTTACGTGCCTGGTCGGTCGTCGTCTTGATCGTGACTTGTAACATGGGCGAAGGTTCTCTGCATGCATTGCACATGCTGCTAGCATGGGACATGGGATACTGCATGTTACTGCTGCTGCTAGCTGTAGGTATGAGTACTACTGCGAATATGGGGATACTATGGGGGAGAACAAGGGGAACCCCGAGCAGCTCCGTGCAAGCTAGACGAGTAATTGCGACTCCAAGCACTGCAGCTTCACTGTCGGCTCGCTTTCTCCAGCTGCTTACTCCGGATTGGCCGTAGCAAAAACACCCGTTTATGGAGAGACATGCATGGAGACACATGATAGCTGCGGCAGCAGGCAAAGTGGTGCGCATACGTGGCGGTGGCAGAGTAGCAGGTGGAAGAATGGCTGGGGGTAGAGGGAGGGGGGAGGAGGGCCGGGTTTCTGCTCATATGAGTGCTTTTTGCTCTCTGAGTGGTGCCGTTCTGCATTGGATTCATGCGGATTCTCATGCAAGGATGGAAAAGACATGTCTCGAGCTTGAGGTTCAGTCGAGGCCGTTATGGAGTGGCTTGTGACATGGGAGAGAGGATGGATCTCGGGTGGTGAGTCTTGGGTGAATCTGCCTCTCCCTCCTGCGCTGCCCCCATTTGCGCTGCCTCTCTGCATGTCGCATCTGCCTCTCCATCGGAGCCGTTCGACCTCTTGCATCAGCATCATCGTCTCCATCACATCAATCATCTGGATGCGGCACGGCTTGATCCAACGTCCGTCTTCGCATCAGACAAGGAAGAAGCAAGGCTGCACAGTCACAATCACATCCTCATCAGCATCGTCTCTGACGCCCCGCGTCTCTTCTTTCGGTGTGCCAAACGGCCTGCAAAGCGTAAAAAAAGAGAAGACAAGCACGGACTGTCACCGTCAGCCAGCCCCGAGTCATTTCTGGCGCCTCTTCAGCCTTTCAGCTGGGCTGCCATATTATCTGACAGGGCGACAAAGTGCTTCCTTCTAGTAGTCGTTCTAGCATTATCCCGGCCGCTGTCAACTCCCGCTTAGCCTATTCGCTTCCTTTTCAGCTCGTTGCAGAAGCGGTGTGATCAAGAATCTCCCCTCATATCACCCATCTCTCATCAACCCGTGTGAAAAACATCGGATAAGACATTCATGACAAAGGCCCAGGAATAGCTCTTCCCTTCGCTGTGATTGGGTTTTGTTGTTCTACCCCGTAACCAGTGTGATTTCCTCTTATTCCTTTTTTCGTTGTCATGGCCGGGCTGCCATGAGGCCGGCCTGACAAGGGGGGTGACCGAACCAACAACCAAAGACAAGAAAAGAGCAGGGGAAAAAGAAAGGAAAAGGAAAAGACCCAGTCATCGTCATCTTTCTCCGCTGGAATCACAGTCACCCCCGGTCAGAAAGGTGACCGATGCACAGAGACACAGGAGAACCCTTGGCTAGGCTCTCGAGCCATCAACCCATGCTGCCGTGTCTCAAGGTCCCGTGAGGATCCGTCCGCCGAACTCATCATCAACAACATCATCAACAGGGGGGGTGTTTCTTTGCTTTCACTTTTATCGTGCCCTTTCGTTCCGTGTTGGTTTGCTTTTTATTTTTGGGCCGTGATTATCATCATCTTGCCTTGACGCAAGGACCACGGCAGCTTGACAGCAAAGAGAAGAGAAGAAGAGATGACGCTACCGGGACGGGAGCCGGCTTACATCTTGCATGCTTACCTTACTTTCTGTCTTGTCTCGTTACACGGGTCAAAGACCCGACAGAATCCAACGAATGGTCCTGCTTGGCTGTTGCTCTAATTACAGAATTTCTAAATGTACAATGTCGCAGTGCTTCAAGCATCGAAAGAAGCAGCAAAGCAGCAGTTTGCACCGCTTGCCAAGTGCCTCCCCCCCTTTGCATAGCCCAAATGGCTGGGGATTCGAGTTCAACCACCACAGCCCCCCCCCCCAATCCTGGCTCCTCTTCTTCCTCCGCTTTTCCATGCTTGTATGTAATGTAATATAGAACAAAACATGCAAGATGACCCGGCAGGAGTCTCGCGAATTCGCGGCCACCAGACGAGCCAAGCATCCAATGCTTCCCGTCACCGCTAGCAGCAGCTTTCCCCAGCCACTAAAATCCTCCTTCGCCCTGCGTCCAACACACATAACAACGTGATGGCCTCGTTATTTCCTTGTCTTGTTGCCGCTAAACAATCTAAGAAATCAGACCAGAAGCCAGACCTTCGATAGTACAGTAGCCAAGCAGCCTTAGTTCAAGTGCTATTACGCAATTCACTCATCGCATTGATGACGCCGTTTTCTCTCCCTTGTTGATGAACCTGTGAACCAGACCAGAGCCAGACAGAGCCAGGGCCAGGGCAGGGCCCCAGCAGAGGAAGGGAGGGACGCTCAGATATCCGGGACGGCGCCTTCAGCCTTGATCCCAAAAAATCCCAATGGTCTGGGGCACCAAGGGCACCAAGACAAGCCCCGAAATAGAGAAAATCAATGTCTGAGCTTTATTTTTGCCGGGATGGATGACGCTCGCCTCCCTTGCGTCTCCTTCCGGACCTTCCCCCCTTGCTTGGGTATCTGCGTCAATGGAGTCCCTTGCTTTTCTGTCCATCAGATGCCCTGCCTCTATGTACTGTATCTACTGAAGGTGTGTGAGTGATAATACTACTACTTCATCCATGGACATACAGGAGATGATCAATGATCAAAGGAAGAATGTCCGATCGTTGGGCAGTTTCTGATCCCCGAATCAAGTTTACCGTGCAGACGACGCATACTTACATACATACTGCCTATCATAATCAGCATCGATCCTCTGCACATCTGTTCTCCTCTTCATCTCCAACCCGCATCGAATCAGACGCCATGCGCAGGTCCAGTCCATGACCGCATCCCGCGCCCGCCTTTCTGGCGATGGGCATCATAGCCCATCCTGCCGTCCCTTCCCCCAGCTCAAGTCGAGCCTAGTCGAGCCATACTGTATGGTTATCACCCGTCACCACCATCATCCTCATCATCATCCTCATGAACCCAACCCTTGGCAGACGTGCAAATCGCCCCAATCATCGCCTCCCGCCTCACACACCCCAACTTCCACCCAGTCTCGCCCCTCTTCCCAAGCCCAAGTTCACTTCAACCCCAAATCTCTCTCCTCACCTCCATGACCCGGGGCTTCTGCCGCTCATTCGTCGAGTATGAAATAAGCCCCCTCCTTACCTTGATCTGTAAAAGCGCATGCAACTCCATAATAATACCACTGCTACTACACCACAACACCACCATCCCATGCTGCCCAACCAGGCACAATCCTCGCCACACCCACTATCTTCTTCTGCCCTTCCGTTGCACATACGGGGAGGCAAAGAACAGAAAGCTTCGCTTCTAATCTCCGGCTTGGGCTGCTCCATCCCCATCCAATGGCATCCCATAATCCGTCCACATCAAACCGCCATACACGCTAATCCACCTCGAGGCGTATTCATGCCCAGCACACCACCACCCCAGGTTGACAGTGCCTTATGCAGCTAGCACGTAATAGTAATAACCCATCAAAGAAGAAGCTGTGTGCTATTGATGATTGCTTGCTTGCTTGGTTTCCTTGCCTCTGGCTTCGTTTCCCGTGCAGGTGCAGATGCAGATGCATTGCAGTAGACTGAATACCACCTCACCACACCGCTTCGGCCACGTCGAAGCAAGGCAACAAGGCTTCTCCAACTTCTTGCCCATGCCCAAGGCAATTCCATCCCCCTCCATCTAAACAAGGCCTTGTCAGTGTGTACTCCGTAAGAAAGATCCCTTCCTTACCCCCTTGTCCTCATCCAGTAATACAAACAAACAGCCGTTTATAGCATCATGTTTATCAGTACGTATACACAGAAGGAAGCCCTTCTCCGCAGGGGCTTGACGCCTCCAAGCCATGCTCCCCATCCTTCTCCTCCTCTTTCTCACATCATCAAATCAATCTCAATCGCCCTCTTGCACCTTCCCCGCGACTAATCCCGTCCCATGCAAGCCGCATTTCTCGCAAGTCCATCCAATCCACGGCGCCTCATCCCCCACATGACCACATAGATACACTCGCACACACACACATACCGAACAAAACACCACCAACAGACGGCCAGGAACCCCGGTGGCTTTTGTTTAGTTCAGACTTGACATAGCAACGCTCGCCAGCTTTATCAAAAGCCACGGAATGCGTACAAGCTAAGTTTTCCTAATGAGCACTCACTCACTGTGCTGTGAATGGCTTATCAATCGCTTTCGTCAATTCCATCGAGAAGCTTGTTAGCCTTCCACATCATCGGACACGCTACGTACTTTGTAGTCTCGCTGTCTATTCGTACATAGCTCTCCAAGGCTTTGCTAGCGTTATCATTATTCTATCAGCTATCTATCAACGAGAAGAACAGAAGAAGAGAAGAGGAAAGGTATGCAGAGCATAATGCCACACAATGCATACTTGCAGTCGGCTCAGATCTCCCATCACATCTCATGGCCTCCAAGCATACAGGACCTCCCAAGATAAACGTAATGCCCCCCATTATCTCTCTCTCACAGCCCCCTTAACCCACACGTCCGTCCCCTCCAAAATAGCCCGTCCCCCTCTAGCCCCAGCCCAGCACACAATGTCGTCAATCCTTCACCTTAGTAGTTACAATCGAACCTCTCCCCCCCGGAAGCTGCGGCCACTAACTAGCTCAGGGGACGAAAGTGGCTGCGCTGGAATTGGTCGTTGCTTCGTAGCGGGCTAACATAACGGTCGTAAGTGAAATGGGCGGGTCCTTCGATTCTCAAGGTTCGTTCGATCGATGCTTTACCTTTCTTTTTTTCCGCGCCAGATGCCACTATGAGATCAATGGCCGTTGCGATGGCCCCCGTGATTTCGAGACGGAGTAACTCGGGAATAGTACCTCCGAATTGTCGAACATCATGAGGGAAAACAAGTAAAGCAAACGACCCCAGATCAATGTTCGTTCACATAAGCGCAAGAGTAGAGAAGTGTGTTTATGGTGTCTGTTAAAACGTATATTTGGTTTGGAGGCATTGGGATTATACCCAGCCTCCGTCTTCTGGTTAAAACGTGGTTTGCGGCAGCAATTTGAGCTGATCCGCAGGGGCTACTGAGCCCAACATCTTCTATCTTTGTGTTCCGTCTTCAACAAACAGGACACCAAAAGAAACTCAGTGGCCAAATGCCCTGACAGTCTTGACTCTCCCTCATCCCAAGAAATTCTTTTCGTATCCATCCCAAAACAAATGGAAAATAACCAAAAAAGGCAGCCTGGAACTGTTTTCCGTGCCCCTCAAGAACGAATGAATGCGTCGCAATAAGCCTCCTCATCAAGTGTTTTGTTTTTCGTCAAACGTCGTTTCCATCAAATAAAACTCGGCAAATAACTCCCCGTCTTTCGTTCTCCCAAGAATGAAACATCGCAGTGTATACCTTCTTTCTCCCAAAGAAAAACTCTGTGCGCCGGAACTGATGCCTTTGATGCAAAAGTGACACGCTTCCCAAACTCCCTCATCCTGTAGATCCGAAAAATTGGAGGAAAAAAAAACGCCCCGCTATAAAGGAAACCGTGCTTTCAAGGCGAATATGTAGCAGAAAAGAATAAGAAATGGTCGAATGAACGAAGGTCGATTAAATCGAGAATTGAATATTAGGCTGGACGCCTCACTGGGAGATGCCCAGGTTTGTGTGTTGTCGCCTTGATCTTATTAGACGCCCTTTTCCCAAAGTTCTGAAAGATGCAAGCAGCATTAAAGTAGTAGGTCAGACACCTTGACTTCTTTTTTCGTGAAGCCAAAGTCTCGGGAGAAAGAAGAGGAGTCGTCCCTCAGTAGCAGCCGTGGAGGGGTGATAAGAATGAGACCTGTTGGTGAAAAGGCACGTGGTTTGGCTGCATCATCTGCACATGCTGAACGTATTTGAACATGTCCACACAGAAAGGCAACAGAGATTTGAGCTGGTAACCAGACTGCGTAGGCATAGGAGCCTGGATAGGTGCCGAGGCTTGCTGGCAAGGCAGATGTTGTAGAGGTGCTGCCGGCGCAGTAGGAGGAACCATGTGAGCATGCGGGTGAAGGAGCGGGACGGGGACAGGGCCAGTGTACTGCTGCGGCACGAACTCGTGGCCCTGGTACATGGCTTGCTGCGCCTCGAGCTCTTCCGACTCGTACGCCTGAGGGCAGACGTATTCCTGTGGCAGGTCTTGGTGGACGGACATATAGTCGTCGTCGTCTTCGTCGGTATCCAAGTCGTCAATAGTTGACACGCTCGAGGCCAATGAGCCTTCGGTGGACGACGACGAAGCAGACGAGAGAGCCGAGTCGCACTCATAGTCGTCAACTATGGCGTCCTCGTTGGAAACGTATTGGTCTGGGGTAGAGTTGGGTGTGGGCACGGCCGGTACGGTGAACTGGGAACAAGCCATGATTCTCTTTCGCAGCTCAGCGAGTGTGATGCGGTGCTCGGGGTTGGGGTTGAAGATGCGCCCCAAGATGGCGTTGAGCTCATCGGTCAGTGGGAGGATTGTCTTGAGAAAGTCCTGCGAGCGAACATATGCCCGGTAGGTCGAGTCTTGAAAGGAAGCCTGCTTCCAGGGGTTGCGACCGCAAGTCAGGTTGACCAAGATGACTCCCAGGCTCCAGACATCATTGGGGGCACACATGTAGTAGGGCTTTCTCGCGGAAGGGTCCAAACACTCTGTGAGGTCGTCTCCGTTAGTCATTGCACCTTATAATTTCCTGGGCAGGAAAGGCGATAGTTACCTGGACTCATGTAAAAGGTAGAGCCGCATCCGTAATCCTCGGAGCGGTCCTCACTGGTGGCCAGTCCAAAGTCGGCCAGCTTGACCGTCTCGCCATTGTCGGTGACAAGGATGTTCTCAGGCTTGAGGTCCCGGTGGTAAATGCCGAGGTTGTGGCAGTGCTCAACAGCATCCAGGATCTGGAGGAACACCTTCTTGGAGAGCTCATCATTCCCAACGTACTGGCCGCGCTCAGTGATGTTGGAGAACAGGTCGCCCTCGGGGCAGTACTCCAGAACAACATAGATGCAATCAGGGTCGTCGACAATCCTCATCATGGACACCACGTTCGGATGCGCCGACGCGAGGTAGTGCAGACGAATCTCTCGCTGCTGGTAGGCAACCTGGCGGCGTTCCAGCGGTGTTCCATCGGCATTGTACTTGCTCAGGCACTTGACGGCATACTGGACTCCAGTGTTGATATCCACGGCAGTGTATACGACGCCGTATGCGCCGGTACCAAGGATATCAGTAAGCTGGAGCTTGCCCTCGAGAAGCTGTCCTAACCGCTGCTCTGGGGCAAGGGGTACACATCGGGGCTGGAAAGTCCGTGTAGCAAAGGGCTGTTGGACGTTGCACTTGAGGTTGTCGTACGCGGGAGAGGCCGGGGGAGTGGGATATCCGTACGGGGCATGGTGCTGCATGTTAAGCGACTTGTAGGGGATGGTCTCCAAAGGTCTGATTGTCCTCGAAGACTCAAGTCAAATAACCAGATCCGAAGATGGAGACGACTATTAGAATGAATAAGAAAAAGTAAAGAAAAGAAAAGGATCCTTTTAGATGGAGTGAGGTGATTGGCGTTTGTATTCCTTCCTTGGGGGAGGTTGTTGTCGAAGACACGGGTATGGAGGCTCGGTATAAATCACAAGTCGAAGTTCCAATGGGATACCAGAAGCAGCCGCATATGGTAAAAAGTTCTCGAACAGCCGAATGAACGGGTCAAGAGCGGCGAAAATGTCAAGGGCTTCAGAGTATCGACAAATAAGAGAAGATTGGATAGGAGAGGTAGGCGGAGTGAGACGGCCTGGAATCTTATGAATCCAGAAGGGAAAAGAAAAAATAATTGAATTGGCGGCAGAGAGGAAGATGGTACGTTGAAGGAATGTCGTGAACGTTGTGATGCGTGTAAGTGACCCTTCGGCCGAGAGTGGGCAACATCAGGTAGATATCAAACTGCACTTCGAGACACTGGCGTGAAATCTGTCCAGACTAATAGCGAGGCGACAGAAGAGACGTACCCTTGTCTCTTGGTCTCGGGGGCTTGCGAATTGCGCGGAGCCACACCAAGAAGATCCACTGCCATGGAGAGCTCATCAGACCCCGGTCTTCTTGGAAGAGATGAATGGCATGGGTGTTGTCTAGGCGGCAGGGGGGTCGCCACAGTACATGATGCGCCAGCTATTCTTAACCAGCGCTGCAAGGCTCGTTCGACAGCCTTGGTAAAGAAGCGGGACTAGCGAAGCAGGGATCGTAGCGCGACGCTGAGGACTACCTTGTCCAAGTATACGAGGATGCTCTGACACACCAAATGAAGCGGTTCGCTGGACTGTGCGAAGTCACTTGTGTCATCCGCGCCGCTCGCCCTCCCTCACACAACAAGAGGCCACTTCGCCCACACCCCCCAAACCCCCTTCGACATGCTCGGCTGGCACTAGCGACCCTTGGTTCCACGTCGAGTTGGGTGGCCAAAAAGCTAACACTTGGGCGATTCCAGCCCCCCCAGCCAGTCGGCTTCGACGGTGTCACAGGAGAAAGACTGAGCCGCCGTAATGGGGCGAGGTTGTCGGATCTGCGGCGGGCTACAGCATGTCACACCCTTTCATCAACAGGCCGTGCGTTGCTCACACTGCTCGACATGACTGGTTGGCGTTGCCTCCCACCACCCACTCGCTCGCTGCCAGGCAAAGGCGTCATGGACTGCCGCGTGACTGGCATGACCTTTGCGTGAGAATGTCGAAGGGGAAAGGCTCGACTCGCACAACTCTGGCGGCTCCCTTTCTGAGGCGGTCGAGAGTGCGTTTGAGTGTGACGACTGGAATGAAAACGGGAGATCTCGCAGAAACCCGTCAGGCCACCGAACAAGAGGCTTCCGTAGCGGACGCCATCAGGTGGTTGACTGCGGAAGAAACTGGCTGGTGTCTCCGCACTGTGAACAGGGCAGTCGTGTCGTGGGTTCGTACAGTGCACTCCGTAGTCATCCTGCTAGCATTTGTCGTGCTCTCTCGCTGTCTCCCCCATTTCAAGCTGCTGGTGCAATGGCAAATCGTCAATGCGCTCGCCCACTGGGGGGCGTCTCCCTCTCCCTCTCTCAGCGAAGCACGGCACGCAAACGTGCTGACCCTCAGCATTAGGGCGCCGTGGTGGGTAACAGGCAGCAAGCCAGACCGAAATGCATGAAGCAATGCTGCCTGCCTGCCTGCCCGCCCGCTTGCTTGCTTGCCTGCCTGGCTACGGCTTCGTGTCGCCTCTTCGAATTTTTCTGTCCGGCCATCGAAGGCGAACTCGCTCAATGGCAGTCATTTGACACGGAAGCAACCTGTACGTGTACCTCGCGTAGAGCGTTGCTTTCGCCGTCCACTCAATATGAGCGGGGGACGGCTGCTGCTTGTGCAGATCAATGGCTGCAAGCGGCCATGTTCAACGCGGCAGCAAAGCCTCGCAAGAAAAGAAACTGGACCAGCATCTGTTCAGTGGGTTTGGGTAGGAAAACTGCATTGCAGGCGTCTGCCACCTGCAACCAAAACAGTAGCAGTAGCAGCGAGCGAGTGAAGTGCCTGTATCGCAAGGAAGCAGCATGGGCCGTGGATGCGTAAGAATCAGTTGGCACTGTGGTTTCTCCGCCGTGCAATGCACCTGTGCATGCATTCCCCATCGATGGTGATTATTGATGGCCACCGCAAACCAATGGAGAAGCTAGCCTAGGGACCTGTTGTGGAAGAAGTGGTGATGGCCGCTGCGATGTGACTGGCTTGAAGTGGCTGGACGTTATGCGGCCCAAGTCCACGCCCCTGGCACGGAACTGCAGCGCCTGTTGCCAGCACGGTACGAATGGCCACGTTGGGTGCTTGTTTGCGTCTTCTTACAGACTGTGCCGTGTCAGACAGCAGGATTCAGGAGCGCGACGAGGTTGCCGGATGAACCTGCGCAGCGCTTTTGTTTCTGGCCGAATCAGAGGGAGAAACACAACAAGACGCAGCCAATGGAATGCCCGAGGAATGCAATGCAGCTTTCCAACAATACTATTAGGCGCCATGTGGTCGAACAACTCGGCCGGTGTTGGCATTAACATGTCCCTCTGCGCTGGCGCCCCCTAGTGGACGTGGACGTGGACACGGTGGGATTGGAGCGACGAGCCAAAGGAGATGGGTAAGTAAGCATGGGCACACTGGTGTTTGCTTCGAAGCGAGAGTTGGTCAGTCCGATAGATCATGGAGATACAGACAGGTATGTGTGTTTACTTGCTCAATCGGCTGTCCTCCACCTTGCCGTGCTGGACAACATACAATATCCACCCGGGGGCCGCATATCAGAAAGCGGGAAAGGAAGAGACCAGCCAGCAGCGAAGGAGCCCCGTGTGAACACGGAGCAATAAACGTGGCCACCATCGCCCGCAGCAGAGATGAGCCAACTGCTCAGCCGATGGACCACATACGGGCGGCGTTGGCCCAAAGCGGAGGCTTGCATCGGCTCGCGGCATCGTCGTCTGATTGGGTACGTGATGCCAGGCACTTGGAAGACGCCAGTCGAGCAGGAGCTGCACCAGACCACAACCGCAAGGTCTCCCCATCCGAATCATGTCGCCTTGAAAGGCTAGGGCCGCACAGTACTGTACTTGCACGAGCGCATAGTGCAGTAAGGTAGTGCTAGTACTAGTGGTAGCCTTGTCCTCATCTAGGAGCAATCTCGAGCAGACAGGGGGCAAGCAGAGGTCCCACGCCGAGCCGGGCAGTGTGAGGCTGTTCTCCAGGGCCCGTTGCGGTTGCATCTCCATTTGCTTGTTGCTGCATCCATGGTATGGGGTTGAAGAAGGAGGCGTCCAATGGCAAGGACGCTCAGCGGGATGGTCGGATATTGGCAGTCAACCTGATGCACTTGGCAGCCGCCATTGGAGCCATTGGAAGCTGGCCTGCAGATTGACGACGGCGCCCAAGCAGGATTGGTGCAGCATTTGCGGCAGAGGTAGTGGGCCGCGGGCCACCGATGGTTCTTTGTTGGGTTCGATTCGATTCGATGGTTGCGCTGCCAATCTCATTCACACCAGCAGCGATTATGGAGCACTTGAAGGACGTTGAAGTGTAGAAACCTCGTGCGTGTGTGTACTTTGTACACGTACGCTGTTACGTTAAGCGCCTGTCTCTGTTTCACTCATCAGAAGAGCAGCCCAGAGGGAATTGACGACAAGCTGCTACGATGTATTACGAAGCACAGGACGCAGGACGAGCCACATACCTGTAAACCCTGCCGATCGCCAGAAGGACAAGAAGCAAAAAGAAAAACAGCGATGAAACCCGTCGGTTATCAGTGCCTATGACCAAGCTGGCAGATCGCCGTGCGGATCGCAATCGCAACGCAAGAGCAAGCACAAAGAAGAGGGACCCTCAAGCGAAGCCAAGACACGAACCCCGTCAAGTCATTTCTCGCTCATTCGTTGACTCAAGTCAAGTTCACGCTCGCTGGCAAGGGGCGCCAGAAGCCGAGAGCCCGTGCTCGCTGAGCCATGCAAGTAGACACACTGGGACCGCTGCCAACTCTCTCAAGTGTCATGGCCGGTGGCACGGCAGGATGAGATCGGCGGATCCCAGCAGAGGCCGCTGGGCGAGTGAGAGGATTCGCGCTGAGTCAAAAGAGTCAAAAGACCGCACAGGCCACGCAGCAGGGAATAGAGAGCAGGGGGGAACAGGAGACAGGGGATAGGGAGCAGGCGAGCAGAGCAGGCGAGCAGGAGCAGAAGAGCAGCCCCTTGCACCAAGAGGGCCGCGATCGAGGTGGTGCTGGGTCAGGGATCCTGGCAGGGGCTAGACCGGAGGCGGCTAGATGCGGGCGAGAAGAAGAGCCAAGAACGAAGACGAGAGAATGATCCTTGTCGCAGCTGGTGAGGGTGGAGGAAGAGGAGGAGGTTAGAAGTGCGAGAGAAGCAAAAAGGAGACAGACGACAGATGCAGACCAATCCCAAAACAGCACTAGACCGCCTGTTTGTGCTGGCCCGTACTGGGTACCTGCGCCACGTGCGGATACGCGATCAGGCGCACGGACTATCGTTCTGAATGCTGAAGTGGCAGCGGAGACGGAGAAACAGCGGCCGCAAACTGTGTACGTGGCCGCGCACGTGTACAAATACTTGCATGAGTTTCTTCTCTCAGGAGTCGAGTCAAGCGGGAGTCAGAAGTGGGGCGGCCGAGCGGCGTTGAGCCAATGATAGGGCTTTACTGGATAACCACCCAGGGTTCTATTGAGATCTAGACAAACTCTATCGAGTCACGACTCTGCCTATTTTTTTCCCTTTGCGATGAAGATGTGAAGTGCATCACGCATCACGGAGGCAGAACCGGTATCTGTGACCGTGCAGTTACATACAGTGGGATGAGCTCGAGATGATTTTGATAAGCCCTTGCGGTGGAGATGATTCGATGGCAGAGACTAATAGAAACAGCCAAAACAACAGCAGCATATCGTACCCTACAACACCACCTACAACACCACCGTCACTTCGCGCTGCTCACATGTCCATCCGCTCTGGGCCAAGTTCGAGGCCCAGTTCTTGCTCTGGGTACTTGTATTTGCAATGTCCTCCGTTGCTCGTACGTACTTGTAACTACGCAGACGAACGGCTTGCTAGCATGCACCTGCTAGCAGCGTTACGAGCCCATGTGTGCATTTTCAATAGATTGCCTACCAGCCCTTTCCGCCTGGATCCCGGAGCATATTCCACTTGTGACGGGCTCGGATATTATGACACAGCCCTGGCCCTGTCTGGCCTGGCTCTGAATCCATCAGTGTGACATCGAGGATGGATTCTTTTGGCCTGAGGCCAAACCGACAGAGACAGAGCAGTATCCTGCCCCCCCTGGCTGACTGCCGACATCACCAACTAAGGAGGAGGATCACGATGATGCTGCGAGCACTTCGAACTGGAGGAGCCTTGATGATCCAAGCCTAGTTGAAGACCACACCCACACCTAAGGCATTGGATGGTGGTGATTGGATCTGGTAGAAGCCGAGTCCTGGAGTGCCAGGCGGCTTCGGGATCCAATAAGAGGCCGTCCACTATCTCTCCCAATATTGTGGCTTTGCAGTTATCGTGGCAACCCCGGGCGCTCGGCTGAGTGACACTCTCTGTGCTCCATCTTGACCATCCCCAGGGTCAAGTCCCGGGACAGATGACGGCGGCTGGAGCTCTGCAAGCCAACCCTCCAGGCTTGCCACTGTGCCAACGGCCCTTGGACAAAGCAATGTCGCGCCGGCAGCAGTCGTCATGATCGTACTGTAGCAGCTTGTCTGAGGCGAAACGGCAAGCATGGATCTTCAAACGGTCGATCGATCACTGTGTATGATGATACTTATGATGAAAGCTAGCTACGCAAACCTGCGCCGTTCTTTGTTCGTCCAATGGCGTAAATGATCCGCAGAGCTGATACAGGTTTTCGCTACTCTCTCCCTTCTTCCAACTTCCCTCTTCCTCTCATCGTCCGACTGAAGGTTTCAATGTCACGGACGAGCCGATGGGGACCCAGGAGTCCGCCTTGTCCAACTGGGCAGACTAGCAACCACCATTACACAAACATGCAGCTCTCCAGCCGCCAGCAGTGATACCACTCCTACTTGCTTGCTCAAAACCCGTTGATATACTATAGTACAGGCAGAGTTTTACCACCCCATACTACCAGTCCTGCAGCAGCCCCTGTCATGCTGCCAGTGTTATCACACTACAGGTGCACAGGGTCATGCCCTCGAGCCAAATTTTCTTCGTTTTGCCTCCCTGTCTATAACAAAGTGAGACAAACCACATGGCCAATACCGCAGAAACAAGGGCCAGGCATCCACAACAACCTTCAAGTGTGTGTTTTTATTTTGGGAACGTCTCATGGCCAATAAAGGCGAAGGGAGCCAACATCGAGACATCCAACGGCTCCCCCAGTTGTCGAGTCCATCAGCGCCTGAAGAAACGCCCAAGAGGCAAAGAGGCAAATGCGGGTGAGGAGGGCTTCTTGCATGGCCTAGGGCCCGCGGCTGCCTGCAAGTCATTCGCTGCACGCCACTCATGGGCATTTCCACTCACATCCATATCGGCATCTCGCGGGGGCCTGGCCGCAGCCGCGGCCTCGAAGGGGACAGCAGACGGCATCAGGAAGCGCCCTGGATCTGGCAGTGCTTACGAGCTGGCCTTTCTTGACGGCGTCATCTTCTTCCTACACCGGAACTGCCGTTTCCCTACTTCTCCAGTGCAGTCACTAGAAGCAGGATGGAAATTGCGACTAGCTGCCATGTTAGTGCACCCGCCCTGTCGATAGCTCAGCTGCCCATTGTTTCGAGATGTGCATGACCTAGCTAGATTTTCTTCTGCTGCTTCTTGCTTGGCTGCTGAACCCTTTGCTGTTCATTTTCCACCTTTTCCACCCCAGACATGGCTTTTGCCGCGCTCTGCGTTCTGAGTTCAGACACGGCCGGAGGTGACCGGAATGTGGAGCCGGAGAAACCGATGGATTCTAGATTGAAGCACCGGAATGCTGTTGCTTCTCCCTTCTTTCGGGCCGGGCCAGGTCTCGGGCATCAAACTGGAGACGTGTGAATATTGGAAGACGAGGAGGACTATCAACTTCACTTGTAAGGTTGCCAATAGAATTTGCGGTGAAATGTTGATAGCACATTGTAGACAAAGACGTGATCTCCGTCTTGTAGACACATGGTATGGAATTTTTAGTTTAGAGAACGCTTATGAAGAAGAGCTGAAAGAGAAACGCCGGGCCATCAAAGTGTCTGCTACTACTTCAAGCGCCATGTACTATTGTCTTCTCGTCTAATTGTACCGAAGTTACTGAATAAGCTGCTAGTAGTACCTTGATATGGAAGCTGATGCCCAAGTTCGAGAATCAGTATGGACGCCATCGAATCATCAACTTACCCTAGATATGAGCTCTGCAAATGCGCCTCATCGACCAAGAATTAGCTGGTAGCAGTTGACTGAAGAGATACACATGGTTCGATAAACAAGCCATCTCTGATGCGCATGATTGCGCCGTCTGTTGGTACGACCAACAGCTGAGATTCGCCGACAACTTGTGTCCTTCAGATACATACCTGGTGTGTATAGCTTTGAGATGGCTTGATGGCGTCAGTCGACAGAACGAAGCCACAACCCGGATCAGCCACGGGTGAGGCTGAGCAAATGAGAAAGATCTTCTCGCCATGAAACAGGAGAAATAGAAGAGAAGTTGGTCCAAGCTCCCTCTGGCTTGAACCCAAATCTGCTGTAGTCACCGGCTCGAGGCGCCGGCCAATCTTGAACTCTTGGTCAAGCACGTAGTTGTGGTGGGTTACCGATTGCCAGAACGTGGCTGCTGAGTTTCTCGAAGAAGGAGGCCAAGATGGGCAAAGTCGAGCGCCACTGAAGTCAAACGACAGCGTGGGGACAGTGGGGAGGACGGCAGATCGTGGCTATCATGGAGGATAGGCTTCCGACTTCGAAGCAGCTCTTTATTGTTCCCCAAGGGGCTACCATTAGTTCCTGACCAGAGGCGTTAAGACGTTGTCCAGCGCTGTGGCCTTGGGACAGAGACGTTGCCCAGAGCTGTGGTCTTGGGACGAGGGCTAGCTGTTGTATTGGAGTGATTCAACGGCTGTCGGTGCTGCTTACTCTTGCTTGCACGGTATGAACAATTCAGCTTCTCTTTGACTAACTCATGACTTATCGACTTGCTGCTTTTCAGCGGAGTTTCTCTAAGTCTAAAACTCCGAAATGACTTGGCGAACTGTTTGCTGCAGCACTATATTTCAAACTCGTCGGATCTCATCTAGATAGCGGAGGACCTCGCTTCTGGGGTTACCCCGGCGCGACGATCTGACAACTCAACCCGTCACAGCTGTGTATGTTTGTGACGAAGCCCCTTACTACTCTGTTATGGTGATACGCAATTCAAAACACTTGCGGCGGCAAGTGATGAAACCGCTTCGTGGAGCGCGAGCCTG